CAAAATTTCAGTTTTCCTGACAAATTAAATTTTTCATACTGGAACTGATATCTAAAAACCAATGCAGAAAAATTGCCATTCAAAATAAATCCAGTCGTCTTTTTTTATGCAAAGCCTCGCCTTAAATCCGCTGTAATCGAACAACAATGAAAAATTAATTTAAATTTTAATCCGAATAATAATTCAAGACGAGAGGAAAATGAATTTCATGGACCCAGGTGTAGCAGCAAAAAGGAAAATCCGCCCTTTCTGGACTGATCGTGACGCGGCTCTTCACATTCTTGACAGCTCATTGAATTGCTCGTAATGAAGTTTGCGTGTGGCGAATCCCTTTCACTAACAAGCCCGCAGTTAAAAATCGGCTTGCGCCGCAGCGGCCAAGTCGGCAGCCGCGCGCAGTGACGCCCAATTAACCACGATCGCAGCGGCACAAACGCAAATTTCACGCCAGATTAGCCGCGAACCTGCTGAGCAATTATGCTGTGAAGAGACATTTCATTGTTTTTTGCGGCGGCAGCGGAGAGCATTGGCCAAGAATCTGTGGGGGAGAGAGTAAGTGAGAGATTGAATTGAGTCATGACTCAGCTAGGGGTCTTTCCTGAGAGCAGACCCTTGCGATGCGCCCACTCGCCGAACCACCTGCCACCGAATCTATCAAGCTCGTCTGCACCTAACAAATAAAATCAATACGGCCGCATTTCCGTCCCGCACCATTATGTTCCCTAGCGTGGAATCGAGAAGAATGCATTTTTTTTTATACACAACAGAAGCTCTCGCTGGGTTATTAGTTTACCATAAGTACCGCGCCGACGCCTGCGGCATTCGTGAGTTATGCAATCCGCACAGCTTACGTGCTGTTCAGAGTGCCTACTTCGAAAATCTCCGGAAGCTTCGTGTGGGAAAAAAATCAAGAGGGAAAATAGGATTGAATGTTACATTAAACGTAATTTAATTGAACTAGAACTTGCTTGGATGTAAATTAATAGTAAGATATTTAAAATTGTTACATCAAATTTTTTCATTCGATTTTTTTAATACAATTTGTTTGAGAAAAATAAATATTTTTTTTAATACAAATTAAAAATATTTCAATTAGCAATGCAAAATTATTTTTGCATTAGTCGCAAATCTTTGTCACTAAAAGCAATTTTGAGTCGCTTTTTACATTTAACTTTTAAGATTAAGAACATTCAACGGACAGGATCTAGTTTGAATTTAAATTGATTTGATCACAAGATATTAAAATTTGGCCAACAACTTCAAAAATAATTAAAACTTTAAATATACAATAATAATTAATAAAAGCGGCGGATGGTGTCTATTTGATCTCGGAAGTTTCAGCAAAATTTTTGCTAGTGGTGGTGCCGTTTTGTTCTAACAATTCCCTTTTTAACATAAAATTGTTTTCAACAACAATGTATTTGCGCATCAATGCGGAAAAATGAACAACAATAATACACAAAAATAAAAAGGAAAATAATTATGCAATAGTAAAATCTTAATTAATTAAAGCATTTAGTTTTTGAGATTAAAAAAAGATTTCATGGACGGGGGAGTTGAGAAAAGTTAAAAAATAACATTTTTGTTAAACAAGTTTTACGCTAATTTTTACAATTACCGATGTTTATTTATGATGTAAAACAGGCATTTTAAAATTTTGTAATGCATCATTTTCGAAACATTTAATTTAATTATGCTCTGCATTATTTTGTTTATAATGGTAAGAACAAAAAAAAATTGCAGAGTAAATAATATTTTGCTGCAAAAATAATTTTAGCTCGCCTGAAGATGAGCGTATGAATTGTAAATAATTAATTATACGTTTTAAAGCTGTGCAAATTTTATGTTTAATATATCTCTATACATGAATGAAAACATATTTTGTAAACAGAAGTAGTTTGGGTGAGTAAATTTTTTCCTCCACTGCTCAAGAAATGAGAATTTTAATTAAAAAATATTTTAAAGCACTTCGCCGGGTTAATGTTAATATTTATCTGAATACTTTCAACAATTGAATGTAAACAATGTAATTATTTGTAACAATGTGGACAAATGAACAAAAATCAAGCAAAATTATATTCTTATTTTCCATGCCATCTGGAATTTGCGCTGAAATGGGAGGAAGCGCTTGGTCTGTTGTGTGCGCGCGCGATGAGCAAAATGACATTTATCGAAAGCCAAGCTGCGGGGGCTGAAGCGTGATTTATGGTGCGCGTGATATTGGCGAGAAAATGAGCATCGCGGAGCACGCATAATTCGCCGCCTAAATCGTTTTGCGGGCGTCAAACACTAATGGTGTTGACACACTGCTAAAAGCAGGGGAGATTGGCGCTGGGAACAAATAAGAGGATTGTGCAGCGCGCGCGCTAGTTGCATCCAACTGTATGTTGTGTACTAAATATACTCACTCACTCACACACACACACACAATGCGACAGAGTGTTGCTTAAAGCGGAACAATACAAAAACCGCCCTCTTCGGTGCCTTTTGTAATTCAAATGCGCCGCGCTTTGTGTCGCACGAGAACAATCGGCTGAGTGAAAGAGCGGCTCGTCCGCGCCCTAATCGCCTTTTCTTATTTGTTTGCCGACTCAGACATGATTAAGAAATACCTAACCATTTTAGTTGTCGCCAAGATTAATGATCTCTCTCTCCTCTCCGCCACACACGTCGCCAGCAGATGGTTTCTATATATTTTTCGTCTCTTTCACGAGGTGCAAGAATGCCAATTTATTCATGATCAGGTCCGGCCACCCCCAGCAGTGGTGTGGGTGTCGCCGACAAGAGGGGTCGCTTTCCTTTTGACTGCGCGCGTGTGTTAATTAAAAGGTCTCATCTGCCTCTTCTCGCCAATGCACGCATTGAATAATTTTGCATAATCCTATCGAATTACAGCGCTAATCGCAATAGTTATTTTTAATATAATATCCTAACTTTTGATTAAGTGTGTTATTAAAATTGCTGATAACATATATCATGTCATTTAGATTTAATTGTAAAAGCTGAAAGGATATTATTCGAGTTTGTTGTTATATTTTGTACACTTTTGATTATCCGCCTTTTATTTTTACAGTAAAGGGCTGAGCGCGTCCTCAATAGACATATAGTTTTGAACTGTTAAGAATATTCACTATGGTTGTCTCTGTTTCAGAATACATCATTTAATTTTATGTTTTTGAACAAAGGAAAACCTGCAATGCTGAAATAAGTATATAGAAATAAACACTTGCATTATGTGTGATAAAAATTAGATGCATAATTATATTTTGTTATCTGTTATTTGCATATGAGAATTATGAACTTTTAAATATAAATTATGATTTTATTATTTTGTTTATCTGTCCAAATTGTAAAAATACATTGATTACATTCAATTTTTGAAAACATTTTATTTGAAAAAAAAGGTAATTGTTGGACAAAATGGCACCGCCACTTGCAAGAATTTGTTAAATATTCCGAGGTTGAAAAGACCTTATCCGCCGCAGTGGGCCTCGGTTGAATAAGTAAGTTTTTGAGTTATCACATTAATGGAGTCAACTGCAAGGTTTCTTAAAATTCATAAACGATAATGCCTAAAATCTTCTGATTTATTAGTTTACTTACAGTATTTGTTTTTAAAGAACTCTTTTACATTTTGCATGGAAAATAAAAAGAGTTCTAAGTATGCATATAAATGTTTAAAAGATTATAGTAACACGGAATTTAAGAATGATTACAAAAAGAGGAACGATATTTTTTAGTAACGTATGATTACGCAGCTGAAATCTATTGAAATATCCATGAAAAAGCAAAAGTTAGAACATGCAAATTATTAATTAATTATGCTAATTCTAGACCTATGACGAGTTATAATAAACCTATTATATATTTCAATAAAACTAGAATTTCTGTAGCCACACACTCTCTGTATACTGCATCTCTTTTTGATTTTTAAATAAGATAAATAATTATAAATTAATATTTCTTGAAACTTGAAAAGTAATGGCAACATAAAACTTCAACAATCTAATCTTGTATTGATAATTATGTGAAATTTTTATTACAATCAAAATGTAAACAAAAAATTTACTAAGGTTTCATATGTGGAAATATTTGTTTTAACCAGATGAATAATAATAATGATAAATAATTTATTTACAATAAACATACAAACAAAATATTACTTGTTGCAGGGATTGCAAAAAGCTAAACCTTTGTTTGATTTTATTCAAATACCAAATTAATGCTCACAAACGACGATCAGTGTAAGAAAATAAAAATCCTATAAAAATACGTTTTCATCTGCAAATTATCTATGAAAATTATTAGAAAGAATATTGTAATAAGAATGAAAGATAAAAATTATATAATTATGTATTTATAAATAAGATGCCGTTTACAATTCATTTAATGAATGTTTTTCAATTAAAAATTTGGTTAGAAACGAGAAAATTTTAGCACTTAGAAGACATGATAATATTTTCAAGTGTGAGTTGAGAACAACAGAACGCATTTCAAGATTACAATATAGCAGAGTAAACATGGTATAACAGCGCACGGCAGCGCTCAACTACATCACTTTATACAGTACATATATGTACGTGCATATATATGTACATGCATGCGCCTAAAACCTTAGCTTATCATGCGAGAAGGTTCTCTCCTCTCTCTCTCTCTCTCTTTCGCTCTTTCACCATGGCTGTGTGTGTCGAAACAGCGGCAGTAAAGAACACACACACCCCTACTCATTTTTTGCATCAACCCCATAACATTATCTATAAAGCGGCGGCGACAAGATAACCACGCCCACTGCAATGTAAACTCTCCCTTTTACATTAAGTAACACAGGGGTGGAGCTTCGGAGAACCACCCTATGTGAATGCGATTTAACCCAGAAAGTTTGCGTTTCGTGCGGTTTTGCAGGGGGTAGCCGAGTCGTTAGCCAATGAAAAGGCTGGCACGGTTGTCAAAATCACAGGCGCAGAGAATGTGTGTTGTCAAAGCGATCTCGCTCTCGCGTCCACACAAATAAAGACAACGTTTTAACAGGCAGGGCACACATTTTGCACCACTTTAACCTCGTCAATGGCCGACCTCGCGTGGCACCAGCACCTGGCCAAGAGCGGCGCCCTGTACCCGGCCGAATCGTCGTCGCCGCTCGACCTGCGGGGCCAGCCGAACCCGCAGCAAGTGCCGGCGGCGCCGCAACCCGCGACGCCCTTCAGACAGTTCGAGTCGTCCGACTCCGAGTCCGAGGACATCAACGTCGACTCGGACGAAGACGTCACCGTCGCCTCCAGACACCACTCCTTCAGCGGCGCCGTCGCTGCGGCGCCGACCGACCTGCAGGCGACCGCGGCGGCCAAAAGTAAGTTGGACGACGGCAAGACGGCGGCGGCCGTCAAACCGCCCTACTCGTACATAGCCCTGATCACCATGGGCATTTTGCAAAGTCCGCACAAGAGACTCACGCTGAGTGGCATTTGCGAGTTCATCATGTCGCGGTTTCCGTACTACCGAGACAAGTTCCCCGCCTGGCAGAATTCCATCCGGCACAATTTGTCGCTGAACGACTGCTTCATCAAAATACCCAGGGAGCCCGGCAACCCTGGCAAGGGCAACTACTGGACCCTGGATCCGATGGCCGAGGACATGTTCGACAACGGCAGTTTTCTGCGGCGCCGCAAGAGGTACAAACGGCAGCAGCCGCCGGCCTTCCTGCACAACCACGCGGCCATGGCCGCGGCGGCCGCCGCCTTCCTGGGCAGCGGCGGCGACCCGTACCTGCAGCACGGCCTGCCGCCCCCGCACCTGCCGCCCCCGTACGCGTACCTGCAGCCCCCGTCGATGCCGCTGCTGCCGCCGACGCAGCTCGCCCGCCTCTCGTTGGCGCCGCTCGGCCTCAACCTGCTGAACGGCCCGTCGGCCGCCTCCGGGGGCGGCGTGCACAAGCCCGTGCCCACCCTGTACCAGTGCAAGACGGCGGCCACCCTCAAGTCGGGCTTCACCATCGACTCGCTCATCGGCAAGGTGCTGCGGGGCTCGCACGCCGCCTCCAGCAGGCAGTCGCCGCAACCGTCCTCGGCGCCCACCGTCACCCGCAGCACCGACTCTGCCTTCACCCCCCTCGGAGAGCGCGCCTCGCCGCACCCTGAGCACGCGGCCACGTCCTTGTGAGGAAACTGCCAAACGAATCGATGGTATTGAGAGCGGTAAGATTGAAAAATTCAATTTTTTCAGCTGTTTTTCATGAAAATATATTTGCTTCATGACGTTTTTCAAACTACGTTTCTATTAGGAGCAGAAATAAAGAATGTAAATTTAAATTTATAAACAATTGAAATGATCTGCGAATAATAAATCAATATTGCATAAATTTTAAACAATTATTTTTTCGCTGTTCTGAAGCGCAGTGCTTGTATAAAAGACTTTTAAATTTATCCAATTTACACAGTAATAATTATTCAAATTAATTTATTATATCAAAGAGAAAAAACTTCCTTACTAGAAAAAATAGCTTTAAACCGTATTTTGTGTGTTTCAGGCGCGGGTTCAAATTTGAGAGCGAAATTAAGCGCGATTGAGTGGACGTTTTTAGGTGACCGTCTGCAATACTTGGCTTCTTATGTCGGTCTGCTTTGTTGTTCCTTCCTCTTTGCCTCTGTTGCACTGCACTTTTATTAGAGTATGAAATAATATGTCTGTGATAACGCTCCTACTGTATACAAAAATAAAACAGTAAATCGATCTCCTAATTTATATGATTAAGTTGATTACATTTTTTGTCTGGCATGCGCACAGCACACATTCATGGATTCGGTATGTAATTCTCTATAGCTCCTGTCTGAACGTGAAAAATGTAAATTAAAATAAATAATTACAAAGATGTTATAAATTAGCAAAGAAAAAAACTAGTTTATTTTCAAATTGTTAATTTCTAATCCCAATGAACGAATCATAAAATTTATAAAGAAAGAATTAATGCTAATCAAATCAAATAAAAACAAGATTGAAATTACAGCTGATTAGAAAGAAAAAAATATCAAATTAATTTATAAGTTAATCAAATAAATGAAGTGACTAAAACGCTTGAAGCGGGCAACTTTTATATTGACATTAGATGTTTCTATTTTCCACAGTAAATAACATTTTCATTTCTAGGAATGAGAGAGGATTTTGATCAATTAACTTTAAGCTATAATTGAGAAAGCAAACCTGAAAGATGTGTTCATGATTACAGACCACTTATGTAAAAATCAATATACAGTGTTTTTAAAGTAAAATGAAGTTAATCAAAATTAAGGATTATATATTTTTTGATTCAAACTGTAGAAAACAGTTAATAAATAAGTAAAATATTTTCATTAAGCATTCACATGTTATGAACATGGTAAAATTTTAATTTAAATCTTTTTTTTGTATCAATAGGAGTTATCTATATCTCGTTTAACTATATTATATATTATCAAATTGTACCACATCATATTAAAATTTCAATGAAACTAACTGTTTGATTAATTTTAAATTAAAAAACTGTAATTACAGAACTCTTTAAAATATAGCATATTTATTATAACCAGGATAGGTATATACAAGGTTTTTATTTGCAGTATTCTTTATAATGTTTAAAATTTAAAATTATTACAATACCGTTGGACTACCAAAGTGATCATAAAATTATGAAATTTTTTAAAACGGTGAATCTGGAAAATTTTTATATTGTTTTATGCTTAACCACAAATAAAGATATCAAATAAATTAAAACAAAATTATGAAATAACCCGATGCAAAATTAGAAAGATCACAATTTTTTATCCAAATAATGCAACGGTAAATTTCTGAAGTATTTGAATTTTCTGTATTTTTATAGCTATTTACATACCATCAATAAAATAAAAATGTGAAATTATCACATTATTTACCGTAGGAACGCGTGTGAATTTTATATTTGGTTACTTCGTCATTTGAAAAGAAGGCATTGAGGGATCAGATGCAGATCCCTCACTAGAGATCACTAGATTGCAGACAGCGGATGAGCGAGAGGATAACTTGACGACAGGAAACTAATTACACCAACATTGTTCCACAGCGCTCGGTGCCCTTCTACCTCGCAATTAAATTGCTCTTATCCTTTTCTCTCGCAACAAAACATTTTTCAAACTCTGCTCCTCTGCAGCTATTCATATCAAATTGCTTGTGTTTTAATGCGGCCAACAAAGAGAGAAGGAGCGAGGATTCGGCTTTATAAAAGAAGCGAGCGAGCGAGTGAGCGAGAGCGGCGGAGGGAGCGGATGAAAAGAGAGGAATCGCTCGTGGGCATCAAACTTTTCCAAGGAGGGTGGTCAGGGGTGATTCTTACTCGAAACAAGTTTTCTGCTTTTCAGGCCTCCTCCAGGGGCGGCTAAGAATAAAAATGTTCCTCTATTTGTTCAAGTCAAGAAGTTAAACTTTTTATATTCGAGTGCGCGGCCGGCGGGATGAAATGTTTTTCTGCTCTTTTGTGGAAAGCGCGGCGAGCTTTTAAAATTAAAAAGTTGCTTTTAAATTCTTCCTTTGATGTTTGCGGCACACATTATGGTTCTGCGTTTTTGCTCAGTGTGAATATAACGTGCAAATACTTCACACGAGAAAACCATCGTTCCACTCCTAATTTCCACTCCCCAGACGCGCATTTGCCTGCATGTACGTATGTGATGTGAACGCGCGCGCGCGCAAGTGTAATGTGTGTGGCAGGTGGTCTCGAGGGCCTCTCAGAACAAAGAGGGACTACGCCGCTCAGACTTTATAAATCCATATGACTGATGGTCCATGTGAACATGCATATTTTACAAATAATATCGTCCGATCCGCACACACATGCGCACCCTTCTTCATTCTTTATCTTTGAGATTTGAGGCCTTTGACTGGAAGTTTCGCGGGAAATACAAATTGCTTCTACTTTTTAAATAAGAATTTCAAACAAAAACTTAATTTTTATATTATTTTAAATAAAATTCCATAAAATTTTCCAATATTTCTTAAATAATATATGAACACTTAAAAGCTATGTTTTTAAGATGACGCACCCCGATTTTGATTTTTCTACCCTGGAAGACTAATTTGAATTTAAAAAAAGAAACTATCAAAATTTAGGCAAAAAAGCGTCTTATATTTAAATATTTTGCCTACCTTTAACTTTCCAACGTAATTCAAAGGCAAAACTTTAAGAAAAAAGAGGCAAAAATAATTGCCGTTTTAAAGTTCTCAGGTGTAGTAAAAGTTGCTCACTAATTTTCATTTAAACCGGGATGTCTCATCTCAAACACATAGTTTTTTTAAAGGTAGCATTCAAGAGAATGATTGAATGATGTTCCAATGTGGGAAATATTACACTAGATAATAAAATTTGCCGGCGCAAATTTAATAAGTACGATTTCATTGTTTATTCTCCAATGATGTCTGCTAAATTTAAATATAGTCGGTTGACTTCATTCAGAAATTGAACTGTTCAATAAAAAACTGACGCTAGGAGCTGTATTTTTCTTCATCCTGGACATATGTGGATATGCAACACGCTCCGCACCTGAGTCGGGCAGGTTGCCTACTCTAGCAATAGTTATGTAGCAATCTCCTTTTAAAATGATGTCATTCTCTCGCTATACTAAAAAACATTAATAATCATTAATAAATATAAATTGGAAGAAAATTTATGCAGTGCAGATTCACCATCTATTTGGATGGGAAAAAATAAAGGTAACAGCAAAATTTGAATTGAATTAATCGATCATCCATTTCCAAAGAGCACATTTTATTTAATCTAAATCCTATTTAATCACTATTTTAATAGTCTGTAAGTATATTTTGATCCTGCCAATTTTGTATCACCAAGGCGAAAAAAGCTAAGTGAAATTTTTGCTACGAAAAAATAGCCGATCTGTTCGTTAACACCTAATTTATAGAAAGTCAACTATGGAAAATTTATAATTTTCATAAGTTTTTTCTCAATGCGTCTCTTTTAATAATTTAGCAGACTTAATAAAGTTGTGGAATTAGCATGTATAAGGGGTATTCAGTTCAAAATGCATCTGGTTGAATAATGTTCCTGCTGTTCCGAACGAAAAATTAACAAAATTATACAGAAGTTCTGTCATGCTAAAAAACTGAAGTGCACGACTCAACGGCTGTCTCAGCTGAAGCGAGCAATGAGCAGTGCGCGACAGCGAGAACCCATGGAAGGAGATTATTGGATTTAGTGGGTGCTTTTGAGTGCGGACGAGAGCATAATTTGATCTGCCATCATATCATTTTCACGTCTCTTCACAACAAATAATGAAATAATAAAAATCCTCTCTCTCTCTCTCTCTCATCTGCCTTCCTTATCACATTTGAATAGCGATCGTGCAGCGCCAATATTGAATTACGTGCCGAAAACAGAGGGAGCGCCGGAGAGAGCGAGCGATTCGTATAAATAGATTTCGCAAGGGGGTGCTCGGCGATTGGTGCTTCGTTTGGAGGAACAACCTGACGCAATGTGCTTGATAAAAATGCCTGAGCTCTGATTGGTTTCTCGGCTGGAAAGAGAGGAAAGAGAGAGAGAGAGAGAGAGAGAGAGAGAGAGAGAGAGAGAGAGAGAGAGAGAGAGAGAGAGAGAGAGAGAGAGAGAGAGAGAGAGAGAGAGAGAGAGAGAGAGAGAGAGAGAGAGAGGACACTGATACGTTTCACCACATTTTCATTTCATGGTAAATTGTTAGCAGAGGGGGAGAAAGTGAGAGAGACAGAGAGAGACAGAGAGAGAGAGAGAGAGAGAGAGAGAGAGAGAGAGAGAGAGAGAGAGAGAGAGAGAGAGAGAGAGAGAGAGAGAGAGAGAGAGAGAAGAGGGAGGATTGCAAGGCTTGATTAAAGTTCGTCCAAGCGATAAAAACAGTTTTGGGTGGAAAGGTCCAAACATTAAGACCCATACCAGCAGCACAAAACCGATACCGTGAAATTGTAATGCAGATGTGCCCCGACCACAAAGCAAAATAAATTTTAAATAGCTTCAAATAAATGATAAATTGTGCATTTTGATTTTATTCATTATTAAATATAAAATATTATTTCCAAAATCTAAGGTTATAAATTTTGGATGAAAAGTAATTGCCCAAAATTTTTTACTTTTAATTCAGAAATTAAATTTTTTGTGAGTCGAAAAATTAAAAACGTAGTTAAAACCTGGAAAATGAAGGCAAACAGAGCAACCGAGTTAGTATCAAATTAATTTTTCTTAGTTAAAATGAGTTAAAAATAAACATTTTGGTGCTTATTTTATTCTTTAAAGCCAAATTTTTCTCTCAAAATTTCAGTAAAACCACTTAAAATCCTCTAAAAAAATTAAATCCTGGAAATGCTTTACACTATACAACACAAGCACACTAACAACAATTTGGCGAATTGTTTTAGCAGATCAAGTAAAAAGACGGTAATCTAAAATTCAAACTGAAACTTCGCAATTTCCTCAATTTGATCTTATTTTAGGGAGTTTCCCTGATGAAAATTCAATTCATTTTTGCAACAGTTTCCTACAATATGTCAAAATCCAAAGTTACTTCAGAAAACTTTCTTCGCTAACAATGATCAACAATTATCCTGAAGATTTTCTAATGAAAGAAGCAACAAATTATATGATTGCGGTCAAAACTGCTAGTTATCTGTTTCCATTAAAAGGCGGGCGAGAAACTTTTGAAACGGCGCTGAAGGGAAAAGTTTTGTTGGGAGGTAAACAATTAATAAGTTGGGAGGAGAGTGATTTGAGAGAAATAATTGAAGAGAAGGGTGGTGTGTCGCTCAGAGGCGCAAAATTAAAAGGCATTCCGCGGGCTGAATACATTAGCGCGCGCGAAGACGGCTGCTGATAATTAATATTGCCAACGCCTTGATATTGCGCGCCGCATTCCAACTCGCGCAAGATCAGCCGCCGAAGCCGTCTCTGCGCCGGCATTTCCTCATTTCATTAATTAATTTTTCCTCAGGTCTTTTGCTTCCACAAAACTGCCGCCGCCGCCGCCGCTCAACTGCCGAAATAATATAATGTTTTGTGCTCTGCGCGACCTGCTTTAAAGGCCTCTTTCTCTGTTCTAATATTCCTCTCTGGCTGGCACAACCCCAGCGCTTTCGAGAGTAAACTGCTGCGTGATAGTGGCGGATCAAAGGTTTAGCCGGCTTTTATGTGCGAGAGATTTTCGCAATAAGGAGTGGTTGTTTGATATTATGTTATTGCCATCTCGCCGAGGCGGCGCGTGCCTGCTCGAATTCATTTTCAGGACTCGGGTTAGAAAACTTGCTTCGCCGCATTTACATCCCTTATTCAAAAGCGGGCAAACAATTCCTTCTTATATGAAGACAACCTCCGAAAATTATTAAATTTTGAGCCGAAAATTTATTCTGCAGTGGTTGAAAATTACTTTTGACTAGAATAATTTTGAATTGAGCTGGAATGAACTGAATAATAAAAATAAAAATAATTATTAAACTGACAAATAACTCAAATTTCATTATTTAATATACCTTATAAAAATTATTGAGAAAAACGCAATTTGTGATGTTAAATTTTCATCATATCTACAGAAAAAATCGAATATTTTAAGCATTCACAAATACAGCACAAATCTGAACAATGAATTTCAAAATAATCAGGTTCAAATGACGTGAAATAAAAAATATAAGATGAAAATATAAAATCAATGTAAAATAATTAACTTTGATGATTGAAAGTACAGCAAATCTTCCTTCGTATAGAAGAAAATTTTGTTATTTGCATTCCTTTGAAATGTTTAATTTATATTTCCCTTCCCACAGACTCTATAGAGCTTCTTTGATATTCAAGCTCTTCTGAATAATTTTCTCAGGGATAATCCATCCATACTTTAAGTCGTCAAAATTATTTATATACATAGCTGGTAGGTTTCAGTAGGTCAGACTTTCTAAAATCCCAAAAATAGCTGCGAGTTATTTCTTTTAGAATTAATTTTATATAAAAAAATATATACAAATTACAAATGTGTATATTTTTTTAAGTCTTATAATATTTTATGACTTTTAGATTATTTTCAGGTTTCTAAAATTTAACCTTAACATTTTTTTATAAAAAAATTAAACTTCAATTTCTTGCGAATTTCACTACAAAAATAAATTAGTGCCGTAGAAATAAAGTTATTTGATAAAGACGACACTAATATGAAAATCTTACTTGAGATGACGTCAGGGTTGAAAATTTCCATTACCAATTCGGTGACATGTTAAACACCACAGACAGTTTGTGAGCTGGGGATTAATCTTGGCAGCAAGTCAGATTGACGTGCATAGAAAGTCGAGCACTGAGCAAACAGCGCCGCTCTTTAACAAGTGTGCTTGCGTAAGCTGATTTTCATATATTTTTGCAAGCACTCAATCATTGCCTTCCTCGGCACAAGCACTACTTGTCGCAGCCTTACTGCACATTCAGCTTTTCATAATTAACGCCGCAAGTTTTTATAATGCTAATTTTAACTTCACCGTCACAACTTTTGATATCACAGTTCAACTCTCATTTTTCACTAGAAAATTGTTAATTAATTACAATTTTGAATTAAAAATTTCTACAATGTCAGTGATTTCAATATTACGATGGTTGCTATGAATTGAAAGTTTTTTTTCCATCAAAGTTAAAAGTAGAACCTAACAGAAGTCAACAAATTAAAAAACATTTTTACACCTCTCTAAATATAGCCCGGTCATTCTTCATTGAATAATTTTGATTACCGCAGAAGGAATTATTAGAAAAAATAATTTAGTTATTTTAACTTTTTATGTTTTTCAATTAATTAGTTTAATATCTATTATATCCTGATAATTTTTTTGGTTGGAACTCACTGGCTTCGAATCAGCTCAACTTTTCTCTCTGGAAATGAGTTTAGAAGTAATTTATGGCTGTAATATTAGATCAGTCTAAAAATTAATTAGTTAATGTTGTTACTTGACACATCTCGCTGTGTAGTACGGAAAATTCCATTCACAATATAAGGCTTTCGAAGATTTGCCTTATGAGTTTCGAGTTTCTATTTATGATATTTTTTTTACTTCTTAAAAAAAATGTTCTCCAACATGCTTAATGATAACTCAGTGCAATACATTAATATGTAAATTTTTTCAACATCAATGTCTCAAAAGAATACAGATATAAAGTTTCATTTATGAAAATAAGTTTATTTATATTTATACAAATAACTGCACAAACTGCTAATTGTAAACCCTTTCTTCTCTTTTTTCCAATTTAAAATTTTTGTATTGACCGAGAAGAATAAATAATAATAATAATAAATACAGGACGAAATTCAATATTAAATTAATCTCTGCCATGGTCTTACATGTTCATCAAAAAATGCTTTCTAGGTACAACAGTAATCCAATTGTCAAAACCACTATCATTTTTTATTTTTACATACACTGCTGGACCCTTAACCTTCTCAAGTTTAATAAATTTCTCTTCATCTTCAACAGCAGCAATTTTTTTTGTACCAATCAAATTTTCAACATCAATGCAAACTAAATAACGTACAATCAAATATACATCCTCCAAATTACCTTCCGAAATAATATTGACAATGTGACAGAACCGTCCATTTTTTAATACTATGTACGAGTCATCAAACTTTGCTTTCTTCTTCGCGGCCTTTGAATACAAAACTCCTTTTGAAACAACTTTTTCGTATTCATAAAAATTTACATCCCTTGGGAAATTTGGAGGTCGCGAGACCGATGGCTGATTTTTTCCAAGTAAGGTTTGATCTTTTCCACTTTTTTTACTAAACGTTACTTTTCGACAATCGAGTAAACTGTGACAAAATGTCTGGAGCTCCTCGTCTTTGACATCTATAAATCTTTCCATGAAAGATAGACAATTTGTTAAATTTATTCTTTGGACAATTTGGTGCGGAACCCCTTTGGTATCTTCTATTATTTTTTTCGAAGTCTTAAGTGCTGCTTCAAACGGATAAGCTGTGTGTGCCCATAATGGACCCCAAAGCCTTACACTTTGTCCAAAGTGAGTCAATTGATGAATGTCATAAGTCATTTCACATGTGCCATATAACTTTTCCGTATCAGCTGTAAAAATTTCTAACATTTTTTCTGCTTTCTCGACGTCTGTTGCACTCACTTCATCTTGCAAAAGTAACTGCATTGAACCGACAAGCAACTTCCAATGCTGAACATACGCGGTTGGTAAAATCTGGCTTAAAATGGGAACACTATAGAAAAGGAGCCAATTTTCAGCTTCCCGAGAGTTCATTAAGTTTTGCATGCTGATGAGAAGTGGTACTTTTTGCACAATTTTTGGGGGACGAATATTTTTCAGATAATTATCTATGATTTGAATCGTATCGGAGTCTCCAAAAAAATACTTTGAACCTTCGTGCGTAGAACAAATTTTTATGAATCGCCGAGTTGTTCCAAGCAAGACGCAATGCACATAATCAGGAATAAATCCCCAAACCATTTTAAACTCTGGTGAATCAATGCAGGGGCTAACAATTCCAACGCCGTCTAGCTTTTCAAATTCATTTTCGAACAAGTTTTCATAAGCAGAAGCAAAATTTTTTTCGGTTCTTAAATTTGGGACGTAATATATGTACGTTAGTGGTTCCAAATTTGTTAAAACCTTTTTTGCATACTTTACAACGGCCCTGCCGGATTTATCTGTAGTTGCAACCCCTTTAATCAAGCACCAGCTACAGCAAAAGTGATCGTTTACTCCAGTAACTCCTTGGATCTGAGCCCTGGTGACTGAATCTACGCAGCAACAAGTCCCAGTTAAATAAATTGTCACTTGCTCTCCCTTTATGTTCAAAGTTACACCTTCCTCAGAATATTTTTTCATCATTTTTACAAATGGTTTCAGAAAAACCTCCATTCTCGGTTTTGAACCACCATACCAAAGTGCTGCTAAAATCAAGTTTTTTCCTCGAAATTTAAAATTGGCTTCATTAATCATTCGAAATATAGGAGTTATTGATGAAGAATTGTCCATAGGCGCTCCATCAGCATTGAATACACAACTCAGATAAATATTTTTCCCTTGTCCATTTAATGTGGTTCTTATTTTACTGTCAATTTCTCTGTATAAAGTACCCCCAGTAATATCATTGCACTTGGTATTTGGCTCCAGTGGTTCACAAGAAATTGCACCTATATCAAATAAATGAGCAAGCTGAGATTCAATATTTAAAGTTATAAACGTCTCATCAGATTGGATTCCAATTCTAGAGGTTAACGCTCCGCAGCAACATTTTATATTTGCAACGTCAACATTGCTGTCCTTGCAGCCCAGCAAATTACCACAGGACTTGCACGCATAGTTGAAGTCCGTTTTAATGCTTGGATTGAAGATCTTTTCAAATTCGAATTTGGTGTTCGGAAACACGTCAGTTCCGAGTATTACGTTCATTAATCTGAACAGTTTACATGTGCTAGTGAGTGTGAAATTTTGGCTTATAGAAAGTGTCAACAGCAAAAACGAAATCTCATTAGGACTGTATTTGACGTTGAAATTGACACTTTGAGAATTACTTTTTAAAAAGTTGGCCAAGTTTTCGTTAACAAAACCATCACCCTGATTATCGAAGTCGACGTCTTCTTTCTCTTCATCTCCTGCCCCACAAAAATTTTCATTGAAATTGGGATCCTCAATTGTGCAGTCAACGCGCTAAAAATACAAATGACCAAATTAAACTCCGATTTTTATATATAAATCTATGAAACAGAAGACTAAATGAAAATTTAAATCTCTCGGAAAGAATTATGTGCAACTCACAGCTTCAGTCGTACATTGCTGAGTCAGTTCCGAGTTCGAAACCATTTGTCGTAAACCTAAACGCCAGGCCGTGGTTTTTGGAATTTTTGCATTGGAGTCCTCATTGTACAATTTATACCGGCCCCTTTTCGTCGGACGAGAGTTGCTATCATTGGTACTCATGACAGACGTAACCTTTCTAAAAAGAAATCTTTGAATTTAAAGTCTTCATTAAGAAATTAAAAAACTCACCAGCTGTATATTTGTTTAATTCACTTTGATTGCGAATTTCAATCAAAAAATATATAAATGTTGAAAAGGAAAACAAACTTTCTCTTTTCCCTCGCGTGGCTCTCGTTTCGATGATCGATGACTTAGCCCATCAGAGAGAAAATATCGGAAACGTTTCCGAAAAGTTAAAATAATTACATGAGTGTTAAAACCTGATTAAAACAGAGATTCCTTCAGGCTTGTTGGGACTTCGTGGCAAAAAGCTTTTTGCAATTTAGCTCCGCGCCCTCTAACAAGTCTGTCAAATTTGCTAATGCATTTGAGCACCATCTAGTGAGCGTTTAGCGAACTCGCAAGAACAGCCATGACAATCTTTTGTTGATGTTGCTTGTTATGGCTTGACTCCATTCATGTTGGAATACGCCGGTAAGAAAAAATTCTAAATTTTCTGCTTTAAATGAGGCAAATCTTCATTAATTCCACTTTTAAAAGATTAACAACAAAATAAGCCATTTATCAATGCATGATTTTGTCACTTCAGGCCCCTATTTTCAATCAAAATCAATCCCCAAAATGCACGTATGTTGTCACAACTCTATTGATGTGATTTTCAATTTTAACTTTAAATCCCCAGAATTTATAATTTTTCTACTGTTATTACGAATTTTATTTATTTTATACAAATATTCAGATAGACACTGGACTAAATAAATCACGCAGCCATGGAGAGCAGACCTAACCACACAATCTACATCAACAACTTGAATGAAAAAATTAAAAAAGAAGGTAAAAATCCTATTGCAATTTGGCAACTTAAATACATAATCTTCCTTCGATGATGAGAAACATCCTTGTACTGCAGGCTAATTACTTGGCTCAAAAATTTCTTACTTTAAAATAATTTACGGTTTGAAATTTTGAGCCATGTGAGAGCTTATGGAGCAACTTTGGCCCCCCTTGGCACACAGTCGAGGGGCTGAGATAAAAAAGACTACTTAAAATTAGCCAATTATATTCAAATCAAACTCTAATGGTTATCTTATTCAAATTTCAGAGTTGAAGAAGTCGCTTAATGCCATATTTTCGCAATTTGGGCCAATCCACGACATAATTGCTTTGAAGACGCTGAAAATGCGAGGCCAAGCGTTTGTAATCTTCAAAGAAGTGAGCAGCGCCACAAACGCTCTCCGTTCAATGCAGGGATTCCCCTTCTACGACAAACCAATGGTTTATTTTAAAAATGTTGAAACAATTTGACAATAAGACTTTTCTCGCCTAACAGAGAATTCAGTACTCGAAAACAGACTCGGACGTAATTGCCAAAATGAAAGGAAGCTTCGTCGAGCGGCCAAAGAAGCCCAGAAGAGAGACCGGGAGTGGCGAGCTCAGCAAAAAGGCCAAGAGAAAGGCGGCCAAGGAAAATCTGGCCAAACAGCAGCAAATGGCCGCGGCGGCGGCCAGCATGATGTCTCAGGGAATACCATTCAACCAACAAACCATGCAATTGTGTAAGTACAACTTTCGAAACAAAAGAAAACAAAATTAAATCACTCATTTCAGTGCACGCCGCTGCGGCTGTTGCGGAACAACCACCAAACCAGATTTTGTTCCTCACAAACTTGCCCGACGAGACCAACGAGATGATGCTCTCAATGCTGTTCAACCAGTAAGCTTTTGAATTTTAAAACAAAAGGTTGATCTTTATTATATTTGCTCCTTTCAGGTTCCCTGGATTCAAAGAAGTGCGTCTTGTTCCTGGCAGACACGACATTGCCTTCGTGGAGTTTGAGAACGAGATTCAGTCGTCGGCGGCCAAAGAGGCGCTCCAGGGCTTCAAAATCACCCCCTCAAATGCTATGAAAATTTCGTTTGCAAAGAAATAATAAGCTTAATCTCCTTGAATCTTTTTGTGCGAATGGTTGTGCGAATGAATTTCGTTGTAAAATCAAATTGTTGTTTCATTAAAAACATTATAGTATAGGAACCCGTAAGGAAATATCATCGTCTTATGTTTCACTGTTGATTATTATTGAAATTCTATAATAGTTTTAAAACTATTGGAATAATTTTACCCAAAAAAGATAAGAAAAAAAATCAATACTTACTAAAAGAAATGTATTCATATTGCACAAATTACAATAATGAAATTTATTTTTTTGGCATATTTAATCAAAAGATTCATTGATGACATTATGCTGCTTATAGAGTTACAGGTTTATAATTTCGAAATTTCTGTTAAATATCTTTAATTTTAATTATTTTCAATTTTACTAACTTATAGAGGAATTAAGTTCTCCTTGTAGAATTACTGAATGAATTAACAATATGGATTGAAGTAAGTTTAGATCGAGCACAATAATAGATTAAAATTTTGAAGCAAAAGCCTTGCCCCTGCTCACATCCATCGCATGATGAATTACGGAATAAACACAAAAGCATGTTGATTATTAAGGTGAAAATAATTCTAGCTTTCTGTTATTTGCAATTATGAAGAATTTCTTCTTTGGCAATTCGGCATTCTCATTAAAAATTTTGTTCACATAGTTTTTTTTTAATAAAATTACACATATTGCACAAACCTTTTAATTAACAGTTTTTGTTAGCGATTGTCTCGTTGCCAACCTGACAAAAAAAGCAAAGGTCACCCAAATTTGGTATGGGGGTTCCCTTAGGTATGTTAACTAACAGATTCAAAGGATTTTGGAAAATTCTCAAATTTGCCTAATTTACAGGGTTCGAAATTTTCAAATTTTGAATAAGTGCTGAAAAACAGTGATTTTGCTAAAAAAACATTACTGCACGTGAAGCTAAATACATGACAATTGATTTGGTAGTAGATATGATTTTTCCGAGTCAGGTCAGAAGGATCTCGGATGCATTTTGCGGAAAATTGCCCATTTTCAAAAGGTGTTCACGTTTTGGTCAATTTCTCAACTTCTATGGGAGCTAAAAACAAAACTTTAAGTGATTCTGAAAGCTGATTAAATTTCCTATCTTTCTGCTTTGAACATTAACTTTCCAACACAAGCTGCTTTTCCGGAAAATTGAAGTAAAAAAATAACTTATTTTTCACAGGAAGTATGCAACCCGCAACAGAAAGGCTAAATAGCCAATATGTAGCTTGGTTCTTTGGAGAGACACCCCTAAAATTTCAAAACTTTTCCTCCACCCGTTTTTCCGCAATCGCTGATTTTTCCGACCCCTTTTGATAAAACCAAAACTTTTCCGGAAAGGCATGTGCGGTACATCACTCGATTGGGTACATCAAGGAGATGCTAAAAATAAATTTTTATCAAAATCGGATCATTTTCCAATTTTCAGGGCAGTTTGAATTTTAAAATTTTTTTAATTAATGAACGGTAAAAATTAGAAATAATTATAATTTTGATAAACCTTTTCCTAGAAAATATATTGGATTTTCAAATATTTACAACACCTTAATTCTCTCTGTTAAGAAACTCAGAACGAAGATAAATTAAGCGAGTTAAGTTAATGATTATTATGTATTGTGAAAAAAATGGAGAGATGGTACTCCTGAGGAGTTGGCGCTCCTGGGGAGCTGGCGCTCCTGGGGAGTTGGCGCTCCTGAGGAGTTGGCGCTCCTGAGGAGCTGGCGCTCCTGGGGAGTTGGCGCTCCTGAGGAGCTGGCGCTCCTGGGGAGTTGGCGCTCCTGGGGAGCTGGCGCTCCTGGGGAGTTGGCGCTCCTGGGGAGTTGGCGCTCCTGGGGAGCTGGCGCTCCTGGGGAGTTGGCGCTCCTGGGGAGTTGGCGCTCCTGAGGAGTTGGCGCTCCTGGGGAGCTGGCGCTCCTGGGGAGCTGGCGCTCCTGGGGAGCTGGCGCTCCTGGGGAGTTGGCGCTCCTGAGGAGTTGGCGCTCCTGAGGAGTTGGCGCTCCTGAGGAGCTGGCGCTCCTGGGGAGTTGGCGCTCCTGGGGAGCTGGCGCTCCTGGGGAGTTGGCGCTCCTGGGGAGTTGGCGCTCCTGAGGAGTTGGCGCTCCTGGGGAGTTGGCGCTCCTGAGGAGTTGGCGCTCCTGGGGAGTTGGCGCTCCTGAGGAGTTGGCGCTCCTGGGGAGCTGGCGCTCCTGAGGAGCTGGCACTCCTGAGGAGTTAGCACTCCTGAGGAGTTAGCACTTAACAGGAGCTGGCAAGTTGTCATTTTTTTAGTTTTCCGGGAAAATAAAATATTAGTTCAGCCCTTAGAAAATTATAATTAACCAAGATAAAAGATGTAACTGCTGGGCTTTCAGAATCTATTCAGATTTTTAAAATTGGACCAACGGTTAACCCTTTGGCGTGCAAGTTCGCAAAGTAATTATTAGCCACCCTTTGAAAACGACACGTCAATTCGGGCGACGATTTGATTTAGACTCCAAATATAAAAACGACGACTGCTATTTGAAAAAGTCGTCGTTTTCAATTGGCGTCGTTCTTACAGAATCAGACCCCCAGATAAAATAAGAAATGATCAGATTTCCAAATTCAGCTTTTATTCCATTTTAATCATTATTGACCCCCATCTGTATTGGAGTATATACTAAAGTTTTCATTGTGCCAGTAAAAAACAAGGAGGTCAAAAACTTGTGAAGTTGAGCTTTCAGAATCCGCGGAGAAAATGAAAATTGGCCCATCCGTTTGCTTGTGGCGAGCTTATGAAATCTTCCAAGTATTTATTTGTTAGCTGATGATAAGAAAATTTCACAAATTAATTGTGTAAAATAATGAGAATATTAAAAATTATAATAATTTATTACTTTCTAGTTTATGTGACAAAATTTATTTAATTTGGTCATGGCATTGAATATTAAATATAAATTTTATATTCAAATACGAATGCTGACACGACGGACGCCACGCCAGTCACTTGTGCCGCTCAAATATAAAATTCCATAAAAATTTAGGGTTTACCCGGTTTTCCAATTGGCGATATGATGTGATCGGATCTCGGAAAATATATAAATGAAAAATTTTGCTAGACCACCGTGACCGTGCACTTCACAATCCACATACGCAATTCGGCAAATTTCAACTCCTGAACCGCGGGCAGATAATTGAGATAATAATTTAATTAAATTCGTGCTTGAACGACGAGAGCAAACTCATGTTTACGATTCTCGAGTCTCGGCCGCCGGCCCAGCTGCTTTCCTCTCTCCGCGCAGTGCTACCACCATACTAGGAACAAAATTCTGGGGATTTTAGGAAAAAATTCATCACGCGATAGTTGTGCCGGTGGCAACATTGTTTTTTGGTACCATCTGATGGTGTATGAAGTTAGCTACAAAATGTAAAGAAAAATAGCGCGGTTCATATAGTTAAATAAATTAGTTACATCAATATTTACTTCAAAAGACGCGAGTGAATTAATAATTTCTGCAGATTTTTAACGATTTCCTTGATCTGAACTATAGAAGACCGATATATTCTTACTCGATTTTTTATTTTAAGTCGATTAGAAACCAATTCTAAAGGATAAAATGTAAAGAAACAAAGTTATAAGCGAGAACAAAAAATCAATTTCCCTACGTTTGCTGCTGCATACCGACACCGGAGGGTTGGCAAAAAAATATTTAATTCCTGGATGTAATGTAATTAGAAGTGATTTTTAAGAAAAAAATTACTCAAAAAATATTCATAGTCCCCTGATAATCGCTAACAACACCAGATATTATGTATGTACTGGATTAGTATACATTTTTTCATTCTCATTAATTGAACCATGATTGAAATAATGATCATTTAATAAAAGTAAATGTTTCATTCTCTGGCAATTATTTTAAAACTCATAAATTTTCATTCATTTTCATCCTTCGAAACCGGCATCTCGTCATTGGCAAATAAAATTTAAAAAAATAATGTATATTCGAAATTTTATGTTTTGATGAATATCTGATATTATTCGAAATTTATCCACACAAATGTATTTTTGTAAGTCGACTTTCTCAAAAATAGAATTTATAGAAAGAAATTATTAATTTAATTTTACTTTGTACTTACATTGTTTTTGTTGATGATTGGTAAAAAAAATCGCGGAGAACACATAATATCCATAATATATAGCAGCCTTCAGTCTTGGTCTTCTCGTAGTCATCAAATAATTTTTTGCAAGGATGAGGAATCCAAGTTTCGAGCAGTCTCGCATTTTCAACCCTCCTCAACACTTTTTCTTGTCATCAGCATCACCGAGATTCCAATTATTATCCACGGGCACAATGGAATATAAAAGAAAAACACTAAACACGCGAACGTTGTTTTTACGAGAGTCCTTCACCCATTGATTTACCTAAATTATTAGGTCCGCCTTCACCACATGTGAATTGCAACTGGAGGCAGCGCCAGCGGCAAAGTGGAAAAATGAACAGAAAAGTGTGTGTCATGTCATAGTTCAGGTTTCAGGTATGTAATGCATATAGGCACGTGCGACGACGAAAACAAGGAATAATAATTTGTTCTTTTCTTTCTCTTTTATTCTCTCCCTCCACTCCTGCCACTCTTATGTTGTGTTAGATCAGGATCATCAAGTCAGGAGAAAAAAAACGGGAGGTGATCAGCGCCCACCACCACCGCACCACTCTGCACTAGTCTGCACAGACTTGTTCAAGGCTGCAGGGTGACGTAGTTAGCTCCACCCCCAAGCCCCAATCCCAAGCTGAGGCTAACGTTGGGAGATGCGACGAAGGCTGGCCAGTAGAAATTCTTCTTTGTTGTCTGTGTTGCGGCAACAATGAAAATAGGTAAGCTTGGCTATTTTTTATCTTCGTTCGCATTCCACCTGTTTTCTCATTTCACTTGTTGATCAACGCTGTTTCCATGTGCACCTCGCGTGGTTGCAATCAGTGGAAAAATTTGCGTAAAAATCAGGTTAATTCAGGTGGAATTTTACCGCGGAAGGTAAATTGTCAATCACCAAGCACCTCGGCACAAGGCGATCGCATGCGGAAGCTCGAAAAGGTTTTTCTTCGCGGCGAATTTGGATTCAAAAGATTCAGCAATACGCAACACCCCGACGGATTCCCTTCATTGCGGTGAGCCAGAGCTGTATACCTTTTTGTTGCTACCCGGTTGCTATGTTAAATTATAAAATCTCGAAGATCAGATACATATAATTATATTTTTAATAAAACCATTGTTAATTCTGTTTAAATACCATTTTTAAATTTTACGAAATTTTTATCAAAACTTTAAAATTAATTAAAATAGTTTTTTCTGACGTTTCCAAGTTCTTGCATCATACTCTCTTGATATGCCTAAGCATTGTCGATTTTCACGATTATGCTACTTACTTGTCAGTTTCTTAAACCACACTCATGAGTTACAGCATGCATATGTACTGATTATGTATTTTTTTTTATTTTTTTTTTTACATAATTTCTGAAAATTTTTAAACTTAAATATAGTAGAAAAATTTTTAAAAGTATTATGAAAATCAATAATTGTGTAAATTAAAGTTCAACTATTGTGTTGAAAAATTATTCTATGATATATATAGTGATATGTGGTAGCTTCAAATAAAAAATTAATACATGGGAGACCGAACAATAACCTTACTTAACTCACAACCCTCTATACAGGTTTGCCATGGATGACGACGTTGACTACCTGCATTTCGAAGATGACATGAACAGGTTTGTTAGTTTTTTTTTTTTTTTTTTAATTAATTTTATACAGAATTTTCGCAAATTTAAAAACAGGGATGATGCAATCAACAAGAACTTTGATCCGACAGTACCATCGAGGCTGCTTGACGAGTTTGAAGAATTTCAACTCATTGCCAGGGGTGGCTATGGGGTAGTTTACAAAGCAAGAAATATAACGGACCAGTGTGATTATGCCATCAAACTTATTTACCATGGGTGAGTATTTTTTTTTATTATTAATATTGCTTTGGTTTATTTATAAAAAAGTAAAAGTTTTAATAGATTTCTTTTTGTCTTCTTTTTAGATTGATTGAAGAAGCACTCAAAGAAGTTCGAGTGCATGCTCAACTAAATCACCTCAATATCGTCAACTACAAGACGTGCTGGGTAGAGCCATGTGACTTGATGCTCCGCAAACTCATTGACAGGTAATGTTGAATGGACCATTTTTTTTTCTACCACATGAGCAAAGATGCTGGCAGATCTGCGCATCCTAATGTTAATTTTGTTCATGAAAATGACTTTTATCTTAAATTTTCTTTCGTTTCTTTTTTATTTAATGTGAATTTAAATTTGTTTTTTAAGATGACAAAAGCGTAAGTATGCAAATGACAATCGGTTGAAAAAGAGATCACTGTGGTTGAAATGTGTTTTCTCCCACTTGATCTGGCAGCATTCTTCTATTTGAAAGAGCAAAAAAATCATTAGCAAAAATTCCTCTAGGAATCAACCTTTTAAATCGCGAGACGACTTCAAATTTTTAAACCAACAACTTCTTGGATTCTTTCGTTGGCGAACTGACGAGCAGGCACTTTGCGTGATGTCTGCATCAGGGTACGGTGACTTGGAGGCCGGATTCGTAAAAGAGGTTTGCCGAATGCGAACACAAAGACACATTGTGCACACTCAATGCAGAAGCAGATTTTGATAACTGCTGGTTAAATGAACAAGCATTGACACACACACATGCGTACACATTGAAAATACAACATACTTGTTTTAGGGGCAGACACCTGTTAAATGTTTTGCATGCTTTTTTTACCTTTTGGCTAATGCTAACTCCCAATCCATGTCCTAATTTGGTGCACTGTGGTGGTCGATGATTATGCCTGGAAAATCTTCTCTATTTGCCTCTAATATCAAATGCTAATTGTAGCTCCAGCCAAAGCCGTGTTAGCTGCAGCTCAGGAGAAATTGTATCGAGCTCGGTCCCTTCCGTGTCGGAACATTCATCCTATTATTATCAAATGGCTGCTGAAAGGAGTGATAGCTGCGTCTTATTTGAGGATAGCAAAACTCTGGTTCCGGAAAGATATGGAAGAGTAATTTTTTTTCTCAAAAATTATAAATAGCACTCAACTTAATGTTTTTTTTTTTTAGTGGCAAAATCCGAAGAAAAATACGCTTGTCATCCAAATGGAGTTTTGTGGGAAAACAATGAGGGAGTGGCTGGACATCCCACGTCCGTCCGACATAAGTCGGAAATTATGGTTCACCTACAGACGGCTGAGAGTGCTTTTGATGTTTTGGGAAATAATGAATGGCATTGAACACATTCACTTAAAAGGGATTGTTCATCATGACATTAAGGTGATATTTTTTTTTTTAAATCTTAACAATTACAATATTTTTTTTCTTGCAGCCTGGAAACATTTTTGTGGTTGATGGTTCGGTCATTAAAATTGGAGATTTTGGCCTGTCTTGTCAGACAAAAAGCGGAATTGACGTAATTCATCATGACTTTGGCACCGAGTCGTATGCAGCTCCTGAACAATTCAACGGTGGCCTTTGCTCAACGAAGGTACTTTTTCATTCTATCCATTAATCAAAGCATTGGCAACTTCATTCTTGTTTAGTGTGATATATACAGTGCTGGACTTATTCTGCTGGAAATGTTTTTCTCTCCATTTGACACTGTCTCCGAGCGGCATGACGTTTTAAAGAATTTAAAACAGCATGGAAAGATTCCTGATTTGATCTCAACTGACCTTGTAAGCTATTCAGATTTATTTTAATTCAACCAAAAATTAATAAAGCCTTTGTGTATTCAGTTAAAAATAAGTTTTCTTTTCCATTCCAGTGCCAACTCATCAGGGTAATGACAAACACTCAACCAGCCAGTCGACCTACTGCGTCTGAAGTGAAGGATTCACTTGTATCTCTTATGATTCCCATTGCAGAGGAAATGTACTCAGAACTGATGAAAGCGCTAACCACGTCAATTGTTCGCAAGCTGTACCTTCGTGACAAGGGGTTGCAAGTTGCTCCTGCCTCTGCCTCTGCTGCTTTCATGCTTGACATTTTGGACGACTTATCGGCGATTGGCTTTATTCAGCCAAGTCAATATGAAGATGTGCAGAGGAACCTCGACAGCAATGCAAACAACCAACTGAGAAATGAGTCGGAATTAATGAGGCAAAAAGAACTCAAAGTGAAGGTGATTATTATTTTTAATGAATGAAATTTCTCAGGATCTAAAATGCTCTTTTTTAGGTAATGCTGCAAAATAAGCTGCGATTTTCACGAGTTGCTGGTACTTAATAAGGAATTTCTTTGCTTGAGCAATCTTTACTTTTGTATAATAGTATTCTTTCTCTGCAATATTTATGCTACGATATGTCCAAATTTTTAATGGTCGAACAAATCACGTTAAATTTTCTATCACAAACTTAATGTAATGTTTAGAAAAATTTGTCTTGTGGCAAAATTTTTTCCAAAGTATAGTGCTCTTGTGGAGCTGAGGTGAGCCGCTGAATTAATGGTTGTCAGTGTACTTTTTGTTATTTTATTTCTCGAATTACGAACTTCCAAATGTGAGCAAAATCTTTTTGATTAATGAGATTAATGAAATTTCTTTGAAAAATAATATTTCTATGGTATAAAATAAATAATGTTTTAAACTAAATAAAAATTTTCCTTAAAAATTATTTGGGTAATTTCTTTTTGCAACATTTTTTATTGAATAATTTTTAGAAACAATTGATTATAATTATACAAATTAGAGTAAGGACGTTACACTCTGGAGAGTTAATATTTTTTTAATAAGTTAGCTGACAATTTAATCTGCAATTCAATGAACAAACTGCAAATCTATTGTGATACAAATAATTGTACATTTGAAATTAAGATAACCGACAAAAAAAAGTTTCCCACGTTTTAAAATAGTAGATAATTATTTACTTTAAGTTAAACTTTTAGCTCTTTTCAAAGATTTTGAATGATATTACAGGGCAAGTCCGTAGACAGACACAATCACGAACATAGATTTGTTTTCCCAGCGTACAGTGCAGCTGCCATCAGTGCTGTTGTCCCAAAAGCAAGAGCTGGCTGTGTGAAGTCCAGCTCCATTTTTCTGCATGACCGTACATGTAACTGTAAATAAGGCAATAGTTAAATCGGACTGGAAAAAATAAGATTTTACTTTTAAAACTTCGGGTGCTACTTACCAATATACTTGAAAGGCTTCTGACTCTTGCAGAGCGTTCCTAGACAAGTCTCAACTACAGAGTTTGACCAGGTGTTGACCTTTGTTTGGTCATAATTGTTGCCTCCAATAACCTTTTCCACTGCTTCTTTTATTATAGGGCTGACCTCATCGGCATCGAACATGCTCTATGAAAATTAATTTTATTAAGTTTAAGAAAATCAAAACAAATTTTTTAGCAATCAATATGTAATGAGAGATTACTATATTTTTGTTTAAAACACACTCACTTCTTCGTTTGTCTCTTCTGTAGCCATGGCTTCGCCTCCTGGTTTAATATTCATTAAATTTGAATTTTCCAAGCCCTCTTGAATTCTTCTTATAATTTCTTTATGTGTCGATATGTATGATACTCTGAAAATTATGAGAAACACCTATGTATTTTATATGTTTAAATTGGCAACAACTAATTCTGTCGTGGAAGCTTTAAAAAACTGGCAATGAAAACAATTTTTAAGAAAATGTGTTTCTACGCCCACGACATCAAAAAAAACTATGTAGTTCACACAGAAAATGCTGGCATATTAGCCAAGTAACAAATTTTTTAATTCCAGAATCCCTGACAAGATTTAGTAGAAAATATAATTACCCGCTTTTTTAGTTCAATAAATAAGGGCTAAGGGTTAAAATTACAGGAAAGATTTTGTTAGAAAACCACTGCTTGACAACCAGCAACCATAGCCTTCGCCGAACGGACACAATCAACCACGCCCCTCTCTTGCTGCAGGTCAACAGCGCGATTTTCCCCACCCTGCAATGCTAGAAAAAATCCAAATAATGTATTATTTTTTATATTGTTTTATTAATTTATAAATTATGAACATTGTGAACTGTTTTATGGTTTTCAAAATAAATTTTAGTAATACCTTTAGACTTTTTTCAACAATAATAAAGTTAATAATATTATATTTTTCTAACATTGATAAACCAAGTTAGAATTTTATTATTAAATTTAATGCTCTACTTTTATTTGACTTTTTCTGTTTACATACTTCCATATTGATTTATTCCTTTAACACTTTTGATACATTATTTATCTTCTTCTTAATGTTTATAAGTTTTTTGACATTTTGCTTCTTTGGAATTTGAATATTCTATTAATAATGTATTTTTACAAAAAATTAATCAGTCGCATGTTCTCTAGTGCTAAGTTTTTTGAAGCAAAATGACAAGCCATAAAGCCAAAGAGGAAGAGACATTATAAGAGACGAAATAACGACGAGAGGAATTTGAGGCCTTCTTTGGGGTAAACACAACAGCTCATGACTCCACAGACTCCGTGTTCCATTCATCTAAAATAAAATTGAGTTCCCGTTAAAATGTTGATCAAGTAAATTATAATTTAATTACCAGATCTAATATGTCCATGCAGACATTTCCATTTTCGGAATCTTCTGCCTGCATTTTTATGTTGTTGTAGTACAAATTCAGGTTATGATAAGGCTTTTGACAAGTATCACAGACACTAACAGTGTCATTTAAGTGTTCGTCAATACACTCCTTAACTAGCAACTGGAGTCTATTAAATTCCAGGGTAGAGTTTCTTAAATTATTGGTCAATGTGCCATTTGCAGAAAACTCAAAACAGCCTAGAAGCGAAAAAAAATGTTAATTAATCATAGAGAATAATAGTTTGATGTATTTGTAAAAAAATTATTACTATCACACTCGCTTCTGCCCCACAGTTTAGCTAGGGATTTGAAGGTTTCCTCTAAAATCTCAACTCTGTCTTGGTTCAGTAGTTTGTCTTTGCATGATTCTCCAGTCTCGTTGTCATGCATCTGAAGTAAGATAATTTAAGAAAAAATGTCCTTCCAAGCATACAATATAATTCATAGTTTCAAAAACTACAAAAAATACATAAACAAACCTCATAAATTTCTAAATATGCTGAAAGTACGTCTATGTAGCCTCCGATACAGGATTCACAAAAAGTAAAGGGTCTTGCATTGAGTATTGCGCAGTACATGTATGTTGCACTTTTATCTGCATAGTCTTCAATCAGCTTTTCACAGTTCCCATTCTGTGGGTCCAAAAGCTGTGGATTACTGTAAATTTAGAAAATGTCTCATTTTAATTACATACAATTATTGTTAATTGATTATTTATCCAGTCTTACCCAGAACAATAGTTCAAACTGAAAATCAGCAAAACAGTTGCGAAAATGGGCACTTGAGAACAACTCATTTTATTTTTAAATCTTCACAATTAGCGACAATATTAAACTAAAAGCGCCTGAGTAAAAATTCACACCATGGGATTCTTCACATTTTCCTTCTATGAAATTTGCGGACAAGAAGTTTAGGGTGTTCACAACTCAAACTTTACAGACAGAGAACAAAAATTATCTGCGGCTGATGAGGTCAACGATGTGGTGGTTGATGTGGTGTTTGTTTACATGTGATTTTGGTGGGTTGGGTCCGTTGGGTACATAGTAAAAGAGGATATATGAGGAGCAATCACTAGTTTCATCGATTGTATATATCTTTTTCATTTCAAAAATTACATAATAAACTTTATAAAAGACTTAATTTATGTGCAAATGAGTGCAATGAAAAATAATTTTTTCTGTTTTTAGTTCAAAAATTTAGTCTTGTTCTTAACTCCTAATTGCACGCCACACTTTTGAAAACCACGTGACACTTTTCGGAAGGGCGTGAGGTTGGCGTGAGGCTTGTTTATGTATTTTCCTCTCACTTTCACGTTTTGCTCTGTTGACTACTTTCTTGGAATTTTGCAAGGTCAGAATAATAAATGGTTAGGAGTTCAAACAGACTGGTTTGAGCCGCGAGCTGAATTACTCGAATTTCTTCTTGTTTTGGCATGATATCTTCGTATTATCCAGTATTATCATGAATTGTAGCGCGCTTAAAGTCGCACTGAACAATGGAGTTGAAATGCCGATGATCGGATGTACGTAAAACAGTGTTTTTGATAAATATTTCCTCATAATATTTTTTCCTTCCTCGTAATTAAAAAATAATTTTTACTATCCGCAAACTGAATTTTGATTAACCGTGCTTAAATTTGTTATTTTTAGTTGGTACCTTCACCATCAAAGGGCAGTCAATAATTACAAAAGTTTTGGACGCAGCGTTGGCTTGTGGATATCGCTTCATTGGTAAGTTCCACAGAGAGAAATATCGCAGAACCGTTGTTGCATTATTTAAGAAAATTACAATGCATAAATTTTGACTACAGCTGACTAAATTACATAAACTTATAATAAAACAATGATATTTTAACACAAAACGTTTAAAACACAGACATTTTAAATTTTTTTATGAATATTATTAATGTAAATTTCAAATTTGTGCAATGGGTCAGCACAAATTTTCCTTGTCATTTAATGCATGATATTATGTTTATATGATCAAAATTATATTTAATTTTAAACCATAACTCGCAGCATTTCTTTAATCAAATATATTTTTGTCATTCCAGATACCGCAGCCGTTTACAGGAACGAGGAAGAAATTGCCATAGCACTGAAAGAGTTGCTACCGAAATATGGATTACTGAGATCCGACCTGTTTCTAACTTCGAAACTTGGTTAAATTTCTAAAATCGCACATTCATGCAGTATTTTTCTAATTTCTTAAATTTACAGCTCCTGCTGACCACGGCAAAGATAGAGTTCGACAGGCGGTACTAGATTCACTCTCCAGATTAAACACGCCGTACCTTGACTTGTACTTGGTGCATTGGCCTGGAGCTGGACGACTGCCGTCCCAAAGTCCAGCCAACAGAAATATTCGAATCGACACTTGGCGTGAATTGGAAAAGCTGCAAAACGAGGGCAAACTGCGCAGCATTGGAGTTTCCAATTATTTAGAGAGCCACTTGAAAGAGTTGCTTTCTGCTACAACTGTGAAACCTGCTGTCAACCAGGTAAATTGACAATTCATTGTAATCTTCTGGTGATTTCATGAAATCTCACAAATTACCTCTGCACAGGTTGAACTTCACCCGCACTTCCCTCAAAAAGACCTTGTGAAATTTTGCAATCAGGAGGGAATACTTGTGCAAGCATACAGTTCCCTCGGTGGCCACTCCTCCCACATTTTACTTGCCGATCCTCAAGTTAAGCAAGTGGCAAAGGTTGAGGGCAAAAGTGTTTCCCAAGTCTTGCTTAAGTGGGCAGTACAACAAGGAATTGGTAATTTTGTACATTTTTTGAAACAGTTTTTTTTATTAGTAATTTTTTATATTTAACAGGTGTGATACCCAAATCGATTCATCCTGAAAGAATCAAGGAAAACTTTTGCCTTGACTTCACACTTTCAAGCGAGTCTATGAGAGCTTTGAGCTCGCTGAAGATCGACCAGAAGTACGCGTGGGACCCTCGATCTGTGGTTTAACATGTCGCAAGGTAGGAAAAAAATTATTCCATCTATAATTTGTAACGCTGTCGGTTTAGAATTAGCTGATAAAATTGCGAATGCAAGTATTAAGCATTACTTAGCACTTCCGGGTAAATCTGGGCGGCCTGCAAAACCTGGAGAGTGGACTTTAATGTCGGCGTTTGTTTTGGAAAAGACGGACGGTAGTGTTAAAGTTGTATCTCTGGGCACAGGCTCGAAGTGCCTTGGCAAAAACGAGCTCAGTAAAGATGGCGGACTGGTCTCGGATAGTCATGCTGAAGTTCTGGCCAGAAGAACTTTCCTGTTATATTTGTATGGCCAACTGAGTCTCTTGGGCGACGGTCAGGAGTCGGAGGTTTTTGAAAAATCAGAGACAGGCAAAGCTCACTTGAAGCCAGCCATCAGGTTCCACCTCTTCACCAGCCACACTCCTTGTGGGGACGCATCCATAATTCCAAAAGACGGTGGTGAATTTTTTAAGTAATCAGATTAAGATATATTTACGGCTTGCTAATGTAGATCCAACTGAGCCTCCGAACAAAAAGGTGAAACTTTTAAGTCTGCCTGATGTTCATCGGACGGGAGCAAAGTGCGTTCCAGGTGGGCCGCAAGACCCTCTGCTACCTGGGCAAGACTATCACACTGTGCTTGCAATACGAACAAAGCCTGGAAGGGGGGATCCAACCATTTCCCTGAGCTGCAGTGACAAAATATCCAAGTGGTGTGCAATTGGTGTGCAGGGTGCATTGCTGTCGATGCTGGTAGAACAGCCCATTTACTTGACCTCAATCATCTTACCATCCAACTGCCCCTACTCAGAGGAATCCATGGTACGGGCCATTGTATCGAGACTCCCAAAGCCGTGCTCGCCGCCGCAGTTCTTTAGAAGCACTTTAGAATTTATCCACTGCAAGGTCCCTGGAAAGCCGTGCCCCGTGAGTTTGCTATGGAGTGACACAAAGCACCTTTTTGGCGATCAGTGTTTTCAAGTGGCGGTGGATGGAAGAAAGCATGGGCTTTCTAAAGCCAAAGCGACGACGACGGCTGGCCGGTTAAAAGTGTGCAAAGCTGAATTGCATTTGACTTTTGAAAAGGTCTCCTCTAAGCTTGGCTTGAATTTCAGCAAGTGCACTTATAGACAATTAAAAGACAAAGCTGATATTTACCAGAATCGCTGGGAAATCATCAAGTCAAACTCCTTTCCCGAATGGCCTAAGAAAGAGGCAGGCTTTGAAGAATTTCCAATATGATTTTTTTCCTTAATTAGATGTGCATAACAGCTTTGAATTGATTACTTAATTTAAAATTGGTACAGTTTTAAAACACCACTTGAATTATATTCAGCATGTACTTTACTCATTTATTTTTTTTAATATTGTGCATTACAAGAACTTTTGAGGGAAAGTGACCTTAAGGAAATTATAAGTCATGCTGAAAATAAAGCAATGAAAGAATAGGCAAGTTTCAGTGCAAATTTCAAAGAGCGTCTTATTCATTCTGGTGGAGTAACGATGATTTTTCTTAACAACTAACGACATAATTAACTGTAGCACAAATCAGTTGCAAAAAGCGCGTCTCTACTTGATGAATGTCATTTTTTTAGTCTGGGCACATTTGTTTGAAAATCTGTTCCATCATTGCAGAAATTAATGTGCGGCATTTACATTTTCACAAAATTTGCTTTCTCATTAGATACATTTAAAAGCACAATGGCACTATTTAAACATAATGTGCAAATTTGTCAGAAAATGTGCATTACGTCTTCGGTAATTAAAAACATTGATAAACAAGGTCCCATTATTTTAAACAATTATAAAATATATATATCCAGAAATCCACTTAGTTAGAGTTTCATTGTGTCTGTAATTTTGAAAAATCTGGCGTTATAAAATATACATCAATATAATTATATGTTTTAGTATAAAGCGAATTTGTACGAATAGCTACTACGATTCAAATAAAATTATGTCAAGTCTTGGACTAACATTTAGTTAAACAATAAATCCCCTCCGCGAGCTGTCCATATATATGTGAATGAGAGAAACTCGATCAATAGCTTCGACATTCTTCAAAGACTTCGTCAAGTTTCATCAAGCACTGTGTAAAAGCCGAACATTGTGTATATTTGAATCATCATAATCAGCAGAGTGCTATTTTTTTAGGCGCCTCAGTGGCTGGCCTGGAGGCTCTGGTCAAATGGCTTCCTCGTCGAGAAAATCTTCCTCTTTATTAACACTTGCCGAGCATAAAAAGAACTCCATGAGGTTCAGTAACGGGCCGCGCGAGAACGGGTTGTGGTAACGTCCCCTTTTATCTCGCAAGTACGGATAGCGCTTGTAGTTAAACATCTCGTTAGTTGTTAGGTTCATTGCAGCGTGAAGCACCTGTGCAATGTTACGTGACAAGAGATTATTTATTTGCTAGAGAAGCAATGAGAGATTTTTTTGATTTTGTGAAGAAAATTTAAATAAAAATGAAAAACCAAAACTAACGGTGCCAACAACTAATTCGTACCGAGGTGCAAGTCAGAATCCAGCCCAGTCCGGAGAACAGAAGCGCTTCGATGAGTCCCAAAATGTACATCATCTCCCAACCCTCGAGCGCAATGCAGTAGCATGCAAAGTAAATTGTGTACGAACAATTTATTGCGATGCTCACAACAAACATGAAGAACCACATTCTGGAAAGAAATTAATGTTTTGTATTTCAAATTTATCAGTCAACGTATGTGTCGGTTTCCCTACGCACCTGTTTCGAAGGCCGACACAATTGTAGATGAAAGGACAGTGATGGTCAAAGTATTGCACGCATCTGTTGCAAATTCGGCAGTGCTTGGCCCTGAGCGGTCGCAAGCACCTGCAAGTGTGGCACAGCCGGGATAAAACTATATTGCGCTGCTTCCATTTGTCGTAATACGGAATCTGGAAAAAAATTGAAAATATATTGATTTTTTGCAGTTAAAATTTAAAAAAAAAGAGAGACCTGTCTAATGGCTCTGTGGTAACTGTCCGTATTCAGGGGAACGCATCCGGGGTCCCTTCGGTTTGCCACGATCCAACTTATCCACATAACTAGATTCCAGTAGATGAAGCAGTAGTGCGAGCCTCGCAGAACATTCCAAGTTATTGGGATGCACTGGTAAATTTCATCGCCATATTTTGGCTCAAATTCAGCTATTTAAAAATCTCACCCTCAGAAGGTACATTGGGTATCCCCACAGCAACACCGAGCCTACAAAAAGCAGGAGAGGACCCTTTGAGTCGCCTGCGCCTCCAAAGAGTAAACCCCTAAAAAAAATTCAAAAATCGACCATAATTATTAATAAGATAATTATTTTACCATATTTCATGGAGAGGGGGTACACATCTAGCCCTGCGTTTATATTCCGATTGCAAAACCTGCACCACATCGTGGTGCCTGTGACTTTTGGCCAGCATTAAAGGCGTTTTTCCATTTTTATCCCTTGGATCGAGTTCAATTTTGCTCTATTTTTCATAGTTTAATCAAATTTATCCAATGCATTATAATAAAAGAAACCTTTTCGCACAACATTTTTACGCAATTCACATTTCCAGAAAGGCAAGCCAGGTGAAGAGGGGTTGAACCAAAGTTATCGGGTTTTTGTAGGTCCACGCCAGAGTACATGAGGAGGCGGATAAGCTCAGGATGGCCTAAATCATTTCAATATTAAGATCCCTCATTATATTTTTGTAATTAAAAGCAACCTTTGTATGCCGCCCAGTGCAGCGCAGTATCACCATTGATGTCGGTCAGGTGGTTCAGCGCCTGCATGCCGAGGAGATAGGCAGCCGTTGCTGCCTTGCCAAACATGCACGCGGTCATTAAGGGCGTCAACCCTTTAAAGTCGGCCGCGTTCACTGCTACTCCAGCCTAGTCAAAAATTTCACAATTATTTTTTAATTTTTGTTAAATTTTTATTTCGTTAAAACCTGTAGAATGACTTGCACAACAGCAACGTGTCCTTTGCGGCAGGCCCAATGAATCGGACGAGGGCCCTGAGTTCCCAGACATGGCAGGTCGACGGGCGCCGATCGTTCGACAAGGTAGCGCATGACGTTGACGTTGCCGTCGAGGGCCGCCCAGTGTGCGGGTGTGTAGCCCCACTGGTCCCTCGAGCTGAGAATCTCCGAACCCACATTCTCGACCAAAGCCTCGATATCTCGAAGCTCACTGAAATTGTACGCAATCTTTTAATTGCATCCACACGGTTGCTGCTTTTTGCGAAGGAAAGGTTGCGTGACAACAGAAATTAACAAAAGCGCTCAATATTCATAAACGTGACAACTGAAGTGTGCTGGATTTTAAATTCCAATTTTAATAGGAAGATTTTATTTAAATTTTCAGAAATATACAAATTCCCAAAGCTGATTATAGTTGTGAAAAATCAATCAATATAAATTATGTGCAGAATTTTTTCAATTTTGAAACGAATCAAACGTTTCGTAGGAAATTTTTTGAATTACCCTGTGCGGACAAGGTCGAAGATAGACTTGCAGTTCTCCCTGTCCATGTGAACGTAATTGCAGCAGAGCGCGTCTTTGTCGTCCCTGCTGGCGGCGGCCGAGTGTTGCTCCATGTTGCAGGAGTGGCCTTGCAGCCCCCAAACGCTGCGGGCCGCCCCAGGGCTGGGGTACACTTTGCACAGCATGCCCCCCGTTGATGAGGTGCCCGCTTGGGGCACCTCTAAGGAGCTACCACCTCCCAATATGAGCTCAATAATGCCGCCCTGGTGAATTCAGTTGGCTGGTGAAAATTTTGCACTCAACCAAGTCATATGCAGGGCCAATTCAGCTGCTATCGATCAATTTGCGCCACCACCACACAAGCCAAGGGCATGCGCTGCCGCCGCAGTTTCAACCCCCGCACTTGCGTGTTGAATGATAAAAAGGCGCGTTTTCTATGGAAATAACAACATGCGCATTTTATTTTATGCTAATATTAAATAATTTTTTTGCTTTTGTTTTTAATAAATTTAATTGAAATTAAATTCCAGCTTCGCTAAATTATTAAATAAATCTTTATTTCAATTACAGAAATGTGTGTTCATGGCAGAAATGAGCATGCATTACGAAGGATGGCTGCGAAACATGGGGGTGAGTACAGCTTAAAATTATTTACATCAATCCACACTATCAACGTTCGTCTTTTCTAAGAGCGGCGCCTCTTCGCTCGTGGGCCGAATCCTAAAAATTTATCATTAGTCACGTTTTAAAATTTTACTTTGAAAATAGTTACTTGTCGCTTTCCTTCACTGGCAAGTATGATTGAGCTTCAATCATTGTTTCAACAAGAGACCTAAACGTGCCGAATGTTGGTCTTGAAAGAGGAAATTCTGACCAGCACTGCAGCATCACTTTATATCTTTAAAAAGGGAAATAATAAAATTTACCGAAAATTACAAATAATCCGACTTACAACTCTGGTGGACACGCGTCCGGTTTGGCTAGGCGATGGCCGTGCCTCAAGGCGTCCAAAATTTGTGATGCGCCGAGCCCTGCGTACGGCTCTTTGCCCATCGTCCATATTTCCCAAAGCAAAACACCAAATGACCAACTGAAAAGAAGCGTGAAATTTTATAATTATAAAAGTATTCAATTCATTTGAAGAAATTGGCATTCGATGAGGTGATCATGAAAGTAAATAAAATGGACTTGTCCTTATCGAAAAAAAATTTATAATACAAAAATAAATGGCTCTACCAGGTTTGGTCACGGTCTGTGAGAAATAAATTCATGAGAAATAAAAATAATATAAATAAATATTAGAAGATACAAAATGAAAAAAAATCAGCTAATTTGGAAAACCGTATTTTAACATAAATTAAAAAATCTTATAAAACTTTCAAAATTTATGTACCAACCTATTATTTTAATTTTGAGATTTACAAATTTTCATTGAAACTTTGATTATTTTTATTTTTTCTTGCTCGTGAAATAGGGTTGCAGACTATTTTTTTTTTTCACTTTCAAAAATATTCAAGTTGGTATTTTTGCAACTCACACATCAGAGGCACTTGTGTACATGCTTCTTTCAATGGCCTCAAGAGCCATCCACCGCAGAGGCAGACTTGCAGGCCCGTGGTGTTTGAAGTAAATGCTGCCCTCGTACACATCCCTGCTCAGACCAAAGTCGGCGATTTTCATCTGCAGGTCCGCAGTGACCAGAACATTTCGCGCCGCCAGGTCTCGGTGCACAATTCTAATGCTTGATAAGTATTCCTAGAGACTTTTTTGTAAAAAGGATTTAAAAAAATTAATAATGAACTGACCATGCCAAGAGCTATTTGTCTGGCGAAAGACATCAAATCCGTGAGAGTCAGAGGCGACTTGCCCTCTGTTTGGTCCCCTGAAAATACACTCATTCAGCACAAATAATTCATTTTCTTTTTAATTCTCACATTTGCCGTATCCAAGGTTGCAGACTGCGTTCAAATTGTTGGACTGTTGCTGGTCATTTACATAGGCGCGCTCCTCGACAGACAGGAAGTGTCCGCGCAGTAAATTCAAAAGGTCGCCGCGCTCGCAAAATTCAACGGCCATGAAGAAGCCTTCTTCGTTGGGCAGGAGTCCTTCGCCCAGTAGGCTGATCACATGCGGATGCTGGCCCACTTCTTTCATCAGGGCGCTCTCTTGGGCAAACTGAGTTTTGGAAGCTTCGTCGCCGAAACCTGAGTCAAAATAAAAAATTGTTATTATTTCTTTGGGCAAAGATGGAAATGGTACTTTTGAGAGTCTTGACTGCCACTACTGCCCATTTCTTCTGTTCTGGCTGCCACATTTCCGCTTTGTAAACAACTCCGAAGTGGCCCTCGCCTAGTTTGTGGCCAAGTTGGAGAACGCCTGATGTCACATTCCGGTTATCCTTCTTTTCGCGTGGACTGTTGACTTTTTTGGAATTGTTGAGATAAATGTCGAGCTTCTTCTCCCGTTGCTGCATTTTGAAATCAATGGATAAATATTAATTTTCGTTGTAAATATTCACGCATGAATAAATTACCCTCTTTTTTATCGTGGCTCGTTTCTTGTGTGACACAAATGCAACGACAAAGATGCAAACCGCCACGACTACGACTCCGGCTCCAGCCGACACAACTGGGACTGTTTGGGGAATGTTGCTATTTACCACAACTTGCTTAGGCTGCACGTTAGGCCACGTGTCTGATATGGGGCAGTGGTTATCACTCTGTTTAAAAGTAAATTTATTAATAGCCAATTTAAAATTATTTTATTTTACCCAAAAATATTTTCTGCGTGTTAAAAACGTTCTCTTCAGTATTTCCGGCGCGCTCACGCCAAGGCTGCTCTCTGACGAAATTTTTACTAAGTAACCAGAATGTATACTTTTCATAGGCACTTGTGTGGACCATGAATATGTATCATTAGTATTTTTAGTGGCCTGAAAGAAAAAAATTTAATTTATAGTAAATATTAAGTTAATTTAATAAAAACTATTATTTTTTGATAATGTTTCATTAAAATATTCATTAAGTTTTTAATTGAATATTGTTATAAATTTATTTAAAAATAATCTATTTATTTTCTTTTTAGCATTTAGATTTACCTCAATTGTGTCTTCAGTTATTAATTCTTCCTTCTTGGACTTAATTTGAAGTCGGAAAGCCACCACTGGTGAAGCCCTTTGTGATACTTCTGGAGCTTTCCATGTCACGTCCAATTTGATTGTGTTCTCATTTGTTCCTACACTCTCTACACTGCAAACACTCTTTGGTAGCTCCGTCTCTGTTAAATCATGACAATTTTAATATAAAATAAACTCCAAATTTTACTCCTAGACTTACTGCAGTGCTTCTTCTCGTTTTCTAAAATTGTTCCTTGTTCATCGGTTAGATTTACAGGACATTGCGGCACGTCAAAAGTTGCGCCGATTGCTTTGCCCGTATTTAATGCAAAAGTAAAGAATGGTCGAACGAGGAAGGTAGCCTTTTCGCCGAGTTCCACTTGCCATTTGGCGTACCAATTTTTGCCAGGCTGTAAATTTATATGTATATGAAAAAAAATTCAATTTTCAATGCAGTTCAGTTTTTACTTCGCACGTCTCTAAGTCGTGTTTGCCTTCTTTGAGAACGGAATAGCAGCAAGCTGCATCTGGAAAAATGAAATATTCATTTCAACTTTTATTTCCTCCGTCGCAAGAGTGAAATGCTTTGAATATATTCAACAAGCAAGACGCAAATTTGCGTGGGAGCGGGTTATTGTGATTTCAAATTCTAAAAAGTGTTCTGGAAAATGCTTTGCATTTCAAAGGTGTGTTTTAGAAATCTGGCGATAGAACAACAACACTACGTTTCTAAATAATGCCCTTATATGTTAGGCAGATTAGCAAGGTTACGTTGCAACGCAATTAAAAGGTTGCACAATTGAAAAAAAAGAAGAGCTTGAAGCAATCTTTTTACATGCATGAGTGCAGGTCACGCAAAACACACGAACAATTTGGATCTTTAAACATTTGAAAATTTGCAGTTGATTTTAAAAAGTCTAGAAACGGCTCCGTTAACACAGAAACGTGATGTTGGGTCATCGAGCTCATTGAGTTGATAATTGTATGCGTGCGCCTTGGGTATTTGTGCATTATCCTACAACATCAATAATTTACTCACCGACTGCTGGCACCCAAGAGACATTTGCGTAGAGAGCTCCATCAGTTCCAGATACATAATTTGAAACATGCACTCCTCTGACCTCGAGTGGTTTGAGGTTATTCTGCAAGGTTTCAAACGTGCCGTTGAACTCTTGGCCGTCCTCGGAAATTAGTTTGACCTCGTATTTAGACGAAAAGTTCAGTTTCTCAATGCGAACCCAACTTCCGTTGATCTATTCAAAGTTTATTTATTTGTTAATTAACACTTCAATTTCTTAATTTCCGTTGGAATAATTTTTTGCTTCATCAAATGTTCGCAAATTTTCAAAGGGCGATTAATTAATAATAAAAAAAATCAGGGGACGAGTAAAACTTAAAAATGTTTTTCGATTTATAATTTATGTAGCAGTTTTATACTTTAATCGAAAATCCTCAATCATGAAACTGTTTTGGTTTGATGCAGAAAAAAATACTCACTTTTTGTTCCTCGACTTGGGTCCAGTTGTTAAGAAATTGTTGCTTGAAATAAGCTGTTTTGAGAGGCTTTTGTGATGATAATGCGAGCACCAACACGGCACCGTCCTTCTGTGAGTCGTGACACAAAAGCTTGGCCTTCTGACCCGTGGCTGCAACCGAGGTCACAAATTAGCATTTCTTTTGCTTATCTTTTGCAAGCAAATTACCTGAGGTGGTTGGAATGGAAATAGAATCGTTTTTTGAACAGTCGCACTTTTCTCGACAAGTTGAGGAACTCTGAATTCATAAAAGAGGTTAGGCGTGTCCGGGCAGGACGTGGATTTTGTCAACTTACACATAACTGAGAGCATTTAGCCGCTTTGTCGTCTCGAATCCTCGACTGTATGCACTGCCAAAACAAAATTTGTTCAGATAAAAACTAGTTTGGAATTTAACTGTAAAATTACCTCTTGGCAAGATTTCTTGTGTTCATCTGTGCAGCCATGGAAATTCGTCACATCCTAAAATTATAATAATTTCGTTAACTATTTTACATTATTTATATCTCTACTAACAATAAGAAATAAAAATTTTAAATGAAATAGGAATGGTTATTCTCTTTATATCCTGGTTTCAATTCAACACACAACCCGCGTGACACTTGTGTGCAGCGTGTTGCATAACAATTTACACGTCTCGTCGCTAGCCACCCGTTAAGTAGCTAAGCTTTTGAAGATTTTGAAACGGTAAGAATTTTTTTCCATTTGAGGTATTAAGATCCGTAACGAACTGAAACTGGAAAATCTTGTCGTGAATATAAAATTTATTAATTTGTCATAAATAATATTGCATCAGAAAATGTATTTTATGTCGAGATTGCAGGATTTCAACTTTCTGATTTTAAAATCGAGACGCCATTTTAATTATTAAATAAAAATGCACGTCGTGAATTAAGCTCAACTGCAGCACTCGGTCGGAATATTAAGTCTCGTCTGCGACGCCGGCCCGGATTTAATGAAAAACGGCGCGTGTCAAGTTCTCTCGGAAAGAAAAATGCGCCTGCTAAGTGCAACGCGCGCGAGTCCGGCCGGCAAAGGACGACTTGAAAATCTTGTCCCGCAATCCAATTAAGGAAGTCCTACATGAAAAAAACTGCATATATTTAGCCGAGAGTTGACATGCAAGTCGCACTTTTAATGTGGTCTTAGGCGGCCCTGATGGTCTGCAAGAACGAGTTATTTCGCCATTTGCTCCGGCGACTCGAAAAGCGCGTCTGCGGCTTTCAGACTCGCATTATATGCTGCACGGCGATTATTTTTTTACAAGAATTCTTAATCAGCGACGCAGAAAATGTCCTTGGCTCTCATGAATTTTCATCAAGCTATTAAACGATTTCAATTTCAATTGAAAAATTTATAATTTTCAAATAAATTGAAAGCTTGATTAGTATTAATTCAGAAGAAGTTTTACCTTATTTAATTTATTAATTATTTTTTTTATAAATCGTATTAAAAATAATGGAACAGAAAATCTGAATTTACAAGGATATAATTTTTATCTAGTCTCTTCTGGGAACTGAAAAAAAGAGGCGCGCATCGAAATTCTGTCGGCGCGTCTGTGAATGACTGGCGAGGAAGGAGGTGCGAGTAAAATTAGGCGGCCGGCCGCGCGTCATGTTTTCAGAGCTACACGTGGAGCGGCAGAGGAGATATAGAAAACGACACCGATAAATTAGATATATAGCAGAGCGTCTAAGCTCATTTGAATTCTTGAAAAACAGCGAGCGCTTCCCACCGTAACAAAATCGCCGCCAATGCATAATTCATGTTGGCCGCGCCACTGAACCATTGTGGGCAGAGCGAAATGTGTATAAAAATCATTTCAGCCTCCTAATGCCTCCGTCACTTGAAAAAAAACTCTAGGATCTCAAATTCAAATGGCGATCGCGGTGCGTAGCGAAAATGGAAAAACATTTGAATTTGCATTTTATTGTTTCTCTTGGCTTGGAGGAGGAAAGAGAGCCGGCCGAGAATTGCGCACAAATAATTGGTCTATTTTCAATCGCGCGACACGCGCCTCACTTTTATCGGGGGTCGAGAAGGTCAAAGCGGATCATTTTTCGGGAGTGCTTCGATAGGCAGGTGATTTTCATTTCACTAATGAATGCCACGCGTTCTCGAGCAAGCGACCAGCGTTACCGTCGCATCGGCGGCTCCGAAATCGTCTTACTTTGCATTAATATCAAAGTCACTTTCTGAAGAAAAAAAGAAAGAAACACCACGTGCGCCTAGACACAACACTAAAGCCAATAGTCCACTTGTTATTTGTCGAGCGGCGCTGTTAGATAAAAATAAAGAACGCTCTGCCTTTGATTACGCGATCTATTGAAACCTCGAAAAGATTTGTTCAATTTTCAAATATTAATGAATTTCAAATTCGCTCGTCTTTAGTTGACCTTATCAATGAAATCGAAATTAAATACACGTCGGACGATTTAAAATCTCTGTCAAATTTGTGAGTATTTAAAATTTCAATTTGCTATTTCAGTTTTCAGTCGGTCTACACCTGTCTGCGTACCCACGGTGCCGGTGTCAGACGGTCGCGACTCGCAGGCACATTATTTCATTCACTTTACACCTGTGCGCGCCGCCGTAATGGCACTGGATTGCATACGATTAGAGAAATGCACCTGCTACACACAAATTCGTTTTCAGAGAGGTGACGAACGCCCAATTATTCATTCGTACACGAGCCGAGATTTCGTCACTGTAAATGCATGGATTCGTTTCCCAAGACCGCCTTGGCCGTTTTTTCCTTGCGACGATTGGGAGCAGCTGGAAATTTGCATTTGAGTGCATCCGGAACGGGGTGCTAATTTGACTGCACCGCGCTTACATTTCTCAATTTAAGAATTCAATAAAATATGACAAGAATCTCTGTTGGAATTATGAGGATGCGACATGGTTTCGAAAATCCCCAGCATAAATAGTGTCAGATTGGCTTTTAATTTCTCAGAAATCAGGCTTATCATTTTGGCAGATCACTCGTATCAAGTGGAATAAAGCGTGAACAGTGGCGATAGGGAAAGTGATTTCAGCGTGACAATTGATAGTTGAACCTTGGACTAAGAGTAGGACAAATTCTCATTCATTTAATCCCCTAAACCAGACGTAAAACTAAAAAGGTCTGATCAACTACGCAGTCGATTTTAACCTGCATGAAGAGATGAAATTTTTTCAAAAGCTGGAAATTCTCAAATCCATTTCCATGGGGCAAAATTTTCCTTCAGCAAAATTTATTTAAGAAGAGGTTTTTTTGGGAAAAAAAACAAAAACGGCCCGGTTAATTTTGATAGTAATTTTTATCTACATTTTAACATTGATTTTTAAATTTCAGTTCCAAGGAGACATAGTAAGAAAAATTTAAGTCATTAGGCGAACTGAATTTTTGAAATTTAACATTTGTCTTGTGCGAATTTTCTAAAATAATAATTTTCTCAAAATTGGCCCAAGTAATTGATAAAAATTTGACCATATCACGCTCAAATCAACCCAAAAATAAAATCAATCATTATCAGAAATTAAAATTGATCTCATGGGTAAAGGTTGATTGAATTTTATTGTTGATATCATAAGCTTCTTGTTAAGTATCCAAAAATTTCCTTATTTTTGATAATTTTATAAAAATTCATCAGCAATAATTTGGTCTGATCCAAATTTGTAATGATAATTTGAACAACAATTTATTTATATCTGAAAACAATTTCAGCTTTTTCTTTTGACAAATGTCAGCAAGAAAGTTACATCAATCACTGACTGACTTCGTTTTGGTTATGTAAATTAATTATGCACAACAAGGATAAGATTATTATTTGTTGACTTCGTAACACAATCATTATCGTTTCGGAGGCGCGCGTGCCCCGTTTTAGAAATTCGGCCACGCGTTTTTATGCTATTGAAATTCTACTTTTGACGAGAGTTTTGCATATCCGTCGGGAAGCTCCACGCGAAAGGACGAGGCGCGCCACCAGCGACGCTCACGCACGCTCTGCGCCGGAGGCCGCCGCGCCGGAGATGTGACTTTTATTTAGCGGAGAGTTATGTGGAGGCGCGTGGCAGTTGTAAATAAAAAAATGTGCCCGCCTCTTTCGCTATCGACACGTGCCTGAATGAACAAACGCCCCACTATAATTCTCTCCAGGAAAGAAGAAGTGGCCCGTGCTTTCCTATTAGCCTAGCGCGCGTTCTTTCTTATCCCGAGCTCGCGATTCGCAATGAGCAAATCGCGAGTACAATGGCCCTGAAACGTTTTCGCGCTTAACAGAAAATAAATATATACTAAAGACGCTCGCTCGCTCGCACGTGCGTTTCTTTATCTTTGCGTAATACTCACTGAAAAAATTATTTTTATTGAGCCAGCGCCTAATTTAATTTTTATCTATAAAAGAGCGATATTATGTAATGAAGAAATAGAAAAGCTAATCTTTTTGCGTTTAAAATCAACAGCCCAAATTTTTTTACCAACATAAATAAAATTATATTGTTAAGCGTGCTCAAAAATTTGAGCCCGAGGCTTTTCTGGCTGTACCAGGAAAAACAAAATTTAAAGGAGCGTCCGAGATGGATTTAGCTCTCTAAGGTTCTAGACACAGATTCAGTGAACTCGGCCAGCCGCGCCTGCAAATCTTATGCCTACAGCATTTTTTGTCTCGAGCGGCACAATTGCCCTTTGGATATGAGAGCGGAAAAGTAAAGCTTGGGGAGGTTATAATCTGTCAAGATAAATAGAACTGATAGTTGGTTAACTCTTTCTGGCTAGATCTAATTCATTCTAGATCGTTTCCTGTTTAAAACAAGGAAACAAATTGAGGAAAATTTACCTTAGAAATTTTTAAATAAAATTAATTAAATTAACTTTAAGCAACAAATAAGAAAGTACATTTACTACAACAATAATTTGGAAAGTCGGAAAATTCGGAAAAAGAAAAAAAGTGGTGATATTGACCTTTCGCAAAACCTCTTCGGACCCTGTCAGCTCTTGCACGAGATTGCACTGCTCAGTGCAGAAGGAACTTTGCAGGGGCACGGGGGCCGGAAGGCCCACGCTGACGGCCCAAAAAAGCGGAAGACAGCACAGCACCACACGCTGCATATCCCTGTTGTAGGTAAGCTTCTTCCCAGCTACACATTAAATATCTTTTGCTCCACGTGGAGCGCGCGCTCACTCCTTCGCTGGAGCAGTTCTCACGGTAGAGGGGATACCATCCCCCCGCTCCCAGACAATGCACTTTTAACTAATTCTGTCCACTCTGAAATATTCATCTTCGTTTTTTCCCGAATTTAGTCACAAGTTTCAATTTGTTCGTAAAGTGGGCCACGATAAGTAAAGACGACAATCGACACATTATTCAACTTTCCAAGTGTTGAAAGTTGAAAAATCTTAAATTATTTTTATAATTATCACAGGAATTATTAAGAAAACGCAGTTTTTAATTAATTACTTAAATTATTTTGTATATTGCACAATTCACAGTCAAATTTGTATTCACCTGTTCGTTGCACGTTTACGTTTGGCAAATATGTTGAAAATACACAATGTTTACAGAATACTGATTTCTTACATAAATATTTGTTGTCAACAGCTTAGAAAATTAAGTTGTTGGATGTTTTCAATACTTTTAGATTATCTCATCAGTCAATGTGTCGAGATTCTGGCAAAATTATTTAAACATGGAAATCTTCACATGATGAATGTAATATTCACAAGCGTTACAGCAAAAGCGCTAATATTATATAAAGTGAGTAAAAATTGAGTTAATGATCTAATTTAAGTATTCAGATTTTGCTCGATGGGCCTCACGAGACTTTAAATTAATGGAAATTAAAACTAATCAAAATACCCTTCTTTATTGCCAGAATTCTTTTCAATATAATAATAGAAAATAGCTTTTAAGAAATAAATTCCTACTATGAAGCTGCAGTTAATAATCCATTGTGCCGTGATGTAGTGGAGGTTGGAATGTTGAACCATGAAATCCGGACATCAAGTCTCGTACACTTTGCACTTCCGCATACGCCTTAATTTAAAATTTTAAGAAAAAATCAAAGACAAGCAATTAAATAAAGGAAAGGGTACTTACAGGGTAGTCGCTTGTTTCGCCCGGATTGTGACCCAAAAGTATTCGAGGAGCTGCTCTGGGAGGGGGTTGCAGAGTTGCGTACATATTGCTCTGCGTTTCAACCTGAAATTAAAAAGGCATTTTTTTTCCAATGAAGCAATTGAAATAATCACATTTTTCAACTAAAGATTACCTGGTTATCAGAACTGTCTAGCCTGTTCTCATTTTCGCAAAACACCTGCATTGTCAGCTCTTGCTCTTCGTACAATTTTAAAGTCCTGCAAAATTTAAATGAAGGGAAACAGTAAAATTACATCTTAGGCAAACTCACTGCTCCATCCAAAGTGGATTTTCCGTTGTGCAATTTGGCTCGTCAGCCGTTCCCTTTTGGATCAAAGTCTCTTTGCGCCCATGAGTAAGGTTCTGACCTGGAATCGGCAAGACCCTAAAAATTCGAAATATGTTAATATAATTTTCTTCGCCATTATTATTAAAAATACCAGTGTCGAAGGCAACAGCAAACAACGAAAAAGCTGATGAAACCAACAACTAAGACTACAAGGAGAGCAACTAATGCAGCAAGAGCAGTGTCAATTTTTTCGTCCATAATCTCCGACGATTTAGCAGACTGAAAAAATAATTTTTTAGATTTATTAGAGTTAAAATTTAGCAAACACTTACAATGACGTTTTGTATATCAAACCCAGAGTAGTAGTCCCTCAGAGTGTCGTAGTTGGAATCAACAAGCTTCAGTACCTGCGGGACAGGTATGATTCCCATTGTTGCAGGATCAACCACGGCAAGATACATGTCAGACCTGAACAAAAAATAAATTGGAAAATCAATTTAATCTTTATTTTTGAGCTTACCAGTTGTGCATAAGTTGACCCCGGTCATCAACATGGTACTTTATGTCGTCTAACACAACCAGCCCTTGAGTGGCAGTGCTAAGGCCAGAAGTGACTTCATTCCTATCAGAGTGGACCTTTTCAGGTGGCCTCGACAGGATCACTCGAACAAGTTGGCTCTGGTCATACACCCACACCTGCAATTAAAAAGGAATCCATAAATTATTTAAATTTAAAAAATAAACATTATTTTCCTTACATGGACCATTGTTTCCGCCTCTCTGTACGGAGCTACCGTTTCTCTCGCTACGAGCTTGAGAATAAATCTGCCTTGGTTGTATTCGAGCATCGGAGTGGTTGTGCTAATGCGACCATTCTGGGACACTTTGAATGGCGAAGGGACGAGAGAGCCTGAGCTCACATTAGAGCCAGGAGGATAAAGGTTGGAGGCTCTCAAAAGGTAGTCAAGGGTTTCTTTGCCACCTTTGTCGGGGTCGATTGCAGAAATTTGAGCCACCTGGTCATTTTCTTGGCTCATTGCATTCACCCCGGCATAAAACTCAGTTTTCTCAAAAGACGGAGCGTTGTCGTTCTCATCCAGCACAGTTATGATGACTTGAACAACACTTCTCTGGTTGCGAAGAACATTCTCTCCCCCAATCAAAATTTCCTTTCCCACCTGCGATTAATCAATTTCAGCATTTTTATTATTAAAAAGTAATTTTTTTTACCCTTTCTGGGTCGTAATCAGGATCATTTGACGCTTTGATCAATAGTGAATAGCTTTCCTTCATTTCCCTGTCCAGTGATAATTTGCTTCTCACTTTTCCGTCTGTTTTGCCCACAGAGAAACTATCATCGCCACCGGACACCAGCGTGTAATAAACTTTGGCGTTAAAGCCTTCGTCTGCGTCATCAGCGTGAACGGTGCCTTCAAATTTTAAATTATTTTGTTGATTTAGAAATAAATAAATGTTTTTTATTTACCAATGACTTCATCTTTTGGACCATTTTCCAAAACCTTGAAACGATAAGTGAACGGTTGATTGCCTTCTGGTGGAGGAAACTCTGGTTCATTGTCATTTGAGTCCATCAGAAGTACGGTAAGGAAGCTCAATGTTTCGTACGAGTTGGGATACCCATTATCTTTTGCAACAAGTACGAGCTGAAAATATAAATTATTTTGAATGAGCTAAATTCAAAATATTATTTCTTTTACCTCATATTTGGCCTGCTGCTCTCTATCTAAAATGTCTCTGGTTCGAAGCTCTCCAGTGTCAGCATCAATAGAAAATTCATCGGTATCCTGAACCAATAAGCCACCAGCAGATTTCAAGTGATAAGTAACCCGTCCATTTTCACCCATATCTGCATCCTTTGCTTTGACGGTCATAACTAAATAATTTGGCAAGCCGGCATTCTAAAAATTTTACATCATTTGAATAAGTTGCGGACAATTTTTTAATAAGTTACCTCAGGCACTTCTACAGAAGCGTTCGACAGAGCAGGAATAACAAATATTGGTTGATGCTGGTTGACAGCCTGAATTGTTAGCCTCACTTTGGCTTCGTCGATGTGAATACCATCATCCACCTTAGCTGTTAAGACGACATCTTTGGTTTCACCTCTGGTCAGTTCTTTTAAAGATTGGTTTGTGTAGAGAATTCCAGTCACTTGCTCCAAGTAAAAAATTTCTGAAAATAGTTTTTTATTAGAGTTTACATAGATCAGAGTGAATAAAAATTTACTTTGAGGATCTCCATCAATTATCTTGTAAGAAAGATAAGACGTTGGGTCGTCGTCAGAGGCTCGGAGCTGAATGATTTTTGATCGAACAGGAATGTCTTCATTAATGACGGCTCTCCACGTCTGTTGCTCAAACTTCGGCAATTGGTCATTTTCATCTTCGATTATAATTTTGACCTGCGCACAAATATGATATGCAAATTTTGAAATTTTCCGGCATTAAATTATTACAGGCACTGATGCGGATTTCTGATTTGGTGGCTCAGCTCCATCAGTGGCAACTACTTGGATATTTATTTCTGCTGTTGATTCTCGGTCAAGAACCTTTGGGTTAAGAACCCGCAAAATTCCATTATTATCAATGGAAAATTCATTTGATTTATCTCCTATAATTAAAAAAAGTTAAATTTTCACTCTATTAAATTTTATAATTTTGATTCAAACCTTGCAGCGCATAGCTGACTTTTCCAAACTCTCCTTTATCTTTGTCAACGGCAGATACCTGAGCAACAAAAGTTCCAGACGGAGAGTTTTCTCTCACACTTCCTTGGTAATTATCCTGGTTCAAGATAAAAAGAATAGATTATAATTTAATGACAGCCATAGATTGACATACCTTCAAAAACATTGGCGCCTCATCATTTACATTATTAATATTTACAGTGACATGCGCTGCCGAGGACAAAGGCGGCTGACCCGAATCCCACGCAACGATTCGGAAACTTAATTCCGACGTCTCCTCAAAATCAATTCTTTGCTTCGTTTTTACGATTCCTGTACAAATTTTGTTTGCTTTTACTTGCACTGAAAATATTTGTAAATTTACCAGTTAAATTATTTATTTCAAAATATTTCGACTCAGGGTTGATCTCATATTTTGTAATCGAGGCTGAATCAGGGTCTGTTGCTTCGAAGTTCCCAACAACAGTGCCTATTGGCATTTCTTCGCTTAATGATACCTTGAGCTGTGGCTTCTCGTGAGTCCAAGGAGCAGGAAATTCTGGTGATCTCTCGTTGACTCCAACTATTGTTATGACCAGAGTGCCTGAAGTTGTTTACATAGGATTATTTTTTCTGAAGCTATTACAAATTAAATTAACGCAAAAAAGTAAAGCAACTCGACTCACCCAGTCCTTCCTGCAACTTTTTGGCGCTTGTGTCAGTCACTCTGACCGTGAGTCTTACAACTGCCACCTTTTGTCTGTCCAATTTTGAGGCTACATGCACTGCGCCAGTGTTTTTGTTGACATCAAAGAACGCCTGTGCACGGAAAAAACACACAAACGCAACATAAGCCACATACAAAAAAAACCAAGCAAAACTCACAAAAATTTTTAAAATCTTACCTTCAACTCGTCTGATGGGGTCACTTGCTTGCCGGACGTGTCGACAAAGGAATAGGGTTCGACTATGGCATATTCCAGACCATCGGGTCCTTCAACGTCAGGATCATCAGCTAACAATTGATGAACCATCGTGCCAACAGCCGCATCTTCCGAGACCTAAGTTAGACTTTTACAATTAATATAATCATGAATTTTTTAATATGTACTTCAGCTCGTTGAGTAACTGGGGTGAAAACTGCTTGTTTGTCATTGCTATCTATGATATTGACTGTGAGAGTTGCAGTTCCAGTGAGAGATGGGGTTCCTAAAAGAAAGATTATTTTTTAAATCCTGGAAAATCTTAAGTTTCTTTGCTTCAAATTACCTCCATCAACAGCAAGGAGTTTTATTTTGTAAAGAGATATTCTATCAAAATCAAGCTTGGCAACAACATCAATTACTCCACTTTGCGGATTCACTTTGAAATGCTCGAAGGCGCCCGATTCGATAAAGTAGTTGATGCGAGAGTTATTGCCCGTATCTGCATCACTTGCATGTATTCTTTCTATGCTAGAGCCTTAAAATCGTGATATTAAAATAAAATTCAAGTGTTTGTTTGAATTAGTTATTACCAATGTTAATGTCCTCAGGAATAGATGTGACATAGGACTCCATGTCAAAAACAGGGGCATTGTTGTTAATATCTCTGATGGTCAGTTTGATTGTCGTGTCATCAAAGAAGCGACCATCACTTGCTCTTATTCCCAAAATGATCTCCTCGGCTCCACTAACACCGTCTTTGGCACGAATGGTAAATTCACCAGAGCTAGGATCCAGATTAAACATATTTTGCGGATCTCCGTCAATTATGGAATAAGTTATTTTGGAAGTGATGTCAGGATCCTCAGCCTAAATCAGAAGGCAATAAAAATTTGTCTAATTTCAGATTTTACCAGAAGTACCTGCACAATTAAGAACGAATCAAATTTGGTGCTGCCTTCGTCTACTTGCGCCCTGTAGCCTGGGTGGATGAAGTGAGGTGGATTGTCATTTGCGTCTGTTAAGGAGATTTTCAAAGGGACTGTTACGCTTTGTCCTTCTCCGTCGTCATCAGTGGCCTGGAATTTATTTATAAATTCAAAATTGTTCTCTTTTAACAACAATTTTCATACTTTGTACGAAAGATAGTAGTCGGCTTTAGTCTCAAAATCTAAACAAGGCGAAACTCCCAGTTTTCCCTCTGGACATTCGGCAACAGATATGACTCCAGTTTTCTTTCCAACGACAAATCTTTCGGCTCCGTCTCCCTTCAGAGAGTAAACGAGTCCACTGGTTCCAAATTTGCCAGAGTCCATGTCAGTCGCAGTGATTGAAGAAATTACAGTGCCTGGTTTTGCATCCTCCGAAACAACAACAACATAAGATTCCTCAGCAAAAACCGGAGCATTGTCATTGACGTCCTGCACGCTGATCACCAAAGATGCCGTTGACGAGAGTCTCTGCGAAGTATTCGTCTCTTCCGCCACAATCTGGCCAGATAGAATGGTAAAATTAACTTTATTATAACTAATTTAATTATCACCTGGAGGAAGAATTTCCGTTGGTTTGGATTCTCATAATCCAACGACTGGTTTGTCGTGTGCACCGTAACACTGCTTGAACCGACCGCTTTCTTTTGATCAATGGCAAAGAAGCCGAATCCATCGACAAGAGTCAGTTTAAAAGCAGAATTATTACCCTAAAGAATTTTATTGTTTATTTGAAAAGATTTATATGAATGTACAAATTTACCACATCAGGGTCAGTGACTGTTATGTCCAGTCCTGGAATAGGCGATCCTGGCAAAATGTTCTCTGGAATGACAGCAGAATACTCTCTCTTGTCAAATTTAGGCGCCTCATCATTCACATCTCTGACTGTAATTGTATAATGGGCAGTGCTTGACGAAAGAGCATCATCTTCATCGGGATCTGTGTCCTCTTTGGCCTAATTAATTTGATGATAAGGCTTATTACTTATTATAAGAAAGATAAATTTTACTTTGACAGTGAGATTAATCACTCCAGCAAGATTGTCCAGAGCTTCTCTGTCCAAAGGTTTGGCAATTCGAAGTTCCCCAGTATTTGAATCAAGTAAGAAATAATCATCCGGATCTATATAAGGAAAATTATTTTTTTTTCTGTTTTAAATTTCATTATTAGTTCTTACTTGTAACCAGCTCGTAGGAAACATGTCTTGGTCGACCGCGATCACCATCTCGGGCAGAGACAGTGAGGACTAAAGTGCCAATAGGGGCGTCTTCGTCGACAAATCCAGCCATGGAGCCTTCAAAAACGGGAGGCAAATTTTGCTCGTCTTGGATGGTTATTTGGACGGGGGTCGTGGTGACGTGGACGCCATCCTGATCAAAATTAATTTTTACTTTAGAATATGGACATTGAAAAATAATCCAAGTAAGAGACGTACTGTAACTTGAAGTTCAAACTGAAAGAGCTGCTTCTTGGCGTAATCAAGTTGGGATCGCAGAATCAACGCTGCCTCGATTGCCGACGTATTTGCAAAATTGACAGACACTTCAAACCAGTCACAAGAACCAACCAGCTAAAATTGAAATAAAATTAGAGGGAAATATTTCACCAAGTCAAAATCACTTACTTGAGGCAATTCGCGGCAGGTGATTTCAAGAGTTTCGCCAACGAGATCAGCGTCAAAAGCCTTTATGCTTTTTATCACGGTGTGGCCAATTTTTGTGCTTTCGCCAATTTCGGCCTCATAGTGCGGCTGTGACGAAGTAAAAACAAAATTTATTTTAACCAATTTTTATCAAAATTATTTCACCTTTTCGAATTTGGGCGGACTGTCGTTTTCATCCACGACGATAATCGAGGCCGTCGAGGTCACCACGTTTGCCGGGTCATCGTCGCTCACGGTGACCCCAACCAGGAATGACTCGACCTGTTCTCGGTCCAGACTCTTGATGAGCGTGACTTTGCCACTGGACGGATCCACGGCCAAGTAGGGGTTGGGGTCGAGGCCGTACCGGACGGGCGCACCCTCAGGGTCGATCGCCTGCAGCTCAAAAACCACACTGCCAGGTGCGGTGCTCTCGCTCAGGGCCAGGTTGTCCAGGTCTTTGAGCAGCTGCGGAGGCTCATTTGCCCAAGACAGCTCTAATAAATAGTTTTTGTTTTTATGAATTAATAAATAGAAATTACAAAAGTCAAATAAATTAAATATACCTGCAGATAGGAGAAGGAAAAACGCGAACGGCCAAATTATCGAGACACGCATTTTTCTGTGAAAAATTGAGAGCGAAAAATAAACTATAAGAATAGAAAAGTTGTTTTAATTATTATTTAGGTTAGGCACAACTGGGGATATAAATGTGATATGGTTTTATAAATTTAAATATTTTATCTGTCAATTTAAATTTAATTTGAAGTGCATTTTCTGATAATTTTTTTTAAAGATGACCGCGTGCATTTTAATTTAATTTATATCACCAGTTAAAAAAAAATTAAATTGTTCCGTTGAAAATAAACATTATTCAGTTGTTCCGAGTTGCCCTTCTCGGCAAATAAATTCAGAAAAGAGATGTGAGAGGAGCTTTTAATTTTTGAGAATTAATTTATATGAATTATCTTATTTTGATTAAGAAGATTTGATAATACGTTTCAAGGATGAAGCAAATTAAAATCATCAAAACTCCTCAATTATTCAGCGCAGTTTCCCAAATTATCTTTTCTGTTTTGACGGTAAAGAGCGTCTATATAATCGCATAGAAGGCCGCAGACCTCGGTGTGTTGCAAGCGACCATTCACCTGTGAGAACGGTACTTTTCATCATAGAGAGCCCGCAATGCTCTTATATGCAGGCTCGTGAGAAAAAAGGCATTTTGCCGTCGTCGTGATACTTGCCGCAATTTATGCCCGGCTGTCCCAATTCCCCCGAATGTCACTTCTCGTGACTTATGAGAACAATGGACGAGATTATCTCTTTTTTTTAATGCATTGTAAATTTATTTTAAGAAAGCTTCATTTTAAATGGAAAATTGAATTTGAAATTTAAATTATATTCCAATTGTGGTAAATTGTGTACAAGAATGGATAGGCGATTGCTTTGCCCTTCGCGCTTTGTAAAGGCACGAGGACGATTATTTTGTTAATTAGATATCACGTAATGAATAAAAATTTGTGTATTTTTAATCACTCAAGTTCAATTATCAGAATTAAGAATTATAACATAATTATATAAGTTGACACAGGAAGAAAATGAGAATTTTTTTAGCAACACATTATTTTACTCAAAAAATAGTATATATTTGAATATAATAAATAGAAAAAACTATTTTATAAATTGTGATTTAATTTAATTATTTTAAAAATTTTCTCTGTAACGCACTCAACGATTATGTAAATAAATTAAGTGAAGTATTCAGTCAAACAATTACAAGCAGCAAGTAAATTATGATTTGTGGCAATTCAGGTTAGCTATATACAAATTTAAAAAAAAAAAGGATAATAAAAAAATATTGAAAAATAAAATACCATTTTACTAGAATTTAAAACTTTTATGATTTTTTTAATTTGTGAAAATAGATAAAGATTTTAAATTCTATGACAAAAATTAATTTAATTATGTTTTAATGTTCTATTAAACTTACAAAAAATGCTGGCTTTCAACACGCCTGGATCATGAAGTCTGTCCACCAACGCAATGCGCCTCTTGTTATGGTAAAGTGAGAGCCCTATTGTTGTTGTTCTTCTTCGGCTCGCATTCGAACATCAACAGCCTCACGTGGTGGAAGAAAACAGCCTGCCTGCAAGGGTGGCGCTCCACCCCTTTCTTCACCCCTGCGCACCACTAACCTCGACACAACACAACCCTCGTCTTCTCCGCTAGCTTCTCTGACACCCCGCTTACGTCAACACCACAAAAACATTCACATACGAGAACTTCAATACCTATAAGAGATGCGATGCAATCGTCCATAGTTGTCTCTCGTACTCCCCGCAAAAGTTCAAAAGTGCCTTTGATTCTAATTGGGAATTTTGAATCTCCCTCCAAATTTTCAGCCAATCAGCGCAGTTTTCATCGTAATTTTTGTGAAAAGATGCGCAGGACCCGCAGGACCCTCCACCGCGCGCATTTTTTGTCAGCATTGGCCGGCCATCGAACTGATCGAGCGAAAACTACGTTCAAAACAGCAAACAGGAAAGCAATTTTCCTTTCAGCTTGCTAATTTTTACGTAATTCGTTACACACTTGAATAACATCGACCATGGCAGACGGCGATGTCATTAAGGTAAATTATAAGTAAAAATATTCATTATATAAAAATAAAATTTTGCAACAACAAACACACAGAAAGACGACGAGAAGAATGAAAAGGCAACACCACCGTCGGCACCGGCAAATCCTGAAGAGGACGGCGAAACCACAAAGACCAAGGAAAACAATGAGGACGAGTACGACCCCTATTACGCTCCAATCGTCGAGTTGCCTGAAATTCACGTTTACACAAACGAGGAGATGGAGGAAGTAATTTTGAAACTGTACGCATTAGTGATTAAATTATATCGATTTCTGAATTGCAAACGAAACTTCATTTCTAGGAGGGCTAAATTGTACAGATACGATTCCTCTTGTGAGCCGCCGGAGTGGAAAGAACGAGGAACGGGAGAGGTCAAGCTGCTGCGACACATGCAAAAGCCCATCGTCCGACTGGTCATGCGGAGGGACAAAACCCTGAAAGTTTGTGCTAATCATTTCATCCGACCGTGGATGAAATTGAGCCCGAATTGTGGCAGCGACAGGGCTTGGGTTTGGAGTGTCAACGTCGATTACGCAGACGAAGAGCCGAAGCCAGAATTATTGGCAATAAAATTCGCAAATGCAGCTGGTATGTAATTTAATTATACGTTTAAAAATCTTATGCTAATTTTATTCTTAGATGCAACAAAATGGTTTGAAACTTTTGAAATGGCCAAGGAAATTGTCAAGGGTGACGACACCGAGAACGAGAATGACGAATCAGGCAGTAGTGACGAAGATGAGGCGGAGGAGAAAGAATCTGAGGACAAAACAAAGAAGCCGTCTGCTGAGAAGGCCGATGATGAGACGAGTACGCTTACGGAGAATCTTCAAAGCATGAAAGTCTGATTATAACCGGTCAGGCTCTCTTGTGATCTCTTAAATCACCAACCATGAAATTCCATTTTATTGCTTTTTTATTGTCATATTCAAAGACGCGCCCTTGAATTTGTTTTACTGAATAAAGGGTGAGTTTGATACAAATTAAACAATTTTTTTTTAGTAAATTCACAGGATACTGAAAGTATATTAAAAAAGTTACAGTCGCAGTATACATTTAGTTTTGTCTCTTCAAGGCACTTAAGGACCTGAATCAATTTTGTCAGCAACCCACTCTTTGTCTTCTATTTGTTGCTGGCTAGCCACCATGGCGAAGGGGTTGCGAGCTATTACCAGGTCTATTTTTTCACCAGCAGCTGCGATGATAGGCACCGTCAAGCAGCAGTCAAAATCTTGTGTGGGTGTGTTATTCACCTGAACGATGAGAAAATCAGGATTTTCGATAGAAGAAAAAGAAGTTAAATTTTACCTGTAGGATCCGATCATATTGTTCGAGAATCTTGTCTGCAGGACCACCCTTCCTTATCATGTTGACGTACACCCCTCTCTCATACAGACCGTCTGACACGCTGAAGCCAAAGTCCTCATAGACGTTGTCTTTGTACAAGGACACCTTTAAAAGAAACAAATCAATAGAAATATTTCATAAAAAAAAAAAAAATACGCACCTTCTGGATATCTGACAGGCAACTTGTGGCAACCGAATTCTGCGATCCATTCAATACCAATTTGGTCATCACTTCAATCTGCGCTTCTCCTAAAATTAAAACCAATTTATTGAGTTAAAAACTTAAAATTTTCCTTACTTAAACTGGTTGCGAGGCACTCTCCATCCTCAGATTGGTCCATGCATTCAGTGGACAGGTCACTTTCGGTGGAACTTTTCCAAGAGTTGGTCGTACCAGTGCCAATACCAAAGGTTCCAAAGGAAGCTAAGGATTTAAATCGATTAAAGTTAGAGTTCATCAAAATAAAAATAGCTGATATATATACCTGATGGGGATGATATCTCGGAGCGGGCAACCTGCAACGTGACTGTGTCTTTGGAGTTCTGCAGAATATCATAAACTTCCGACAGTTTGCAGCCATTCAGGGTGTAGCCGTTGATGGACAGGAGCTGGTCACCCACATTCAGAGCACCAGTCGACTCAGCAAGGCCACCTTGAGAAAAATTATATCAATTTAAAAACTTCTAGTTTTATATTTTGATGAGTGCTACCTGACTTGAGTGCTGAAATGGTAATGGGCATGTCTCTCTGCTCAGCACCAGAAATTGTCAAGCCCAATGGGCCACCCATCCTGACCAGGTCCACTGTGTGAACATTTTTGTCGATCGTATTATCTGGAACAAAAGAAAAATGTACATTTAATTTCTTTTTCAACTTCTCTAGAAATAGATTAAAATTTAGAAAACGATTCTCACTTGCGTAGCTGCCTCTGGCTCTGACACACTTGAGCACCTTCAATGAAATAATTTCGTGTTGAGTGACGAGCTGCAGGACTCTGATAACGTCCTCTTGAGTGCCAGGTCGAGCACCACAAATTTCCAGCAGCTGGTCACCGCATTGAAGAGCACCAGAGCGGTGCGCAACAGACCCCCTTCTGATTTTGGAAATAATTGGGGCATTTCCTGGCATCTTCATTGCTTTAGTTACAATAAAATTAATATGAAAATTAAGAATGCCAATTTCTTACGGGAGACGGAAATTCCGAGATCGGTAGTGCCATTTCTGGCTAGCTTAACGTAAAACACTCCACTGGACGGCACGACGGCTTCTAACACATCAAACTGAACATGTAACTTTAAAATCGGAGAGCTCTGAGAGAGAAGAATGGACGCTTCGGCACCAGCCAGGCAATCACAGCGCGTTTGGTTGATGATGAGAATTCTGTCTCCTGGCTGCAGACATCCGCACCTGAGGAAATGTTTTAAATATTAGCCAGACGGACAAAATACTTGTAACCACCAAGAGTTTTAAAACTCAAAATTTTATACTTTTATCTCGGGTTTTTCTAAAAACATCCGATATTTTCTGCACAAGTTGCTGATGGAAGTCTAAAAATATAAAATCTAAAGAAAACTTACAGATCTGCAGGACTGCCAGGCTCAATGTCTGCAATGACTGGAGGCCAGGAGCCCTCCAAGGTGATTCCACTTCCTCTTGTGGCAGTGTGCAAAGTGACGGCCAAGGTCTCGCAGTGGCTGACGCTGTTTTGGCTGTGGCTGCGGCTCCGGAAGCTTCTTTCGTGCAGCGTCGACGTGGATTCGGATTTGCAGAATTTGTGGGACTTGAGGGTGCTCATGTTGCTGGATAGGGTGGACGTCGATCCACCCAAGCGGTAACTGCTGGTGGTGGGGCTGCTGGGGGGCTTCAAGCTTTTCGCAGACCCGTCCCTTCGGCCAGCCGAAATCTCCATTTGAAATAAGGCCGGACTGATCCCGATCAAATGCAGTACTTCTGTCTGGGATGTGACCACGCACCCATTCACAGCAACTATCTGGTCTCCAACTTCAAGTGAGCGGCTCCTAATTTTTTTAAAATAAAATTTTTAAAAAAAAAATATATATATAATTAAACTAACCGATAGGCAACACTGCCTGGTTGAATTGCAGCTACAACGATCCCCTTGTCATTGGTCATGGAAATGCCCATCGAAGGGTCACCTCCAGTTTTGTGCAGCTCTATTAGGAAAGGGCCTTTCCTATTCAGGGTCCTCGTGGGCTGAACGACGTCAATTTGCAAGGTCAGTTTGGTCAGGGAACAGTTGCTTTTGGCCCGCAGGATTTCATGAGCCCTTTGGAGGCTCAAGCCAAGCAAGGAGACTCCCTCGACAGCCAGCAACCGGTCGCCAACTCGAATGCATCCTGACCTAAACAAAATTTTAAAGTTTAGATTCTTTAGTTTTGATTTTGCAAATTTCGGTAATAATAAATTTTAAAAAATATCATGAAAGTAATAATAACAATAAAATCACACCCTGACTAAAAAATTTAAGGTTAACTGTGAAAGCAATTAAAATAAACTAGCCTGTATGCTGGTCCACCTGGCTTGACCCTGGTGATCACAAGAGCCTTATTTCCGGCGGCGTCGTTTGATTTTTGTCCAACATCTCGCAAGGAGAATCCTAAATTGCCACCTTCATCGCGGTGAAGCGCCACTTCCACTTCTCTTGTGCACACCCTTTTTTCTGGAATGCCAAGTAATACAAGTTAAAAATGACGAAATATCATTTTTGAATTATATTTTTATTAGTTGTGACTAATAAGTAGAAGTGCTTTTACATAGGAGCAAAATGCAATTTTTAGGGTAAAACCTGATTAAAATTCAGAAAGATTTCTCAATATTTTTAAATTTTGTCATTAAATTCATAAATTCTTATGCGCAGACAAGCACGTTGAATTTTTATTAATCCAAGATATATTTCCATTTAAACTTATTTAAAGCTTAAAATAGACGCGTTGTAATTTCGAAAATGTGGCCTTGTTAGAATGAGCCAGCATTCCTGAAATCTCTGCGACATTTGCAAGAATTCACAAAATTCATGTGTATGGCTCGAAAGGCAAAATACAATTGTTAAACCAAACCTTAGAAAATTTGGTCTTTTGTAAACGCAGCATTTTTTAATTTTCTTTGACAATCTTGAAGCGTTTTAATGGTTGACATATTTTGGCAAAATTTTCCTGCCAGTTTTTAAGCCTAAATTTCCAGCTTGCTTTGCTGCAATTGGCAGTGGTCAAATTAAATTTCAATCTTTAGATGAATAGTATAGAATGTTGTGTTTAATTTACGAGCGAAATCACCTATTAGAATTTTGGTACTGTTCCAAACATCAATGCCAAAGGTGCGATTGCCCAGATATCGTGAGGACGGCTTGACAGGGCAAGTGTTCGGTGGCCAGTACGGAGGGTAGTCGTCCTCCTCCAAGTCGACGGTGGACTTTTCAAAAATGGGACTCATAATCGCATACTCAGAGTCCGCCTTCACCATCGTTGCTGGACTCGCGTCTTTGTCCACTTAATAAACCCTACGCACTGACGCCGGTGAGCTCTCGATAGTCTCGATTTCAGGGAGAGGGGCCTAATTTGTGTGAACTTTGTACTCGGCGCCCAACGCATCTTGAGAATGTGCGGCGAATTTCTGGATTTTTGGTGTAATCTTTGGCATATTTCACCAGAGCCAGACTTTTACAAAAGTAAAGAGAAAGAGTGACATTTTAAAATCCTTTGCATATTTTTATCACTGTAAAGGGAAGCGAAAATGATTTAAGAAATATCAATTTGCGAAAAACTGTATAAAAAAGCAATATAATTATAGTAGGTGAAAAGTGGAAGATTGTATTGTTCAAGTAAAATTAAGTTAAAACTATTTTGGTTTCCGTAATTGTGCATTAGAATTAATTTAAAGTATCTAGTTCCATATTGGACAAAAATAATTTAATGATTTTGCGTCCATATTTTTGGTTAAAATTAAATATGAAACATAAAAAATTAAATATAAATTAATAAAAAATTTATATATTTAAAAATAAGGGACTTTAAATTTAGATCAATTATATTACCGTTACAAAAAATAAAAATATATATAATTATAAGGCAATTATTTGAAAAAGTTATTTCATTATATGCAACGCTTGAGGAGTTAATTTGATATTCTGTTTCATGCGCTTTATAATGCTTGGTAATAACATCAAAATTTCAATTTAAATAAGGTAGAAAGTTTTTAAATATTACACAATGAGAAATTCGTGTATTATATGAATTACAACCTCTCTTGCTTTGAATAGATATTATATTAAATAAATTTTCTTTTTAGCAACCAACATTCTATGTTTATATATTCTTACTTTTGAATATAATTATTTATAATAAGATAACAAATTCAGAATAAATGACTCATATATTTGTAAAAAAATTGAAAATCAACTTCAATTTGTATCTATTCAGTTTAATTAAATTTATATTATGTAATCCATAACATATTATTTTAATTTGTTTGTAATTATTTCAATAAACTCACATTTTTTACCACGTTCAGGCTTCAGGCACTCAAACTCCAAAAGGCAGTTAATTGATCAATTTAACACGGCGATTATTTTTAAACGCACATTAGTTTTTAGAAACTTTTTTTCCATTATATCCATACTTAAGAAATTTAATACTTTTCAATTTGTCAACGTTTAAAATAAAACTATTGCACTGCGGATTGACGCGTAGGTTTTAGATCTGGCGTTTTAGCAGATCTCTGCAACCTGTGTAACTCTTCCACCTTATTTTCCTATTTTCGGTTGTATTTTTTCTGAACATCAGGAGTCGGAAGAATAACAGAATACAAATATTACACACACACTTAAATTTAAATTTCATCAACAACTATTTCAGGATTATTTCTCCTTCCGCAGCTGACAATAATTTTGTCCAGTTTCGGTTTAAATCCTTTCTATTTTAATTTTTCTAAAATGGCTCAATGCTGGGCCAAGAACCAATTTCCCCTCTTCATCTATAAAATACAGTTAATGATTGCAACGAAGGCGCTTTTTTCTTATATGAAATCAATCGTTATTCAAGGTAAAATTTAACGATGCGGCGTAAGATTGAAATTGAATTTTTAATGCAGCCACGCAGCAAGCAAGGATGAAAAATTTAGAATAATTTATAATCCTCCAAATTGAGGTCATCATGGGTTTTTCATTAAACTTCAATCTTCAACGAATTATTTTATTTTCACAACGAAGTCAACAAAATCTTATTGTCTAAGTTCGGGGAACACGGATCCGAAAAACTCTCCATCTCATTTCACGTTTGAGAAAAAATTTATATTTATGCGTACAGGACCTATTAAAATTATAACTAATAATTTCACTATATCCATTATATTGGAATAAAAATGTCAGTTGATAGGTTTTTTTTTATCCTTTTTGTTAATTTAAAGCTGATTCAAAAATATATATGAATAATTTTTTGATAGCAATTTTTCTTGTAAACGAGCAATTATCCGACATGAAACATGAAGACTCAGCTAAGAGGCTTTCTTACCTCCTATAGCGCAATTGAATTAATTATTTAGACCATAGTAACTTCCGTTTTCAAGAATTTCTGCGCATCAACACATATCCTGAATTCGAGTTAGCATTTTCACCAAAGGAGAACAATGCATTTTCTTATAAAATAAAATTTTTCATAAATAAACTGTTACACGCAGTAAGGGGATTAATGGGGAGAATAAGATTGTTGGCGAAATTTTGTCAATTGTACCTTGTTTAGACGCAAATTTTAATGCCTTAAATCTAAGCGAGCTGGAAAAAAATGTTACAAAAATGAATCTGTGTGTATTATTAGGGGCAGCAAAAGTGACGCTGGGAATACGTTACGGGGTCCGTGTGATGCTGAGCATCTTCAGCGTGTTGGTATCTGAAAATCAAGGATGAGGATTTTGTTTAAATTACCGTCGTATGGGCTCGAGGCGCCGAAGTCCTGATTTCCTAAGTTTGAGAGCGCTCTGCACGACTTAGGGTTCCATCGACGCATGGCCCGCAGGAAGCGTCTTGGCAGCGAGTGCTCGCTGGCGACCATCGATGCCTTCGGTGAGGCCCACTCGCTGGCCATCGCCACTCTTGCTGCCTTCAATTAGCGCACAAAAACAACAAGTGCATTTAATCACACTGGCCAGCTCCGGATGAAGAGCCTTCGCTTGTTGCCTCCTCTCTGCTCCGCCCTCTCTTCCTCAGACGGTGATGTCAATACAAGAAGAAAAAACCAGAGAAGAAGAAGCCGACAGACCTATTTTTAACCCGAGTACTCTACTTGTGCACGCGCTGTGCTTCCTGTCGGATTGACAGAGGGCGCTCAGCTATTTCAAGCACTTAAAATTCACTCTCTCTCTCTCACTCATAAACCACTCAAATCAACTCCAATCAAGCATAATAAAATTAGCCCCCAAACGACGAATCTGGTCCAAAATTTTTCTCCAGCTGCAGAAGATATTTCGTCTGGAATTGCCTTTTGAACACCCGTCGTGAGGCCCCATTAGTGTTTTTTTTCCCTCCTTTTAAATGGCTCGACATGCCTTGTTCTTGTTGGGCTCGACATTGGTTCCGACAACCCTTTAAGATGGGGTCAAACCCAAAGTTAAAATAGAAAGTATTGCGACACAAAAAAGTGATAATTATCCACGCTTCTCAGCGCAAGCGCCAAAATTCACGACTATTATGGTTTTGCAAGGTGAAGATAAAAAAAATCAATAAAATTAAAAATTAAATCTAGAGTTCAACTCAAGCCTTGTCAATGTAATTGCAAAATAAAAACAAATAAACTCTCACTGCAATTATGACTTTTAAATTAATAATTTTTGAAGACCAAAACTTCTGAATCCAAAATTAAATAAACGCAATTTTTTCACAATTTGATCTTCTGTAATTTAAAAAACAAAATCGTGCACACAACTTAGAATAAAAAAAATTAGCTCCGCTTTAATTTTTTATAGGAAGAGATTACAACTTCAAACCCTTATTAAATAAATAAATAAAATTTTGTCGTGTTTTATCTCAAAAGAGAGCCCAACCACGAATGGAATTAAAAAGGTGAAACGGAATAGTTTTGAAATCCAGTCTACAATGGCAGGTTAGCTTGATTGAAGAAATTTTTGCCATTTCTCTTTACAAAAAAGTACCTGTAGGGAAGAGAACATCATTAAGTAGTATATATCCCAAAATTTACTTCTTTTTTAATTAGTTACTAACTTTAAATAATTACAATTATTTTAAGTAAAATTTAAGCACCAAAGTTGAAAAAAAAACTAGATTTATAAGTGCTTCACAATTAAGGAGTATTTTTAAAAATAAAAATACTATTTTATGCTAAATTGTTGTGAAATGATATTTAAAGAAAATAATGAATATTATATTACGTTGTTCAGATTAAAAGCGGGATTGAAAATTGAGAAAAACTTTTCCCCCCGAAAATTCCCGTTAATCTTCAAGATTTGTTAATATTTGATGAATACAAAATGCGACTTTGGTCGCTTAAATTATCATAGTAGAATTACTTTATTCCACAAAGAGAAATACAGACGATACACTGAATAGTTATGTAGTTTTTCTGACATTTAATAGATCTAATTGCAACCTAATATAAAAGCTCAAAATTGATTTTTACATCCAAGTTAATTAATTGAAAATCTATTTCAAACTTTGAATTCAGTGAATGTTAAAGTTGTCTAAATCTTGTTTAAATCAATGCAAATGCCTATGCATTATTATGTTAAAATGTTCAGAGAATATTTCACACACACTTTCAAGTCTTAAAATTACCTCTAGAGATTTACGAAAATGCTTAAAATTACATTTTTTTTGTGTGTCATTATTTTATAGACAATTTTTGCTTCGCGTTTCCGCTTGATTTTGTTTCAGCAGCTGATTGAGTCTCAGTATGAATGTGTTTCAGACGCAAACATTATCAAGGAATTTAGTGGCGTCGGGGACGCTTGTTGGGGAAATCGTCGCCCCTGCGGCTACCTTGCGACTGGTAGTCGTTGCCGCCACCCCAGCGACCACGATTCCCATTATTGAACCGTCCCCTGTCCATATCCCTTTCTCCCATCATGTCTCTATCCATCATGTCCGCATCATCATATCCACCCATTCCGTTGTTTGAAGATCCACGATCGAATGTGTCCATGAACGCTTTCGGGTCCTAACCAAAACCACAACATAAACAAAATTACCGTATTTTGATCGATATCACAAGTTTTTCAATATTAATTAAGACTCTAATCTCAACTGCACCAAAGAGCAATTTCAAGCAAGCAAAAATATTAGTCAATATTTATGACAAATTCATATCTAAAAAGAAGAAATAACAAATAATACAAAAGAGCGCAATCTTCCAATTCAGTTTTCCCCGGGAATAATAATAACTTAAATTATTTAAAATGAAATTATTAAGTTTTCTTGTTCATAGGATTAATTAATCAGTTTAAATTCACAATCAGTATTATAATGATTTATAGTTTCATAATTCATAGTTAAGTTTTGAATGAACACTGGTGTTTTTTTTTTTTTTTTTTTTTTTTTTTTTTTTATTGGTCCAGTTGAGATTAAGATCATCTATAATAAAAACCACAAAAGTTTCTTAAATTTACAAAGACTACCAATATTGTTTAAGTTTTACTATCCAACATCTGCAATCTCTAAGACCAAAAAATTAACATACTTTGATCGTAAATATTAAGTTATTATTTCAATGAGACAATTAATAGTTTTTATTTTTCTCTTATGATAATTGCAAGTAATAATTATCTACGTAAAAATGTCAATTTTGTCTGAAAAAATCAATAAGATTCTTCATGGAGTTTGAAAATTCCTAAACACAAAATAAAAAAGTGTAAAACTAAATCGAGTGAAAGGTAAACTAGAAAAAACTGAGTTTGTACTTGAGATAAAAAAAAATTGAAGAAGTATTTAAATAAAATGAGAGATTGCAGATTTAAATAGCAAGAATTAAATGAGCAATTTATATATTATGCACAGAATTAGATTTTTGCGGCAAATACCAAATTAATATATCAGTTTCGAAGATTAATTAGAAGACAACTCGGCCGTATAAAAGAGAACAATCATCATGAAAATCTTTTACATTGCGCCACCTACGTGAACTGCAGGTTGGCAAAGCACACGCTAGAGATTTTGTTGCAAAGAGCATCGTTAAGTTTATGATTTATAGTTTTCCTTTAAAGCACATGTCGTAAAATATTTTATATTTGCGCAGCTCCACATACTTTGTATTTAAGTGAGGCTGCAAAATAAATTAACGGCTTAACTAATATTGCTTTTTTTACCCTCAGTAAATCGACGCGCAGTTTTTTTCAATAGGTTTGATGATAACAAAAGTATCAATCAAATATAGAAGTTGCGGTTGGCACGGATTGCCAATTGGCTAAAAACGTGCAAATGATCGCAAGAAAAAAATCCACTTTAAGGGTAAGGGGTGTAAGGTACGCAGATTGTTTCCTAAAATGTCAATAAGTGCTGGTAATATCCCTACACGTTTCCAAGTTTTTCATTAACTTCCTTTAATTAGTAATTTTCCTCCAATCCTGCTCCAATCTAAATAATATGCATTTTAAATTTTAATTCATCCGTAAAAATATTATTATATAGTATAAGGTAATCCGCAAATTCAAAACGTAAGTGATTAAAATTGTTCTCAATGCAACAAAATATCTAAACGGTTGCAGCGATAAAAATTGAGTATAATATCCTGCAGTTTAAGTAGTAGGAGCAATGACGTCGAAACATCGCAATATTAGTGGAAAGGTGCAGCGAAAATTGGTCAAATAGGTGCAAAAAGTACAAAAATTATAGTCTGCAGAACCGAATTTGATTTCGAAAGCTGAATGCAATGATGCAAAAAGAAATAACTTATAAAAAGTATATTCCTCTTTGTGCCATATTGTTAAAAATAATGGGCAATATTCCAATAAACTAGCAAACTTTGGTAGCTTCGAAGAAATTATATCGTTTTGTATTTGTCTCACACAGCTCTTTCAGTGGTTTAACTAATTTTAGTTAAAAAATTTTAATTTCCTTGAAAATTTTCATTTCAAAATAATTAATCCCAGGTTGATTTAATTTTCTTTCAAAAGCAAGTTATGTGCTCGTCTGAATGTAGTAGTTAAAATTATACTGCTCACAAGACTTATTGTTGAGTGCGCATCTATTTAATAATATGATAAGTCATCAATAGGTGATGCTGAAAATATATTGTTAATTGTTATTTCATCCGAATATTATCAATATGTCTTCTCGGGTCTTCTCTTGATGGATCAAAGCGTTTCTCATGTTATTGGGCTTGCAAAGCGTTTTTTTTTTAATAATGCGAGGCGATGAAAACAATTGGCTGACAAATAAATCATCAGCTGTGTTCATTTTTAAGAGTTAAGCTCTTACTCAGCTTCCGATGTAAATCAATTCTACGCAGTTTGACATCCTAGGCCATTAGTTTACCAGACGCAATCAATTCAACGTTTTATTATCACACAACTTGTTCTCGAAGTTTCCTATTAATCCTATTGTAATTCATTAAAGACAAGAACGCCCCATTTTGCTCTGGCTCCGCGTGCAAGACGCAATCTCTTTAAAAATGACAAATATAATTCGGTTTGCCATGATGAGAGGATCTCTCCCTTCACTGCGGCTTTTGAAGGGTGGTTTAATACTTCTAGAGGTGAGTGGGCTTGTCAACTGTCCTTTTCAAAAATGCGCCTCAACCCTGTAATGTGTTTGAGCCCCATGAGTACAGGGCTATTCTATACCAGTAATTTAAGTTTCATATGTACGTCAATGCAGAGCTCTCCTGTTATATTAGTTGATAATAGAATTATCCTCATGTGCATGAAAATTCCTTATTTAAATTTGCTGAGTTGTCTTAATTTACAAGATGATGTAAATGGCAAAATATGGCATATTCTTATTTAATTTAATATGCATATTGGTTTTTAAATTTTAGTAGACTATTGAGCATAAAACTTGTGATTCCAAAATTGTACGACTTGATAGTTTTTCTAATTCATATTTGACCAATTCCACTGCACCGGTAATTGAAAAATTCACCTTTAAAACGACAGATCATTTAAAATATAAGTTAAAGAAATTGAGAGAGTAAATTTGAAATCGGGTACTCACCACTGGCAGATTTCCAGGCCCACCTGAGAAGTGGAAACACATTATTAGAACATACTGCATTTTACTATCAAAAAATGTACCTCGCATACCAAAACCATCTCCACCCATTGGGCTGTCAAAGTCGTCTCCCAGCATTGCCTGCTCCTGTTTATCCAAAAGATTGTTTAGTTGATGTGCCTGAAAATAAATTGATCAAAATAAGTTAAGTTTGTAAGAAAATAAGCTTACATTAATAATTGATTCAAAAATCAAACAGCATAACTCGAACACTCGTGTCATGCAACTGAAATCAAATTTTCAAACAAAATCGACAATCATACCTGCATGAAGAGAGTATTTTCAGCTTGACGGCGCCTCATGTCTTCCTCCTGACGGACAATCCGCATTTGCATCTCCTCCTGCTTTCTCCTCATCATCTCCTCGTCCTGTCTCTTGCGCTCCTCCTGCTGGCGCTCCTTCATTTCCCAGTCCCTCTTCTGACGGTCCCTGTCTTGCTCACGCTGGCGGAGCTCTTAACAAAATTTAAATATTAAATTATCTTTCAAATAAATTAACAATTTGTCATTACGGTTACGCAGCATTTCTGTCTCATGCTCGTACTTGGCGTACTCCATCTGAGCCTCCAGCTTTTCCTCCTCCAGCTTCATTTCCCTCTCGGCAGCTTCCAGCTTCTGTTTGCGGAGTTCGAAAAGCTGCTTCCAGCGAGTGCCATAGTCGTGCTCAAAGCTGTTGATGTTGGCAAATCGAGGGCCCATTTCGCGCTCCTTCATGAAATCGTTGGACTTCTTGAACATGCTCTTGTCGGGCAGGCCGTCAGGGTCAGAGATCTCTTCGTGCATCTCGACAATGGCCGGACGCAGGGCAGAAGTGAGGAAGAAGCAGTTTTCGTTGCACTTCCTGACAGCAAGAACGGCAGCAGGTTTGCGCTGGAACTCGACGATGCCAGCGCCAGTGGATTTTCCACGCTCGTCTGTGATAATGTACGCTCTCTCAATCTAAGTACAGCAATAAGTTATTATTTACCTTTTTGCTAAATATTAAATTACCTCTCCGAAAACGCTGAATGCAGTTTCCAGCAGCTCATTGGACACATACGGAGTGAGATTCCGCACTTTGATTATGGCGCCATGAGGTGCAAATCTGATTTTCAGAACCTTTCCCCTGCGAGGAGTTCCGTCCAACTCCCTCCTGGCTTTCTCAGCACTGGCTCTATAGTCCTGTAAAATTAAGGGAAATAAGTTTAAGAACAATTAAAAATTGCATATTAATTTACCATTTTGACAAAAGCAAAGTTCTTGTCTTTGTTCACAAATATTTCGGATGGTTCGCCGTATGGAGTGAACATGTTTTTGATATCTTCGTCACTTGTGTCAGCAGTTATGTTTCCGACGTAAAGACGGCAATGTCCAGAGAACTTAACCTCGGCTTCACCTTCTTTCGGTGGCAACTCGAAAGTTGGTCCGCTCAGGGCAGCAACACGCTCGTTCAGTCTTTCCTGTAATTAGAAATTATTTATAGGTTTTAAGTTTTAAACAAATTAAATTTAAAATGGATAATTAAAATTGGAATAACTACAAACCTCCATCGTTCGTGGGCCTCCACCACCTCCTCTGGGTCCTTGGAAAGGTCGGTTGAATGGATTGAATTTTCCGCCACCACCTCCATGGGGTCCACGTTCTTGCTGATTGAAGGGTGGTCGGTTGGGGCCTCCCTGCATCTGATTAAAGCCACCCTGGTTCTGATTGAAACCACCCTGATTCTGATTGGGGCCGCCTTGATTCTGATTTGGGCTGCCCTGATTCTGATTGGGGCCTCCCTGACTTTGATTTGGGCCTCCTTGCATTTGATTTGGCCCACGCTTCAAATTGGGACTTTGCTGCATCAGGTTCGGAGGTCCTCTTTGCTGGAATGGCTGCTGATTCATGGGCGGCTGTTGATTCTGCTGCGGGGTCTTCTGCTGATTCTGAGCCCCTCCCTGAGCGGCCGCTGGAGTTTGTTTGACGGCCGGGGACGCAGCTTCCGCCTTCACCGGAGCCTCAACCTTCTTCTCTGCCGGTTTTGGAGATTGCGCCTGAAGAATAAGTAAAAAAACAAAATTATGATTTGCAATTAAAATTAAGATTAAATTTACGGGTGGCTTTTGCGGCTGGTTCTGTGGTTGGCCTAGAGGCTTGTTCTGCTGCTGGCCTTGAGGCTTGTTCTGCTGCTGCGGATTGCTCACAAGAGGCTTGATGGCTGGCTGCGGCTGCTGGGCCTGTGCTGGCTTCTGCTGGGTGTTTTGTTGCGGAGCGTTTGGTGGTTTCTGCTGGTTTTCAAACAGCGGATTCGGTTTGTTCATGCCGCCCATCATGGGTCCGGGTCCGCCACTAAAACGATTATTGAATCCACCACCGCGGGGGCCGCCACGGCCCCTCATCATGTTTCCTCGAAACATCCCACGCATTGCTGTCTGGAAAAGAAAAAAGTCAATTGTTTCGACTTATTATTTACATGATGCTGTTGTGACGGCGAAATAAAAAATGTCCAGAGGCCTTGGGAAAATTTGAAATGGGCCATTGTGTGAAAGTTTTGAAGCGATTTTCAGCCACAAATACGAACCGATGCTTAGATTTCTACGCTGGAAAAGCAGCGGCGTCTGAAACTGGAGTGCTGCGGAGTTTTCTGCTGCCCAGAAATCCAATATCGGCCTAAAAATCCGAAAATATCTGGCAATTTAACTTCGTAATAGAATACAATGATGGCAGAACTCGACAAGTGTGATAAAGAAGGCAGAAGAAGTAGGGGGAGAAGCGTCATTTGCCGGTGCTATTTGCACGTAAAATCAGGGTAAAGACAAAAACCTCCTTGGAAATTCGCATTTGTGAAGCGGGGAATTTAAAAATGGCCTACCTTGGAGCAGCCAATGAGCATTGAGGGCTCGATGGGCTGGAGAAAAAAGACCAATCAGAGTCGGTGCCCTTCACATGTCATTGTGCACCTTTGCTCGCCGGCCTCGCCGCAAGAAGGGTCACTCACGAAGCAACCACAGACCGGGGATACGTGCACCGTCAATTAAACGAAACGCTGCCGAGACAAGGAACCAGAGCGAATTGTGAACTGACAGCTTCAGGACAAGTCCAAGCAGGTGCAACCTTTTTCTGTTGATCTTTTAACTTTTTTTCCTTTCGAAAATAATTCAATTTTTATCAAAATATAATATACATTTTTTTCAAGGTCAATTTCGCTGTCAAAAAATTCTTAACTCCTATACATATGCTTACAAGCGAAAGTGATCTTGCACTTTTGCATTGGTAATATATTTTATCCTAACATATTTTAGGATGGAGGTAAAGGCAAACCTCACTTCAGAGCCGAGTTGGAAGGCTTTGCAGGATTATTTCAATGCCAACAAAGATAAGCTGGACATCAAACAATTGATCCAGAAGGAGGATCGATTTGCTAAATTCAGGTAAATATGCAACGAGTAACGACACAAGCCTATTGCATAAATGAAACATAAATACAAAAATAATTTATTTTGCGTTCAAAATTTTATGCCATCAAACCACACAGACCACACTCCTGCTATTTTTTCTAAAATATTTTCCCAAAAGCAAAAAATTGCGAAAAATTGTAGTGTGCGTCGCTCTTAAAAAGTAATAAAAAATCGAGATAAAACTTTACAATATGTGGGTTATGCAAGACATTACGTGTATTTCAGGAATCTGCTGAGATATAATTTGGCGAATGTAGCCAAAATTTCAGTCATTCTTTCTTAAAAAATTCTTCCACTATCTTTGCGGGGAAAAATTTATTAAAAAAAAAAAATCAAATAATGAAACTTCTCATTTTATATTATTATTATTAATTATCATAAAAATTAAAGAAATTAAAATTCATGCTTTAAAAATATGCAATAATTACCTCCCCTATAAAAATATCTTGGACACAAACTGGTATAAACTTGGCTGAAACAGGGTTTTGACGGCATAAACTAGGAAACAAACAAAAAATTTTGGCAGTTGACGGTCTTTGACAGAAATCCAGTCCTCAACCCGGTGTTTGTGTCCAAGTTTATTCCAAAGTTTATTTCCTGTTTATGTCCATCTGAGCGGTCGGGAGTCACATGCCTGTTTTTTTCCATTGTTTGTTCCCGAGTTTATGCCAAGGCCAGCGGTGCGGGGTTTTTCCCTGTTTATTCCCAAAGTTTATTTCCTAGTTTATGTCCATCCGAGCGGTTGGAGTCACATGCCTGTTTATTTCCAATATTTGTTCCCAAGTTTACGCCAAGGCACAAGCGGTGGAGGGTTTCTTCCCGGTTTATGCCCAAGTGTTTATTTCCAAGTTTCTACTTCTAAAAAAAATTCCATTTGTGTCCCAGTTTACTCCAAATATTTTAGTCAAAGTTTATTCTTATTTAAATTAAAAGGGCAGGTAAAATTATGAGATGTCGTATTTTACATAAAAACTTGAAGTTAAAAAAAAATTGGATGAATATGAAATAATAAAAATTAATAGACCATATTACCGACTAGATTAAATATTATTATTTTTTTTTTGGTAAATAATTTAAAACGATTAAAATAATATGAGAAGAATAAATAACAGTTAATAAAACAGTTATCATTATTTTTATATATTTAAGTGTCAATTAATTTAACTTAATTTATCCATATCTGTGTTCTTGTAATAAGTTTAAATTATTTTAAACGCGGCTTGGTAATTTTTTTTTTTAGCAGATATTGATAAGTTTTTATTTTTTACTGACTAGGTAATATTTATTGCTCGCATATTTTGTTTTAGTAAGGTTGAAGCTTAAATATATTAAATATTATTAAAAATATAAAGAACATTAAATTTTTATTACCATAAAAAATGCGGCTATATTTAAAAAAAAATTAAAATAAAATGAATTTTTATAATAATTATATATTCTGAATACATACAACAATAACAATATATTAGTTCTATTTAATTTGAAAAATAAAAAAAATTACTGTTCATTACCTCTATTTTAATTTTTTTAGTTTAAAATAAACTTGAATTCTAAATCTTAATTTTCCAAGCAGAATTAATGAAGACGAATGACAGGTTAAAATTATTCTCATGCAAAAATATTTTGATTCGACATTGGACAAGGATTATTTTGCATGCGTATTAATATTTTTTTTTCGAAGTCTTTTGGAAAAAATTCATATCATATTCTAATGTTCTAAATTTCTGATTTTTCCCCCTCAGATTTTGCTTCACGCGCACATGTTAAGAAATTTTTACTTTCTAGCAAATAATTCTACATTGAGGAAACATTTAAATTATATTCTATAATCTAAATTTTTAAATACGCAAAGCTTCTTTATTTAATACAAAATTAGTTTAAAAAATTAATATTATTTTTTTATGAGCGCGTTTAAATGTTTGATACAAGAATGTTTAGTTATAGTTCATCTTTTTAATCGAATTTTATTTTTATTGGAACATTGTCAACAATTCAAATCTCATCTTTCGCGCCTTGAACTTCTTTCAAACGTAAACATTTCTCAGGCAAACCATGCGCAGTTGTATGAATTTGGTTCTGCGCACACTTCACCAACTATTCGGCTCGCGCCTCTCGCGCCGCGGCTCGACCGTGGCTCACTTTTCAAACAAAATAACCGTCGTTGTTTTGATTTGGTGTGGATGCCGGGTTTTGTGACTGATCGCAGAGTTTTGCCGTTTTTTCCGGAATAATGGTCAAGATACGGTTGGAAAGTGAAGCCAAAGCGTCCTGGGATTGGCAAACGTTCAAAGTACGGTGGAAATTCGGGTGAATTGACTTTAATAACGCGCTCGATATGGAGGAATTCGACTTGCAGCCCGCGTCCGGTCACTTCGTGAACGACCCAAGCCAAGCTACTGCCGCCCAGACAGGGACTGGGCCCTGGATTACAAATCAACCTCCGCTCCAAATTAATTTCAAATCAGGTACTTATTTTGCCACTTTTAAGACCCCCCCATGAATACATTACAAATTTTCTATTTCCCTATTAACCTGTTTTGTATAAAAATACTAAGGAACTTATTTTAATCATGCTATTTTTTAATTTTACAGATCCGAGTTCAGAGTCCTGAATTAATTCAACAACTCGATTACTTCAAAGACGGACGGGAATATTCGATAATAAACTTGATTCACAAGAAGCCTAACGAGAGGACCGGATTGCTCTGATCGTTTTAACTTTTGAGGTGAGCAGTGAGCTTAATTCCAAAGTTAATTTAACTGACTGAACTACGTGAACCTTTCTTTTAGAAATTAAAATTTATTACAATAACAAATCAATAATATATTATTTTTAGTGTTAAAAATTAAAAATGTTATTAAAAACCTTTTCTGACTAGCTATTTACAACAATTTTGTTAATAAAATTTGAATTTTTACTTTAATATCTCTATAACTTTTAATACTCAATTAAAGCTTAATTTTAACTCGTTATATGACTTGTTAAGTAAAATTTTCTAATGGGAAAATTTCTTTTGTTTACAGATTGGGGAAAAGAGCCATCGAAGAGAAAAATGTCACATTCCTCTGAGTTTGATGGTGAGAACCGTGGACTTAATTTTTCAAAAGTTGATTTTAAGGTTGAAATATATTTGATTAAATTATGCTTTTATTAACTTGTGATTTAAATATTTGGATAATAAAAAATTGGTTTAACTTCAATGTTGAAATTTTTAATAAAATTAAATAATATCTCTACTGGTTTAAATTTTAATAAATCAATAAGGATGTTTGAAATATGGATTATATAATGTAGCAAAGTTGATTATATGTTCAATACAAGGAATGCAACACTTATTGCTTAATTATCTCAATTTAAAAATTATGTCGTACGTAATAATGATAATTTGCAACTGCTGTAATAAGGAACTGCTGAGAAAAAGATTAATATTTTACATGTTATTTACTATTATGATTTGTGATTGTACTTATTGTATTTTATTTTATTGTATTTTTATGTTGTTATGAAATAAAGACCATTATTTTACTAATAAAAAATGTGAGCTGATTTAAATTTATGCAACCCGCAAAGAGAATAAACTTGGCAATAAACTAAAATAAGGGGAGGTAAGCTTTGACACAAACTAGGGAATAAACAAGAAGATCACAAAGGGGAGGGTGGACATAAACTGGGGTACAAACCATGGCATAAACTAGGGAATAAACTTGGCCACAAACATCCTCGTCTAGAAGCTGGAATAAACATGGAAATAAACGAGTGCCAAATTCCTACCCTGTTTGTGACAACAGTTTATTCCATGTTTTTTTCCCTGTTTCTGACAAGTTTTTGCCTCAAAAATGTTATGGGGGCTTCCAAAGATTTTCCTTTCTTGAAACCCTTATGCTAAAAAATTATTTTTAATTTTAATATTATAGTTTGAAGTTGGGAACACCTGAAGATGGAGACATTTTGCTGGATTTTTCAAAGAACAGAGTTGATGACAGCACCCTTGCTCTTCTTTTCGACCTGGTAAAATTTAAAATAAATTTATCAAATGCGTCATTTTAATTTATTTTTGTCTAAATTTTTTCCTAGGCCAGAGCTCGCAAAGTGGACAGTGCCAGGAGCGCCATGTTCTCTGGTCAAAAAATCAACTTCACTGAGGGCAGAGCAGTCTTGCATATTGCCCTGCGGAACAGGAGCAACACCCCCATTGTCTTGGACGGAGCCGACGTGATGCCCGATGTGAACGCCGTTTTGGCCCACATGAAGGAGTTCACTGAAAGCGTCATTAGTGGTGCCTGGAAGGGCTACACTGGCAAAGCCATAACTGATGTCATCAACATTGGCATTGGAGGCTCCGACTTGGTATTGCAATTTTTTCACACCGAAACAATCTTTAATGCAAAAAAAATCCAGGGTCCGTTGATGGTAACCGAAGCTCTGAAGCCGTACGCCATAGGTCCGAGAGTGCACTTTGTTTCCAACATTGATGGAACCCATTTGGCTGAAACTGTGAAGAAGCTGAACCCTGAGACTTCTCTTTTCATTATCGCCTCCAAGACTTTCACGACCCAAGAAACAATTACGAACGCCACCTCTGCCAAACTTTGGTTCCTCGATGCTGCAAAAGATGTGATATTTTTTTTCACCGCGATTCCAAATGTAATTTATTAATTGTTTTATTTTACAGCCCAGTGCCGTTGCAAAGCATTTTGTGGCGCTTTCGACGAACCGAACTAAAGTCATAGAATTTGGCATAGACGAGAAGAACATGTTTGGCTTCTGGGACTGGGTTGGAGGTCGTTATTCTCTCTGGTCTGCTATTGGTCTCTCTATTGCCTTGAGCATTGGTTACAACAATTTTGAATCTCTTCTTGCGGGTGCGCATTTCATGGACCAGCACTTTGTCACGGCCCCACTTGAGAAAAATGTACAAAAATTATCTTAACATTGATGCAATTATTAAAGCTTTACTAATTTCAGGCGCCTGTGATTCTTGCCTTGCTCGGAATTTGGTACAGTAACTTTTATGGTGCTGAAACTCACTGCCTGCTGCCCTATGATCAGTATTTGCACAGATTTGCTGCATATTTTCAACAGGGAGATATGGAGTCCAATGGAAAGTGAGTTTCGTCAGGAAAATGCGACGCCGGAAATAAGAATATTTTATATTTAGGTACATCACTCGAGCTGGAAAGCAGGTTGACTACAGCACAGGGCCCATCGTGTGGGGCGAACCAGGCACAAATGGCCAGCATGCATTTTACCAACTCATCCACCAAGGAACTCGTCTGATTCCTGCCGATTTCATTGCCCCTGCCCAAACTCATAATCTTGTCCAGAACGGACTTCACCACAAGGTATATTTTCCATTAAATAAATATATTTTGATTTCATCAAGTGTTAATCTCGTATTTTTTTCAGATCTTGCTGTCCAACTTCTTGGCGCAGACTGAGGCTCTTGCCACAGGAAAAACTGCAGAAGTTGTCAAGCAAGAGTTGGAGAAGTCCGGACTGGCTCCAGCGGACATTGAGAAAATTCAGCCACACAAAGTCTTCTTGGGCAACAAGCCAACGAACTCAATTGTAGTCAGGAAACTGACACCTTTCACTCTTGGTGCTCTAATTGGTAATGCAAAGTAAAATTTGCTACATTCTTTGAAATTAATCTTCATTTTTTTTTTAGCAATGTACGAACACAAGATCTTTGTCCAGGGGGTCATTTGGGACATCAACTCTTATGATCAGTGGGGGTACGTGTGAAATATTTCATTGAAAATATTATTACTACTAATGATGAATTTAAATTATTGCAGAGTGGAGTTGGGCAAGCAACTGGCCAAAGCCATTGAGCCCGAATTGCAAGATAAGACGCCCGTCTCTAGCCATGATTCCTCAACCAACGGTCTGATAAACTTCTTGAAGCAAAACTTCTAAAAGCAATGGTTGTCCTTAGATAATTAGTGATGTTTTAGGCCAAAGCCTTTTCTTTTTGTTATGAAATTCAATGTTTTCAAATAAATAGGTGAATGATGTCATCAGTGTTAAAAGTAATTAAATTGCTTTTTTTTTATTAATAACTGTGTTTATTCAATATAAATTCTTGCATATTATTAACAATTATTAATGAGATTTTTAATTAATTGAACCCTGCGACCTAAAAAAACATTCATTACCGCCGCATATAATTACAAAAGGATACAATATTATAATTAACAATAATGAGAAAATCAGTAGGGTTCAATGAATTCAGTGTTGAACGTACACATCAGCACACGCGTGCTTAGCAAACCTGACGAGTGCGCTCAACAGCTCGCATGTGTACGTATATGAACCAAAAATATACCGCAAGAGAGGAGTATTCATTTCCTTTACATATATGTGTGGTTCGCCTGTGAAGGTAGGTTACTTTTAAGGCAAGACTGCTACCCACTCAGTCGCTGGCTGACTGGCTGGCTTTGCCCACCTCAAGTGCATTGCGTAAAGCTGGCAGACGGCAGTTTAGCTGGCTGAATGCCAGTCGACCTTTGCATCGCTCTCTCTGGCCACTTACCCTGATAGCTCGCCGGTGGCCGCAATCACCATGGGCCTTAAACTTCTCGTGCCCTTTGCCCTATTGGCTTCGGTGTGCGCTTTACAAAAGGGTGAGTAAATTATTTTAAAATTTGGTAAATAACTTTTTTTAAACAGAATAATCACACTTTTTTAAACTGTTTTCATATCATATGGTTGAAACATTAAATCAAAAATTGGAAATTAAATTCAGTATTTATTTAGCAGTTTAGAAAGCACGAGTTGGAGTTTCAGGAAGCGGTGGATATTAGATTTCAATCACGTTTATTGTGTGGGTTGATATTCTTTAGCTTTAGTATGCTCTTGGGATATTGTAAAAGGCAACCTCTCGAGTCGTTGTGATTCTAAGAGGTGTTAATTCGTCAAGGCCAAAAAAAGGAAAAAAAGGATTGAAATACTTGAAAGCGTTCATATGTATTTGTTTAAGTGGGTGCCTTTGCCTTTCTAGCATTTTTTTCACCTCTCAACCTTCTTTTTTGTGGGAATATTTTTATCACATACGGCGCCGCATCAGATGCAATAAAAAGTAAAAGCGCAGAAGTGGCACCATTGTTCTCTATGTGGGCGGCATGAATATTTATCACAAGGCATATAATTTTGTGGAAAACGAGTCGGAAAGATCTAAACACGAATTTATTTTGTTGATGAAATCAAAATTAAAAATTATAAAATGAAATAATCACCGCGCGCTTTGCACACCGAGTTTTTGCGTGGACGTATTAAAATGGGAGCACCGCACTTTCCCTCATGCCATTTACCAATGCGCAATAAATCTGCATTGATCGATGGAGATGGAGAGCAGTGAGGCTGCATAATAAATTGTTATTGTTTTATGCTGAATCTGAAACCACTCGGCTATCATTTAAATCTTTTACAGAGCCACACTACAAGGTGAAATGCAATGATGAAACCATGGTCATAGAAGTTGCACGTCAAGAGGGTTCTATCGCCTATTTGGAAAACTTGAAAGATTTCCACGGTAATAAAAACATACTATTCAAAATTCAAAATCAATTAAAATTTGTTATTAGATCCTTTGTGCAAAGCTCAAGTGGAGGAAAAGTACCTTCGATTCAACCTTGATTTGCAAGATATTTTTAAATGCGGCACCACAAAAGTTCGCAATTTGAAACAAGTACGTTTTTAATACATTTAATGTGATGAAAAATGCATAATTTTAATTTTTTTAGGGTTACTCAAATTTCCATCAAATGGTGATTGTCGAATATGAGGACGGATCGAAGACCAGTTTTGAAGCTTCATGCAAAAGTACAACTAAAAAGGTCAACAAACGAGAAGTTCTGCCTGCTGGTTTTCAAGAGCCTGAGTGAGTGCTTCACTTAATTATCCGAATGCACGGGGGAAACGGATCTCTGCCCCGGCGCTGTTTTAATTTCTCATATTAAATTAGGCGTGTATTAGATAAAATTTAAAATTATATCTATAGCGCAAAAATTGTATAAAGCCCCTGCGAGGTCATGTTTGACTTTTCAATTTAATTTTCTTTTCAACGCAATAAAAAAATTAATAAATTATATTTCTACAGAGACCTGGAAATAACTAGCAATTACACAAAAGAAGCCCCTCAACCCGTCCTACGGGTGAGTGTTCTTCAATCTGGCCGTGTTGTTACCGACGAGCTCAACGTGAGCCCTGGCACCACCTTGCAAATGGAACTTGGGTTGGACCAGTACAGTGCTCCCGTCTACGGCCTGCTCGTTTCACATATGCAAGTGTCGGACCTCAAGTCTCAGGAGGAAACCATCATTTTCAACGGGTAAAATTTTAATCAAATAGAATTTTTTAAATAAAAATTTCTGCTTGCTTCCAGTTGCTCAGTGGATCCATTCTTGTTTGAAAATTTCTACACAACTGACGGTGACGTGTTGAGGGCCAAATTCAGAGCTTTCAAATTCCCCGACTCGACATACGTTCAATTCAAGGGAACCGTCAACGTTTGTCTTGACAAGTGCAGAGGGGTAAATCAAATTTCATCAAACTGATCATTTTGAAAAGTTTCAAATTTTAATTTCAGGTGGAATGTAGCAAGAACCAAATTGGCTATGGCAGGAGGAGAAGAGCAATTCTTCACCCCGAGTTGCCTCCCGATCCGAATAAGGTGTTCGAGATTACAATGAGCAGCATTTTCAAAATTGAATCAAAGGGAGGCCTCGTTTCCAATAAAGGTAATACTTATTCCGATCGGTTGAAAAATATAGAAAGGATTTGAAATTAAAAAAAAAAAATATATATATTTTCATTCATCAATTTTGGTCATGATCATAAGCATGGTTATTTTTTTCTAATTTAGGACTGATCAAATAAATTAATTGCAGGAAAATTGGCGGCATTGAACGAGCCAGCAACTGTAAAAATGCAAGATACCACACAGCAATTGAAGGGCAAGCATGAAATGAAGAAGCAGTAGAGCTGAAGCGAATTTTGAAAAAAAAAAATGAGCACTTTTTAATTATAATTAGTAAAATAAAATTACTGACAGTAAATTTACTACAAGAAATTTTCTTGGAACTAAAATTAAAAATTATGCCAATTATGCTTAAGTAAAACTATGATTTTGATAAATCTCTGAAACATTTTAAAACTAACTGTGATTTGTACTTTTAATTTCAATAAAGACGAAACTTCACTACCATTATTAAAATGTAATTAGTGCTCTAGTGGCGTTTTAATCAAATTCAGAAGTACATAAACCTGGTGTAGAATATGTTGTGACTGCGATGATAAATCCTTCAAGTAATTTTCGGTTTCTTATGCGACGAGCACGACTCGGACGGTTCTTCTTCTTTTTCACTCTTTGTCACCTCTGAGGTAGCGACTTCCGCAGGTGGTGGGGAAGAAGTTTTTGGCAAAGAAAATAGGGGCAGAATAATTGGTATGGGTATGGGAATGGGCAGGGGAACAGGAAATGGCACCATAACCGTGACCGAAGGAAACGGTGGTCTCGCAGGTGGAGCGAAAGGTCCGAAGCCGAGACCTAAGGGTGGCCTCAAAAGGGGAGGCAAAGGTGGGCGCAACGACGGAAAACAAAATTGCTCCGGGAAACGAGGGGGTGGGGGAAGGGGAAAAGCTGCGTACGGATCAGGTAGGACACTACTCATGGGGTATGTCGCGGTGGGCTGAGTTGGAGCTGCTTCTTTGTACTTTTTTTCTTTCTCCACAATCTGGAATAAAACAAAAATTTAAGAAATAAGAAATTGTGCCAAAATTTAAAAATACATGAATTTGGAAGATTTAAAAAGAAAGAAAAAACCAAATTAATAAAAAAACCTCACCTTCTGTTTTGCTGGTGAGGAAATTTTTGGTGATGGCGTTTTCCTTGCTGGAGGTGCTGTCTGTTGTGCAGGACTAATGGAGCGGTTGCTACTGTGCGAGGATATGGTGGACTTTGGTGAATCAGAGCCAGCGCCGGCAAATCCCGATGCATCGTCATCACTGTTGTTTTTGCAGTCTTTGAGCCAAAGTTCCGGGGTTATCAGGGTGCCGTTCCCACTGCTACTCGGAGCCGACTGGTCCGAGTTGACTAGTTGTGATTGCAGGTGCGCCTGAGCCTCCTTGCAGAATATGCTCATTTTGCACTGATTCAAACACTTCTCGCTGAGAATTATCAAAATTTTGTCATCTAAGAATTAATTCATTTTGAATTCAGTACCTGCAGAACTGAAGTTGAGACTCGTTGTCCTTGAAGTCAACATAGTTTGTCGAGTGTCGGACGTGCTTGCACCAATCGCAGACTTTGTTTCTCTTGAAATTCGCTCTCCTGCACTGCGAGAAACATTGCTCGGAGCAGAAAGCTCTTTGCGGCTGATCTTTGCTGTCCTTCGAAGACGTGTTGTCTATGATGTGGGCACCCGTTTGATGACACCATGAGCAGAGTGTGAAGTCCGGACTGGTCTGATCTATTAAGAAAAATGAAATAAATAAAATGAAAAGTTCAATGTATATTAATTTTCAAGGAATGCTAAATAGCAAAAAAGTCGAATAATTAAAATTTAAAATACATCACTAGAAATTATTTATTCAAGCAATTCAAAAGAAAGGTAATTTCAGGTAATTTGATGAATTTATTTAAATTATTTTAATTCAATATCAAAGTAAATCAGTGCAGTAAAATCACTTCCAAAATAAATTAAAATACTAGCCGGTCATTAAAATATTTAAAAAATTTTAAGCAATGTATGATGAATTAAAAAAAAATATAAAAGGAATTAATAAAACATCAAGGATTAATTATATTTCATTTGTATGTAATTTATAAGTTTTCTTTTTAAAAATTATACGAATTTTGGTAAAAAAGCACTGCTTGTGCTTTGCACACCTCCCATATTTTATAATTGCATTGAGCCTCCGAATTAATGACCAAGCCAAGGTTCTAACAATTTCACTGCCCAATTAACAATCAGCACCGAGAAAATTCAGCCCGCGAAAGAGAAAACGCAGGATATTACGTTTCGTAATCAACCTAACAAACCGGAGATGATGGCCAAGGGGTGTTGTGGCGCATTTTTCCTCCTCCCATTTTTTTTTATAATAATACAATTTTCGAAGAATTTGTGAATGTTAAATTTTAACAATGTGAGCTGCCGAGGGAGATTTCAACACAACAAAAAAGTAATGCAAAAAATCGCGCCGACACCCTCGGCGCGGCGCTTCTATTAGCCAATAGAGTTCAATAAATGCACTGTCATCGGTATTCCGAGAACACCCGCGCTTGGCCCCACCTGCTTTATTTTCCTGGAATCTGGTCCTAAGGGTGCTAAAAACGGACCGAACCTCGACCATGTTTGCCGCATTGGATAATCAATGTGTTTACTTGTTTGTGTACTAAAAATTCAATTTAAATGATTATTTACAATTGAATAATAATATGAAATGTCAACAAATTTGTTTAAAGTGCAAAATAATAATTTCAGTTTAACATTAATAAAGGAAATATATTATGAGGTATTTGTAATAAATATTTAGTTAAATAGGGAAAAAAAATTAAATTTACTGTATCCTTTTTAATTTGCGCAAGTTCAATTTTTTATTTTTAAATAACAATTTTGAAAATTATTACCTTTGGATAGAGATGAGGGCAGCGATTCCACTCTGCCCGGGTCGATTTCGTCGTCAGAGTCCGTGGACTCTGGCGGCGCGGGTGTAGACTTTTGACGGTGCCTGGTGTGGGCAAGTCGGCGCGGCGCTCCACCTTCCAGCTGCATCTTGGCTCGTTTCTGTGAGGCGAGCAGAGAAGCCGAGGGACCGAAGTGGCGCAGTTGCAGTCCTTGGGTTTCTGCGCTGTCTACTTTTTCGTAGCCGTACCAGCCCAAGAGCTCGTTCATCGCAGTCTCAGCGTACTTCTGAAATTATAAGATTACACGTTTGAAAAATTTGAAGAATTCAATTATAAAATTTAAATACAGGGTGGCCCAAAATTCAACGACAGATTTTAATTTGCTGCCATTTTTGAACGGATAAAGATATTTGAGTTTTCTCAGCGGGAGAATGAAGTTCAGCTGTGGACGTTTTGTTGGTGCTATGGGCATCCCATTGTTGCAACGCATTGTTACTGAAAAATTGCCACAAACGTAAACGAAAAATTTCTCTTATGGGATTTCCATGTTAATTTTTAAGCTTTTTAAATTTTTGACTTTTTAAACGGGACAAAATGTTTTCTAGCCTAAAATTTTGCGAGGAACACGATTCTGATGTCTAAATTTTATTCCAGTAAGTATAAAATAGACTTTTTGACTCAAATTTTATGAAAATGAAAGGTTAGGTCAAATTTGACCTCACCAATTGATTCAGCTTGCCGAGTTTACCCAATGTACCAATATTCGTTTCTCTACCTATTTTGGTTCTGTAAAATCCAGGAAACCGTCAAATTTTACCTTAAGTAAATTTGTATAATTAAACTTCCGATGGCCATAAAAAATAGAAGTCCAGCTTTAAACTTGTAAAACTTTGGCCGGATTCATTCCGTGCTTGGCGAGAACTTGTAATTTATAAGTTAGAAGTCTGTCACCCAGAAGGAAAAATTTATTTTTTAAAGCTTGTAGTGATTTATTGAAAATTTTTAAAAAATTTAATAAAAAGTTAATCTACTTGAAGCGAAAAATTAAAAGTCCAGTTTTTAAAAAACTGCGATTTCGCTGACAGTTAGAAAGGTTTAAGGGTTATGTTTTCTCTAAATGGCAAGTCTGTCACCCAAAGAAAACTTTGGCTTTTTATTTTTTTTTAGCATTTCAAACAAAATTTCCTACATCGGATTTGCGTTATAATTTGGCAAAGTCAACCAAAAAATTAGATTCTGCCGAGCGACAGGTGCAAAATTTTGTAATCCAACTCAATGAACCACATAAATGTTAAAAATTGCCACGCAAGAAGTATGAAGCCTGGACTTTTTATAAATTGTATTAAAATTTGGAAAATTGCAAAATTTTATCAATTAATACCCCTAAATACCTGCAATTAATAATTAAATGAAAAGTCCAGGTCTCATACTACTTGCGTGGCAATTTTTAACATTTATGTGGTTCATTGAGTTGGATTACAAAATTTTGCACCTGTCGCTCGGCAGAATCTAATTTTTTGGTTGACTTTGCCAAATTATAACGCAAATCCGATGTAGGAAATTTTGTTTGAAATGCTAAAAAAAAAATAAAAAGCCAAAGTTTTCTTTGGGTGACAGACTTGCCATTTAGAGAAAACATAACCCTTAAACCTTTCTAACTGTCAGCGAAATCGCAGTTTTTTAAAAACTGGACTTTTAATTTTTCGCTTCAAGTAGATTAACTTTTTATTAAATTTTTTAAAAATTTTCAATAAATCACTACAAGCTTTAAAAAATAAATTTTTCCTTCTGGGTGACAGACTTCTAACTTATAAATTACAAGTTCTCGCCAAGCACGGAATGAATCCGGCCAAAGTTTTACAAGTTTAAAGCTGGACTTCTATTTTTTATGGCCATCGGAAGTTTAATTATACAAATTTACTTAAGGTAAAATTTGACGGTTTCCTGGATTTTACAGAACCAAAATAGGTAGAGAAACGAATATTGGTACATTGGGTAAACTCGGCAAGCTGAATCAATTGGTGAGGTCAAATTTGACCTAACCTTTCATTTTCATAAAATTTGAGTCAAAAAGTCTATTTTATACTTACTGGAATAAAATTTAGACATCAGAATCGTGTTCCTCGCAAAATTTTAGGCTAGAAAACATTTTGTCCCGTTTAAAAAGTCAAAAATTTAAAAAGCTTAAAAATTAACATGGAAATCCCATAAGAGAAATTTTTCGTTTACGTTTGTGGCAATTTTTCAGTAACAATGCGTTGCAACAATGGGATGCCCATAGCACCAACAAAACTTCCACAGCTGAACTTCATTCTCCCGCTGAGAAAACTCAAATATCTTTATCCGTTCAAAAATGGCAGCAAATTAAAATCTGTCGTTGAATTTTGGGCCACCCTGTATAAATATTTACAAGAGATTGAAAGTTAATATTTCGGTGGAGATGATACTTAATTTTTTTCCCAAACTTTTTTTTAAGGCAAAAAGCTCTTCTTGCAAAACTAGACGTTTTGTAATTTACTTCAAATAATCTAATTAAAAAAATGTCGAATAATTTAAAAACCAAAGTATTGAAAAATGTGAAACTTAGAGGCAAAGACAAATGAGAGGCTGATTGGATGTCAAGTGGCTGGCAAAAAATTTGCGGCTTGTCGTCGCTAGATATTATTCGGCGGAGAGGAAAATTCTGCTGGAGATAATTTGGGAGCTCGGAGGCAGCAAGGTAAAAAGAATGGTTGGTTGGCTGGCTGGTGGCATCATGGCTACAGCATCACAACGAAAGTTGATTCTCTTGCAGGCAGGCAGGCAGGTAACTTGAGAGGCTCAGTGTAATTCGAACCTGAGCTTGCGGATAGCATTTCTCTATAATAAATCAGCCACAACATTACAACTAATGGATTGATCTCGCAGTGCACAAGCACATTTACTCGCAGCCCTGGCTCCCCCCGACAGCCCCTTTTTCCAACCATGTCTGCCCCTTCTTCATGTGTACGAGTCAAATTTAAAATGCAGCACGCGGGTGTAAAGAGACACCGAGCTGCAATTGAGCCACTATTAATTATCACGCACATCTCGAGACACCGACCGGGATTCAGCCAGGCCAGCAACATTAAGGCATAGCATATAAATATTATAAATATAGAGCCAGATTGAGTGGCGACTCGCGCGGTAAACAGACTCCGGGCCCGCTTTTTGTGTGGCCTTCTTTCTCAACTACCTGCGTAAATGAGAAGCCACCGTCTGAAACGGCTCGATCACTTGTCTTGTCCGATGTCGCGTGACGTAATTAGCTTACCTCAAAGTGCACTCGATCGCGTATGTAATTGCGTGGAAATGTTAACCGAAACGATCGTCTATAATAGTTTGATTGAAAAGTCAAGTCTTGGGACCTGAAGGTGGGACCTTTGCAAAAAAAAATCAAGTCGCTTTTGATATTTTTAATGTTACTAATTGTTTTGTACTCAAGAGTAACGGCTCAATGGGCAAAATTCATCGCCATAATTTTACTTGCATTTTTATTCAAATTATGAGCAAAAAAATTCTTAAATTTCAAATTTTTACTACCTTTGATTGACTGGAATATAAAATAATAATATTAATAAATTATCCACTTTAATTCAAAACAAGCTTGCTGAAATATTTTAATAAGTATAATATAACCTTAAATCTTCGCTTTCAACTAAAAAAAGGACATAAAAATGTTTTATTTTATTTTCCTTGAAATTAAGGCTTATTAAAATTTTTCTGGTTGAAAATTTGTCAAAAGGAGGAAAATGCCGATTTCAAATTCAAATCACCATTCAATTCTTTAATATGTTTTAATTTTGAATATAATTTTGTACAAATAAGAAATTCCAAGCAACGAGAGGGAAATGCTTTAAAATCATTAGCTCTATCAATTCGTTGTAGTGTCTTTTTGTTCTCACAGGCTCTAATCTTTGACACGACGAATTAATGCTCGTTGATTTATTTTGCACGCAGTCTTGTTTACGATGACAGATGCAAAACGTGCAAATGCCGGCGCGCACTTTAATTTTAATCCGTCCTCCGTATATTACACGGCGCGCGGGAATTGCCAGAAAATGCGTTTGACCCGCTGGCTCACCTCGAATAATGATACACTCGGATTTGATGGATCGCCTCGTGCAAAGCGGATGATTGCAAAAGAGAAATAGTTTCGCATTGATCTTAAATCGCTCAAAAGAGCAGAGGAGTGTTTCTCGCTCTCTACACAAAACTTGTGCAATAAAAAAAACGCGCCGCTTCTGCCATTGCTCACAGAAGTGCCCATCCTGCCTCGCGTCTAATCCCACATGGTTAAATTTAGAATCATTTTATACAGAGGGAGAGAAATTTTAAGGTTCCAGTGCCGAAAGTGAGCATCGGCTCAACCGACTGTTGTTGAGATCACAAAACTCGTCTGTAAATTTACTCTTATGTAAAAATTAGCTTTTGGACTTTTGTAAAGATCCAAAAGTTATGTAAGTTGAATTGAAGAAATCATGTAACCTGGTCTAAAAATTCTAAGTAGCACTAAAATATTAGATATCGAGTGTGTCCACTGCTACCGGTCTTCCCACAACTTGTTCTGTCTCCAACACTTGGTTCACCGCAGAAAATAGATCGAGTATCGTTGGGTGAAATTTCCTCAGAAAAAAGCTTGTCTCGTTTCAGTCGCACACAATGCTTATGTAGTTTTCTAAAAACTATATTTTTTAAGCTCAAATAATCATTTTACAAGTTTTAATTAATTCTACACGAATTTGTTCAGCTTAACCAGAAAAAATGGATTAATAATTATAGATTTTTTTGGTTAAGTGAAATGAATTTTAAAATAACTAGCCAGGTAACAAAACTTTGTTTAAATAAAAAATCATAAGATAAATTTCTGGCAGCCACTTGACCAAAGATGCGTCATTCTTCCCAAAAGAAACGAACCGATATCAAATAAACATATATCATTAGCTTAAAATAGAGGGCAAATTCGCAACGGAGAGTTGTCGTTTCGCAATAAAATTGTGTAAAATTATTTTAGGACAATTAATGTGTGACGTTGTTAATTGAGACGAGAGTGTTTGTAATCAACAAAAATCGCACCTTGATTTCATCTTCCTGCTGCTCCTTGCGAACTCCAGGCAAACCCACCCTGAGCGCCGCGGGCAGCCGCAAACTTTTGGGCGCGTTGCATTTACTTTGTGGAGCCGAGTTGGAATTGCGGCTCCCCATGCCCCGAAATTCTCGGATTTGGTTTCGCCTCCTGCTTCGTCGGAACAGCCGAGATGCAAGTTTGGCACCACTCGCGAGTGATTGACTGGCACTGGCACCAGCTTTAAAACAGCTCAGGCCAAAAGCGAATTTGAGTTGTTTCTTGTTCCCGCCGCCTGCTGTATTCGTCGGCACGAGCTTAGCACCCTTGAAACGAGCGCGCTCTCTCCTTAACTCGGCTTAACTAACGCTCGTCTCATTCAAAATCAAACTCTCTTGTAACATGATCATTTTTAAGTGAACTTTTCAAGCCAAAAAATACTATTGATTTAAGTGCACTTCAATATTAATTTTATTAATTAATCTCCAATTAAAAATGTTGAACAAGTTTTTAGAAATTCCTTAATATGTAAAATTAATTTGCAAAAAAATGTCATGAAAATATTTATTTTACAGGTTCTTTGAGAGTTTGATTACTATTAGTCAATATTGAATTAATTTCTTGAGCTCAAAAGCAGAAATTATATGCGAATTTGCTAATCAAACTGAACTCATCGGTCGGAGCCATGTTACGATCAATTTGGATTCCGACATTTTTGTGTGTATATTAATTTTTGTATGCCAATGCATGATTTTGCTTTTTTTTTGTACAGTGTACTTTTTTGCAATCAACAGAGACAAAAAATTAAAATTGATCATCAAAGCATTTTGGAAATCTTTGTAAAATCTTTTATTTTAATATTGCTCATGTTATAAATTATTCGATTATAACCAACAATTTCGGCAAACGGCTTTTTTAAACTCTGAATCGTTTCCAATTGAAAGATATGCTCAACAAGTGTTGATAATTCATACCTGGTAATTGATGAAAACAGCTACATTACTACAACCAAGCCTAGTTGTAGAAGGCAATGTTGAGCAGCCATAGCTTTTGCTTGCTTTTTGTTGCTGTAGGCAATTTGATCCTGATACTCCCTTCCGTTAACTTTAACCTGAATAAGTAAATTTATTAGCTAAAGTTCAAATAAATAAATCAATTTTCAATCACCTTAAATAAAAAGTTCTTTTTATGATCTGGTCCTGACTCGAACACCAATTCAAAAACAGGTGATCCCCATCGTCTTTTCGTGCACAGCTCGACAAGGGCAGACACAGGATGCTTCCCGGAAAAAACTTCGTGCCCAACTGATTTCAAGAGACGTTGAAAATGAGTTTCAAACAAAATGCAATTAATTTTACCTGTCGGAGCAACTTCCTGCACAGCAGCAGCACCGCCACCACCTCCTCCGCCACCTTTCTTTTTGGCCGACCCGCTGAATGGCTGAAAACGAGTCCTGCACTCTTCCTGGGCAACAAGTCCTGGATGACGGAAGAAAATAATTAGATAACCTTCATTTCAGGGACATAAAAAATTACCTTTTTTATCCATTTTAACATCAAGATTCAGAGGCTCCAATCCTCCTTCTTTGTTTTTACCAAGACCCTCCCCAGGTCTCCAACCCATTTTCTGTAGCAACTTCATTCCCATCCCTCCGGCAACTGGGGCGGCAGTTTTCAATTGGTCCTAAAGAAATTGCATTAGCACATTTGCCCATATTATGCTGAAATATTTTTCTACCTTTCGGGCCCATGCTTGCTGTCCAGAAGACAATTCCGCAGGCGTCAGCATCCTGGCACCAGTGCTTCCCGTGAAAGCACCACTCAACGCAGCCAGCTGAAAAATTCATTCGAACTATTATAATGTCGATCTAAAGTTATCAATCATTACATGTCCCCCTCCGTAGCCGTAACCGTATCCTGGAGTGACAGTTTGTCCCGACTCCTGAATTTTCCGCATGGCGGAAAGCTTTTGAGAAATAACGCTTGAGATGTCAATGTTCTGCAAAAGTTGAAATAGTATTTTGATATCCTAGCTTGGTGGTTTAAAAATGAAATGATACCCCAGAAGTGTCTGTGCATGAACTGGCCACTGCAGAGACTACAGCTGATGGTTTGCTGGTTGTTGGAGGAGCTTCTTTGATGGCGAGAGGGGCAACAGAGGCAGTATTCGACTGACTGGTAGGAGTGACGGGAACCCACTCTGTAGATCGATGCTGTTGGCCACTGGACACGGGATATTGCAAACTACGAATTTTTGATGATTCCGCTGCTTTTTCCTGCAGCGATTTGTTAGGCAATTGAGTCGAATTCTAGAGTGAAAAAATCAAATTTGTAATGAGCATAATTAGAGATGTTTGTCTTACTCTGATATTCACAACAATCGAGTTAGGACGATCTCGCAGCTGGAAAGGGTGATGGATGAAGGACTCAGTCGGTCCCTCGCCTTCACTAATTTCTGATTCCGAATCGCTATCACTTGATCCGCTCCCCGATTTAACCAATTTTTTACAATATTCTATAATGAATATTAAAATAAATACGCTTCTATATTTCAGGATCAATTAATTTTACCAGTCAATTCTGCGACAGTTTTTCCCGTTTTGTTCGATACAGCATTTACAGGAATGACGCCAGCCTGCAGCATCCTTTCTTGCTGTTCTTTCAAAATATATGTTGCATTTTTCTTAGCAATGGCTAGCAATTTCTTTTTATCAATCCGCTCTTCGTTTCTAGCATCCCTGCTCAATAAAAAAATATTAGATCTATTTAGTTTACATATAATTTATCACCTTCCATCACCGCGTCGTCTGCTGGTGTATCTGGCTCCTCTAGCATCATGTGGACTCCTTGACCTTCTACTTCTGACATCAAGGTGGTGTCGTTCTAGACTTCGTTCCCGCCTACTTGACCTATGGCTATGAGAATCTCCCAACCTTTGATGGACAGATTCTCTTTCAGTCTTTCTCGACGATTCATGAGACCGTTGACGGTGGTTGCTATAAAATTTTTAATCAGGTTCAGATATTGGTGGGAAATTTTATTTTGATTGGTCTTACTCTCTGGAATCTCTGCTCTTTGAAGATTGTCTCTTCACCTTGTGATGTTTTTGATCTTCTTCAGACTCATCTTGGCTGCTAGGAATTTCGCCTTCCTCGTGTTTACTATCAACTTTATCAACCTTTTTTGCCAATTTAGACACCGAACAGTTCTTCAAGTCCTTGATTTCGATTTTTCTTTTCTTTACATTTTCTAAACATAACAAGAAGGTAAAAATCATCAACTATAAAATGATTTTGGGTATAAATACCATCGTCTGGTGAGATTGATCGTTTTAAAGACGATCGATCTGCTCTTTCCCGGAAGCATTCAAATGACAGTGCCTTTTCCTCCTCACTGTCCAGTTCGCCAGCTGCATACAGATCACACCTGTTTGCGTCGAACTTGACGCCCTCCTCCAAGCTCTTTATTAGGTCAGAATCACACTTTTCGTAAAAGTTTTTCTCGACATCATTATTTTCTTCCTGAACGACACCGTCTTTCTCTCTCCGCCTCTCTTTGCTTTTACTCCGCTTCTTTTTCTTCTCCTTGTCGCCGTGCTTTCTGTCCTTGTCTTTCTCACTGTGCTTCTTTTTCTTCTTGTGGTGTTTGCTCTTCTTGTGCTTCTCTTTTCTCTTTGATTTGCTACTGGACTCGGTTAAAAATGAATCAAATATCTCCTCTAGGATTTTGGAGGAACTCTTTGTTTCCAATTCTGGCTCATCATCGCACGCAGCAGGCTTTTCTTCACTCGACGCTTCTGCACTTTCGCGGCTGTCTGCAGAAATTTCCTCGTCCTGCTTGCAGATTTCACTGGCACCAACATCATCACCCTTCAGGTCTTCAGCACTTTCAACTTCAGCACATTCAGCCTGTAGGAATTGAAGGGAGAAAAGTCTTAGATTATTTTGCTAAAGAAATTAGTTTTTCTCTTACCGAGGTGTCCATGTCGACCCTGTAGTGGTTCAAACATTAAGAATTTCTTAATTCTGGCTTTTATTCGCCAAGTTTGCTCAAAGTTCATGAAATTTAAAGAAGTAAACACAGCAACAGCACATCATGGGCGTTTTGTGTAAATAACACAAATTTTATTTTATTTGCACGAAATTTAATCCCCTCTCCATTCTAGACACACCCACATTAATTTAGTCATTTTTCACATTCACATGCTCGGTCGCTCGATCGAAGAATCAAAATATTATCAAAACTTTAAAAGGTTTTGGTGGTTTTCTAACTTTCTGTGACCATTATAAAAACATCAACTATTGTTAAAGCAAATATTTATTGCTTTCTTAAAGAATTACAGTCAGAGATTTTGGGAATTTCGTATGTAGAGCACGCAAAACATGGCAAATTTGCTATTGAAGACGAGAAATTCACCGTGTGTATTATCGGCTATAAGTCAGTCTCCTTTAATATTAAATTCTTCTTATATTAATATCTTTTTTTACAGACCAATTGGCCCAGCGGTTCGTGAGTTCTGGACAAACTGTGGGCGCTGCCGCAGCAGTTGTTGCTGAAGAGAAGGCCACGGTGGAAACTCAAAATGAGCGAAAACAATTTGTGCCTTCGAATTATCGTTTTGTCTACCCCGAATTTCTTCCTGACCCGAACCTGGAATTCAGGAATTTGATCAGAGAAAAGCTGGAGCAAGCTGACATGATCAGTCGGAGGACCCAAGTGGAAGTTCCAGAGTTCCACGTTGGATCTATTTTGGCAGTCACTTGTTCAGACCAGCATGCTGTTGGCAAAACCACTCGTTTTGTTGGCATTTGCATCCAACGAATGGGCTGCGGTCTCAGGGCTAACTTTACCCTGAGAAACGTTGTGGACAACCTTGGTATAATTTGGCAGCACCAAAAACGCTATTCAAATATCATTAAATATTATCGTTCTAGGTGTTGAAATCAAGTATGAAATCTATGATCCAAGACTGCAGAAGGTACAAGTTTTACGGTTGGAAAAACGTCTGGATGATGAGCTCCTGTACCTGCGAGATGCACCCCCTGAGTACAGCACATTTTCTTTCAACATGGAGCAAGAGTTTTTGAACGAAGGAGCGATTGTCCCCATTAATCCAATCAAAGTATTTTTGTTTCTGAAGGCATGTTGAAATTATTGTAATTAATTTATTTGATATTCAGGTACCATTAAGGCCCCCTCCTTGGTATGCCAGGTGGGAGAGATTATTGCCGAAAGGTGCTGTTATCCCTGAGCTCAGTGTCAATAGAACTGAAAAGTCGAAAAAGTGGATTGCAAATCACAGTGAACCATGGGAAAAGTACGACCTGATGAAGCAGTATAGGTAATATTTAAAAGAGATGTTGCATTTATTATTAAAATCGTATTAAAATACTTTTTATTCCAGAAAAACTATTCCCGAGGAAGAGCAAAATGCAATATTTGCCGATGCTTATTCTGAACTGCATCAATTAGAAATTGCCAGGAAGAAACTCAAGCGCAAGAAAAATTTTGTGAAGCCCAAGAAAAGTGCTTGAATAGACTTCCTTTTTAAAGCTTAGTGATTTTGTGTTGATGCTATAAGTCTCTGCTGATATATTAAAAAATACAATGAAAGAAAATTTTAGCATTTTTCAATAAGTTCTTTTTGCTACTCCATTTTTTTTTAACAAAGATTGTTTTAATAATTAAGAAGTGACGATATTATCAAAATATTGTTCATAATTTCTAGCATCTGCTTAATATATACTAAAATAATATTGCTCAGCAAATTCTATTTTGCCAATATTTAACAAGTTAATAAGCGCAATTCGAATTTCTATTTCCATATATTTGTTTTTTTAAATTGAAGACATTAAAAAATGAAACAAAATTGCATAAGGAGGAAAATCATGGAATAGGCATTAATAATTTTTTAATTTTATCATGAGGTATTGTAATTAAAAATATATATATTTTAAGGTTTTGTAATTTTTTGTTCTAGTGAATCAAATATTAGAAGGAAAAAATAATGTATTAATATGTAACTGAAAATGGAGACGGAAGTACAAAAATAACACATAAAATAATGTTATTTACGAAATTGAAAAGAGACACAAGTGATTATAATAATAGAATTCTGCTGGGGTTGATATATTTCATTAAGTAGAAAGCCGGCTGCTCTGGCTGTGATGCAACTGGAACGGCTCCACACTCTGTAGGCGCACCACTTACACACCGTGCTGCGCTTATTGATTTTTCCCGACGATTTTCCGGCGTACACAGGAGTGGCAGTCGGTCCAACCAAGGAGCTTGACGCAATTCCATTAAGGGCTCAGCCCCTATTGCAACCCTTACGATGAGAACTGGTATTTGAAATCGGCAGTTTTAACTTTGGTAGGTCCATTAGTACCCCAGAGCCCATCTACGATGACACCAACGATTGCTGTGCGATCTCACGATAAGTTCTACTGAAGGTGCGTTCAATGAGTAACGATCTTTTGAAATGTCAGCTTGGTTCGGACTTTTCACCAAAAAATTATTAACCAAAAGAGGGGGATTAATATTGGGCGATCTTTATTATCCTTAAGTTATCGTTACATTATTATAAAAAAAAATGGATTATACTTTTATTAAAAAATTATTTTGTACACTGCGCCGCACTGCGCTTAAATTTTTTATTTGTGCCTACTTTTAAAATTCTTAAAATCAATATGGCAAGAAAATGTTCAAAATCAATGAAATACAATGTATAAATGAAAATTTAGCTACTGAAACTTGTTTTTGTTATAAAATTTTAAAATTATCTAATTCAATAGCGTTTTTTATAACAGCAATTTTAATTTTTCTATTACTGAATATTTTAAGAAAAAGGAACGTATAATATCTTTTTTTTTACTCATTCAACGGAATTGCGAAAAAAAATGAATTGTGGAAAAAAAATTATGTATACACACTGCCGTGAAACTAGAATAGCTCACGCATAAAGCGAGGAGTGTAAAGAGCGCAGAGAAAACCGGCGGAATATTGATTAGTTTGTTGCTCAAAATGTGCGAGATGTGCCGCTCTAGATATAAAGCTGCTCAGTAAATATTCTGACTTTTTCCAGCTCTCTTCATCATGTTTAAAAGTTCAGTCGCGTGGATTCTGAACAAGCACTTGGGCAAATATGTCCAAGACTTGGACACGGAAAATCTGAACGTGGGAATTTTCAATGGGGAGGTTCAACTGCACAATCTCAAATTGAAACCAGAGGCTCTGGTAAGAAAAAAGCGAAAATTAGTCGTCGTAAATTATTTAACCTCTAATTCAAGTACGAGCTGAAACTACCGATCGAAGTGCGTGAGGGTCTCTTGGGAACAGTCTCCCTAAGCATACCTTGGAATGGATTTCTTAATCAAGCAATTGTGCTTACGATTGAGGTTGAAAAAAATATTATATAACAAAAAAAAAATAAAAAAATAAAAATAAAAAAACTTGCTGCAAATAGGACGTTCTCGTGGTGGCTGGTGCTGTGGTTGGTGACATTTTCGACGCCGAGCTGGAAAAACGACTGCTGAGAGCCACGAAGAAAAGAATTCTAGACGAGTTGGAAGATATTTCCTTTTTTGATTTAGGTTAAAAATTTAAAGAAAATAAATCTCTCGAAGTTGATTGCTGAAAATTTTCAGGAAAAGAAGATGGCGTGTTCGGAAAATTGGCCACGAATTTGGCAAAAAATTTACAAATTTTCATACGAAATGTGCACATCCGATATGAGGACACAACTTCCATGCCCGATTCGCCAGTTTCGTGTGGACTTTGTCTTCAGAGCTTGTCCATTGAAACAACAAACAGGTACAAAAATTAAATAAAAAAATTTTATTTGAAAAAAATAAATAAAATATTCAGCAAATGGAAACCTTGCGCGACTCCACTGAACGCAAATTCCATTTATCAACTGATTCGAATCCAGTCTTTGTCCTTCTACTGGAACCCATGCACGCGTCCTAAAGGCCTCGTACTGACGTCGAATAACTGGCGCCAGTCTATGTACCAAGGGCTCCAAAGTTTCAGCGTCAATGGAGAGCCGTTTGAATTTAGTAAGACTTCAATTTAAAAACCCACTTAGTTAAATCTTTCAAAAAAATGTATTTAGTTTTAAAGCCAGTGTCCGCCAAAGCGAAACTAATCATCACGCAGTCGAACGAAGTCAAAGTGCCAAAACTCTTGTTAGACGTGGTAGTGCAAGATGCGGTAATGCAGATTTCAAGGGCGCAGTACACCTCGATGGTCGCGCTGCAAGAGGCATTTGACCGCATCGAAAAAAATAGGTTCGTACATATCAGTTTTTTAATTATATTAAAATCATCACTTTTATCCTTTTTAGAGAATATCGGGAATATCATCCAGGCGTGAATTTGCACAAAAATGCGAGTCTCTGGTGGCAATATGCTCTGGCAGCTGTTCTTGAGCAACGAGTCCGGCCTTATTCGTGGCCAAGAATCAAGGCCCACAGGTATAAGATAAAATTTCACATACAAATTTAAACAAATTAAACTTATTTTTAGAGAGACATATCGCCAGTACGTGAAATTATACAAAGAAAATTTGCTGAAGCCCGCAGACATTGAGCGCAAGCTTGACTTGCAACAACTTGAGGATCGATTGAAAGTGATTGACCTTGTGATAGCCAGAGAGCACGCGAAAATGGAGGTATTGTTTTTTTTTAATAAGTGTTTCAGGTTGTGAAAAATATATTTCTGCACAGCTCTCTCAAGAAATACCGGAAAAAATTATCGTGTCTTGTTCCGAGCGCTGGTGGTTGGGGCTTTGGAAGTGCGTCGAGCCGGAAATTAGGCTTGATCTGGTTACTGAACCAAGTCCAGATTTCTGGGGGCGCCTCACTTCGCAGGAAAAGGAAAAAATTTACGAACTGATTGAATATGCGGAAGGAAGTTCCAACTCCAAGCCAAAGCAATTCATTGGTGAGTTCAATAAATAAAATTATTTTACAGCCGACGTAATACAATTTTTTTAGAGCACAAATACAACCTGACTTTATCGACTTTGAGCATGTCAATGTTAAGTCACGGCCACGAAATCGCCCTCACCACAATAACTCAGCTTCTTATGAGCCTTGAAACCCGGTCTGCCGAGGACGCTTTCAAATTTTCAGTACGAGCAGAGAAGTTTTTGCTGGAGGGAATCAGCTCGGAAAACGAACTTGTGCCTTTAATTCAGGCCGACATGATGAATTCAGGCAAGTTAAAAATAAAATTAAAAAATTAATCTAAATTACTAAATTGCAGATTCCAGTGCAATGAACGTTTTCGCCTTTGATTTTGAGAAAAATCCAGCGGCGCCCAATATTGACTTCAGCGTTACCATGCGTTTGGAGCCTTTGGAAATAGTTTATAACGAGCAAACTTTGTCCGAGTTGATAGGATTTTTCCAGCGGCTAACTTTCTGCAAAATGACAGAGGAACCGGTTGCTGATTTCATGATGGAGACCAAGTCGATGATTCGCCACTTTTTGGTGCAGCAGAAAAAAGTCTATCTGAATTTGATTCTGAAAGGGCCAACTCTGGTTTTACCTGAACAAGGATCGCTTCAAAGGTAGGACTGAGTCTTTATTTTTCTAATGAGCGGAATTGTTGATGATAAAAAAATATTCAGAGGCGGGCAACTTATGATTCTTGACACGGGTTGCCTCAAAGTGAGCACCGAGCTCCAAAGCGGACCAATTTCGATTGAAGACGAAACAAAGACTGAACTCGAGGAGCATCTCTACGACCGGCTAAATATGGAGCTAACCAACATGCAAATCATGTTTTGCGATTGCAGTGACGAGTGGCGTGAAAAGCGGAAAATGAACGACTCGGATCTGCATCTGCTGTCCTGTTTGAAAACGCAGTTCATGTTTTCCAACAGCATAAAACAGGATTACAAGCAACTTCCGAGGTACTTAAAATTTTAATTTCCGCCAGAAAATAAAATCATAATTTCTTCAGGCAAAAAGTCAACTTTTCCATTGGCAGCGTAAAATTGAATTTGTCCAATCGCAAAATCAACCAGCTTCTCAATTTCGTTGACGTTTTTCCGCTGCCCACTCCAAACAGCATCCACTCTTCGCAAACAATGGACTCTTTGGCCTGGCAAACAGACTTTTCTGACGATTTGGTCGAGCAAATTTTGTCTCTCGAACGGTTGAAGGACATTCGGACTTTGATAGTGCAAGCGCACCTGACCACCAATGGGCCGCGCCACATTTGCGACGCTGGTCTTGATTTGCACCAGAAACTAATGCTTTCAGCAAGCGATGCTGAAAGGTTGTGAGTATAAATAAAAATTCAAATTATTACATTTTTAATTTTGGTGTCTCTAGATTTCTCTCATCATCCGACCAAAGTGACGAAGAGAGTGAAATCTGGGCGAAAATTTTGGATCAGCCTGGCTTCGAGGACAACGTGTCACCTCACAACACTATTGAAGTTTTGCTGCGCTTTATGCTCGGAGAGGTCGCTCAGTTTCATTTCACACACCTCAAAAATAAAAAAAATTGCTCTAATAATTTTAGCTCGTGATTAATTTTTCCAAGTCTGAGAACAAAGTCGATCTGCCTTATTTAATGCTGCGATTAGAAAAGGTATGGAAGTGTTTAAATGAGTGAAGTATTTAATTAAGTTTAAAATTTGTGTAAGATTTGCGTTGATTCTGCCTTATTGCAATACGGCCCGGCTGTTCAACTTGGTTTGGCCTCCTTTCAACTGGTGGATAAAATTCACACGTGCGCCGGTGGTTGTTACATTGAATTGATGAGCGGCAACTCAACAAAAGACGTGGACATTTTGACAGTGCTCTACAGAAAGGTGGGAAAATTAGTTTAATGTACAAAATATTTCTCAATTTTATTTTCAGATAAAAGCCAATTGCCCTGATTTCAAGAGCCACTTCCACAGCATTGAGCATTCGCTTGTGATTGATTTGCAAGGTTTGAACGTCTTGTTTCACAGAGAGGCGTTTGTGGCACTGTTCAAGTACTTCTCCAATTTGAGCAATATGTAATTAATTGTTTTCCATTTGAATATATTGCATAAATACAATTATTTTTTCTTCTCGCAGAATTAGGAAACATGATTCAGCAATCGGTTCAATGATCTCTGCGTCTATGACGTCTGTGCAAGAAACGATTACGACAGCAAGCACTTTTTCGCTGTCGAGTTACTTTGCCTTCGATGAGGATCCGCCGGTGCCTCCAGGCGCGACAAAATTGAGTTACTCTGTTCGCGTCGCAGATTTCCAAATGAGAATGTCCACCACCGATACGGACTTTCTGGACATAAAAGTAAAAGCATCAAAATTTTTATTTATTTTAAATTTTAAAAATTTACAATTTTTTTTTTTATCCACTGAGAAGAAAAAATAAAGATATAATTTAATTCTCAGGTGAGCGGATTTGAGACGGACTGTCTAGTAAAAGCCAATGAGCGGACTGTGCACAGATTATTTTTGAACAACATCGCTGTCGAAGATCTGTCTGACATGACCTTATACAACAAAGTAATTTTTTAAACTTTTTTTCAGCACCAGCTAATAATTTTCGTTATAGATTGTTTTCCTGGAAGGAGAACACTTGATCGATGCGAAATTTGTGGTGCACAGCTCGAGGATCAGTGCAAAATCCGGGATTGAAAATTCCAAAGACAAGGTGAAAACGGACGGAACTATAAAAGCCACAGTTGGCCGTCTGAACGTTGTTTACTTGCACAGAATCGGAGTCGACATAATGGTGAGTTTTAAATATTGAAAGAAAAAAAGTTTATTTCAAATAATATTTCTTGCCAGAACTTCTTGGAGCCATTTGTGGATATGAAAGTGGCTTTTTCAAAATTATTGGCGGTTGTCGGAAAATATCTTTCAAAGCTGAGACACTTTCCTTTAAAAATGCAACTGGCTTTGGACATTTTCATTCCCACTCTTCTGATTCCGCAAAAGTCAGAATCGCCAAATCTACTCATTTTGAATTTAGGTAAAAAGAGAAATTAGCTGCGAAAAATTAATTTAAAAAATCACGTTTGATTAGGCAAATTGCAAGTGGAGAACTTTTTCAAGTGGGACGATCAGTCGACTGAAACTGCAATGGTTGCGATTGAAAACATCCTGGCAAAATTGGAATGCGTGCAGGTAAACGGTTTAAAGTTTAAATACAAATAGATATTTTTGTTAACATATTTGCAGGTCTCTAGAGCAATAATTACCCTGGCTGGTACGGTGGAGCCTCAAGAGCCAATTTTGGAACCGACAGGATTTAAAATTGACTTCAAACGAAGGGCAAACACAAAATCAAAGGGGAAAAATAAAAGCTACTCCCCAATGTGCAAAATTAGCGGCACCAACGAAAAAATTGTCATTAACTTGGGACAAAATGACCTGGCAACAATTTTAATGATCAACCAGGAAAATGCTGCTGAAGGGCTGTTTGCCGGTATGGAATTTAATTTGAAAATGAATTTAATTAATATAAAATATTTAAAAAATTAGAATTGCACCCAAAATCAGCGCCTCTTTCCCCTGTGCCCTGCTGCGGAGAAAAGTTTCTTTGCAACAAACACAACGAAGACAAAGTGATACAATCATTGCAATCATTCTTGTGCCAAAATCAAGAGGACAGACCTGAAGTGGAGGTTAACTTTGCCATCGATTCAATCAGTGTGAATTTATTCATGGACATGGACGAGGTGAGAAATTTTTAATAAAATTAAGTTAAAAATTAAAAAAAATTATCATTTAGGACCTAAGCTCACCAGTCCGTTGTCCGCAACACGCACTTTGCAAATTTGAACTTCAGGACTTTATATCCAGCGTCGTCGCATCGCGGTGCGGAGCGTACAATATTAAGGCCACTTTACAATCAATGAGCGTTAAAGACGCAGTCAAAAATTACAATATATTTGAGAGGAGGCAAGTCAAGTTCAGGCCAAATAATTAATAAAATTTTAATGAAAATAATGCAAATTTCAGGTCTTATAATATGCAGCCCAAAGACTCAAAAGATCCGCCTTTCATCGAGTGGAGCGCGAATAAATCAACGGAAGGTAGAAATTTACAAAATTATTAATTTAGATAATAAATTGAGTTCATATTTTAGGCTCATGGGCGCACGATGTTGAGATAGAAAGTCATACAATCAATTTGACAGCGCAATTCCTAACCAATCTGTTCAACTTTGTGTATGACAGCATCAATACTGACCTTTCAACCGAGGGAGGAATAATAAATTACGGCTATATTGGTGATCTGACATGCAACAAAGTTCTGCACTGTCAGTATGACATGCGCATGGACCCCGGGGAAGTGGAATTTTCTATGGCGCTCCGACAAATGGACATCAATCTGATGTCAGAAAATGCAAATGGCTGCATTAATCTCCAGGCGGAGATTATATTGAACTACTCCTGCTCACCGAAGACGCAAAAGGAAAGTTGCGAAATTTTAGTGGCGCGAGTGCAGGCGACTCACAAAGAAGACCAACAAAATTGCCACGTCGTTCTACAGAGCTGCGATTTGGAGTTTTCCAGACAACTCATTTCCTTCGAAGAGGGTGTCAAAATCAACATATCAATGAGTCCATTAAATATCAATTTCTCATCAAAAGTTGCCCAAATGATACAATGTCTGGTTGGTGATATAATCAGCGTTTCTCAGCCATCGGCAATAAGCGGAGAATCACGAATGCCGCTGAGTTTTCAAGAATTGGAAAATTTATGGACGCCCAAGAAAATTCCTGTTTGCGTGCCATACAATGACGATGTCTCCATTTTCAAACACTTGCACCAACTTGAAGTAAAGCTGAAGGAATCACTGCTTTTCACAATTACAAGCGTTAACATTCTGTTCACCATGGACGGAGAAAACAACGCTCGATTTTGCATGCAAAGGCCGCTGCTGCAGATAAAATCTTCTCTTTGTGTGGAAATCCTTAATTGGTCGTCGCAGGTGCAGCTTCTGTCACAAATTCAAATGCAAGCTTCTTATTTCAACGAACGTTTGCGCAAATGGGAGCCGCTAATAGAGCACCAACTGGACGGAGACTTGCCAAAACCATTAGAAATATTCATTCAACTCTTCCACGGAAAAGCTTTCAGCCTGTCTACTAGCTGCATTGAAACCGAGTCCACCTCTGAGAAGAAAAAATCAGAGAGTGACTCAAATACTTGCACAAAAATGACGTTTATTGGAAAAGAGTGCACTAACTTTGACGAAGATGTCACACCGAAAAATTCAAGAAAATCTAGCAATGAAAATGGAAAATTAGAAAAGGAAGATGAATATCTCAATAAACTGGCCGAGCTTATTGAGCACTTGGTGCGCGAAGATAAAGGCAGTGAATCGGACGACTACAACAGCAAAGATGAATTATCCGAGGTGGAACACAGTGACGAAGCTGATAACCGAGTATTGAGTAAATTCACTGCTAAAAATGTGGACGATGAATTTGAATCTGCGGAAACTATTGCCACTTACGTTGTGATTTGCGCAAAAGACCGTTTGGAGCTTTCACTAAATCATAACGCAGTTGAGACATTCAACACTCTTTTCACCAAATTTCTCGGCGACCCGTCTCTGGATCTTATGAGCCAGTACGGAAAAGAGATTGAATTGCACAATTTCATCGGGCCCTCTTCAACGGTTTCGCTTTACGGCCGCCTTCGCCAGGGAAATGCAGAGGGGGAATATGTGCTGCTGGAAAAGTCCGAGTACGGGTACAGCAGGTCAGGGCAAAGCAGTCCTGACCTTTTGGAAGAGCCGTCTGTGGGTCTTGACGTTGAAAAAGCAGCTTCTGCTGCAGTTCTGACTCCAACTTACAAGGACGACTCTGCGGACAGCTGGTACCACAGAACGACCTCAATGAAACTCACCGTAGAAATCGAGGGCTTCAACCAACTGAACGTTTTGGTGCCGCAACGAAGACTAACGACTGTGCTGCCATTAGAAAGCCCAAAGTACGACTCCACGTATCACGTAGCAGTTTCAGTTGAGAATAAATTGGGCAGTAAAATAATAATGGTGAACTCGCCCCTGAGAATTTTTAACGAGACTGCTCACGCCGTGTCCCTTTACTACAATAAATCGTCAATAGAAGCAATAGGCGAGCCAGTCGCGGGAGAAATCGTTAACCCCTTCCAAGACTTGGCCAAAGTGGCCGTCATAGAACCAAGCGAAACCTACAATGTACCGCTCTTTGTGGCGTATCACAGCAAGCTGTACATACTCCCTGCATACATAGAGCACTGCAGAATAAGTGAGAATGCAATTTGGTGGAAGGACTTCCGAACGAAGCCAAAGCTCGATATTTTTTGCTCAGCAAAGCAAGAAGACAGCGAAGTAATTTTTTCCGTGCGAGCAGTCGTCAAAGAAGAACAATCTGCACCTGAAAATAACATTCCGAACTACCTGGTGCGACTTACGCCGCCGGTGAAAATTTACAACTACTTGCCTATGTCAGTTGAGATGATGTTGCCCATAACCCGAAGGAAAATAATCATTGAAACAGGCGCCGCAGCCGACACATACGAATTGGATTTGCGCTCCACAAAAATTTCAATAACTGTAAATTATGAAAAAAAAATTGTAATTTAAAATTAATTAAAAATATTTTTATAGGTTTCGTCGTACAGAGGTTGTTTGTGGCACGGAGAGCTACATCTTAAAGACGAAGAATCAAAAGAAAAATTTGTCCTGCTTTCCGAAGGTTCAAGCGAAAAGCTTACAATCAGCGCGAGGACTGAAGAGCTGGAGAGCAAAAACATTTATCTGTTTGCCTCACATTGGATTGTGAATAAATGTGGAACGCCACTCTCAGTCAGGGTAAAAATAAAAAATTAAAAAGTTATATAGGATAAAATAATCAAATATTTTTTCTTTCATTATAGGCGCTGTCTTCAAAGACGGAAATCCTACTAAATAACGAAGAGCTCGCCCTTGCCAGTCTGGAGCGCAAACAGGACGTTCAGATCAAAGTCGGACAGTCGTCTTGGTCGACTCCGTTCAGCCTCCAAGCGACCGGAACCTCTGGAGTTCCCGTTTGTCAAGACCACGAAAGAGGAAATAAGATGTACCGTCTGCACACGACGATTTCTTACGCTACCTCGTGCCCATCACTGACCAAAATCGTCACAATTTTGCCATATTTCATGGTTGTCAACAACTGCAGAAAGCATATCAGATTCATGGAAGACAATGAAAAAGCTGACTTTTGGATCGACTTAGCGCCGGCAACGGTAAAGAGACGAAATTTTTAATTTTTTTCCTCTCTCTTATTTTAATTTTTCATTTTTTAGTGCACTCCATTTTGGCCCGACACAACCACGATGAAAATGTTTGTAAAATTTAGGGAAGGCAAAATTTTATCTCAAAGTTTTCCGATCAACTTTTGCCACGCCACCGTTTTGAAAATGGACAAGGGCTGCGGCCTCTCTGTGAAAGTGACTGGAGGGGCCGATGCGCCGTTCACAATCATGTTCAGCAATTATAAAACTGGAGACGCGCCACTAAGAATAGATAACCTAAGCGAACTGGTACACATCAAAATACACCAGAAAGATTCGAGCCAGGTGAGAAAATATTTGCACAAATATATTAATTATTTTTAATTATATCTCCCTTTCAGAATGCAATTGTCTTGAGCCCTTATCATTCGCTACTGTACACCTGGGACGATCACTGCAGCGAGCGAATGCTGCTGTGGAACGTCTGCAATTCTAACTCGGATGAAATAGCCGTGGATATTTGGAAAGACGGCCACGGAGTGCAAAAATTGGAAATCAACGACCTGCCACCACCTTCACCTAGCCCTATACCTCCGTCCTCAACCACATCTTCAATGTCTATAAAAATCTCTGCTGGTCTGAGGCGCCTTTCAAAACCCACTTTCGACGCAGCTTCGAAACTGCAGGAAGATCCGTGCAAAGGGAATGAAATTTTCATATACTGGGTGACTTTCCTCGAGAGCGGCCAGCGAGTTTTGCTTCTGACCACCGACTTGGAAACGGCCCTCAGGACAAAGAGCATGATCGAGTTTGAAAAGGGGGCTTTTGAATTGAACCTTTCCCTCAAGGGCTTGGGCATTTCCATTGCGGTCGATGAAGACGAACCGACCAAAGAAATCGCCTACGCCAGTTTGCAGGAGTCGGCGCCGAACTGGGAGATAATGGTTTCGCAGGACTGGAACCCAATGCCCTTTGAGTTGGCGGCGTGGTGCGAGGAAAAGTTTCTGATGGGCGTCCCTTCTGCACAATTGAAAACCCTCTTCCACGTTGATTTTGAAAAAATGCAGCTGATCAAACCGTTCTTTGCTGAAGTGAGGCGCATTCAAAATCCAGCAGTTTGGCTGCAGTACAGGAAATCCTCAAGACAAGTGTACGTCAACTGGAAAATACAACAAGTACAAATCGACAATAATTTGATGGAAGCCGAAAGCCCAGTTTTAATTAGCCCGAAGCCCAACATGAAGAGCGCAATGCAACCGTGTTTCGATTTAAAAGCCTTGTGTCAACACTTCACGCAGCAATCGGTGTACAAGTGCGTATTGAGCAAAGTAATAATTTACAAAATTTAATGGGACGATTTTTCAGGTACATAACTTTGAATGTGGCCAGCATTGAGATTGACTTGGATTTTGAGTTCTGCGCAAAAATTCTCCAGTACGCTAAAATTTGGCACAGTCAAGCCGCGATTGAAGCAAAAGCGCGATCTGATGTGGCTCAAGTTCATCAGTTATTTGGCTACAAGCAAAACGTGAAAATTAAAAATAATTTTAGTTCATTTTTTGCTATATTTATTTTTTTCTTACAGATTTTAAACTACGACTGCCTCATTGAGTACATTTATTTGTCCCCACTGGTTGTCGAAATTCGTTACAACCCAGCTAAAAAGGCAGCACTGACCGTCACAAATCATGGATCGAATCTAATCACGGATTTATTTGGCTCTTTGCGTGATGCGAAACACAGCCAAGTTTATTCTCTAAGGTTTGTTTCAACTAAATAAGAAGAATTGGCGCGCTCATATCTTCATCAACTTTTTTAGGCTGCAACCTTGCGAAAAAGTTGGATTGATGCTGCCAGTAACTGAGCAGCTAAATGTCATCGGCAAGCACTACTTGAAGCAGATGAGTACGAAATTTCATGCTTCGATTCTCGGGCAAAACGTGCTGACAAATCCCTTGGGTTTGATTTCCGACGTAGGCATTTCTCAACTATCAAATGTGGTAGGCAAATAATTAATTTTAAAAAGTGCCATTAAAAATAATTTATTATAAATAGGGAAATTTGGTTTTATCAACCGAGCCTTGTTCTTGTGGAGTGGAATTGGGCTCAAAGATTTTAATGGGCTACGCATTTGGAACGGCTGCATCGGAATTGATGCCCGGAGGAGAAATAGCCGAATATTTGGCACCTTTTGCCAGACACGAACTACAAAACCGGAGATACGTCATCTCTGAAACTTCTGAAAACCAAATATTGCTGCAATATTGCGTAAAAGGACTCTTTTACGGAGAGTCAAAATGTAAATATAAAACATTTACAAAAAAAAAATAATAATTAATAAATTCTGATTTAGCCCAAAACTATGAAAAATTCTGCAAAGGGACTGGTGAGAAAGTGATGCTGATGGCGGAGAATAAAGACATTTCAAGTCCCTTTTCCACGATATCTTATGCATTGAAGAGGCGAGAAGAATGTGAAAAATCGTACAATTATTTCACAATAATTTTATAATTCTAGGTTGGTTGACTTTGGAGAAACTAATCTTCCAATCAAAGTTCGCTTGACGAAATACACAAATCCATATGTGGTGAGAGAAACCAGAAATTAATTTATGCTCTATACAAGCAATTTAACTATTTTAGGGCTTCAAGACCTACTGCGAAAATGAGGCAATCGGCCAGGAACTTTTAAGAACAGTGTTAGCAGACGCAACAAATTCTACCGAGATATACTGGTCTCACTTGCCTCTCAAGTCGGAAAATGTAATACTAATATCTGACCAGTAAGTATAATTTAAAAAATTTCCAGAACTCGAATTATAATAATTTGACCTATTAGAAAAATCTACGTCCTCAAACAATCGACCCAGCTTTGGGGTAGTTGGTCGGTTGAGAAAGAAATCAAGATCGGAAAGTTGATATCAGTGCCGCAAGTTAAAAGTTCCCTGGTGGTGTTTTTAATTATGGGCGTAAGTTGAAAAAAGCAAAAGAATTGACGACGAACACGAATTTTAACTATAAATATTTCAGGATGGAAGAGAGGAGTACCAATTGGATGCTGGAGATGCCTTAGTTGCAAAATGGCTGCAAAATAAAATTGAGACTGCTATGATTGCGGCGATGGAAGAGAAACCATGTCCCGCAACATTATGATCCAATATCGTGTGACAAAATTAAAGGCCATAATTAAATGTTAATGCAATTCACCGAATCTCTTATTAATAAATATAACCTAATAATGGTCTTACCTTAAACATACAACGAGCGTCAAGTTCTTTTCAAAATTATTGGATGTCAATGAAGACGGCGATGAAAATCCTAATGCAGACCTTGGAGCGATTCTTCCATGAAGGTCTTGTAGAGAACCATGAATTTGGCGAGGAATGCTTCAATGTGGAAGATGGCCTTTGAGCCTTTGTGCAGCTGCTCCTCGTAGTCAGCAGCATACTGGGTCACTTGGGCCTTAAGTTGGCCGTCACAGTTCTTCACCAGGTTTTTCAAGAGGCCTCTAAAGATGTACTCGGCAGGAATTCCATGGATGAGCAACTCGTACACCCTTTCCCTGATTTTATGTAGGCACTGCGGGCTCTGCTCTTGCACCACCATGTGTGCCGTTTTGACGATGTACGTCTCCCAGTCGGGCACAACCACCTGTTGACTGCCTTCGAAGGGATACCTGTAGAAAATACGAGATTTTTATTTTAGTTGGTTAAAATTTTTGCAATTCACTGTTTTGTTTTGCAAGCTTCAGTCATGAGAATTGCTCGACGTAGGTTGCGTCCACTGGCAATCGCAATCCGCTTTGCTAGTTCTAGAGGCAAGTTTAGACCCTCTTTGCGACAAATGTTCTGAAAATTTTAATTATTATTAAAACCATAAATCATAATTTCATTCATGAACTTTTTCTATTTACCTGGAGAGTGGAGCAAATTTGCTCATTTGTTGGGGCAGCCACCCTGATGCCCAAGCATCTGCTCCTGATGGCAGGGATGACACGGGCAGTGCTGTTTGCAATAAGGACAAGTCGACAGGTGGAAACATATTTCTCCATCGTACGACGCAATGCGTGCTGTGCGCTTTTACTCAAATTGTCAACCTCAGTGATAACAATGACTGAAAACAACAGAATTTTATTTGAAATTACTTTTATAACCAAGAAAAATAGGGCACTTACCTTTGAATGAGCGTTGGCCGTTGACGTCAAATTGCTGCGCCTGAGCCGCGGTTTTGATGAGCTCCTGCACGACAATTCGATCGTGGATCCCAACATCACTGGGGTTCACCTCGATGTGATAATTACTGCTGATGGTTGTGATGTCTAGTCTTTTTTTGGATGCTGTCTGCAAATTTAATTCAAATATTTAGATGCATTAAATATTTTGAAGCAAAGAAATAAGATATTTGAGTTTTAGCAATATTGTGAGACATATCTAGATTTACCCGTCTGTTTGTAAAAAAAAAAATGAAATAATTTGTGTAACAATTATTTTTATACTGCAGCACGCATAAAAATTTAAACAAAATTTTGTTTATGAAATAATTACCTGAAATTCCATTTTCTCGATCCTCAAACGTTCAGTGCCGGACCCATACAACTCTCTGAGAAGACACATCACTCGAGTCTTTTTCCCAGCTCCGGAGGGCCCATAAACAAGCAGATGCGGAAAGTCACCTTGCTGAACCTGCAACGCAAAGGAAAATATACACATGCTCATAATGATTTTTGCATTTTAGCAAAACATTTTAGAGAAGATTGAATGCTCGTTTTGAAGATGTTCGAGCATGAACTAATGCTAATTATGTAATTTAAATTGTTTGTGATTTTACTACACTTCATAACGTCAAATAAATTTATAAGTTTTAACGCATAAAATATTGTGTGTAACTTTGTAAAAAAGTATTATTTAAAGTAATCATAAATAGTTACCAAATGTTTTAATTGGAGAGCTTGTTCTTCATGATAATCCAGCTTTTGCAGGGACTTCGGGCAATGCTTGTCAACCCACAGAGACATTTTTTTTCAGGTGTGCGAAGTTAAAAGGCAGGAATTGATACTTGACAGGAATGAGCCCTCAAAATAATTACGACAATCGTTAATGAATTTGCTTCAAAGAAAAATAGGATATCAAAATTCTAGAGCTCAGCCGGCAGGCAAGCAGGCGGGAAAAAATGTAAATAAACTTCCTGCGCCCTCTTTCTAGGGAGCTTTAGGTATTTGTAAATTGGCGCGAAGAGGGCGTGAAGAGGATTAGCGAAACCTTGTTTGGTACCCAATTACAATAATCAAACCAATACAAAAATATTAAAAAATAATTAAATTACTCAAGTTCCATTTTTGGGATACTTTGCTGCAAAATCATGAGTAATAATTTAGACAATTGGAAGTAATTTGAATTATTTATTCCGTCCGCTTTGAAAATTTTTTTTCCAACTCAAAACACAAAGTTCTTGTAACTCTCATAAGAAATTTCTCCACAATTCTTTCTTACTAAATTTTGGGTGCAGGGTAATAAAAAAAATAAATAAATTACCCTTTTTTTATAAAGTATGAAGCGTATGAAGTATTATTTATTTTATTTTTCATCCAATTTTGATTCAATACTAATACTAAAAAAAAATGAATTTATCTGAAGAAATTATGATTAAAGTTAAAATTCCAGTTGGCCGAATTTTTGCACTGTTTTCCATTGATTTCCTAAATCCATTTGAACCTTCTTTCTCATGTAGAAAATTGGGCAATCTCGGCTGAAGAAAATAAAATTAATAAAATTACACATATTTGAGCGATTCAAATCAAGTACCTTGTGCAAATGACTTCCTCGTGAAGACTTCCTTGACATCTTTGGCACTGCGTCCACAGTCTAGAGAAGCCAATCTCCAGTTGATTCATTTTGGCTATCTCAATCTAAAAGTTGACAAATTTTAGAATAACAGCTATTTCCCTCAAAACTGTTTTACCTGATACAAAGCAGCCTCTTTAGGAAGACAATGCTTGCATAGGGCGCCTTCTGTCCCTACTGGAAGGGGTGTTTTGCAACCAAGACAAGTTTCTCTGCGAGTTGTGAAAGCAGCAAGTGCACCAACCTTGGACGTCACCTTTGTCTTTGTCAATGTGTGAGCGCCCTCTGTGGAAACATCGGATTAGTTTAAATAATAAATAAATTTTTATTCAGTATGAATAAATTACTTAAAAGCGTGTTTTCAGCCGCAGCATCTCCAAGGATGGGCGCAAAAATGCGGAGCAAAGGCTTGGCAAGTTGGTTGTTGAGATAGTAGTCTGTGTCGATGGCCACATTATTTTCCAGCACATATATGGGATCCTCGGCCTTCATGTAGGCAGGCGTGTTTTTGGCAGCAGCCACAATCACATAAGGCACACGGTCTCCAAGCTTGGGAGCTGTGCCTGGGTCGCGTTTTCGCATTTTCTCAGCCAGCGTCACATGGGCCTGTTTTGCTTTGTAATCTTCTTTTGCCAGCTCTTTTGTGATCACCAACTGACTGATGTCAATTCTGTTGCACAATAGGTCAGAAACCATTTGCTGAACATACTTGACAGCTCCATTTGGATCCCTGTTTAGAATTTAATTAAAGTGTTGGCACAATTAATCAATAAATTTTAAAATAAAATCCACAAAAATTTTGTAAACCGAGAAAATGCAGCAAAACCTACTTCTCAATGAGCAGCATTTTGAGGCATGTGTTCATCAGGTTAGCAACAAGCGGACAGTTATCACGGCGCACAGTTTCAATTCCTTTGCAATCCATTTTGTCGTATTTGTCTGGTCTAGTGTAGTAAAGACCAGCGTAGCGCTTCTTGTTAATTAGCAAATAAGGCCAGTAAACCTAAAAGAAGGCAAGTTAATTTTTTTTTTAAATTGTTGCTTTGGTAAAAACCTTTTCAAACTCAAGCTTGATGGGGCGCACAAACTTGGATGTGACAAAGTCAGCAGCCTCCTGACCAAACTTCATGGCCTCTCGGATATCATCAACGCCGAACTTGATCATCACAGAGTCGGTGTCACCGTAAATAACTTGCGCGTCATGAGGGTATCCGTTGGCACGGCAATATTTTGTCTCCACCTCTTGCTTTGTGTGCTCAATCATCTGACGACCATAAGCCGTCACACTCTAATTAATCAAAAATTCAGTTGGAAAAAAGCGATTTAAAATAAGAAATACCCCTGAGATTTCCAGACAGGGCAGCTTGCCCACTTGAGCGCCAGTAAACCCGTACACAGAGTTGGCCGAGATTTTCAAAGCAAGTTGTCTTCCATCCAGCACCTTTTTTAATTTTTAAATTCTACGTCAAGAGATCAAAAATCCACAAAGCAATAAATTATACCTTTCTGCGAAGAGGGTCAGTCTCGTTCTTCAGTTCTTCCTTGGCCCGTTTTCTGGCCGCAAGCAGACTCTCCAGTACTTCAGGCAAAAGACCTTTGCGCACTTCAGCCTTAATGAAGCAATCTCCCTGGGGTGTCGTGATGTAATCGCTTGGTTTGAGTGATGCTCGAGTGCCTGCCGGAACCAGTGTTGTGTAGCACAAGTTGTGCGCCATCATGATGCTGGGGTACAGAGAGGAGAAGTCGAGAGTCACAATCGGCTGCTTGTAGTAGCCCTTGCACGGTTCGATGACGGTGGCGCCTTCAAATTGTTCATCAGGACCACCACGCACTGCCATTACAGGAATAACAAAATGCGCTTCCTTGGCTTTGCGGAGCAATTGGCTGACAACTTTGATTTGCTGACCCCTGTTGAGAAGGCAGCCCATGCTGACGCCAGTTACACGAGCCATCTCCATGTAGTTGATGACGCACATCAACTTATCCATGAGTTTCAGTGGCAAATAAGCATCTTTCAAACAGTAAACGGCCAGCCTAAAGTTTGGAATTTAAAATTAGACACCGAAATTCAGAGCTTCAGGAGCTTGTTGAAACATTGTTCACCTTCGTCTTGTCTGATCGTCCCCATTTTGCAAGTCGGTGATGATCGAGTGATGGACGTCTTCCTTTTGCTCTCCCAAGAAGTGGAAAGAAACAGCATTAAGGGAATATGAACGAAGTTTGTGGTCTCTGATCAAAACCTAAACAACAGCGTTAAAGAATTTTGATGTTTTAAAAAAACTAAAATTTTTTACCAGCAGGAGATCAAAAATCACTCGACCTTCCATATTGGTCCTCTTATTTTCTCTCCTCCCCATTTGTTTGCTCTGCAAAACACTGTCTTTGGAAACTGACCTGAAAACATTACATTAATTATTTTATTATCCAAGTTAATCATATATACATTTTTTACATACCTGATATTCTTGACTCTGCCTAGGAAGTCAAAGTTTGGCACTTTCAGATGTTTGGCTCTGCTCAGCAAGTACCAGAAATCAAAATTGTTGATGTTGTATCCAGTAATAAGATCGGGGTCCACTTGGCGCACAAACTCTGCCCATTTAGCCAAAAGTTGAGTCTCTTTATCAAAACTTGTAACCTGAAATTCTAATCTTGAGAAAGCTTGAACAAAATGTATCAATTTTTACCTGGCAGCCAACAATAGGGGCACAATCGCCGAGAGTGAACACAACCTTTCCCAAGGGCTTCTGCTGACCCTGGAGTACAACAACGGAGGCGATCTGGATCACAGGGTCGTGTTCAGGCTCAGGAAAAACGCCTGGCAATAAGAAAAAAAATTAATTAAAAAAACCTGGGACTCTAATTAAAAAAAAACTACCTTTCCTTCCAGCGCACTCAATATCAAAAGACAGAATACGAAACGGAGCGAGCCTTGAATAAGCACCATCAGGAGCGTGCGCCACAATTGCCTCCCAAGATACATCCACTTCCACCTGGCATCTAGAGACAGCTTGAAACGGCTGTCGAACAACCCAGCGGTCTGCAGGCAGTTCAACCCAGCTGCACCCCATCATTTCCACATCTGCCATGAACCTGTTAACATTGTGGAATATTATTAAAAAGTTCAGCTTGATTTCATAATTAGTCTTTAAAATGCAAAAAATTATTTTTAAAAATTAACGTACCTGATGTCGAAGTCAATATTGGTTTCATAGCAGGGCCACTCGCATGGTCCTAGGTTGGGAAGAGGGTTTTCTCGGTCAAGAATTCGTTTGCAGGTTGCCAGTAACGTTGGGAGAGCAACAACCACCCTGATGAACGGTTTTCGTCCTTGGCTACGATACCCGTAGATGTTTTCTTTTTCAACGATTTCAACAGCCAGAACAGGATCGGATGCTGCCTTCCAGCGATTTTCTGCCGCCAAGCTTCGGTTCAGAGCTTCCTATGAGAGAGTAAATAGTTTGAGTTGAATGAAAATAATTAGCTAAACTTTTACTTTAAATGGCTCGCAGTGGCTTGCAGTGAACTTGTCAGGCGCCTCCACATAAAAATAGGGCGAGAATCCATGAACGTGGGCGCAAATTGACACACCATCGTCCGTAACTCCAAACATCCGAATAATGGGCACAGGACCAGTCTGGGCACCTGGCATTCCTGCCATAGGCTCTCCTAAAAAATAAGCATTTTTTTTTTAATTTAGAAAAAAAAACATTTTTGATCTGTTCTAACCAATGTAGTGGTCGAGGTCAAGCTGCTGGAAAATTAGAGGGTCTTCTTTGGGGCGAATTGGAGGAGGGGTAGGTCTTAACCAGCGGCTCTCACTGTGTTCGTCTTCAGGGGCTTCTTCAGCGACGACCTAGAAATTGTATTTATGTAGAGAAGAGTGTGAAATTAAGAAAATAATTCTTCATGTCAAAATATTAAATTTTATCTTTAATCGAAGTATCGGAGTATCAGAGAGAAGCAAACACAAAATTAATTATAATGGTATTCTTGGCTGTGAGCTTTTTGAAAAATAGCCCCATTTTACAATAAGTACCGCATTATTTTCAGCGCCAGCAATTTCTGCCTCTCGTTCTGCATCAATGTCCTGCTCAAGCTCCAAGTCCATGTCCATATCTTCGACAACATCTTCGTCGTCGTCGTCGGGCCTGAAGGCATTGATAAAATTTTTGTATGCTTATTTAAAATATTAAAAGCTTCTTATTTGCTTTACCTAGGCCGTTTTGGAGGTGGACCACCAGGCATTGCAGAAAATTTTGGAAAATATCTCAAGTCGAATGTTTACTTTTTCACGTCTTCACGATTTCTGCGATTTGGCGGCAAAGGTGAAGGGGCGGAGCCAAAACAAAAATAATTCCGTTGAGTCAGTGCATTTAGCAGTTTTAAGTTCAGTCCACCCCCCACTCCAACAATATTCCACTGTTTTCGTGAACATTTTTCGCTGTGCAAAGACGGATCATTGAAAAACCAAAACAAACAAATAACGCCTTGTACGGAAAGAGCGAGACTGGTACGCGAGGTGTGGGTTTAGTACAGAAACCCATCCATCGAACATTCCAGAGGAAGGAAAGAAATCTTTGAAAATCAGGGACATCTTGCACATTTTCACTGTGTTTTAAACGAGCATCATGACTTCTATTCCAGGCCATTTGGCCTTTGATGAATACGGCCGCCCTTTCATCATCCTTCGCGACCAGGAAAATGAAAAGCGGCTCACCGGTATCGACGCCCTAAAGGTGATTTATTCAAAATACATTTTTATCAATTTTTTTGCTTAAATGTTAAATTAAGGATGCCATAAAAATTTGTTTATCGGCAATTTAACTGCCAATGCGGTGAAATTCACCAGAATCGTTGTAAATCATCAAGCAGAAAATTTTCACGAGCACTTCCAAAATTCATTTGGTGTGTAGGCGTTAGAAATTTAATTTTCATGTCAGACTGCTCATCGTGCACTTTTATTTTTTCAGTCTCACATTCTGGCAGGGCGTACCATCGCCACAACCCTGAGGTCATCGCTAGGCCCAAAAGGGCTTGACAAAATGATGGTATCCTCTGACGGGGATGTCACTGTGACCAACGACGGAGCCACAATTTTGCAAATGATGGATGTCGATCATGAAATCGCAAAACTGATGGTTCAGCTTTCGCAATCTCAGGATGATGAGATCGGCGACGGAACCACTGGCGTTGTTGGTAAGGAATTATTAAATAAGAAACTGTCAGTTTTTTTTTTATTAATGTGAATTTTTTCTTTAGTTTTGGCTGGTGCTCTTCTGGAGCAGGCAGAAAACCTTTTGGACAAAGGCATTCATCCGATCAGAATTGCCGACGGGTTCGAAATGGCAGCTCAGTGCGCCATCAAGCGACTCGAGCAGATCGCTGACAAGTTCCCAGTTGACAAAGACAATCTCGAGCCTCTCATCCAGACGGCAATGACCACTCTAGGTTCCAAAATTGTCAACAAGTGTCACCGTCAGATGGCTGAAATTGCTGTGAATGCTGTGATGGCTGTGGCAGATTTGGATAAGAAGGACGTCAACTTCGAGCTGATCAAAATGGAAAAGAAAGTTGGTGGGCGGCTCGAGGACACCATGCTGGTCAAGGGTGTGATTGTCGACAAGGACTTTTCTCACCCTCAAATGCCCAAGGCGAGTTAATGTTTCAGTTGCAATATTAAACCTAGGCATGAATGAATTTCCCTCAGAGTTCCTACTTTGTTGGACCAGACAACATGCAAAATTAATTTATACCCACGGGGAATTTTTTGGAATTTAAATTAAAGTTTAATTTCTATTGTTCCCGTGGACACATTTGCATCAGTCACATTAGTACAATGTAATATCGGCTCCATTTTCTAATGAATATTTTAATATGTACAGGAATTAAAGGATGTTAAGCTGGCAATCCTTACCTGCCCGTTTGAGCCCCCTAAGCCGAAAACCAAGCATAAGTTGGACGTCACTTCCGTTGAAGACTACAATGCCCTGCGCAAGTACGAGCAGGAAAAGTTCAGCGAAATGGTGCAGCAGGTCAAAGACACTGGCGCAACCCTTGCGATTTGCCAGTGGGGCTTTGACGATGAAGCAAACCACTTGCTTTTGCAGAGGAACCTTCCTGCGGTGCGATGGGTTGGTGGACCAGAAATTGAGGTAAAGAATTAAGCAAATATTTAAAAACTAGACAATAATCAATGCTAATATTCTCAGCTGATAGCAATTGCCACTGGTGGTCGCATTGTGTCAAGATTTGAGGACATTAGTGCCGACAAACTTGGCTATGCTGGTTGTGTCAAAGAACTGCAGTTTGGCACCACAAAGGAGAGGATGCTGGTGATTGAACAATGTCGCAACTCGAGGGCCGTGACCGTTTTTATCCGTGGTGGCAACAAGATGGTATATTTTACCCTTTCGTTGAATTCTTATGTTTAATAAGCATTTATCTGTAGATTGTCGAAGAGGCCAAGCGCAGTCTGCATGACGCAATCTGCGTCATCAGGAATCTCGTCAAAGACAACAGGGTTGTTTACGGAGGTGGTGCTGCAGAAATTGCATGCGCCATTGAAGTGTCTGACGAGGCCAACAAGGTAAGTTTTCTAAATAATTTTTATTTATGTGAATATAAAAAAAATATTGCTTCCAGATCTCATCACTTGAACAGTATGCCTTCCGTGCCTTTGCCGAGGCCCTCGAAAGTGTGCCTCTTGCCTTGGCAGAGAACTCGGGTCTTTCCCCAATTCACACTCTCAGTGAAGTCAAATCTCGCCAGGTCAAGGAGAAGAACCCGGCTCTTGGAATCGACTGCATGCTGAAGGGCACCTGCGGTGAGTACCATTTTGTATTATTTCAGTAGTGAGTTGCTTTCAGTTCCGTTTTCGTTGTTTTACAACTTATCCGCACTTAGCTTTCGCAACCCTCGAGATTTTATTTCTTTTAGTGTTCTTAATTCAAATACTGAAATACGGTTTTTATTTGTTCAATCGTAGATATGAAGGAGCAGCGCGTTATCGAAACTCTGCACTCGAAAAAGCAACAGCTGATGCTAGCTACTCAACTGGTGAAGATGATCCTTAAGATCGATGACATCCGTTCTGCAAACGAGCCACAAGGCTATTAATTTTCTCCTGAAGTCGCCCAACGCTAATTTATCTACAAACTTTATTGCACTTACAAGCTACTAATTTTGTTCTATTCGTTCAATAAATTGCTGCACGAAGCACCGGAAAATTTGCCAAAATCATAACCAAGTAATGCGATCTTTAATTATTTCTTAAAATTTCATTTTACCAAGCAAATTTAAGTTTAATCTTGAATCCAATGGTGTAAAAATTATGTCAAGTAAAAAAATTTACTTTTTTGATCTTCATATTTTTATTACATTATATTTTTTTAATACTTTTTATTTGCACCAACAACAGATATACATATTTTCACAAGCAATAACCAATTAATAATTAATCATAATAATGGATCTATCAACCAGTGATGACGTTGAATTAACAGTTGAATCATTGACGTCTTATCGTAGAATATAATTTATCTCTGCTCGCGGAGATCATTTCTTTGCACCACTTGTCTTACTTCTTGGGCAAGAATCGGTTTTTCGCTCGAGAACTGCGCGTTTGATAGAAAATTCAACAAAATCATCCCTCGACTCAATTGACAATTAACCATCGGGGACATTTATATAGCTTTGGGGAAATGAATTAACCATAACCCTAACATTCAAGTATTTATCTTACAAAGGAAATTTCTGTCTCGGTTGTGTATTTATCCTGGAATAATTTTCCTCGTGTTTAAAAATTTGTAGCCTGCCGGTTGCGACACACGGCCTTACTCTAGCTCATCACAGGTGGGTCCAAAAATTCATGCATTCGCAGAGAGTAGAGATTGGTGTGTATAAAATGATTTTGAAAAACCACGTCGGACGCTCTAATATTACGTTACTCGAGGTACGTGAAAAATTATAATCGATGATTATCCAGGTTACAAGGTGCGTTCTCATAATTATAATCTGCGTTCTACCAGAAGAAAAGCATGACGTCTCTTATCGATAGTACAAATTGATCCTCAATAATAATTTAAATATATCGTGTCTGCTCAACAATTAATAATTGAAGTATTCAGCGCGAGACAACTGTACAAACATGCAGTTGACGATGTGTTACACTTATTCACATAAAGTGTGTTGAATTTTTTTCATACAAAAGTGGCATTACTTTGTTTTATCCTTTTTGGTATGAAGTGCTAATTTCACGAAGATTGGTTGTCTTTTAAAAATCAATGATTATTTTTTTCTCGCCTGTTTTTCGGTTTGGCTTCGATTTGATACATAATATTGAGCACGTGTTTGGCCACACGCTAGAGCGCCTTAGAAGATCTGACAAATGAAATTGCCTAAAAAATTGTTTCCGAAACAAATGCAAATTCTAGTATGGGGAACGAAGTGATCTCCAAGAACGCTTTTGCAACACGCATTCTGATTATATAAATTCTAAAATTTATTCTTTGATCTCAATGAAAGGACTAAAATAGGGTATGTGCTACACCTATCAAATCTATTAAAGAAACTCATGGTCTTGAAGTTCAGAAAATGTTCACGGTGCTAATACTCTTGCATATCCACGGCACAAGAACCTCGATTCTTCCTTCCTTGTTTGCGTGTGTGTGTGAGCGAGTATTGCTTTGGTGCAGTTTTTGTCTACGTCTCCTCGCCCTCGTTTCGGAAGAGATAGGTTGACCAGTAGACCAGGTTGAAAAGGGCAAACACAAGCGGGAAGGTGATTCGCGAGATGACGTCGATGCGCTTTGAGCGCGTCGGGAACTTGGACAGCCACGTGCGGCAGCAGTTCTCCCTCTTGGCCGGCACGTGGATCTCGCAGGGGCGCAGCTTCTCAATCGCCATCGGGTCGCCGGGGTGCCGCACAAGGGGCTGAAATTCAAACTATGAGACGCGTTTTTATAAGTCTTCCAGTTATGAGTGAAAAGATACGGCGCAAAAATGGTTTGGTTAGGGTTTTTATTCTAATTCGTCATTATATTGTTCAAAATTAATTGCTCACAAAATATTCTTTTGTTTTTTTAAAGGGTTTTAAAATTTTTGCAGAATGAGTGTAATTTTTGGAAGTTTTGACACATATCAAATCATTTCTTTCATAAAAATGCTCATTTTATAACTTTTTGTCTCCCAGGGTACGAGTTATTATCATTAGTACAATCCTAAGGCTGAAGCCATCTTGGATTTAGAAAAATTTAGTCGATTAAGGCAAATTTTGAGATAATATTTTCAATTAAAAAAGAGTACAAAATGGATGTGCACAGCTACCATCTCAATAGGTTTGTTCAAAGGGAAATAAGGGGTTTGCTAATTTGGTAATTTTTCTATTTAGCCATTTTCTGTTTTGAGCCATTCACATAATTTAAAAAATTCTCAACATTAAGTCATGAAAATATGGCGAAATTTGAGAATATCTGATTATATAATTTGGGCATTTTCTTGAACGAGATAAAAATCTATTCAATCCACGTCAAAAGATCCTAAAGTTATCTCTCATTCCACGAAATTTTAAGACCTTTTTCAAGTTATATTGCAACTATTTTTAAAAGCTTCAATGGGTGATGTGAAGTTTTGGTGAAAATTACCTCAAGTGCGTGCTCGGATTCGTATTGCTGCCTCCTCTGCTTCTTCATGTTCTCCCTGTGCATGTCTGACCGAGAGGCGTAGTTGACCAGTGCAAATTCTAGCAGCGCCCCGAATACAAAAGTCAAACACACGCCCGTCCACACGTCAATAGCCTGCAATCGATTAAATTCAGTCAACCCTTGGATTCGACCTCGAGTGAAAATTCACCTTGGTGTACGAGACTGGCGGTAGCGACGCGTTGATACCTGAGGTCTGAGTGGCCATCGTCAGCAGGGTGGTGACCCCGAGCGACACTCTGGCCGGCACTGCGCCCTGGTCCAGCCAAAAGCTGACCCACGAAACGATGACCAACATGCAGCAGGGGATGTAAATTTGAATCAGGTAGTACGAGAATTCGCGTTTGAACAGCAAATCCACTTTCAAACAACTGTACTCGCCTGCAAAAAAGAAATATTAAAAATTAATTTTTTCTTTTTCAAATTTGGGATTATTGTGAGCACGGACCAGTGTTGGTTTTGCTGTTGCAGTAATCTGTGAGGAATTTCTCAAGAGTGAAACGTGGTAGATGAAGGTTTTTCACCACTTGCACGGGGTCGCCGTCTTTCCACAAAAATACCAAGTCGTCCGTGGTCCATCCGTCTAAAAATGTAAATGATTGTTGAATTGGAACTATAAAGTCATTGTTTTTCCAAAACTTACAGCTGGCCATTCGCAGTGAGCATATTTGTCTGTCAAGTGGGTACAGTTTCAAATTCATTGGGCAGGAAAGCGTCAAAGATATTCTGCAAATAATTTTTTTTATTAAATTAAAAAATATGAAATTAAATTTTGGCCTTTGGACATGTAGGTGGCATAATTTAAATTTGCATGCAAATAAGAAATCAAATTATAAAAAATTAGTCTTGGAGTTATTACCGAATACTGTACAGCACCGATCCATATGGGAAGATGCGGATGTAAACGTTGGGCATGATGATGTTATGGAAGTGGCCCTCTTTTTCGTTGGAGAAGAACAAATCGGGCATCCATACCCTATTTGCCTCAGTCAACGTTAAATATTTTATTTTCCCTGAAAAGGCAAGGATTTTGAATTCTGCAACGCTATTTTTATTTTTTACAGCTAAAATGCCAAAATTAAGTCCTTGATATTAATTTAAATTTCACGAGAGAAATCGATTTATACCTCCAAAATCATTGAATTTGAGTCGCTCATCGAGCCACTGTTCTCGGAAGGTCAACTGGACGCTGTATTCCTGTAAGAAATTGTTCATCAGCTTTCAAAACTGTAAAATTTCACAAAACTGTATCTGTATTTTTGTATGGGGGAGAAAAAAATTAGCGTTATTGAAATCTATTGAAAGCCATGAATTTTGCGAGGGTTTTGACATTTTGATTTTTTTTTTCTAAATAAGATTTCTAATATTTGATGAAATAGCGCTAATTTTCAAGAAGCTTTTTCGGTGTTTGATCAATTTTGCTGTTTTGGAAAAATATCAAGTGTGTGTTTGCAAAATTTCTTTGTGAAGCAACATTCATAAACAGCTATAAAAATTCTACGCTTAACTAATCGGCGCTAATATATTTGGAAGATTTTTGCTCTACCCTGCCAATGCACAAAGCCAGTCAAAAATTCAGTAACATTAATTAATCAATGTATGAAAATATATCATGCTTGCTATTCAAATGATCAGTCAAATTTTGCTCTAACTAAAAGTTCTAAAACATCATGTAAAAAGATTAGCGTGAGGCAGAAATATAAAAAAAAAGTAAATTTTTTTGGGTAAAGTGAAACAGAGCAGAAAATTGCCGATACATACCTGAAGGCAGCTACTGATTGGACCATTTGTACACACAATTATCATATATTTACAATTACACATAAACACAGTAACACGGACAAAGACAAACATAGAATTAATTAAAGCTGTTTTTCACTTTAATTATTAGTGCTGCAACTTTGTGAACCCTTAAAAATGCACAACATTGTTTTAGTGTTCTATTCAGCAGGCAAGGATTGTTTAAAAGAGTGTCACAAAGTTGCTTTTTTAAATTTATTATCATTATTTTTATTGTGCTGATTGCTGCAAATCAAGTTTTAAAAGTGGCTTTTACGTTAAAAAAAGAATTTATTTTTATCGTTTTTAAACCTGCAAACCACAAAATAAATTAGAGACCATTTAATCATGCAAATACGCAGCTTTCTTGACAGAGTAAAATTATCACATGTAAACAAGAATATCACAAATGAGAGAAAATTTTGTGAAAATCTGAAAGAGAAGAATACGAATAAGACAATATGATTAGCGAAAACTAAACTTTTGTCCAAAAAATATACGCAGGCCTTTCAGGTGTTTTTTTTCTAACTGAACAGCCTGAAAAGGTGCAAAAAATCATTAAAAGCAAAAAAACTACATTTTGCGATCAGCGTTTGTTGATTTGTGATAATATTATGCAAAAAGGAACTAATGAAAATCGAAGTGACGTCATCACACGCAGGAAATCAAATTATGTTTTCCAAAAAATGTTTACAAGGTAAGACACAAAGGGTGCTAATTAGACACGCACGAACAGACACTAATTGCGCGCACGTTTTAGACATGAATCTAAACGAAGGGCATTTCAGGGTAGGGTGTGTTGTGGTGATATTTATTTGAAAAAAGGCAGGGCTGCTTCAAAATAATCCAGAAAAAAATTTATTGAAATTTTTTTAACAAATTTTTCAATTAATTTATTAGCCTAGCCTAGCCTTCCTTCTATTATCATTTTTATAAAAAGTTTCTTAAACTTGAGTGATAATTAGATTTATTTTAATTGTTGACTAGTTTTGCAAATTATATTTTGACTACACATTAATGTTTTACATAAAATAAAATGACATCAAAAAACTATTTTCCTGGGTTTATGAAATGCATTGTATTGTGGTTTTTGACCCTCAAAAATCAACATTAGGCATCCAATAATGCTCTTAATTAAAAAAAAAAAAATCAACGCCTAGTTAAAACTGGATTCATCATATTTTTGCGACACCCCAAGGCAAGGATCTTAAGAAAAGTCCATCAAAATCTACATAGCGATGTAAAATTTTGGCTCTTTTTGAAGGACATGCTCCTATTTATAGTGTATTATGTAGGTATGGGAAGGCGAACACAGATTGGGGCTTACGACAGATAATTCTATGCAGGTTTTGACCTTTTAATTTTCAATATAAGCTTTCCTTTATCTTTTTCTCGATGTTATTTTTATTACTGGTCAAAATCTGATAGGGAAACACAGATGGACGAACTTGAAACCAGACCTCATTTTTTGTCATTTTCAATCATTCCGATGATTTATATGTCTAGACACTAAGTTACTAATTTCTTGGAACAAGGCAATGCATTTTGATGCATAAATTCAATTAATTGTATTTTTTTTTAGAAGTCTGTTTTCTAGCTGTGAGGGGTTTACGAAACTTACCTTAACAAAAACATATCAAAAAATGCAAAGATATAATTTCTTGATTCAAAATATGTGGTTTGGGTGGTCCAAAATGCGGGTATTGATTTTGTTTTTGGGAATTTCCATTCTAGTGTTAGCCCGGGGAAAAATAATTTTAGTGTATTGTGTCTTCTGTTGTGAAAGAGTTTTGTTAGTGTAGTTTGAGAGTGCTTTTAAAAAAATATGGTTTGTTCTTTCAAAGGAAAGCATTTGCTATTTTTTTCCAATATTTCCAAAATACTGACCAATTATTTAAAAAGCCAGCTAACAGATTTTGTTTTTTATAGAGAATATTTCTTAAAATTCCAGTATGGTGATTAAAATGAGATCTAGTAAAATATAATTTCACACACGTAAGCAGTAAAATATATATTATGGTCAATTATTGAAAAACACAAACAATACTAAACACACAGTTACTGAGTGGTACAAACCTTATCTGTACAAATCCCTTTAAATGCCAACAAACCGGAGTGTATGTAAAAGGAAAATTGCCACAAAATTTACGTTGAGAACCTGACTATAAATGTACATTGACCAAATTGAATGATAAACAGTGTGTTGATACATGCTCAAAATCTGATCTGAATGAGAAATCTTTGCACCTTAAAGCATGACAATTATTGAAACCTTTATATAAATTAACTGCACATGAAAAAATGGAAAAATTCACTTAATTAGAAAAATGATTCAAAATCCTACACATAAAAAAAATTATCTCTCTCGCTCTCTCTTTGCGGAATTGTCCGCAGTGTGTTGGCCATTTCTGCCTCAGAAAAATTGGTTGTTAAGCGATGTTTAGTGTGCGCGTGTTTGATAAATTATTATTCGATTTATTTTAAGCGATTTATTGATTTTTAGTTTTGTTTAAATTTTAAAGGCAGGACTTGCGGGATCAACATGGTTAAGGATGAAAAGATAGGTAATGAAAAACACTAAATGTAATTAAAGTCGCGGCCTTTTGCAAGCATGATATTTCAGACCTGTAGATCTTACATGATTTTTTCCATTGATAATCCAATGAAACCTTTTATTTTTGTCAACATTTAAATGTTAATCAAAACTGAAATAAGCTGCGTGAATTAATTATCGACTCATTACATATCTTAAAATTAAGCAGCAGAGGACACTGCAGTGCAAGCATTTGTGCGGAATATCATTAAAGCAGCTGCATGTGAAAAAGAAAAGCCTATTTCAGTTGTTATAGTGATAACTCGTCATCATACATAATAAATTTTGATTTTTCACAAGTTGTACCAGCTTGATGGTGTAACAAAAATTTGGGAAAAAAATACCGGGTTACAACGATTTAAAAAAATTCAACTGCAATTCAGGTATTCTTTACGCTCTACAATGGCCTCATTGTGAGCAAACTATAAAATAACTAACTCCCTGAACGCCAATAACTTAATTTCTTATCAGCAACCATAACCTCTGATTATTTATTAAAAAATGACATTTCTCTTTTCTCGAGGGAAAAATTTGTACTGCTTCTTTTTTTTGAAAATGAAGATTATTTAATTGGTTTAGAATATGGCTTCTTGGGTAGAATTAAAATTGATTGACTCATGTTAAAATAATTAGACTTAAACCTAACACATAAAAACACATGTACCGTACCAATTACATATTTTACAGATTAATTTCTTAATGTACTTCAAAATTTGGTGTTTCATCATATTTTAAAAGGGATCAAACCTGTTAAATAAGTCACGTGTTTAATTACTTCATATATATTTATTATAAGTTTTCAATATATTTTAAATTTTTTTGGTATTTTTGTTGCATTTAATGAAAAACTGATCGATCTTTAGTAATTTTTTTAATCCGAAAGGAGTGCACATGACTTATAGAACAGCCAATTATGAAAAAAGCTAAATATATAATTAATTGGGAATTAAATTTACACGTTTTCTAGATCTGCACTCACCATTTTATAATCATCTATTTTGCTGATGGAGCGTAGAAAGAAATTGATCCACACAACCGTGGGTTTATTTTCATCACCTACAGCTAAAGTCAATCAAAGCATAAAAGATAAGTTAATTAAATTTGAGCCTACTGGTAAAGTCACGTTTTATTTAAGCAATATATTTAAATGCAATATTATATATTTACTTGGGCACTATGCGTATAATTGTGAATTAAAAACTTCTTGATTTATTCAACTGTCTAATCTGGAACGGCAAAAATTTGAAAAAAGTCGTTGATCTTAGCGATCAAGTAGAAAATGATAAACAGTTTTAACTGTATCGATTTTGTTTTATAACCTAGGAATTACAATTTTTGTGTGGGTAAAGGATGAGCGGGTACTTAAAATCTAGGGGATATAAAAAATAGTTGGATTGAAATTTTGAAATAAGGTAAAAAAAATTAGAAGTAAAATAAATGAATGGTGAGAAGACAATTTGTAAATCGATCATGCCTTGTCATAGTTTAGGTCTTTGAGAAAAATAAGCGAGAAACATGATAGAGAGAGAGAGTCAAAGTTGGCATGCACTTTGGCTTGTGAAGTACACATTGTTTCGAGTATATTATTAACCTTACACTGTCAACAAAACACACAGAAAAATCCAATCGCGCAAACTAAACAAACATTGAAAATAGCACATTTCCTTCACTGCATTCTCGGCAGTGAGGATCAAAATCTTATATATTTATTTTGTTGGATCAAACCATGCGATACAGAGAACAGAGGAAGCAACAAATAATACCAACATTTTTTTAAATCCAAAGAATATTATGTACACTTTAGAAAAGGTTTTTGAAAATACGACATTGAGATGGAGAGAGTCATGGTATCACATTGAAGAGAATTTAGCATATACTGTGATAATTATTTTACATTACGGTTAGATATAAATTTGGCGACAGAGCTGAATAAGAAAGTTCCTAATGAACGCTTGAAAACTAATCGACTGATAATTTGCATGACGTGGTTTAAACTGATAAAGCGTTTTTTGTAAATAATGAGATAGAATGCAAGAATTTACAGCAATGTAATATAATATGTGTTTGTTCAAAACCCTCTGACACAGAATGATTTATAATTATTTGAATAGAGAGAAATTATTGTTTGGTTTCTTGCGCTAACAAATGACCAGCTATTTGAATGCAGTGGAATTGATCGTGTGGCTTAAAAAAGTGTAAGAGTATAAAAATGTTGACAATAATAGTAACACGTTGGGTGTGTTTCTATCAGTGACCGCACGAGGCACCACTTACCATAGTGACATCGTCAATTTTGGAAATACTCCGCACAAAAATGTTGACTTTGACAATTGCTGGACCATCTGAATTAACAAAATATCAAAAAGTTAGGAATGTGAGATTCGATACAAAATAGAGTGTATAGCATAAGAGTGGTAACGTATAATGCTCTTTTCGGGGATTCTGGGGGGTTCGGAGGAAAGCTCGTAGGGTTGGTATATATATAGATTGTTCAGCTTTAAGTTGTTATTAATTTTGCTGCTTTTAATTGTGTTCTCGCTGGATTATTTAACGCGCCCTGACACGTGTGTGCAGAAGACTGACCGTGGAATAATTTGTATTTATCGGAAAAATGCTCCAGGTCCTCTGTGTCCGTGTAAGAAAATTAAATGATATGTCTTTGCATGGCGGAAGTGGCAGAAAAAGATGAGCATAATTATATTATGTTCTGCCAAAGGGTATTCCTATATGTACACAGAATTAGGGTGAAGCTGCTGGTGTGTACAAAAGTATTTACAGATATATAATCAGGACTATAGTTATGTACAAGACACATGAAACTACCATTCTCTGGCACAAAAGGGTCGTTCGATGTATGTAAATAATGAGAAAAATTGCCACGAGGAGCGCCGCAATAAACTGAAGTGGCGTTACAGTCGAAATCCAGATTTATCGATGACGTGACTTCTCTCTCAGGGAAATCATAAAACAAAAGCATATATTTTAACACGAGGAGGTCAGAAGAAGTTTTACCGCGTTTGCATGCCTTCGCACCTTGGCACGGAGCAAGTCAGCTCAGGTTGAAGCCACTTTGTTCTAACTCTCGTACATATTATGTGAGTATATGTGAGAACATTGAGTATTAAGTATGAGCAAAATAATATTGTAATTGAACTGAACAGAAATTCCAAATCATAAATGCCGCATAATCACTTCCAACATGCGCCCCCACAGATCCGCAATGCAACACTGACGTTATACAAATATCATTAATTTCAGCGGCTTTATCAAGGGTGAAAATTGATTGAGTAAATTATGAACGATTATTATTCGGTTTGTGAAATTTGTTTTACTCGATCAATCTTGGAGTTTGGTGACGTGAGATGAAAACCAAATCAGATTAAAATGCACAACCATGTAATGGAACATGTGTGACATAAAAATGCATCACCGGCCAATTCCGCCAATTGAGAAACTTACCATCTTGATATCGCTGATAGTGGCAATGCTTCTGACAAACATATTGACTCGCACTATGGCTGGACCATCTGTTATTGCAAAAAAAATAATACATGTTTGCGTGATTGATTATTGAGATCCTTGTTTGTCAAGCGGGGCAGCTTTGATTTAATTAATCTCTCTTTGATTTTCCTATATGGCTGCGTCAAAAGTTTTGGTTAGTCAGAGAATGCGTCTCTTTTTTTTTTCATTTTGACTCCGCGAAACCTGCGTCCTAGAAAGGAGAATTCTCGTAAGTGGCTTACCATATTGTTCTTATTCCACGATTTCCTGACAAGCGAATTCAAACAACTATACAAAATGGTAGATGTAATTTAATTTGCAAGCTAATACGAGATTTGCAATACCAATTAAATCATAGTATATATGTGTCTGCAACTTAGCTAATAAGTAGGAGGTGGTCTGCGCCAAACATGCTCCCCTCTACGGGCTTTTGTGCGAGTCTCGCCCAATCTGATCTTTCAAATTTGCATTTATTGAGCGTGTATACAGTCAATCAGACAACCAGTCAACCCAACTAATCAATATGTATGAGCTAAATATTCGGGGCAGTATATTTCATGTCATGGTATTGTTTTGCTCTGAATGAAATTCCAATGAAAAAAAATATCAACCAAAATAAATGGAAGCTAGTAAGCGTTTCTATAGAGAATAAATTTGGGGTTTCGTGTGAGGTGTTTGGCTCGTTTAAAAATTGGGGACGGTCAAGCCGGACTCTGCGTTGTTGGAAGTGGGTCAGAATTTCTAAATCACATCTAAAAATGTCTAATTGCTTACCTTCTAAATTATACAGAATGATTTAATATAGAATTACTTCATATTATTTACAAATTCCAGTTGACTTGAATGGTATATTTTATATGCCACGTTTTGATCAATTGTGAGATCGAATAGTTATAAATTCTTTTTGTACAGATGTTATGGATTTTGAGATGATTTGAAATTCTGATCTCAGCTGCCAACTTCGCCTACGCGTCCAAAAACTGCCATGCATTCAATATGGCTGAATTGCCGGTGGGTCATCAGGAGCCTTCGTTAAAATTTGCAACAGATTCTGCACTCGTGATTTTTGAAAATTGTTTGAAATTCCGATCGTGAGTGCTCAACCTGTGTGCCATTTGGCTGAAAGGCCGCCCAACTTACCATTTTAATGTCGCTGATTGTCATTATGCTTCGGACAAATAGGTTAATATGCACAATTGCAGGGCCATCTGGGAGAGCATTAACATGTTAATATCCATTCAGACACGAACTCATTATGCAACACTGCTTTGTAAATAATAGAACCCCTTCCCCGTGGGAGTCCGTCATATATACTTGCAATGATTTAATTTAAAATGAGGCCTGTCGCAGCTAGGTGAATTAATTTATCTTAAAACTAACGAACTTCGCAGACGAGACACAGAGCAGTATAATGAAAATGATATTTATGAAAATATAAAGATGGGTACCACATCAACACGAAAAACACACGTGGATGACAACACCAATCAAAACATGTACGTTGCAGCAGCGTCAGAAGTTGTCTGCTCCACCGATTCCAGCGAAAAATAAAAATCAACGCAAAGATTCCAGAGAGACAGCGAATGCACTTCTGTGAATCAAGTGCTAAGGGTAAACAGCGATCTAACTAAAGCAAATGAACTGTGTGGAACGGAAATCATAAATATGTACACAGAGTTTTTCATCTCTGATGCACGAAGGAGCATATGAAGCGAGACAGATTTTTTTTATTAAATATATGTATTGCGCGATGATAAAAAAATTGCGTGACGGTTTTAGGTTGAGCTATACTGAAAATAATGCTTGTACAGAAACCGATTTTTAGGTCTTTCGTGTTACGAGCTAGACAAAGAGTGGCTCAGCAAGCATGTTTAAACAACACTGCAAAATATTCTGTGACTTGCGTGTGAGATTAGTTACTATTAATGACAAATTACCGCAAAGGAAGTTTTCGCCAAAACAAATTATCAAAACACGTGGATTAAAATAAAATATACAAACACACTCACAATTAGTGATGAAGATGAAATAATAACTTGAAATACAAATTAAATAGGAAACAATTAACAATAAAAAATATTGTTTTTAAAAAAATATGGGAGAAAAGTCAAACTCATCCTTTGAATCGTCTCATCCTAAATGAGAAAATAAATGTACCTTTCAAATCGAGTAAGTAAGTCAAAGGATTTTTTAATTATTAATTTTATTTCTCTGCCTGCTAACAATTGAGATTTCTTTTCAAACTAATATTTTTTTTTTTTTTGAAGTTATACAAAAAAATAATTTATTTTGAGCTGTGCACAGTGAAGAGAACGTGAATGTAATTATTAAATTTCAAATTTGCAAATTTTGGTTAATTTTAAACGGCCGATTGGTTCCTCTTTGGATCAGTGTGTCTGTGTGCTAGCAGGGCAGCTTAGCAAGCACCATACCTGTCCCTTTTCATTGCTCCTTGGGTCTCCCAGCAAGCGAGTGTAACGTCGAGAGCTGATATTGATTTCAGCAGCGCGAGATGGCTGGCTGCGAGAGCAGTTGCCCTGGAAACCAAGTCAACCTCTCGCCCGACCACCCCGTTCCTCCCTACGCGCCCAACACAGTGCTGTGTGCAACATTACTCATTATATGTCAAAATTTCAATAGTATATATGGAGGAGAAGTGTGACATTGTTCTTAATTACTCTATTCAAGCCAGAATCATTATTTGCATTGTTCACTGCACGGAACGTAGCAGAAAAATTGTGTCACCACTTTCAAATCGCGTCATTTATTTGTGATACTTGTTTTTTTATTAAATGTATCTGTAATTTTGATTGTTTTTATGTTTACAATGAATAGAATGTTATGTTAAGAAAATTTTCATGATTAAAAAAAAATCAATGTTTAAAGATATTTAAATTATGGTATAATTTTGAATTTGAAAACAATTTCAATCTTTTCGTTAGCTGCAAAATCTCTTTTGTTTAGAGCCAGGCAGAGAAATTATTTGTTGGACTGCGTAAAAAACTTCCTCTAGGGCTGCAAAAAGGGAAATTTTCCGCGTAAATGAGGTCGGCCTATCAACATTGCTGCGCGTTGAGTGGTAAAATATTCGGAATTTTCGCGATTTTGCCCGAGCTGAATAATGATGAGATCTATCGGGTGGGGCGGATGTCTAATGAGCTCTGTGCCCTCTCTAGTGAGCTAATCAATTATGTTTGCCGTGGCAGTCTGTTCACACCACACAGACTGAGTGTAAAAATAAAAGGATGATGTCGAGCAAAAAGGAGAAGACGGCTCACCTGTTCCGTTGACCCCAGAGGGTCTGATTCTGGCGTCGTAGCGACCTGGACCCAAAATCTGGTCCAGCACTTGTTTTTCCTTTTCGCGGAAATTTACTTTCCCCGGTTGCTTTTCACTGGAATTGTGGAAACATTTTGAAGAGAAATTTGAGCAAAAATGTATTAAATTTCAAATACTCACTTGGCGTTTGTGCATGTGCAACAGAGTATGAGGATGGTGACAGCAAAAATGAGGGTGGTGCCTTTGGCGGCCGTCATCGCAAATCCCAGTATCCTGAAACCAAATTCGGCCATAAATTTTTAACTGTATTATTCGGGAAATCAAAATAATCTACGCAATTTTAAAATATCAAAGTTATTTTACTTTTGTACTAGTTTTTTATCAAATATTTGAACTCGGATTTGTCATATAATTATTTTATTTTGAATTTCAAAAATCAAATTTTGCTCGGTGCAGAGCTAATCTCTGGCTGACAACTGTTTGCATTTTGCAGGTGTGCGCGCGGCCCAAACTAAATCACAACGCGATTCCTCTGCTTTTCCAGCTTTTATAGGTGCCGGCGGGTAAATGTAAAAGTTATTGATCACTGTCGGGGCACTGGCATGATACCCTACCTGCGTGCACAGCGGCGTTCAAACAGTGTGCAATATTACCACGAGTTTTTCCAACCCTAAAATTACCCGCAGAGCAAACTTTCATTGGCATATTAACCCTCATGCCGGAGCCACCTTGGCGCGAGGGGTCGCCTAGTCGATTTCCGTTCATTCCCGCAACCCGTAATAAACCAAATTACAGCAGCGTCGCCTAAATTGATTTACACTTTGGATCGTTTCAATATCTAATCTATGGCCTTATTGATTTTGAGTAAAAATACACCAAAAATCTATTTTCGAATTTGGCCTACACCCATATTTTTCCTTTATATGTTGATTTCTTGTAATTTTTAGTCATCATTCAACAAAATTTACTCAGCAGGCGCTAATAATCAAAAAGGAAGTGAGCGAGAGAGAGAGAGAGAGAGACTTGCTAATCAATACGCTCAGGCGCTCAGCACTGTGGCAACTCATACACATACATATGTAACTAAAAGTCCAATCCGGCTGTGCCTGGCACAGAAGAATGGGGAACGACTGCTGCTGTTGCAGAATCCAGCTGTTCAGCCAGCAGCGCACATCCCCGTTTTATGGCTCAACTTACTCGCGGCTTTTCCACAATGGTGCGACATACATATAATTATGTGTTCGCGCCACAACAACGCCTTTCCCCTCTCGTACACCAATCTAGTAACAACCTAGACTGAATCATGTGCGCGCCACTTTTTGCTGTGCATCATCAGCACCCCCACAGCTACCCTTATTTACTCGCTCGCCCGGATAAAGACTTTTTCGCCAGGGATACAAAAAAATAAAATCCGTAAACTTGTGACCTAAATTTGAATCTGGGAAATTTTGTGAAATCATAAATAGAGGCCAGAGTGAAAGCGGCATTGAGGGTGACCAACCCTTTGTGGATTGGCGAACAAACATTCAGTGCCAAATATGCAAGTGTGTGTGCCAGACCATTTTATTTGCGGACACTCCTATGTCGAGGAGTGAAACGAAAAAGTCAAGCGTGTACTAAATTTACTGCCTGCTTCACTCGGCCAATAATTTGTCACGGCACCCAGAAATTCTAGGAAATGAAAAAGATTTTTTTGTACAAGTTGCAGTAAGAGTTATTTTCGGAGCATAGCGTTCAAATTGAAGATTTTATACTTCTGGTTTTCTAATAACAAATCTCACGAGAAACTGGATTTTTAAATAAAAAATTTCAGTTTTAATTTCCCTTTGACTTAATTGATTCTGTAATTATTTGGACGGTTGGCATCAATAACGGGATTAAGTAATTTTGTTTCGCGCTTTTCGGGTAATGTATAGGATGAGATTAGGATTTAGTGCACGCATCTCGTAACTTTTTGGCAAAGCTCTGTGCCAACGCCGGCGCGGTTTTCTAATGGTTCGCCCAAGAGATTAATTGCAGGCCGACACAAGACGCGGTTCTTTGAATTAAGTCTTTGAAACACTCCCAGGCGTGCTCGAAGTGAAATAATAATAAGGTTCATTAAAATATTTCTTCTTACAATTTGCTTTGATTGCTCGTACGGAACTGGTGGGCATTTTAATTTAGCGCTGACAGCCTGTCGCCGCTATCGACTGAGACGTCACATTAAATAAATTAGCCGCAGATTGCTTCATCAAAGTAATTTTCATCCGTTTCATCAGCACGACTTGTATCCTTACTGTGAGTTTATAATTATTTCTTCATACTGAAATTACGTAAAATCGGTGGTCAAAAATTCGTCCCCTTTTATTAAAATTTCTGCCTTTTGCCAGTGTATTCTTCGCGGCTGAGAGGAGCGCGTGCACCTTTTTGAGTTTGCACACGTCGACCTGCTTCTTTAGTCCCTCGAATCGATTGATCAAGGGCCCTTTGCTTTTGTGATAAAGAAAGGCACACACCCTTTTGCAGCTCAGAAATAAAGCAAAGGGCGAAATGATTGATGAACAGCGTGCCGCAGCCAATTTGCCTTTTTCAGCAAGCCGAAGAATATTTTCTGACGCAGTTTGCGAATAGGCTAAACAAATTTTCGTTCAATCTCTCATTTGAAAAGCAATTGTTCAACAAGGTGATAGAAAATTTAATAATTGGCATTGGCGCCTGCAAGATCTGAAAGTAGGCAACCTGCAAAACTACGCACTACGCAGTTGGGAATAATCCTGGAATAATGCGTAATTCTAAGGTCTCTAAAGTTTGTAATTATAATTAATTTAATTTCCTTGCTGGGTGTACTTTTAATTAATCAATCTCTGAGGAAGCTCCGCGCTATTTCCCAAATTCATATTTTATTGATTTACATGCAGTCTAGCCTACTTTTCGTTTGTATTGACGCAGCTTGTAAAACTCAACTCGAGCAAGATTTAAAATAAAAATCCTGAATATAATTTTACGGTTTGTTATGACGATGATTAAAAATTACGCAACATTTCCCTAATTTTTTGCAAATTTAAATAAATCAATCAATTAACGTGAGCTACAAAATTCCACTACATTGGGGTAGTAAAATTTTCCATCGTACCAAGCCTTGCGTTTATCAGAACATGCGAAATAGAAAACTCACCTAAGGTTGTGGAGGAGAGCCGTGTCACATGGTCATATCCCTGGCAGCGAAGGCGGCAGAATGCGACGACGGGTTGCCGGAGAAGAGTTGCCGCACTTGCAGTGCCCGGCGCATGGCCCTTTCGCCAAGGGAGGTAGACCCCAACCAACCAACCAAGCTGGCTGCCTGGTCTGCGCCGACTATTTTCAAAACATCTATTACACCTCTGGGTGCTACCGCTCAAAATACGTTCCGTGTTTTGCGTTAATGACATTAGCAAAATCCTCGCCAAGAAGTGAAATGACAAAATTAAACGAAATAAATTTTTAAATGAAATTTTCATCGCAAAAATTTTATTTAAAATGAATAAACATTGTTTTACATGTTTTTAAATTATATTTTCATCTGGAATGAAATTATTAGAAATAATTTGGTTCCAGAAGAAAAGAAAAGTTGCAAGGATTTGCAATAAATTATTTTTTATTTCCTTAATTTGCAGTAGCACAAATTTGGTCTGTCATTAGAGGCCAAAAACCTTTTTCAAGTGTCACGGTGCGGCTGTCTGAGGACTTTCTGTCTAGTTGACGAGTCTAGTTGTGCTGGAACAATGCAGCTAATTGCAAGACCACTTGACAGTGCTAATTGTGCAGCCGGTTTATGATTCGGTGCTATTTTTTACTCAAAGTCTTTGACCCCTTTTTGTGAGTCCCCAAACCGCTTTATTTGCTTTGAATAATTCACAATTCTGTGCCCGCATCGACCGCTTGTTTTTTTCTTTTTATTAATTTTATTTGCTCGAATAGCTACGAGTCGGCGGTTGTATGAAAAATATGGGATCAAGTTTGCAGGGAGAGAGTGTGCTGCTATTCGCTATTGATCCGTCTCCGGTGACGTCACCGGCGCACACAGCATCCCTACCAGGACCAGCCCCCAGGGCAGCAGGAAATCACGGCACCAAAGACACTTGAAAATGCTGCCCGCCGCTGCCGGGTCGCCCCGACGGCATTACCAAGTAAACGAATAAATACCTGCGGAATTAACTTCCTTCACAATAATTGGGGATATCGCGCTTCATTGTTTAATGAGTTAAATTTTACTAACTTTACCACAATGTTTTATTTTATTTTTTAAATTAATACAATAATCAAAATTTTAACGAAATCAAATTTTTTTAGATTTAACTGATATTAAATCCTAACTCAGGTTGAGTTTTAATTAGAATATGTTTAAAAAAATTTATTTAGCAAAAATAAAAAAAATAATTACGAGGTTTAAATTTTTGAAAAAAATATATATTTTTTGGTAAAAAGAATCTGATAAAATTATGGAATATAAAAATAATTAAATGCATCATTATGGTTATACAAGAAATATTAGAAGTAAACCGACAAATAAAAATTTTTTAATTAAATTATTAAGACGTATTATTTTATATGTGCTTAAATTATATTTGAAGCAAAAAGCTCGCCCGAACAGGGACTCGAACCCTGGACCCTTAGGTTAAAAGCCTAATGCTCTACCGACTGAGCTATCCGGGCTGCTAAGAGGAGGTGAAGGAATCACGCTAGATGAATACAACAGGCCAGCTGTGATGCAGTTCATTCTGCCGCCACCGTGCTGCGCTCGCTGCTGGAAATGTATTCCGCTGAAATTGGAGCGAGCATCAACTCAATGGGCCCTATGTATGTTGTATTGTGGTAACCGGTAACCCACTCACGACAGTATACAAGCTTTTTTTTTATTAATTCTAAATTAACAACAAGACTTCATACTTTTTTGAATTCAAAATTGAAATTTTTATGCATATTATCCATTCTATCCATTAAGGAATCCTGAATAAAAATCAATTCATTGTAATTAAATACCCATTCTAATTGAAGTAAATGTGTGATTTAACAGTTTGGACAAATAAACAACTATAATTATTTTTGAACTATAGTTAAAGCGACGACTTCAAATAATCCTTTCGATCTAGATTTTCTGTAGTAATTGAGCATTATTAAATGAAATAATGCCATATAAATTTAAAAATAGTCATTATGCCTTTAAATAAATTAAAAAATTGGTTTAATAATTTAGGAATTTGCTATATTATTAAAAAATCTCCTCAAATAAATACGGTAAAAATTTAAGTCTGTAATTCCAAAGCACATTGCAAATCTGGTTGTTCTATAACAGTTTTATAAATTTTTTTCATTTGATTGATTAAATTAAAAATCGCTATAATCGAAAGCTGATTTTTTTTCTTTTTAATAAAATTTGTGTTTTGACGTGAAATAATTTTATATCAGAAAAAATGAAAAATTCCATTATTTATTATTAGGGATAAATTTTAATTGAAATTGTAATGAATTATTGACATACCAAATAAGGTTTATTAATAGACACTTATTTTTATTGCTTGGTGCATCAATGAACGCGATCCAAAGTCCTCTAAAGTTTTGCACCTTTGTTCGAGACACCTTTAAATTTATGAGGAAAATTCCACTACTTTTAAACCAATTCAATTTTGCCCTTCAAATATTCAACAAAAGAGCGCCAAGTAAATTTGGACGATTCGTTGTAAAAAAGGTACTAAAGAGATATCATTATAGAGTGGAAAGATCCATTGGCACGCTCGTGTAAGCTGTTTTACAGCCCGCGAGCAGACGATGTCGTTTTTCACTTTCACACAAAATAATATAATTTCAGGGCCAAGGCCAGGTGGAATAGACACCTGAGAAAAGTGAGCGCGTTCGCGCGCACCATTATTAATGCACCCTTCTTTTCCCAAAGGTTTGAGTGATTTATATCAAAGCGTGTCCGCATCTCTTTTCACCACCGGACAATAGCGCGAGAGCCAGGCCAATTCAGCGGCCGAGTTCCTAAATTTATGTCTTTTCACACGCATTTCGGAGAATTCTGCGCCCGAAAAGACGCCTATTCTCCTTTTTTGTGCAAGCGCTTCTTTTTGTCGAGTTGACTCAAATTACGGCATGTGTACGCACAAAGAAGGAAAACTTCTGGACGCAAGCACACATAATAACACCACCTTTATGTCCCGCACGAATGGGCTCCAGAAAATAAGGAAAACTCGTCTCTTTCCATGGCCAAAAACGTGTTCACTTTTATTGAAAAAGAAAGGGTCGCTTATGGAGCGAGTTGGCTTCGGAAAAATTGAGTTACTTTGCAGATCAATTAAATACATTATCACGAAATTTACATGCGATTTGGGAGCTTTCAGCCCCATAATTTAATAAGTATATAAAAATCTACCACTAAAATACATCCAAAGCATCCAAATGTGTCATTAAAAATTGCAATTTAGACTGTTGAAATAATTTAATAACAAAAGTTTTTATTAATTAATCTAAAGTGTCAATTTTTAATGTCATATTTTTTTCTGCTAATGTTAAAGGTTTATGTTTGAGCTTGTTAGTTTTTACACATTAATATATAAGATGAAATGTTTTATCAAAGATTGTTCTCAATTTTGCCTTGATGCACTGAAAAATTATTAGATTAATTTTATGGCAAGTGCAAGCAGAGTTTTACAATTTTTATCATAAATGGAAGCCAAATGGTTTCGTAGAATGTGTTTTGATGCTTTGCAGAGAGCATTGTGAAATAAATAACCTTTAATCAAGTTTTTAAAAAATTTGATTTCATCGAACTTACAAGGAAACCCTTTCAACACGCAAAAAAAAGTTAACGATTTTTTTACACCAATCGACTCTCCGCGCTGCCCTGATGATCCAAAAAAATTATTTTCGGCCGATCTTAAACGGCCGCTTCGGTAGAGCGGCCGAAAGTTGGCGTTTTTCAACTTATGCAGGCCCGCTTCACTTGCTGTGGAGCTCGACGCTTTGCAATCTTTTCTCGCAGCGAGCACGCACCGACCAGTTCGGCAAGCACACCGCCGGCGGCTCGCTCGCCACTCCACTGCGGTGCATACTTGCTGCGCTCTGCACTAATCGGCTATGTATTAAAAAATCTTATAAAAGAAATTTAAAGCATTGATATTCCCATTTTTTTTTCTCTAATTTAGCAATGCAAATCATGCAATATTTTAATTTCTTTATTGTGAAAAATAAACGATATTAAAAATAATTTGGATGTCTGAAAACTATTAAAAAATATTTGGTTAAATATTTCAATTTCAATCAATAATGATAATAATTTTGACAATGAATACCCCAAATAATTTATGAGTGGAAAAATGTGCACTATTTTTTTTTACAATGATTAGAAAATTTAGAATTTTTTTTTTTAATTTAAATTCTCTTTTCTAATAATTTTATTGTCTCCAATAATTATTATCCCTAAATTAAATTATATCATTTTTTTTATTAAATTTCAAAAAAAAAAAAAAAATTCAATTTTCCCAATCAAGTTTCCCAATCAAATTATAGGATATTTTTTTATTTTTTAAATTGTTATCTTATCTTTTTTAAACGTTTGATATTATGTCCTGACAGTTGGAAACAATAAAAATTGGTAAAATTAAAAGAGCGAAGTAAGTTTTTTTTAAATATATTATTTGCGCCAGTCAATTTATACAATGCACAAAAAATACAATGCACAAAATTAATCACGGCAAATAATTGTCACACATGTGAAGGCATTCTATGGAATGCTGAAAACACAAGTTTGAAGTGCACCAAGCGCACACAATGAACTTTTTACTTTGGCACAAAGGAATTTCGCACGTGGTTTTGGTTGAAAGTGCGAAGCAGTACTGAACTGGGGTCAAGTATTTTGGGCCTCTTTCACTTATGTAGCCAGGCTTAAAAAATGCATAGGTTATCATCGACTCGAATCGGGGTGAGCAAAGCTGGTGATACGTGAACGAAATCAACTTTATGCCGTTATTTCGGGTTTGGATGGGAAAGGGAATACTATGCATAAGTATTTCATCCTCAATAGTACGTAGAAGCTTTTTAAACGGACCATTAACATTAACATCCAAAGGTTGGATTTTTCCAGTAGTGCCTTCTGGAATGAGTCCTATTGTCACATTTAGCCCAAACTTTTCTTTTGCTATTTTGCATAGTTCGTTTACCTTCTTTTTCCAGCCACACCAGTGGTCAATCAAAAATCGCGCAGTTTTCCCCTTCACATTTGGGAAAATGCAATTTGTAAAAAGTTCCTCCACTTGTGACCCCAACATTTTACCACTTGATGAGCAAGTTACAAACAAATTTTCGGGCCGAAGGACAGTTTCTTGCACTCTTACTCCGAATTTACCACCGTCTTCTTTCAAAATTAAATAAGCTGGTTCCCATAGCCGACCACTTGCATCACAAGCAGGAACAAGCGTCCAAGAGTGAGTCATACTATTTGAGCTTTGAATACACTTTTCAATCGTTCGTTCGCCTATTATTGCTAAAGTGCGCGCAGAGTGCATCTCCCTATTGATCCCGACATGGTCTAGATTGCCGAAACAAGCCCTTCCTACCCGAATGACCTCGCCTTTTTCATTTTCAACAAAATCTGTTGCGCTTTTCAGAATATCATCTTTTTCCCTGACTGATTTTCTCGTCACATATTTGTTGATTTTTCTTCCTCCAACTTTAAAACGGCGTTTAAAGTTCTCTAACCAAGTTGGTGAGGCACAAAAGTCTTTCGTGGATAAGCCATGTTTCAAAGTGGCAGATTCAATTGCCCACTGCCTTAAATGTCTGCCTTTGATGATTTTCAAATCTCCTCGAAACTCGAGAAATTTGGCGTAGACGTCTGATTCAATGTCTTTTATATGAGATTTCAACATTACTCCCTCATTGATATCAGTGCGCCATTGGTACAATTTTCTAATACATAGTTTTGCATTGGGATACTTTTTTTGCATGGATGACAATTTTCGAGTTGTTCCACGCCTTGGTCCATATTTCTCTTCAGCACACTTATCCTCATACTGCCAATGAGCAACAATTTCCTTTTTTAAGGAATAGCTTAGGACGTGCCGTTGAGGTTGCTGTTTTGGCAAGTCGCTCTCCTCGACACCAATCAAAAAATCAAGCTCACATTCATCGCAATCGCTCTCAACGTCTGTCAAAGCATCAGACTCAATTGACTCTTCGTCAAGACAGTTTGAGGCATCTGCAATTTTTATTTATATATTAGGATAACAAATTAAAATTAACAAAAAGTATAGCAATAATAAATATAAATATTTTTATGTTTTTTTTTTAAATTTATAAAGTTACAATAAAAATAAATGTCTAATTTATTCTTTATTCTTTTTAATTAATTAAAGTTGTTTCCATAAAATTTTAATAAGTGAATTTACTTTGGTCATGAATGTCAACTTCATGTGCGACTGCTCTTGTAAAAACCGTCCTTTTCTTCCTTATATTCTCAATTTCAGCCAAGCCTGTTGATGTCACTACTTTGTTGCCTATGACAATGAGAAAAGAAATAATAACAAAATAATCGAAATTTAATTACTCTACTATTTAATTTTTTATTAATTGAATAAAATTTGAAAGCAATTTTATTAAATTAAAACTTCTAAAAATCTTTCTTCTCACACGCTTCATTTTTCATTCAAAACAATCGTTTTCATGGAAAATTATTGCGTCTTTAATTAGATGGAGAGCGCAAACAAATTGGAAAAAATGAATAGCCACTAATGTTCAAGTATTATGTAACAACAATTCTACCAATTTTTTTGATTAATCCTTGATAAATCCTGTAAAATTGAAATTATTCAATCAACTTACTACAATTGGAATCTTCTGCAGATGTCCTTGCATTTTCCAATTGCAATTCTTCTATGTTGGTCTCTTCATTTTCTTTCAAGGTCATTTCATTTTCTTTATTTGCCAATTCTTGTAAGATCGCTGCATATGAGAGGTCAAATTTTAAATTAGTTATTTTCTGGACTAAAATTTTTAAAACAGAAGTTATTGTAAAACTTATATTTGAAATGAATTTAAAATATTTTACGAATATTAATATTATAAGAAAAATTATTGCCAATTATTTTTAGTTTTGAAATGCAATTCAAAATTACAACTAAAAAAAATCTTTTATATAAAATTATTAAATAAACTCACTGCCTTCAGAGTTGGCAGCAGACGTATCAACATTATTTTGGAATTTCTCATCTTCCATGCTGGTCTCTTCACCCTCTTGCAACGTCACTTCAGCTTCTTTGTTTGTTGGTTCTGGTGAGAGCCCTGCATATGAGAGACCAAATTTAAAATGAGTTAATTTTAATTTTTTTTATTTAAATTTAAATTCTGAGTTATTACAATATTTTCTTATTATAAATTCACATTGTTTTTATAATAAATATTTTTATAAGAAATAAATTACTTACTGCATTCAAAATAATTTTCATCAAAAGAAGAAGGGAACAGCTGTCTCCTGAAATTGCGTTCATTGCGCTCGAAGTGGAAAGTTTTCTGGTTGTGAGTAACTAGAAAATAAAAAAATTTTAATATTGATAAATCTTGCATAATTCAAAATATTAATTAAAAATTTTAAAATAATAGCTCCTTCAGCATTATTAAAAGTTAGCATTAAAAGAAAATTCATAAAAATAATCCAACCCGCAACTGTCGCACATTCATTTCCAGGCGGCTCGTAATTCTCATGGAGCTCTTGATGTTGATTGTGAGACGAAAAATCTAAAAAAAAAAAATATAAATATAAAGAAGGGCTTACTCTATGCTGGGATTTATTAAAGTTATATTTTAAATTTTGATTCACATTTTACCTTTCACGCCATTCAAAATACAAAGGTATTGGAAGAATTTATCCGTTTCCAGGATGGATGCTTGCAAAAGTAGTTCTGAAATATTTCAAAATTAATATTTATTTTGACGATTTAAAATATTAATTTGAAAAATAATTTCTCTACCTGATAGCAGAACGGCTAGACTGATTTCGCGATCGTTAGGCACACCTTTATCCGATGAATCAAATTTGCAAATCAATAAAAGCTCTGCAAGTACAGAGTTTACACAAACGAAGTTCATGGTGCAGGTTTCATATGCACACTGATGCCTGCAGTCGAATAACAATGCAATTTTTGCTCCCTCAATTGAAAGAAATTTTTTGCATACTTTAAATTGTAATAAACGATGAATGAAATTACTCCAAATATCTTCCATTCCTCACCTGGAATGAACCCAGCGCACAGTCTACACATTTTTATTTTGATAATTTTTTTTCATTCGACCCGCTAACCTAGTGAGATTAGCAACAGCAAAAATATATATTTATTATATAATTATTCAATAACAAAGCAATCCATAGCATATGTAATTTTTTATTTGGAAACAAAATATTAAACATTGCATAAGAAGATTATTATTATTTTCGAATTTGTTTAAAATTTTCAAGTTGAGATTTTTTCATTTTATTAACACATGAAATAAAACTATATTAGAATGTTGGAAATATTTTTTAATAGCCGATTAGTGCAGAGCGCAGCAAGTATGCACCGCAGTGGAGTGGCGAGCGAGCCGCCGGCGGTGTGCTTGCCGAACTGGTCGGTGCGTGCTCGCTGCGAGAAAAGATTGCAAAGCGTCGAGCTCCACAGCAAGTGAAGCGGGCCTGCATAAGTTGAAAAACGCCAACTTTCGGCCGCTCTACCGAAGCGGCCGTTTAAGATCGGCCGAAAATAATTTTTTTGGATCATCAGGGCAGCGCGGAGAGTCGATTGGTGTAAAAAAATCGTTAACTTTTTTTTGCGTGTTGAAAGGGTTTCCTTGTTAGTTTAAAAATCAACAACTTATCATATACGAAGGAAGTCTTGTAGCCGCTTTATAAATTAAAAAACCAATTCCTCTCTCCCGTAAAAAAATACCAGCAAAAATAATTCTTATATAAAAAATGCAGATTTTGTGAGAGAGGAGGAGGAGGTGTTTTGTTTTTGTACACTTACTCCAATTTTCGCCGCAGAAGCAAAATTCATTGTGCGATGGTTTGCCGTGCGGTAAAAACCAGAGAAAACGTTTTCGGTGGCAAAGCGACGCACGCTTTTGGCAATTCTATTTTTCCTTGGCCGGCGGAAATGTCGAAATTCTGCAAAATCGACGTCACCACTGCGAATGTGAAACTTTGAACGAGTTTGGAGCCGATGCATGTTCTCTTTCCTAAAAGAAAATTTTGGTTTTAATCGTTTGTCAAAAGTCGGGGCAATTAAAATAACTAACCTGTGCTGAAGGGAATAAAGTGGGAAGGCTTGACGACCTGATCTTCCACAACAAATCTTTCCGGCTTGAATGTTTCCGGCTCTTTCCAGTACTCTTCGCCAGTGTTGAGCTCGTAATTGTTGAGGAAAACGACCGTTCCTTTGGGAATTTCATATCCGCTGATTGAGCTGTCTTCGGTGGCAACGTGGGGAACAATGGGTGACGAGGTCACGCGAAGAGTCTCGAGAATAGTCGCTTCTGTGTAGGGCATCACGCTGCGGTCGAACAAATTGATGGGCCTGCCATCGCCAGCAACTTTTTTTATTTCAGCCTGGATTTTTGCGCCTACCTAAAATTTAAAAAAAAAATCAAGGTGAGGCTTTTGCAAAAAAAAAACGGCCCCATTGGTTTGTATATTTCAGTTCCAATGAGGCATGGGACATGGGAGAAAATTCGAGTTTTCGGAAAAATTTAATTTTTTATATTTTACATTGTTTTGTTATTTCCCGACCAAAATTGATGAAAATTTCACCAAATCACGTTCAATTAAGATGGAAAAATAAATCAATAGGTCAGCGACATAAAAGTTAAAAAGGTGACCAAACTGACCTCGGGGTATTTGACGACGGCAGCAAGGGTGAGCATGATGAGGTTGCCGACCGCCGAGTGACCTCCGAGGAAGTCCTCCAGCTCAAATATGGCGTGCTGCCAGGTCAACTCAGGGTCACTTTCGAGGTGCTGCAGAAGGGCGTCGGTGAAATCGGAGGCGGGGCCACCCTGTTGCATGCGCTCCCTGTGCGCGGCGACCACCCTGGTCAGGATGAACTGGCGGATGTTGTGTGCCCACTGCTGCAGTTGCTTCATGTGACCCTGCGCGCAAAAAACGAGATGACAATTTCGAGTCTCTTTCGGTAAATTTATGAATTCAGCTGGTGTAAAAAAAGGGAAAAGCCACCGAGGCTTGTTATCTCCTCTGAGAAAGACATAAAATAAGCAATTACGTTTTTCTCTCCCACGCTCCAAATCTAAATAATTTCAATCTTTGGCACAGTCGCTAAGCGGAAAGGTCGTTTCAAGAGCAACAGACACTTCTGACTGAGTTCCCACAGAAACTGGCGAGTCGGTAATTAATATTTTATATTATATGAGAGAGAAAACTTCAAAAAACAAATCTCGTTTTTATTCTTACCTGATAGACGGGCAGCAGCCAGGGCAAGAAGTCGACGGCGTAGCCTTGGTTGATGTCCCAGAAGATTTCGTCAAAGTTTTGCACGACTTGCTGGAAACCGGCGTCGTCGTAGTCGAAACTCATCGAGCACATGTAGTTGGCGAACATATTGGCGCACGTGGCCTGAATGAGGGGTTTGACGTGCAACGCGCCGGGGCCGTGCGCGCGGATCCGCTGCAGCAGTCGCGCCGTTTCCGAGCCCGCCACGGCAGAAAGTTGGCTGAACTGCGGAGACGCGAACCTCGGAGAACAGTAAAAGCGGGCAATGCGGCGCCGCGTCTTCTGCAGGTCAGACCAGTCACACAGAGCCAGAGCTGCAACAATTTGTTCTTATGTAACAACAACATATCAATCTTGGCGTTTTTTTCCTTCCGCAACTGCTACATGAATAAATTGCAGATCAAAGGAAATAAAATGATGGAAACAAAATAAAAATCTCCACTAATATTTGCATAAAAATTTCTTCTTAAGAAATAATTTTCTTTTAATTGCAATATTCCACCACACTCGCTTATTAGCCTTCTGGCCAAAATTAGTGAAGATTAGTATTTTAATATATATTTATTATCATTACATAAACAATCAACATTTTAATTTTTTAAATTTAATACAGGTGAACATTATTTTATAAATTTTTTAATGTATTTGGATTGGGCTCAATTTCAATTTGTAAACATTATTCTTTACAAATTTTAAAAATCAACAATGTTTTTTTTACCTTTTATTTTCAATGGTCAAATATTGACAGTAATTTATTTGCCGGTTCAACTGTGAAAAACTTTTTACGTTTGATACTGTTTGTTGTCTTTGCATATTATGAGAGGTGACCACCGGATTATGAAATGAATTGCGCAATCCGAGGCGCGGGGGAGACTGCCGCTGGAATAAGCAATACGATATAATTCCGCACTTAAAATAGCAAGTGCGGTTAACTGTTCTCGAGATTTGTGTTTACGTAGGATAGATTGTTTTTTTTACGTTGTGCGGCCACCAGAGCTGTCAGCGCGGAGGCACCCGGAAGAATGCCGCGCGGCGACGATGGCAGGCAACACACACAGTGAACTTGACCGTGAGCGAAAGTAAACGGTAAAATTGAAAGTATCTCATCGCACGAACGCACTTCGAGTATTTTATTCGCGCTGTTTAAATTAACGTTATGTGAGCTCCAGGTTGTCGAGGCAATAAATTTAATGATGCTGTGAAACGAGATTCCTCATGCCTGAATGTGTTTTTTAACGTTATGTTTTGACGAATCACAAATTTGACCCTTACAATTTCACAAGTGAGAGCAACTTTCCTCTGAAAAATTATTTAATTTAAAGTATCAAACTGAATATTTTTTAGAATTTTTTTTCAAAACTTTCAAAATAAAAATGCAAAAATTAATAATAATCTCGCGGAGAACTCGCATGTTTATTATTTTTGCAAGCGCCGAGTAAACAACTTGAGAGACGAGGCATTGAGCACCAAGATGAAGTTTTCATTGATGCAGGCGTTCATATCCTTGGGGCGAGATTTTAAAAAAGGGTTCTCCATTCGCGAGGCAAGGTAGAGATGGTCATTTATACTGGCACAGTGACCTGGATATTAATTATAATATGTAACTCGTCGTCAAACACCTTCACCCACATTTCCCAGCACCTGCACGCGCGCCTCAGTCTATCATCGCTCGCAGGGCGAATTTTTTCCGCTATTCGCTTACATAACAAGACCGTCTTATTTCCTCTCGCTTTCGCTCTACCACGAGAGAGCCGAGAGAGAACGCGTTGCCTTAATACAGATGAGATCGATCCGAGGCTAACTATAAGAAGAAAGACACGAACAATGGGAAGTTTGATAATTGTCACTGTTTGTTTATTTGCGCTTGGAAAACGAAGTGGCGATTGAGACAGAATAATTGCGTGTTCCAGTATAGAGCAAAGAGAGAGAAAATGTACCTGCCTTGTTTATTTTGCTTTCAATGTCGTCCAATGATGCCGAGGCGATTTCATTTTTTATTTTTAGGAAATACGTTTTTTATCAAATAAATTTGTTCCCGTTTTAACAAATTTAAAATTATTCTCCAAATTAAGAACAAATTTAAAAAAAATTTAAAATGATTAATTAAAGTTTATTATTATTTATTATTAATTTTTTGGGCGAAGCAATTTTAAAATTTAATTGATTTTGATCTAGTCTGAGCAATTTTATACTGCTTGAAGAATGCAAAGTCTATTAGAATAAAATTTGCCTGCGAGATTGAACTTGCAATCAGCCTCGTCATTGCACGATCAGCTTGAGGGTCATTAACAACTTGACGCTCGGGAGATCCCAGAGATCGTTCGTTCACCATCATCGTCATTTTTCTCACTTCATTAATTTATAACACCTCCAAGGCTTATTCCTCATTTATTTTTTATTTTTAAATAAATCAACCACCCTTTCTCACAGATTCTTTTTTGCAAGGGCTCCTTTGGAAATAATATTTAAATCATTTAAAATTTCCTGCACAATGTTTAGCCTAGCTTTGTCTTAATAAGCCATTAATATATAGTTGCTGGAATTCGCTTAGCCCGCAGTAAAATTGTAAATGAACACAAAAGTGCACGTGACTTTTGCTGAGCTGCACACTTTTAAAAATCCTTCGCTGGCCTAATTGAAATAAAATTTCTCTTTTATAATGCCACCTTTTGAAAACAAAAAGCTCGGCGGTGATTGAAAAAGAAATTTTTTCCCCAAACCGCGAAAGCCCCAATTTAAATTTGTTATTATTCTCCTCGGACGATTCTTTCACAAACATATCATTACGAAACGAAAAATAATAGTCGGTGAAAAGCACAAAGCTCCAATATATAACTCACAATTGTCCCTGTCGCCGCCGAAGAGTTGGTGGAAGCGGATGAAGTCGGGCCGGCCGCCGAAGTGGGCGCCCTTGGTGATGAGGACCTCTTTGATGAGCGCGAACGAGTTGACGACGACGCAGCGCGACGCGCCCAGGCGCATCTGGTAGATTTGGCCGTAGCGCTTGGCGAGCGCGGTGAACGCGTGGAAAGGGGTCTCGTGGCCGCCGAGCAGGTGCAGACTGCCCAGCACGGGCCACGCGCCAGGCCCCGGCAGCCCCTTGGCCACCCCCTTGCGTTTGCGCGCCAGGTGGTTGGCCATTGCCGCGGCCACCAGCAACAGGCCGGCGGCCAAAAGCAGACACAGGGACACCAGCGTCAGCATTGTCGGCGCTCTCAGGAAGATGAGCGCGCCGCACACGCCGCTCTTTATACTGGCCGCCCCCTCTCTCTCCACTCTCTTCTCTCTCTCTCTCTCTCTTGCTGACCGCCTCGCCTCTGTCCCCTCCAACCCCGCGACACCCCGGATCGCCCTCTCCTAACCCTGTACCTTCTGTCCAGGTGCGGTCGCAGAAGAATGCATCTTTGCAGCCGAACGACGCCAATCGCCACCAGGTTCAATCAATTTAACAGTCAAATTTTGTTTTCAAATTTAAAAACGGGAAAAGATTTTTGAATAAAAGTAGGGAAAATACTGAAAATCTCTGATCATCCGAGTTAGAGATTAAAAATTGGAAATTTTTTGTAAAAGCTCAATAATTATTTCCCAAAGTGGACATGAAACCGTCGCAAGTGCTTTGCAGAGCGAGCGTTTTGTAACTGATTTGAATTGTCGATTTCATTTGTTGGTTTTTCGGCGCTATTTGCTCGACTAAATCTTCATCATAGAGCAAATAAATGGAAGGAAGGGTCGCTAGGACTATGTTCGGACTTCTCTCCTCCGCATTAGTCAACTCAGCGCTTCTTATTCAACTTTGCGAAATTTTCAAATGAAATAGTTCTTTTCTTTGAACGCGCTGTCTTAAATTATTCAAATTTGAACACTTGCAAAAAATTTTTTTAGAGATTTGTCAATCTCATTGAAAAAAAAATATTGTCATGAAATTTTATTAGAAAGCATTTAACTTGGGCTTGAATCATATTTGTTATCTGATAGAACAATTTAAATTAGTGAAAGCCGCCACATAATATTACTAAAAATTGGGCCTCTCCTCTGAATTGGTGATCTCAGCGCTCTCTTATCAAACTTGGCGAAACTTCAAAGGAAATATTGTAATTCTTTTTCTTTTAACGCGCTGTGGTTAATTACATAATGAAATTTTAACACTTGTGTATACAACGCGCGCAAATAATATTGTACAACAAAATTATGGGGATGGTCTAGATCTTTCAATCTAAATCATTTTTTATGAAATATTATAGCAAGCATTTAAACTGTGCCATAATTGTTATCTGATAAAAAAATTTCACTCAAATTAGTGAAAGCCGTCACAAAATATAAATAAAATAAAAATAGGGTGGCGCCTTCTGCACAACTATAATAAACCGACAAGACTTTGAATTTGCTTGACCCAGAAAAAAAGTTCAATGATTGGAAAAAATTTGAATATATATTTATTTAAATGGAAAATCGCAAAGGCCAGCATGAATTTTAGCTGATGAAGGAAGATCCCGCCGGATATTCAGCAGTTTATCAAGCTTTGATGAGGAACGCAACACACAAAAAAGATCAAATGTGATCCACGTACAGACAAGGACAAAGTTTGCTGGCGTAATTTTCCTTGGCAAAAGTGGAGAGCAAGTTTTTTCAATGCGGATGAAAAAGAAATTGAACGTAAATAATTTATTTACTGCTGCACAATTTTGACCTGAACACGCAAAGCTGATAGCGAAAAAAAAATGGGAAAGAATCGATCCCAATTGTCATTTATCCGTTTTATCAAAAACCGACGTAATGAGCCATTGATTGGGAGTGTCAAGGGCGATGGTCACTTGTGCATTTAGGTGATAACGAAAGGGGTTGCTGGGCGACTCCCCTGACGTTGTCTCGGCGGCTCTCGTCACTTTCCCCTCCGCTTATGCATGCACCTCTACCTATACGCAAGGAGGCGGCCGCTGCCGCCGCCGCCGCCGCCGCAATCCTCGATGAATCGTCCACCGCAAGAGTCGCTCTATCTCGCCGCCGCTTCGTCCTCCTCAATGATCGGACAGGTAAACAATCCACGCTCTGAAATACTACTCGAAAATCTCTCCAGAAAGTTTATTTTTGTTCTCTTGCGATTTTTCTTGCTCGGGCGAAAAGCGAAAAAACCATTCAGCTTTTGCTGATGGACCGGAGGTGGAAGGAACGTGATGCGCAGCCAATCAGGTACTCTGCCCTCAGGTTGCTTCTGGAGGGGCCGCAACTTTGACCTCTCACTTCCACATGCAATGCTCTCCGCAAAGATTATAATTTTATTCGATTTTATTCGTTTCAAATCTGCGGATTTCTATAAAGAATATGTTCAAAAAAATTCCAGTGGAGGGAATGAGCTGCAAGAAAGGGTTAAATAGAGACTGAGAAGTGGAGCATTATTGGACTGAGAACAAAGAAATGTAGGAAGAATTTAAATTGGAACTGAAGTGAAACATTTGAAAAAAAGATTAGCAATTGCAGGCAGTAAAATTGTCAACTGTCCTTGCAAATCTAAAAGAGAACTGCAAATTGAATTAAGGATTGGGATATTTTGGCAACGATTATTTGAAAAATGTGTTAAATCCAATTTACTGTAAAAAAATCAAAACATTCCAATTTATTTATTTATTTTAAAATAATATTTAATTCATGAGTTGTGGTCCAAATTATGCAGAAGGGGATTTTTATTACACCAAATTCTGATCCTGTTTTTTTGTTTCGCTGAATAAACACACACATGATCAGACCAATTGAAAGAAACTGAAGCAAATAAAAAAAAAAAATTTTTTACATCAAATCCATCTGGGTACAAATTTTTTTACATTTAAATAAATAAATTTAAATAAAAATATACAAAAAACAATATTTTTTGAAAAATTTATTCAAATCAATTATAAATTATATTTAAAGTTTTATTGTTTTACATTTTATTTATTTCATTTCTATAATTTAAACATTAAAAAATATTGAGGCGGAATTGATTGGCTTGCTCAATGACACACTGATACGATCGGGTTTTGTATACTTAAGCCCGCGTAAAACCACATTAAACCAAAAGTAATTCACGGCCGCACAGATAACGATTATCTCTGTCATTTTGGGGCTTTTGCAAGAATCTCCTGTTGTATTGAAATACTAACACTCTTCTTATTTTTATCAATCTCAGATTAAACATATTCGATTGAATCATACAGCAGTTATTTTCCACCGCCGCGCGTCGATCAGGATGTGTGAGGCGTTGCGGTTGCATAAATTGAACGGACGAAATTGAAAAATCTAGAACTCTCGCTGCTGACTGGCTTTTTCGCCGCTGCAGTGAGCTAGGCCAATGTAACGGACTTGATCTTGAAATTGATCGCTCATTGTACTCTTCGCCTTAATGAGAGCCCGATCGTATCTTTGCAGAGCGCATTTTTAATCTCGTGAAACGAATCTCCGCTCATTCATAGCCAGGAGCGCTAATTATTGAAATGAATTAAAAAATAATAATAATCAGTTGATGAACGAACGAAACGTCAAAATGCGTGACTCTCTCGGGCACGGAGAAGCAGGAAGTTGTAATAAATTAATATCAACGTACAAAATCAAAATTCAAGTTAACGGGGGCACGATTTTTCAAGTTTCGGTCCAGCGCGTCTCTCGGCAGCGTTTTCTGTTTCTTTCGACAAGTCTCTCCTTCTCTCTCACTTTCCGTGCGCAGCCGGCGCGAGAGTGGTCGTCGCTTGCAAAGCATAATAATACTGGATTGAAATGAAACACAATCTTGTAGGCCTGCGGAAAAACTGCTGATGGAAAGATTATCTCTCTCTCTCTCTCTCTCTCTCTCTCCTTACATATTATATAGATCGATTTGGTGTGTGTGATATAAAAACGAACGCTTGAAAATTTAGAATGGTTTTTAAATGAATGTATGGACTTCTTTTCTCATTTCGGCTCGCGGACATATTCATCGCTCCTCCAGCTGCGCGCGGCCGATTTTATTGGACTTTTTACGATTTGATTTCCGAGTGAGATGCATCACGCCAGAAAAGCCCCGAAACCTGCGCTGCTTTCTTTTGAATTTCGTTTTGCAAGGTTTTGCATTAAAAATCAACTCGATTTTTATTCGATTTTGTTTCAATAATTAAAATTCTCAGTGGAAATTTATTACAAATTGATGCTTCATTTTTTCTTTCACGTAATATATTAAATTTTCTCCGAAAAAGAGTCTCAAAAGAAAAAAAATATTTAAGAACTTAACTTTAAGAATGAATTGAAATTTTTTATAATATCTGTTCCATTGAAAATTTATCTTGTTTATTATAATAACTTATTTATTGATATTGAACCAATTAAGCCTTCGTGAAAGATTCAATTTTGATTAGAATTTACATCTGTGCATTTTTTTTTTATTTTAATGTTGTTTATTTTTCCAAATTGATAAAACACATTGTTTACATTAAATTGTTGAAAAGAATTTATTTGAGAACTTTCACATGAATTTTTAAGCTTTTGGAATGCTTGGATGATAAAATCACCTCATTGTCAAGTTCGTTTCTGCATATTATATGAGTAGATTTTAGTCAGTTGGCTTGGAAATCCCACAAACCTGAATGTCACGTTAATATGCATGCAGATATCAAAAAATTGTGTTGAACTTAAATATTAGCGCCCATTCAAGATGTTTGCGAAGAAATTTTTGCTATAGTCTCGCACGTCATTCGTTTGCTAATCGTTTACATTAAAATTCAGCAGAATTTGATTATATAATTTCCTAGAATTATCTATGAACAATAAGCACCCTTGTGAAATTCCACAATTATTTTTAAATCCTCGTGCGTCACTCTGCAAACGTCCGTTTATTTCGCAGACGTTTTCGACGCTTATCTCACAATCGATATTATAACCATGTTTGCAGAATTTATCTCTCTTCTTGTATAAATATATATCCTGCCTGCCTTTTGACTCTCGCGTGCTAATCCGACATTACTTTCGGTCTGCGGTAGCTTGATTGGAGTAGTTATTGGGACCAATTTACCGCATTGCATATTTGTTCAATAAGGCTGATTTCCATTTTAATTGAAGAGAGCGGGGCAGCGTGAACTTGTCCTCCAATGGGGCATTTAATCTGCAGAACAATCGCATCCGCGCGCACTTGGCCATAATAAAATTATTTTGATTCGCAATAACGAGCGTGGCAAAAGAGACGAAGCGCATTTTCGAGATCCGGTATAACGTTTAATCTACTTTGGCTTATACGCACGATCCTGTTGCACTTCGCAGCATCCGCGTTCATTTATTCATCAGGTCCACTGCTGCAGGCTGCCGTCGATCCAAACAAAACAAAAGCGCAATTCATTAAACAACAAAGCCCAGTCTTGGTTTGCATTAAAATTTTATTCCGCAATCCGATTTGCGTGAGACGCCGATCATTAAAACGAGGAAAAACCCCAGACTAGTTTTTCAGTCCTGCATGGTCTATTTCCATTTATAAATATACGTTCTTAAGTTTTTTTTTGTGTGGAGTGATGAGAGCGCCCCTTTTTATTACCCTCCGTTTTCCCCTCATTATTCGGAAAAAAAGCAATACCCCGTGCAAAAAAATATGAATAAAATAATTTTACGAACTTATAATACCTGGAAATTTTGCCAAACATTTTATGGTTTTTAGTGGATCAGAGATGGATGGGGCTCACGCGCTCGCTCGCTTTTTTCCAGATGCGTGAGAAGAAGAGACGAAAAATCTTCTTTTTTTCTTTATCTTCTCTCGATCATCTACATTTTGCCATTCGGGCATAACATTATAATCGGCCGCAGTATTTCCTTATACCAAGAAAGATTTTCTGTCGAATTAGAATTGCATGAGTTGACCAGGTGCTCGTTTAAAATCCTGAGGACTGCTGCTGGCTTGGCAACAGCAGGAAATTTGATCTAAAATACATGATTTTCTGAACGATAAAGCAGCTCTGTCTGAATTCTGCCACGTGCAGAGCCCATCTCTGCTTTGGTATTCATTCATAGAAGGGTATAGGAAACTGCCGACGTCCGTATTTATTTTTAGTCTAGCGCATAATTTATTTCAAGACGAACAACTTACTTCACTTCATTTCAATACATTTGTGAACTCTCTTGTATTAAGATTTTGCCAACTCTTTTTAACTTTGCTCGTTCAATCAATCTTAGAGTTTGCAATGCGGAAACATTAATTTGAGTCGCAATATTTTTATATTTGATTGAGGCAGGTACGAAAGATTCTCGCAACGGTAAATTCTTAATGTTTTTCGTCTGGATGAAAGTTTGCCTTTCTGGTCCGTTATAAAATTTGGCCGCCGACGTCATATCTGGACCAGATCAGAACTGCGCCACAGACATAACAATTCCGAATTCCGCATCATCATGTCAGTGGAGAAATTAATTAATAGGCCAACTGAACAACTTTCAATTGTGGCGCCGAATATTATATTCATCTCTCTCTGTCTCTCAGATAAAAAACATTTCCGGGAAGCACAAGCAACGGATGTTTTCCAGTATTTTCCATCACTTTCTAAAATCAAATGCGACGCTTGAAGTCCATTTTACTGTTATTGTTTTGGTCCGAGTTAATGCAAAATATTTGGCCACACGAGCATTTCACACTCTTTAGATCAATGACCATTTAAAAATGTTCTCGACCTTTAAAAATTTAACATGTTCTACTCTCTCCATTCTCTTCACAATGTAAATCAGTTGACGCCTCTGATGACTGTTTTTCATTGCATAAATTTTCCGCTGGCAGCTGCTTTGACAATTTCCAATTTGCCCCACTTTCTCTTCGTCTGGATTTCCGCCAGTTTTTCCAAAGTTCTGCTTCACTAAATTTGATAAAAAGAAAAAACACTAAACTTTAAAAGAATTGTTTTATTTTTAGATAAAAGAGATCTTGTTCTTTCTTTCCAGACAACAAAAACGAATGTTTCAATGAAATTGCAAACCAGCGTGTAAAAAAGAACTCTTTTCGAAAAGCATGATGAAATTTCAGCTGTAGAAAGTTGAGTTTTACGGAAAAGGAACTGTCGATTTTTCTTACAACTTTATTTTGACGCAGAAATCTGACTCTGTTCATGAACGTTAATATTATTATTCACTTAACAAAATAATTTTCAATCTAGTGATTTTCAAATGAATTCATGACTTGTTACAAGGACTTAAATTTACACAGGGCCTCGTAACAATACGCGATCGGGCATTGCGGTCGTAGAGCACGTGTCATGAGTAACGTTGGTTGAGCGTGAACTGAAACTTCACGTGCACCTATTTACAAAGTCATTTTGGCCGCACGTGAACGTCTTTCTTTTTCTCACAACCTTCCCCAGAGCAAATTTTGAAGTTTTAAATTATTATTACATATTAATAGAGTTGCAATCGCAAGCAACAAGAGAAAGAGCCCAGCCGGAGAGAAGTACATGAATAAGAAATATATTTCGTAACAATATTTGAATATTGCTTAAGCTTGTCAAGATCGAATAGAATTACAAAGTCAATTGGCAACTTTCTGGACAGATACACTCGGGTGACAAATATATTCCTGAGAGTGGGGATGTGATGGGAGCTGATCTGTTGGGTGTCTTCTTGTGTTTGTCCGCAGTTCCTTTCTTGGACGATGTCGTTGCTCAGGTGTCTGCTGCTTGAGCAACCCAACGCCACGGGCTACGCAGTTCTGGCCATCGTCCTTTGGCTTCTCTACAAAATCGCCAGTCGACCCATCAATTACGTCAAGGTAAACAAATTTCTTACGCTTTTTTTTCTTCTAAAAAGTGAACTTCAAAATGCAGTTTTTTCCTAAAAATAATATAGCTTTTTGTACCTCTTGAATTGAATTTTCGAAATTCAAGTTTGAACAAAAATGATTTAAAATAATTTCTTTGTGAAAGGCCCTGATTAAGCATGTTTCCTGACTGTTGATTCTTAAGATCACCGTTTTTTTCAACAACAAACATTAGTTTCATCAGAGATAAGCAGAAAATGAAAAAAGCAGCATCAGACAATTTTTTGCCACATCAAATAACGACAAATGAAGCGCGGAGGTAAAATTATTAATTTTGTAATATCTCAAAAATCAAGTCAAAATATGATTAGAATAAGGTGAGATCCGAGAATCATGCTACAATGGATTCTAAATTATTCTGATTATTAATTTTTAAGTGGCTTCAGTTGGCCCGTAGCTAAGTTAACTAATTAGATCTGAAAATGTTGAAAAAACGTGATTTTGAACTCATTTCCAAAGCATGCTACTTCTGATTTCTAACTAATTTTTATTTACTTATTGGTAGCTTTAAATTCAATATCAAAAGTTTCAAGCGTCATGCCGAAGAATGACAACATTCACTCTGGCCAATCTTAAGCTCCATTCAAAGAAACAAAGGTGCCAAAAAGAATTTTCATGAAACTAAAAATTTCAGTTCAATTATGTCAGTCAGAATAATTTTTAGTTTGTGAGAATTTTTAGATCACAAAATTAATAAAATAAATAGTAAATATCTGTGAATAACAGATATCGATTTTAGTGCGTTTTTTTGTGTGCTATGCGTGATCATTACGCTCATCCTGTTTAGATACAATCAAATTTTGCATACAAATTTTTTGCTCCATAAGTAAAAAAATATTTTTCTTGCATCCGCCAGATGTAAAATTTTTTCATAAAAAATTTCACTTGGAATAAACCTGTTTTATAGCATGTAAGACTTACAATAAAATCATGTAGCAAATGAACTTTGAATTTTCTTGATTTGTTTGGCGCTTTTAATTTGTTTTAAAAGAATATTCAACTTTTTTTTATTTGCCACTATTCTTGATTTTATTATTATTATTGTTGTTTATTCTACTCAAGTCATACATGAAAAAAAATTGAATTGGAAAAATGAGCAGAAAGGGTATCACAACTAGCAGAGGTCTGCTAAAACGCCCGACATCAAAAAGAGATCGGCCACCGCGTGAACCCACACTATCGAAAAAAAAAGATTTTTTTTTCATTGAAACTTGTCTTTTCATCAATGAATTATTTTATACTTTAGCGCTTCTGCTAATTTTTTTCAGGATAAAAAAACTGCACAATTTTGCTATTAACTGTGAGCTACAACCATAATTCATGAGCTGTAATTATAAATTTGACAATATTAGAATATTTTTTTTTTTTAATTTCATGCAATATTTTTTGGAATTTTATTATTTTTAACAAATTAAAACTACAAAAATTAATGTCAAGCTTTATTCTGCAACTTAAACACTCTAGCAGAAAAATTTTGAAGTCGCATACAACACATCAAAGTATTCAATTTGAATTAAATTTGCTAGTAATTTAATTTTTCTGTACATGCGCTATGCTTTTTTTCACTGATTGTTTAATATTTAATTATTATTTAATTTGAATTATCAGTTTTTTAGGTTGATATTTTTTAAATCCAGAGCTAATTTTTTTATTTATATCATATCTAAACAGACTTTTATTATGTAAACTTTTTATTTGCATGATTTTGTTTGTACCTCAATTTTACACGATTTATTGCGTTAGATGTGAGTAAACTTTAAATTGCCTCCAAAACTTTTTGTTCCATCGTTTCAATAAGTTATGATGTATGTAAAAAAGGCATGAAGCTCTATGAGAATATTATTTAAAACTGCTTCATTGAAAGTTTAAGCCACACATTTTGTAAGTTCGGAATACATAAATTATGCAAAATAGAAGCTGATACTCCTTTTATCTAGAAGTGTGACGTTGAAATACAAAAATTGTTGTTCTCGATGCGATTTGGCATACATGCAATCAAAGTAGCTTTCTACAGATTTGAATTGCGCCGCGCATAAGTAGGCGCAAGTGATTTTCCCTATTTTGAAATTTCAACCAGTGTTATTTGACAAATTTAAAATTCAACATCACGTCAAACCTCAATAAAAGCCACACAGTCTGGCATCACGTAACCTACAGTCATTTGCAAATCTAATCGCCGATCAAGGTCACAAGTAGAGCTTGCAAAAAAAAAAAAATAATAATCCACCGTGAATTTTGAGATCTTCCGAAACGCGGCAAAATTCATAAAGGTCATCGCGGCATATTTTAAGCAAGAGTGATCACAAATTTATCTCTCTCAGGAGCTGAGCAGCGTTGGCTTTGACCAGACCCTTGAGAGTGGCTCCGCAGGTCGCTGGAAGGACAAAAGCAGGTCGGAGCTGGCCACTGAGATGAACAGGCTGCGCAAAGTGGGCAACATGCCCCCCGCATTTCCCAACGGCTGGTTCGCCCTTATCGAGTCCGACACCCTGCAAAAGGGCCAAGTCAAGCACGTTGCCGTCCTTGGTAAATTTTCCTGTCTTTTTCAAGTATTTCTGATTTTTCTTTTTTTTTCTAATTTTTAGGCGAGAATTTCGCTGTGTTTAGGGGCGAAGGAGGCAACGTGTATGTCCTGGACGCCTATTGTCCGCACTTGGGCGCAAACATGGCCGTTGGTGGCTGTGTCAAGGGTGAATCCCTCGAGTGTCCCTTTCACGCCTGGCGCTTTGCAGGCAAGGACGGTCAGTGCATTGCAATTCCTTATGCTGAAAAAGGTTGGTTCGTTTTTTATTTAAATTATTCTATTAATTTCTTTTACTATTAATCAATGACATCAAATTTTTAGACTGACAATAAAGACTAACTTCTGCGTTCTGATGGAAATTCGGAAAACATTCCTCTTTTGTTTTGTTGATCAAACATTTTTTCGTTTTAATTTTGCAATTAGAACTAAATTTCTTAATTTTTGTCTTTAATAATTAAAATAATTTAAAGTCTTTTGACAAATTTTTCCCTCTTAATTTGAATTTAAAAAAAAAAATAGAATTTTAATCTTTAAATTTTTAGAATATTAGAAGTCAAACGGCACTAAAAAAATTATTACATATTTCAAAAGCTTTGAGTACGTAAACATTTGAAAAAAAAAAAATTGTCGTCAGATGTTTAACTTTGTTGACATACTGTTAGTGCAAGGGCGCAAAAAAATCGTTTCAAAAAAAGTCAGCAACAAAACTAAAATATTATTTGAATAACTTTTTTTAACCGCAGTGTGTCAGGAGCATATAATAAATTTATTTTTCTTTCCTCACTAAATTTTTTTTAATTTTCAGTTCCAGAGTTTGCAAAGGCTCGGCAATGGCCTAGTTGTGAGGTGAACAGTTTCATTTTTGTTTGGTATCACGCGCAGAACGAGGACCCTTCGTGGAAACTGAGCCCTCTAGCACAGTTAGCGCCGAGCCACTGGGTCTATCGAGGAAGATCCGAGTTTTACATCAGCGCCCACATACAAGTGCGTCGATGAAACATTTTCCGCCTGACCATTGATTTTCATTGGGAGCGATTTTTTTTCCAGGAAATACCCGAAAACGGAGCGGACGTGGCGCACTTGAACGCAATCCACGGACCGTCGCTTTTGGCCGGAGGAAGCCTCAACACGTCCGGATTTCTGGCGGGCGGATCGTGGGCTCGCCACTTGTGGACGGCCTCGTGGGCAGCGCAAACTGCGTCGGGTGAAACGCACAAGGCTGTTCTCTCTCTAAGACACGAGTTTCGCCTATTCAGTAAATTTGCATTGATTAACATGGACGTCAATGCAGTGCAGGTGCGCAAATGACACACTTATAAACATGCTAGTGCATTACAATTTATGAAAAATGAAAATTAATTAGTTCCTAGACTGAGATTAGCTCCAGGATGAGAGATATTCAAGACAAAAAGCGGCGCAGAAAAGCTAAGAAAATTCCTGATGGAATTATAAAAATTTTAATTAATGAGGAGCTTATGATAACTAAACTGAAATTAAAAAACTTCTCATCTTGTTCCCTTAAGATCACGCTATAAATTTTTGATGACGTTTGGCCGATTGATTTTATTTTTCCATCTTAATTGGAGTGATATGAACGTTTGGTGAAAATTACTATCAATTTTGGTTTGGCTAATTTTAGAAAAAAATTATTATTTTAGAAAATTTCCATAGGGATCATTTTAAAATTTCAAAAATTCATTTCTCCAAATAAATTCAAATTGAAAACGAATGCTAATGTAAAGAAAAATTAAGATCAAAATTAATCGGGCCGTTATTTTGCAAACGCCTTTCCATAAGGGCAAAAATTCCCAAAATCAATATTATTTCAGATTGGTGTGGATTTAAAGAATTTCAGATTTTTCGCCATTAATTATCATTTTTATCATCAAATAAGGAATTTCCTCTTCTGTCTCAGAATGTTATTCCACATAAATGCGATTAGTCTAGTTACTAATTAATTTTTCACGTTTTGATTTTAAAATAAATAATAAATAAATTTAAAAAACAATCTGAAAATTTGTAATTGTTTTCTTTTTATTGCTAGATTGGGCCAGGATATGTTGAGCTTTCTATTGACACAACTTTTGGCAAAGCAGTGATTTTACAAAGCGTCACCCCGGTGGGTCCGATGCTGCAGAGAGTAATTCACCGCATGTACGCTGCCCCGTCAATGCCTGCCCCATTCGCCACTGTTATCATGTTGGGAGAAGCGATAATGGTAATAAATATACCCAGCAATCAGCACATCTCATTCAAATGTGTTTTTGATTTGCAGTTCAAAAGAGACATCATGGTGTGGAACCACAAAAAGTTTGAGGATCGGCCGCTGCTGGTGCGCGAGGACAGGGCCATAAACCGGTACCGCCGCTGGTATTCACAGTTCTATTCGGAAAACAGTCTGCGTCTTGGCAAGAGTCCAGAGGGACTAGACTGGTAATTTTAAGTGTGAAATTATTTTGACGAGAAATTCTGATTCACAACATATCATAATGCTCTATTACACATTTTTTTTTTTTTTTTTGTAAAATATTAATTATTGTTGGTGCACTTTTTAAATTACTCTCTATATGGGGCGCAATTTGATAACATTTATATTTTATTGTTTCCATTGTACATTTTTTTTCTTCTACGGAATTATATAAAAATATGAAATGTTGTAGAAATTTGTGGGCGCTGCATTTTTTTCCAGAAAATTTAAAAATTGTATTTAAAATATGAAATTTTTCAATTAATTTACTATCGGTAAATGAATGCAAGTGCAGTCTGAGCATTTCAGCCAGACGCCAGACACACTTCATGACTCTGCCTGAAAATGTGTGAAGCACGCAAGAAGTAAAATTTTGGCTAACCACCAACAAAGACCAATGATGATCAAGGCAGTAAAATAAAATCTAGTGGTTTAATTAATCAAATTCAAATTAAACCAAATAAAAACGTACGATTGAAAACAAAATTTGAAAATTAATAAAAATAAAAATTGAAATACAAATATTCCTTAATTGTGGCTAAAAATCTTGTTTTATTAATGTTTGTCAACAAAATCCTAAATAAACGTGAAGTTAATAAATATTTATTGCAAGAATTTTGGAACCAAAATTAAATGTCCAAAAAAATTATTGGTGAATGCGACGAGGAATCAAAGATTGGAACGTTCTCAACGTCCGGACAAGGCGCTGCCAAGAAAGGCGGCGCCGCGATGCTCGTGGATCTATTTTTGTGTCCCGTGCAGCCGACGGAGCAGCGAGTTGTTCGGCCCAACTCTCAGTTTAACCAGAGTCCGAGTGGGAAGGCCAACGCCGTTCAAAATGTCTTCATCGTGGCTGCTCGATCTGGACGAAGAGGTGAGCGCCCTGCGAGGGGTGTCCCGCCGCAGGGTGCAGGTGGCCAAGGACGACTTTGCGCTGTTCACGGACCGACGTGTGGGCAGCGCCAGCAGCACCGTGGCCCAGCTGGACACGTGGCTCGCCAACCACATGACCTGCAGCAGGTCGTCCTCTTATTTCAAAAAGGTCAGTATTGCTGCGTCGTGTTAAAACAAGATTATGTAAGGCTAATTTCAGGAGATATAAGTTATTATCAGCGGAAGTCCAATTTTTTTAGTTGTATATATTTTTATGTGAAATAATTTACGACATTTATATCATATGTTGCTGAGATAAAAGTAAAATTGACCTTGTGGTAATATAAACGCCGCTTCCTGTTGCTAAAAAAAGCATCGTTTTTAAATTTTTCATTTGCATTTTGTTGAGGAAAATCGTTTATTGTTTTGCTGTTGAAACGATTTCAATAATATACTAAACTCCTACTTACAGTCATTTGAGCCTTAAATCAGAGCGTAAGGAGAAGTGTTTGTATAGCTCTGTAATTGAATAGTGGAAGTTCACGATCGAGGGTCGATTCATGGTGATTTGAATTCAAAATTCGGCTTTTCCTCGCTGGGTTTTTGTGAGTTTTTATTGTTTAAGAAAAGCAGCAGGATGTTGTTTTTTCTTGAACAATAAAAACTCACAAAACCCCATTGAGGAAAAGCCGAATTTTAAATTCAAATCACCATACTGTAATTGAATTGTACGTAAAAATACTGGAAAATATAACTATTATATGAGGAAAACAACGATTGAAAATAGTATTATTAATTTAAATTAGTACTTTTAAATTTGGGAAATTTTCGCCCTCAATTAAAATTGTTTATTATCACAACAGGAATTTTTCTAACTTCTTTCCACCGGCTTTGTCTCAAATATCTCGTGGTCTCGGAACGTAATTCCACGTCAAGGCGATTAGTCGCAGTACTAATTAATTATTTCCTGTTTCGAGTAGTTTCTTTGGGTTTTATATTCTCAAAAAAGTATTATTTATTATTTTTATTGCTAGACTTCCATGAATCAATCAAGAATTATATATGCATATTTTTTATCAGATCTTCTGCATTAAATTATTTAAAATTATAATTTACTTCTTTTGATATTTAAATATTATAATTTTTTTATCTTTGGATTTTAGAAAGAAATTGTTTCTTCATTGAATCTTAAATTTGACTTCTGTTGCAAATATTTATAAACAAATAAATAAATTGAAAGTTACAGTTACAATTTATCTGCTTGTTATTATGGAAAGAAAATTGCTAAATTTCATGCAATCAGAAAACTGAATAATTAAATCTCAGCATATATTTTTTATCTGGGTTTCTGTTTTAATGATAACAATCAGTTTCTAATATCAAATTTCTCTCACCTAAGATATATCTGTTCCAAAAATTTCACCTAACAAAACAAACCACCTCGTTTAGGAAGAAACGAAAGGGAAATCCGGAACTGAGGAAATTTCATTAAAAAAAAAAAATAAACCGCAAATTTCTGGCTTTTGCTGTGTGTGAGTGTTTACCACGCACTTCGTGGAAAAACACGCGTATATAAAAGCGCGGCGCGGGGCCCCGTGCGCCGCGACATACCCGCGATTCTGAATCATTTTGCTATTTTATCATCAACTTTCCTGGTGGGGCCGACCGACCAAGAGTGACGTCACACGCGTTGAGCGCTTCGCAAAACACCCAAGTCGGTGCCAGTGCCGGCGCTGAGGCTGTGCAGAGCGCGAGCGAACGCTCGATTTATCTCTCCAAAAGAATCTCTCCTGTCAGTTCGCGCCGCGGCTCGTGGGTGTCAACTGTCGCGAGATGCGCGTTTCGGCCGCCACTGCAACGACCGCGGGCTGCCTAGAGGCCGGCGGCGGCCACGGCGACGCGGGCGGCCGCGTCGAGCGTCGTCTCGTCCACTATTGCTGCGGCGCTAATCAATCGGTATGCTAATTTTTTTTTCTATTTTAATTCTCAATTCAGATTCATCGAGATAACTCAAAATCACAAATCAAATTGCAAACAAACTGGAAAATAATGCGAGGAATGTTGATTAGGGGGAAAATTATTTATACTTAAAATAGTCTTTTTTTTAATAAAAACATCAACAGGTGAGTTTTTTTCTTGGAGAATATAAAATTATTAAGCAAAGTAAATTTCAACCGATTTTGACATTTCCACAACTTAACCTGCGGACAATTGATTGTGTCTGTTCTTGAAAATCCGGGCCCCTGGTATGTATTATTACTTCATTAGAGCGTGCCAGGTCGATTTGTTCCATTCGTTTTCCTTCTTGCGCCAGTTCAACACTTTCCTCGTTCCACCGCGTCGAATCGGTCCACGCTTTCCTCTTTAAATCTCTATTAGTTTATTCCAGTTTCTGGCGGAAATAATTTGAATGGAGCACCATTCATGAGCGACTTTTATCACTATTCTCATTAACAACGATCGGAAATAAAAAAAATCCCCTGTCAATTTGCCTGTATTGTGTGGTTTGGCGTGAAACCAAAAGTAATGGAAATGGAAAACCTCAAAAACCGCGCAGGCAAATATGCTGGAATATCTGACAACATAATATATATGCTGCAGAAATTTTTATTGAATTTCTGGTTTTCCCGCAACGCCACATGGTCTGGCGCGTGAGTGTCCGGCAGAGCCTTACTTGGAAATATGTACTCATGCCATATGCAGGCGTGGACCCATAAAGCTGAATCATGCACTCCAATGTCAGCTTGAAGTTCGCTAAACCTTCCCGTTCTATCCGACTCATTATAAACAATATTGCAATATGAATTTTTTCAATGTAATTTTTGTCAAATTGCTTTAATAAAATTAGACACAGCTTTCCAACGACAAAAGTAAAAAAAAAAAATACATGCTCAATTTCTTAATAAGCCTTAAAAAGAACATTTGTGCAAAGTAAGTCTCACAATTAGTGAAAACAATGAGACTTTTTAAACCCTCTTCAAGAAGTTCTCAGTTCACTCGCCTTTCTTACAAATGCATTATACTTTTTCACTTACCTCCGCTTCTATTTTTTTATCATTTTGAAAAATTAAAATTGAAAAAATTTACATTTAGTTATGTCGCGGACGTTTCCCAATTGAATAGGATAACGTAGGGCCCGTTGAAGGAGGAAAATTATTTGAAAATTGTCATTTCCCTATACATCCAGCACGAAAGCTCCCATTCCACGATCCTTAATTGCAAACGCGCGAGACTACCAGGAAAAAGACGAACGAGACGTCGGTCGAGCCGCTGCTGTGCGCAGTAAAATTGCAGCTCCGGTCTCCTTGTTTTCTTTCTCAACTGTCTGCTTTATGTTTTGTTCCAAGTAAAAGTTAGACGCGAGGCATCTCCTTGAACAAATTTAATGTTGAAAAAAAGTTGTTCTAATTTTGATCTAATTCATTTTTTCGAATGAAAAACTTCAAAAGATTACTTTTGTGATGGCAAAATATACTTCTTGAAACTCATCCTTTGTGTAATTTTGTAGAGACGGTTTTACAGCAAAAATTTAAGGAGGTTCCAGATTTTTAATAATACACCTTATTTAAGTGATAAATGATATATCGAGGATGAGAATTCGATCAATAAAGCTAACATTATGTTGTGCGGTTACGCTTTTCCTTGTTGGGTTTCCTCCTTGTCATCCTGGAGCCCTGTTGCTCTGCAGCAGCAAGGAACGAGCTGCTTATTTTTAGCAGATAAATTGCGCAGAATTCAAATCAATTTCAATTTGAACCAATTTTGTTTATAAATTTGGCCAAACGGTAAATTTCTTATAACGCGATGCAAAATTATTGAAAGAAAATAATGATTGCGTGAGACGTGATAAATAAGTTCACAAAATCATGAAGGTATATAAATTTTTTAATATTGAAAAGTAATGAATATATTTAATTTTTTTGGCATATGTATATTTACAAAAGTAAAACCCTAATCTAAACGTAATTTCTAAAACAATGACAAATTCAAGCTTCCTCCTCAAATTAAATTTAGTTGGGTGTGGGTACGGTTTATTGTTGATGAATAAAATCAAAGGGTCTTATACATCAAAGTCTGAGACTATTATAATAAATTTTTAGGAAAAAGCGAATGTCATTTTATAACTCTTATCTTTTCCCCGTCAGTATCACATAATATGATACTGATATTTTATAGGAAAGAAAAAAATTATCAGTATTCCCCGGGCCACTTTCATCCATCACACAGCCTCATTGTTGCCATGAGATCGGCACTCTGTGCGTTCTGTGATTTTTAAAATTTGTCAATATTAATTTATAAGAAAGCAATTTATATCTTACTGAAATATTAAAAGATTTGCTTGCTAACAATTGTAGTCAAGTTAAAATCAGTAATTTTTTCTTTTAAAAAAAGACAATTAATTACATAGGGAGAGCGCGAGCCCTGTTTTGTAGTATATTAAGACAACAATGTATTTTGAAAATGCTAATCATAACTTTTTTCCTGTTTTTCTATAGTGGAGGAGCGGCTCCCAGCGCGTTTTTAGCGACGATGAGGACGACGAGTTGGTTCCTCCGCTTTCCTCCAAACAGGAAGATACACATTCTCTGCGTCATTTGCGAGAACGAAATAAGAAACTCGAAGCTGTCATTAATGATGTGAGCTCAGTGTCATTTTACGCGAGAAATATGGTTTCAAATGTCAATAATTTTCCCGAAAGGTCATGGAAGTCAATAAACGATGGCAAAAGCACCACTCAGAGCGCGAAGTTTATTTGCAAAAACTGCAAAACACGATTGCGGAGCTGCAGCAAAGGGAGCTGCAAAGTGCTGTGAAAGAGAATTCTTCCCCCACGGTAATTTTTCTATCAAATTTTCCTCTTAAATTTAAATCATATTTTATTTTGTGTTGAAATAGAAGAGTTTGACGGTGACGCCGGAAAGACTTGCACAAATTGAAGCAGATAATGCTCAGTTGAGGCTCGACTTGGAATCCGCGCATCGAAAGGTTCAGGCCATGGAGAAAGAGCACCGGGAGCACGTCCAATTGCTCAATATTCAGGTATTGTAAATATAAAAAAGTGATTTTCTAGAAATTAAATCAAATAATTCAGGTTCGCTCTTATCGAGATGACTGGGAAGCTGAGAGGAGAGAGAAAGAACAGGCTTTAATTGATAAGGCTACTTTAGAGGAAAGGTGCAGAAACCTGGAGGAAAAGTTGCTTTCCGAAAAACAAAAGGTTAATTTTTGCACTGTGAATATTGAAAAAAAAATCAAAAGTATAAATTATTTAAATTTTGTAGGTTACACCGCCAGTGGAAAAAGCAGTGATGAATATAGCGCCGTGCGGATGCGCGCAGGAGGCACCTGTGGCGTGCAGGCGAGATTGCCATCATGCAAACAAAAACAGCACCTTCAGGTCTTCTGTCCATCTTCCGTGCATATCCAACAAAGCGAGTAGGCGCCGAGCAACTCTTGAAAGCTCGCAATCCATCGATTCAAGCCGAACTTCTAGTCCATCTGCATCTGTGTCCACCGAGTCAGGCATTGTCACCATCGGTTTTGAGGATGGCCTTGCCTCTGTCACTAGTTTCACTTACCCCCCAGACACACCGTTTTCCATCTCGAGCAAATCTCTCGAGGTCAGTAAATTGCTTTTTCTTAATTTTGTTCTGATAATTGAAGGTTTTCTCTAAATTTTGCCACTCTTGTTACAGATTCCTGCAGCAAATTCCGATGGCGAGACTGAGGATTGGTGCCAAGGACGAAATGATGAAGGAGTGTTGACGCAAACCAATGAACAAGTAATCTGCCCTCGTTGCAAGCGCGTTTTCCCCCCAGACAAGCACATTGACTTCCTTGACCATTTTGACCATTGCCCCGACCAACCTCAATATACTATTTGTAAATGAGGATAAAATATTGTGTTTCACTAAATGCTATATGGTCTGATTGTGTAATAACTGAAGATGTTTAATTGTTAAATTAATAGGAGATATTGCTGTTGAACCCTTAAGTGTTGATTGATGTTAAATGTTTAGAGCAAAAACTGATTGATTAAGTAACAAAGTTGTTTTGAGGCGGCCACTCTTTGTTGTTTTAAGTTATAAATGGATAATTATAAAATGAAGCAACTGATACTCTTATTTAAATGAAGTTTCCTGATGATAATTGAGTACGAGAATGGTTTGGAATGAAGGAAAATATGAATTAAAAGATTCTGCGTCATAAATATTGTCAAGCAATTCATAATTATATTTCATCCATATAATTTTGGCTTGGAGAGACGAAGATCAAAAGCAAGACATACAGCAATTTAATGAAATGGGGAATCATGAAAAACAGGCTGAAAAGTGATCAACTGTTCAAATATTCGAAATTATTTGTCAACATGATTGGTGATAAAATGTAATTTTCAACAAGTCATTACAATGGATAAGAATATGCTATGTGATAAACATAATTATGATAATCATCTTAAGAGTCTGAAACTTCATTTCCGTTCGTAAAGTCACAGAATATCACAATTTTGCACCTGTCCCTTAGGGCACAGTCCTGCTCTGTCCTGGTGATTTATAATCAAAGTTACATTGCAATTGATTACCGATCCTTCTGCATGATGAAGGCCGGACTTCGCATATTTTGGGAGGCGTAGAACAGAATGTAGGCTGCGTTCGAGCGGACACTTGGTTCTGAAATCTCCGATACATCGGCATCGTCAAACTTGTACCACCTGAATAAGGAGAAAGAATAATTTTAAGACATTCAACTTATTTGACAAAGTTACTTGTTGAATACAGCACTACGACTGTAGGTTGTGTAGTGTCCACCATCCATGGTGCCGTAATGATTTGAAACGGCGTATAAATCGTAAGTGTGGTGCTTTGGATGAGAATTCACTGTGAATTGTGTCATCATGAGTCTCTGCAACGGGAACTCAACAAGAGTGTGCTGCTTCCTCCATGCAATATCCTCACAAAATCTGCAAAAATATATATTTTAAATGAAAATTCAGATAAATCAACGCAAATTTTACCTTTTAAAATGAATGACTAGAATAGGCGGAAGTCGCCAAATGTCAAATTTTTTGGTGGCGCGACGGGTTTGCTTGCATTTTGGGCACCGCCATTCCTGAATTGGCTCCGGTGCCAAGTACATGCTCAAACATTCCTAGAAAATAAATAAACATTTCGATTCAAACAAAACAATTATACTGAATGCAAACTTACGTTTAAGGAGCACTTGTCAGAGTTTTGCGGCAGAACAAGAGTAAGGGTGCTGAAAGGTTCAAAGGTGACGGATTCAAAAGAGCAAGAGTTGCATCTGACAGTTGAACTCTGCTGGCCGTAAAACAAGTGCAGAATTCTGGAATCGTTGCACTTTTCAAACTCTCTCCAGGCATTGTCGGACGACTCTTTTATGTTTTGGATTTGTTTTGGTGGCTCATCAGAGTCGGGAGGAGTAAGAATCCTCTTCTTCATGTCGTGTTTCTGCAAAGGTCAAATTAAAAATAGAGTTGAAAAAATCAAGCAAAATTTTACCTTATTTAAATCATCGTGGAGCCAGTCCATGAGCAGTGTTAGGAATTCGTGGGAGTCCTGTTGGCGCACTCCACCAAAGTCACCGTGATAGGCACCAGCGACTCTCTATTCAGCAAGTTATGAGAATTTTCTTTTCAATAAAATAATTATCCGGGTCAGTACCTTAAAGTCTCTACAGGCAACAGTCCGGTATTCTCCAGCCCATAAAGCCCTGATCACAACCGCCAGCTCTTCGACTATTTGGCCCCTAGTTCTAGTTGTCGTGTTAACTTCATTTCTACATTTAAAAAAATTAAAAATAAAAACTTAATTTTCTTTAAGAAATGAGATCGAACCTGTAGGAACCTTCACAAAAGTACTTCATGAGCTCATGCGTGTTGGAAATACACTGGACGATGGAATTCATGTAGCAAGAGTTGCCCAAATTCTTGAGTCCAGTGAGGCCAGGGCCCTGGAAAAGCATCATGAAAATATGAAGTCAGTGCTCAAGCAAAGCATTTGAAAGCAAAAGAAGTATCGCAAGCACCAGACACCTTTGAAACGATAGGAGGGGGCGCCTGTTCTTCAACAAAATCTAATTATCTAGGCATTATGTAAGGGCGCTTTTGTCAATTTGGCCGATCATGTTATGTTTCAACAGACGTAATTCGATGTCAAATTTCATTTTGTAATCGCGACTAAAATACGTTTCTTTACCAGATTATCCACAATCACACTCGTCATAAATTTAAGCTGCATTTTGCAACAAAATAATGCAGTTTGGTTTGTTTGTTTTTGCACAAAAGACGTAAGAAAGAATAGTTCATAATTTTGCAAATTTAAAAAAAAAAACTATTATTCTGATTCATTAATTTATTTTAATGGTTTTGAGTGTGTAATTTTTCTGAATCAGTGTTTAGATCAAAATATCAGCTCAAAAACAAAAAAACAATTGATGCGCTAGAATATGAATTTTGCAATATATTAATCAAATAAAAAGAGTTCCTGTTTCAAATAATTTCTAAGTAAATAATCAACTAATTTTTCAAAGATAGTATTTCTCGGAGCCAGCGAACTAAATTAAAGTGGAAATGTGTATAAAAATTAGGCATTTAAAGTTTCATTTTAGACACAAATAACTTGATGTTTGTCATACACAAATATTTTTTTCTCTGTACAATTCTTTGCAATTCGTGAAATTTCATGAGTTACAAATTGTATACAAATCGGGCCCTTGCACTAGGTTACGTGTTACGTGAATAATCAGCTAATGGAATTCCGATGACCACGCTTTTCATATGTACTGGAAATTTCAAGAAGCCAAAAAAGTTTGCTCAAAAGGAACACAGAAGTGCTAGGTGTCTATGCATAGCCAGAAGCAACTAATTGGCGAAATTGGGATCTTTTACGATTTCCCATTTCCACGAATTCCTTGGATTTGCCATTGGGATATTTTATGATTTCCACGCTGCGATGAAGGCTTTGATTGTGTTTGATTGCAAAGGAGAACAAGCCAGGAATTAATTGGAATTGAAAATATAACATGAATTGAGACGGGAAAATATCAATAACTTTGTTTGCTTCAGTTTTCTCATTTCAAAATATCAAAATTTGTAAAAAAAAAATCCAGAGTTAGATCTAATTTTTATATTTTTTAAGCAAACTTTTACAAACAAATTTAAATTATTAAAATACATAATTAATTTAAAAAAAGGATAAGCGCAAGAGCAAAGGAAATCTGCAGAAACAAAAACATAATAATTAATTGCAATAGTTACCCTGTTGAATGGAATGCACAGGAAAAGATTGGAATTGGCCAAAATAACCATTATTTTTGTGTAGCTAACCCATCAGTCAACTAATGTCTGTGCTACGCTCCCATAGCAGTGACCGTGTGTGTTAAGATGTTAGGCACCCCAACAGACTAAAACCAGCAACGTGCCTCTTCGTCATTTTTGCGATTTCAATCCCCTATCACCCCTCCGGCTCTAGTCAATCATACACCCAATAATATTATTATTATATCCACGCGCCGGAAAAAACGTGGTCACATATTTTGTTTATAGGAGATGCCAATAAATATGCAAAGCTTTTCTAAATATAGAGCACGATGCAATATCGGTATCAATGCACGATTTATTTTTTCAGCTTGCAGAGAAATTTTAAATGGCAAGTAATCTGTGTAAAAAAATAAGCAAATTAACATTCTATATAGACGGCGTTTAAGGAAACTAATTAAATTATTATTGAAATAAAATAGCTTACAAGTCTAAAACGAATTTTTACATGTACAATTTTGCTTATGATTGCGTCTAAAAATTTTTAAGTCAAATTTATTATTGCATTATCGAGACAACTCATACTTCTTGCAGTTTGAGATTTATCATAAAAGCTGATGTTACAAATTGCAGTTAGCAGAATCATCAGAGGAAAATGATAGCACATTAAATTTTTTATGGTTAAGTTTGATAAGCTTTTTGTATGGCTTTTCCTTCCCTACTATGGTAAAATCATCCAGCATTATTGGAGAGCACATTGGTGCGCCAAGAGGAAACGTGATTTCAGTGTCAATCAATATCCCAGCACGCACAGGCTAATAAATTTAGGCAGCTCGACCCAAATATCGGTGCGCAAATTAGCGCGCGCCTTGCAAAATTAATATATTATGTTACAAAAATTATTATTCATCTATTTCTTTTACAACAAGTGTGAATATAAAATATGAATTAAATTCTGGTTTTTCTTTAACAATATTGACTTAAAACCTGTTTTTAGACTGCAGAATGAAAAAATTAAAGCAAACCTAACTAGAAAATGTAATGGCAAAGTTACACTGCTTTTTTTTTCCAAATTTACACTGCTTTTTTCAAATTTAAACGCCATTTAAAAAAAACCTTAAAATGATTTGAAGTTTTAAATAAGTTAAAAAAAAATATTCTCAAAATTCACAGTACCTTAGTTCCATACACGGGACTCAAATCACGGGTTGGCGCTCGATACATGAATGTTTCTCTCGGAACACCTGGTTTAATTCTGCGATCAAACTGAGGAGCGTCATCATCCATCTAAAGCCAGAAAAATCAATCATAGAAAATTTAAAGGGTAAACAAAAAAAAATTGGAACAGAACAAAATTGTCCTGGTTGGGGAAATCCCGGGTCTCTCCCATGTCTTGAGTTTATGGACTGACACTTGAAAATTTTCTCAGCATGAGTAAAATAATGTAAAAAGGTTTTTGGGTGACATTCAGTATTCCTCCACAGATAAAACTGCATTTCAGCACTGTTTATCATTAAATAATAAATTTTACTTACATCTTTAATATTTGGTGACGAATGAGACCGGGACAAATTCGACGACTCGGAAGGTTCCCTATTTAATGGCACAAACTTAGGCGTTGGTTTGGTGCCTAAAGAATGGTTGCGTCAATTTTAATTCAAACAAATTTTGATTGGTATTACCTTTCTCAATTTTATCCACTGTCTTTGAGTTTTGCAGTGGTTTAGGAGGAGGCGGTATTGAAGTGATCCTGAAATTGTTATTTTTTATCATTCCACATCTACAAAGATAATTTCTAAGTCATACTTTTGGAACTGGGTGGCTCTTTTCTTGGCCATTTGACTGGTTATGGCTTTCATCTTCTCGAGCTCCTCGTCCTTTTTATCCAAAAGATCCGCAGACTGCTCAGGTAAATCATTCTTCATTTGTATTTTCAGTTCAGTATTTTCAATATCCTAAACAATCATTGTCAGTGATAATGAATAAAATCAATTTTCATCGATGTACCAGCTTTTTGCATTGCGCTACTAGTTGCTCAATGGTATCTATATATTGCCTCTCTTTCAGTTCCTGCAATTCCTCATTTGCTTCGTTCTCCTTGGACTTCCGAAATTCCTACGATATAAAAATTTAACTTTTGGTTCACCTGTATTTTTATATGAACTTACTTCCCAATTCTTCTCTGCCTCCAACAGTTTATTCTGCTTATCGAGAGCCTCTTTTAAAATAGCATCTTGTTGCATTTTCATCCTGGGTATAGGAAAACAATGAAGGCACTTAAATATTGATAAAAATTAACTACTTTTCTAGCATATTCTCTTTCAGTGCTCTATCAACACTGGGCAGACGAATTGCATTATTTGGAAGCGCTTCAGGTACTGTTTCTTGGATTTTGGGTTCAACGAATGCATTGGCGACAACAGGAAAAGGTGAAGAAGGTAAAGGCTTCAAAGTCCTGTAGACTTGTGGTTTCTGAGGTGCCTGGGTTGGTAATAGTGGAGTTTGAAAGTCCGGGTAATCAATGTCATCTGGAATTAAAAATTAATCGTGGCGTTTGTACAAGCAATGCATTTTTTATGTCAGCTTACCAAGACTTATTAAATCAAATAGATCATCGGGAGAGTGTCTAGCCTCAACTCTGGGATTGGTTGTAATAGAAGGGTAGATATCCAACCACTCGGAATAGCCTTTCTGGAGAATCAGAGGATCTCTTTCGTATTTTACTCCAATGTCCCACTGAACCAGCCAAGAGAATGTTTAGGAATTTGGTAATTCGAAGATGAATAACAAATAAATACCTTCAACAAAATAGTTTTGAGATGACTGATATGAGACATCGGACGCATTGTTTTCAATGAGCTATTCCAGTCGACCAGAATCACATACTTGCCATTAATACGAGTTTTCCACAGGTTTTGTGATTCCAAAGGTAATGTTTTTTCCAATTTACCGCACGTAATTCTACAATAATTGTTTAACATTTATCATATCAACTTACATGATTGTTTTGTACATACCCAGGTTGGATTATTTCCTCTGGGACACTAATTATGCATGGCACGTCAATGTGCGACTTTTTGAAGTCTTCCAAAGGTCGCACATCCATTATCAAAAGACTGTCCGTGCCTCTAAATCTATTGATAAGGTCGTTCAGCTCTATGCAAGTGACCTCGTGAGTGTACTCCACTGGTTTCTTAGCTAATAAAAAAGACAATAAATAATTTGCAAAAATTTGAAGTGGTTTTAGAGAAAATTACTCGTGACTCCTGAAAAATTGTTGCTCGGAGGCACTGCTACTTCTGGTGACGTCTTGACAGCTTCGAACGCTGCATTCTGCAGACGCTTTTCCTCTTCCAAGGTTTTGTAACGTCGTTCAAGACTTTTATTGAGCTCTTCCGCCCGTTTTATGCACATTTCCAAAATGCTTTTGTTGAAAACTTTCTTAAAGTCCTCTGTCTTTACATTGGTCAATCGATTTATGTTCACGTAAAGGTGGGTAAATCGCATGTAGAGAATGTAGGCCTGCTCCTCGTCACCTTCCTTTGCACTCTTCTCAGCCATACCAGGCATCTTCTGAGCAGTGACCAACAAACTGCATCATAATAAATTTTATTATGTTTCCAGAGCCTCATGAACACATTGAAAGAGAGACTTACAACTTTGTTGGAGTTTTCGAAACGATGTCACGCATTTTTTCAAGCTCATCGTTCAAGTCCTTCATGCATGAGTACTTCAACGCCTTTAAGTAGACTTCAGGCATGTCTCTCTAAATATTCAATGATAAAAAAGAAAATAAAGAAATTAATGAATAAATTATGTAAAATGTGATGTGAAGACTAATTCCACATTTTAAAAATATAATACATATTATTTTAAAATTATTTTCTAGTCCAGATGACCTATAGATGTACAGACTTACCATTTATGTATACATACATATATTATAATAATTACAATAATTAATTGAATCTAAATATAAAAAAATATTAATATGAACGTCGATAAAATAGGCCATTGGGTTCATGAATCATGATAAGGATACCTTAAAAAATACATATTAAACACAACTAAAACCAAGATCATTGAGAAAAAGATAAATGATTTTATGGGTATGTACAGGTGCATTTAATGGTTAAAAATTATTGGCAAACCTTTTACGGTGACGAGAATTATTCAAGAGTATGCAGGAAACATCCTGATTGGGTTTATCCGCAACGTATAATGTAAATGTCAGCGATTGGAAACCGCTTCTGTCCCGTGTCTGAATTTCAGGGACGTCAGGAACATTGAAATTTGCCTCAGATTATTGCATAGGCGACGGTCTAAATGTCATAAACATATATCTATGTACGCTAGTTTCGTTTCGCAACGTCCTCTTCTCGACTCGTACGTACGTTGATTTTTCGCACAACAGCCAGGCCAGCTAAATTAAATTCAAAGAGGAATTTGCAAACAACCACCACGAAAACAACAAAACCAAGGAACAAAACTGAACTTTTATGGTGGGCGTAACTGGGCGTAACCTGTCAGTTCGTGCAAATAGCTTGATTAACTTGATTTGTCAAAATTGCTAAATGCACAAAATGCATGTTGCCCATGCAGAACATAATGTAAACAAAAACAACAAAACAGAGCGGACAGCGGGCCTTTTGTAGCTATCGCAGCTAAAATTTTTGCCATGGAATCTACCAGTAAAGAAGACAATAATGTGTTCCTGCTCAAGGACATACTGGACGCTGATGAACAGCAATATGCGCTTGAAGTGTACTCGGAGATGCGTAATGATGAGTTTGAAGCATTACCTGGTTTGCTTTTAAATTTTTCACTCAGAGTAAAAATATAATTTGATATTTTCCTTTCAGAATTTCCTGATGAAATTCACATCGATATTAATTTGTATCCAGAGGAAATCACCACTTATCTAGACGAAGTTTCAACGGCACCAAAAAGAATAACAGCTGCAAATCAAGTTGGTTATCATTTTTTTCTAATGAAATAATTTTTTACTCAAATTATTATCAACCGCAGGTCTTGCCTCTTTTGACGAGTGTTTATGAAGATCGTGGTTTAGAAGAAGACACTGGTCTGGCTAGTGAGTGGAGGGAAGTTTTTCAATCTTTGTCAACTGGTGTGTTCAGAAGTAATTGCGAATGTCTAATTTGCAAATGCTTCTTTGTCACACCTTCTTTGCTTTTGACGGTAAAATGAAGTTTAATAATTTCTTCATTAAATTAAGTCTTTCTTATTTTCCCAGCATGTCGTCAAAGTCCATTCCAGCCTTGGATTGAAAGAGGTCCAGTTCTGTTACGTCTGCAGACAACGGTTTATCTTCCCCACTGCCTTATCACTACATCTGGAGCAACACCACGGGCTTTTGGCTCCTCGGCTGACATGCTCAGTTTGTTTCATGCAACTCAATTCGCAGTCGGAACTCAAAGCCCACGAGAGAAAACACGCTCTGACGGAGGCCTGTCGCCAATGCTTTAGCCACTTTCCATCAAGACAGCAACTAGCCCAACACGTAGCATCTGTCCATGCAAAACCATTCCCCTGTTCAAACTGCCGCAAGTCATTTGAACATGAAGCTACTTATAAGTATAATTTAATTGTGTATTAAAAAAGTTATGCCATTTTATGATATTTATTTTATAGGGCACACTTGGCAAGGCATAAAACATTCCAAATATCAATTTGCATAAATTGCAAGTGGTGCCCAAGTAGGAATTCAATTGATCCTGAATTGACTCTGCTGGAGCATTTACACGGCTGCCTGTCACCAGAGCAGTTGCAATCTTTCTTTAGTTTTGTCCTAAAAGAGGATAAGCAGGAGCAAGAACTTGAGAAAATGTTAAAGCTATATCACGAAGTAAGGGAAGGGGATGAACTAATAAGTAATCAGGTAAAATTTTCGAGAGATTATTTGAATTTGTTGGTTAATTTGATGATTTGTAGTTGCTCGATGTGGAGGATTGTGTGTCGGCTATTGTGAAGAGTGTCGAAAAAACCTTGGGTGATAAAGACACAAAGGTAATTATCTCTATATTAAATTTTTCGAGTTTCTTATCAAACTCGATTGTTTTTTTTCTACAGAGTCTGTGGAAATTCAGCAGTACAATGCCTATAATTTCTTGTTATTGCAGGTTCAAAAAATGAAAACTGACACCCTATGCAAATTGTGTTCAAAGGCAGTAATTGAGCTGGATAAAATTCCTGAACACGTTCAAGAATTCCACCCCAAAAGCAAGCAGTGTCCTATTTGTAAAAATCGATTTCCATCAGTGAAAAGAGCTCAGGCACACACAAGATTGCACCTGAAATCAACTTCAGCACCCAAAGAATATAATTGCCGAATGTGCAGCGCACAATTTAAAGATAACGGAAAACTGAACAGGCATTTAGAAACAACTCACATGGTAATAAACGCCAAAATTTTACCTCTCATTTTAATTATTTATTCAAACGCAGATTAATGTTTTGTCGAGGCCCTATAATTGCCATGTGTGTAAGAAATCGTTTTACTCGGCCAATTTAAGAGACAAGTAAGTTGTAAAATGATTTTGAATTCTATGATCTATATTTCTAACTTGACTTCACTTTCTCAGACATGTCACATTGCACTCTTTACGAGGCCAAGAAAATGTAGAAGCAAGTTCTCTTGCTCTGAAATGTAGTTTCTGCAATCGAGTATTCATCAAGCCAACATTTCTTACAAAACACATAGAAAAATACCATAACAGGTTTCTTCTTCTAATTGTATTAATATTCGATTACATTTCAAAATCTTAAAAGCAGATCACTGGCAAATCCAGGCATTCCAGAAACGGTTGGTGAAATTTTAAAGTGCAACGAGTGTGGCGAGCTTATGGATGATCTTAGCAAACTCAAACGTCACGTGAAAACCAAGCATTGTGTTGCGTCTGACAAAAACCGTTTCCAGTGCAACATTTGCAAAATTGGTTGCAGCACGGCTGTTGGCTTGAAAGTACACATGAGGACGCACACCAACGAGCGACCCTACGAGTGCATTGTCTGCAGTAAAAGATTCAACAGAGTTTATGTGAGTTTTGCATTGATTTTTTTAGGGATTTTGTATAAATGATAAATTGCTAAGGCTTTAAATAAGCATATCAAGAGAGTTCATGAAATAAGCGTCCCAGATGACGGCCGCAGAAAGGTGTTTTGCTGTACCGAAAAAGGGTGTCCACACCGGCAATCAAGTTACGCGGCAATTCTTAAGCACTATCTCAGAGCGCACAGAGATGTTAAGCGCTTCATATGCGGCATTTGTGGAGAATGGTACACAAAATGAATTCAAACTTTTAATCTGGCATTTAAAAAAACTTGTAGCTATTGCCAGAACCAGGAGTTGAAGATCCACATGCTCAATAAGCACAAACTGACCGCTCCGAATGTCATTGTGCGGGAATCCAGCAAGCAGACCGATGTAATTCTTGCGATGATCTGAAGTATATTATTTACTAATTTAAATAATGAAATTTCAGATCCATGTGTATCCTTCGATCGTGAAGCTTCCACCTAGTCACCCACACGCAATGCTGATCACTCAGATTATGGAGGACCAGCACAAAAAGACTTTAAATTTACCGAAATTCCCCACTGTGCAGGAAACAAGTCTGACTCTAATTAAATTTTTAAATATTATATTGAATTTTAAAAATAAATCCTTTTAGTGGAAAATGGCTCGTCCGATTGCTTGGTGAAAGATTTTAACCAAGAGATAAGTGGTCCGACCTCTTCTGCAATTCCAGCTAAAAATCTAGATTGTCCAGCTAGTAAAGGTATTATTTTATAATTAAATATCCAGCTTTCTTTTTACTCTTTCACTTAAATTATTTTTCATCAGGGTTAAAATGTCAATCAAAAGAAACAATAATTTATGACACGTCGGCCAGTTACGGTTCAGTGGTGCCCAATCTCGAGTCGATTGCTGCACCAAACACGTCTACCAGCCTTAAACTTGCGTCAGTAAACAACGAAACTTACCTGAGCATTATAAACCAAGCTTATGAGACCATGCATCCGAAATATCCTGAAGTGGTTGCGGCTGTTGTCAATCTTCCTCCGAATAATAAAGAGTTTGGCGTTGTGACGGTTCCGACAGAAATTCTGCAGCCAATCATCATATCAACTAATGCGCCAACTAAGTAATTTTATTCATTCCTTTTTTTTAAATTGTACTCTATAGATTTATTTTTAACGTAATAGTTCTGTTCATGTTGGACCTCGGCAAAATTTAATCCCCAAAAATTCAACCGAAATATCGTCAATACAGACTGCTGATGGTAAAGTGCAAAACAAGGAAATAAAAATTCATAGGAGTTTAAAAGGTAAAAATAATTTTAAATAATTTTATGAATTTTATTAACTATTTAAAAATTAAACGTTATTTTATCCAAAATATATTTCTTGAATTAACTGACTTTTTGTCTAAGATTCTAAACTTCGAGCGGCTCCAAATATCAAAGGTTCATTGAGGTAATTTGATTTTAAATTTATTGCGCGTTTCATTTAGCAATGATTTTGTACAGAAACGAAAGTGAACTTTGTGACTATAAAATTCGGCATCAGATCAGCACAGACGAAAGCAAAGTATGCCCTGATTGCCCAGGGAGAGTATATAAAAGACTGAGCGATCTTAGGAAACATATGAATAATCATCAAGAGAAACCAAAGAGGTAATTTCATGAATTAATATAACTATAGAAGCACAATGATTAATTTATTTAAAATATTTAGTTATCTGTGCCACCAATGTGGTGCCGTTTTGACAAGGAGAGACTCGTTACTCCTGCATCAAGCAAGGAAGCATAGCAAATTCCAATATAAATGTGCAATTTGCAAAAAAGGATTCAAGATAGAAAGCCAGTATCATGCTCACCAAAAATCCCATTCAGGTGAATTAGAATTTGACTTAATTTAACATTTAAAATTATCTCGAAACTTTGTTTTTACATTTTGCTTGTTGTTTAACGTTAAACAGCTTTTGTAACTTTTCATATATTATTATTTTTCAGGCAACAAAGAACACAAATGTGACATATGTGGTAGAGCGTTTGCACTTCGAAACTACCTGCTCAGTCATTTGAAAAGGCACACAAAGCAGAAGAATTTCTTGCAATGTCCACATTGCCCTCGGAAATTCAGTTCCAATGAAACTTTGCAGGTCAAATTTGATAAAATTCCCGTAATTAATATATAATTTGTTTTGTTGCTGAATCACAGGTACACGAGAAATGTTTCCACACAAAAGGCGCGATGCTGCAGTCTCGACAAAGAAAGCAGGATGCTCTTCAGAAACAAGAAGAAGCCCAGAAGGCAACTCTGGCTGCCAATTTAGAGGACGAAATGCTGCAGGTTGATTTTGATCTTGAGGAAAACCAAGTTGTGTACCTGAAAGTGCTATCGGATGCAGACCTAGCATTTTTGCCTTCATAGTGATGAGAAATTGAAATAAGAAAAAAAAAACAGATTCGTTCATGATTTTATATAAAATAAACCAAAATCATAGCAAACAATTACATGATAGTGTGTTATTTTTGCATATTTAATAATTTAATCTGATTGTAGAGAATAATTAAAATATGTATTTAATTTGTTCAATCAAATTTTTATTGCGAAATAAAATGCGGAGGCAAAATCATGTTGTGTAGTGAAATACGCAATAAAAATTTCAATTTGCCTCAAATTTAAGTTATGAGACTCAAGACTGATCGACAACGAGAAATTTTATTTAAAAAACACGAAATTTTAAAATTTTTGTTAATAAAATAAAAAAGCAAAAAATTAATTTTGCGGCGCGTTTTTTTAATAAAAACATGTTCATGATTACAACGCCGCGTGGCGCTAGGGTCGACGGATTGCTTTTCGCTGTTCGCTCTCGCTGTCAAAAACAAACGAGTCATCCACAATCATGGCTGCTGTGCTTATAGGCGAAAATCAAGAACCCGGCTTTTCCTTCGAGAACTGCAGAAGGTGAGGATAAATCTCTATCAATTGTAAAATTAAGTATTGGAATCTTCGAATAAATTTAAAGACAATTGCAAAGTTTTTAGAAAATCTGTAAAAACCACACAGGTCGCTAATGCTTTTCGGGTTGCCGTGTCATGCAGCACCGAATTTTTTTTTCACTGAAATTGCGAATATTAATTGTTATGAATTACAAATTTAATCATTTGCAGAAATGCAGTTTTGGCACAGAAGGGCCACCCTCTGCCAAAGGCAACCAAGACTGGAACCACCATCGTCGGCATAATCTACAAGGATGGAGTCATTCTTGGTGCCGACACCAGGGCCACTGAGGACACAATTGTGTCGGACAAGAACTGCGCCAAAATTCACTATCTGGCCAAGAACATGTAGTATGTATCCCTAAGAAAGACTTAACAATTTTTTGGCAAAAACTTTCACTAATCAATTTTTACCCGCTTAGTTGCTGCGGTGCTGGAACTGCTGCGGACACTGAGGTGACCACCCAGATGATTTCCTCGCAGCTCGAGCTGCACCGGCTGAACACCAACCGTGACATTGTGCCAGTGGTGACTGCTTGCAAGTTCTTGAAGCAGATGCTTTTCCGCTACCAAGGCTACATCGGAGCTGCTCTTGTGCTTGGTGGCGTCGACAACACTGGCCCTCACCTCTACTCGATCCACCCCCACGGCTCCTCTGACAAGCTGCCCTACACCACCATGGGATCTGGCTCACTCGCAGCCATGGCTGTCTTTGAGGCTGGATGGAAGGCAGACTTGACTGTTAGTAATAAAAAAAAACCTACAAGAAAAAAATTCAAACTTATTTCGGAAAAGTATTTTCACTAATTTTTTTGGTTTGTTTATAAATTTTTAGGAGGAGGAAGGCAAGCTCTTGGTGAGGAACGCAATTGCTGCTGGAATTTTCAACGACCTGGGCTCAGGCAGCAACATTGACTTGTGTGTGATTCGTCGAGGTTCAGTTGACTATCTGCGGCCTTATGACCAGGCCAATCTCAAGGGACAGAAACAACTTTCGTATCGCTACAAAAAGGGAACCACAGCTGTTCTTGAGGCCAAGACTATTCCCATCGTAATTGAAGATGTTATCGTCCAGCACACCAGTGAGACGGTCGAGTCAATGGACACATCTGGATAAAGCAAGGCTTTTGTTTTTTCAAAAAAATTAATTTTAATTTGGTGCAGGTTAATTTTTTGCACCTGTCAGCTTAATAAAAGTATAAAACATAATTTCTTTGTATCTCAAAATAAAATCCATCAGCGTTCAAGCTTCCCTTCTTAAATTTCCCCCATCCATGTACAGGAAATTACAATGATTAAGACATAATGCTTGTTATTTTGTGCAGAAGTTAATCCTTGCAGCATTAGCTAGCTACGAATTTCCAGAAGATAAAACTGGCTTTAAATAAGAGGTTAAGAGTATAAATGAAAGACCATGTGGGTTTAATGCAAATAGTTTGATTTTGTAAAAATTCTGTAATATACAACCACTATTTTTGGTGCATTCCACCATAAATAATGAGACAAATTTATCTTAGCTTACAAAACGACAAAGTTGAACAAATAGGTACCGTTGCAAATGTGCCAACTTTTCTGTGGTCTTCAAGGAGCACAAACGATTCCAAAGCAGGCATGACCTGGTGAAATCAATCAAATGGTGATACCAACTTTGGCGCGCAATAAATTAATATTCATGAATTGCCTCAGGGCTCCTAAGTGTCACGTGACACCCGTTGGCACCGCGCACAAGGTCTGCTATTAGGTTGCTGCGATCAACCTTGCGCCTGCTTGGAATCGGATATAGTCCTTCTCGAGCTATGTGTGCAAACAAAAAATTGGGAATGATCACGCGAAATTTGATTGTTTTAACTCCAGTATCCTGCAATTCACATGATATATATAAATAATAGTGCTGTGCACGCTTCTGAATATTCACGCCAGGAATGAATTAATTGTGTTGCACATTTGAAACAAGGAAACTCTTTAATAAGTCAGTTTAATCCATCTCACTTCCAAGGCAGACTCCGCAAAAATTTTTCCAAACGTGAACTCTGCATCACTTTTAAATCACACTGCTGAACAGTCTGAAACATAAAAATAAATTTAAATGATGAAACTTTCTTTTTGCAAAAACACCAACCTTTATGAGCGTGTCAAGGCCAAATAGAAAGCCATCCTCGTGGTTGCCTTCACACCAAGGTGACCGATGGTCAAGAGGGATGTCCGACGGCCTTGCCTTGGCGAAGTCGATTAACCAAGCACCCACTTTAGAGCCTTCTCTAACCAGTAGTAGACTGGAGCCTACCACCTGAAGTGGAATTGTTTAAGTACGGGTGCAATAAAAGACTGGGAAAAAAATTAATACCTCATTGTACTTAAAAAAATTTGATTCTTCAAATGCCGTCCTGATTTTAATGAGGCGTTTCAGTAGGTTTATTCTGTTTTGTTCTTTGCCGTGCAAAAAAAGGGCCAACACAGTTTGCACATCGCGCTGTGAGCACACTTTCTGCAGTTCTCGTACTGGATCACATCCTTTTACCTGAAATATAAGAAAATTCAAGCTCATTCCAAATTAAGCATTATTTAAAAACTTGCCTTCATGGCTTCTATTCTGAAGCCAAGAGTGCTTGTTGATGACTGCTGCTCTCTGAATCTCATGTACCTGAGTTTTGTCACAGCTTGGGCCTTGTGTTCTTCAGGTGTGGGAGCATTGCTGTCTACCCGCACCATCTGAAATGAGCGATTTAAAATTTGAAATTCATACACGTAAAACAAAATATTATAATACTCACTTTTTGGTATAAGTCGGGCCTTGCATTTGTCCTTGAAACTTCCGATTCTAGGAAGGTCCTGGTGCCCATTTTGATATCCATCACGTAAGGGTCATTGAAGTTGCTCAAGAGATCTTCCAGCTCAATAAAAAGCTCATTTTTAAATTCAACTTTCCTGAAGGAAAAATAATTAAAATGATATTTTAAAACATTTGCCGTCATAAAAAAACCTGTAAAATTTAGGCACGATGCTGGAACTTGAGTCAGTCTTCAGTTGCTGAAGAGCCTCGTAAACTCGGATTTCCCCATCCTCTAAGGTGGTTTTCTTCCAAATGGTTCCGGGGCCAGCAATGGCAAAGCTGTCTGGATGGCCTAAAGTGAGGTTAATTTTTGTTTTGACCGCTCTTTTTAAAAGTCATAGTGTGCTTACCTGAAAGTTGGAGCCATCCAGAAGATTCATTGCTGCTGTACTTCAGAGGCAAACCGCTAGCGGGAGAGCCAAGCTCAAGAGCATTCTGTAATCAATTGAAAATCTTGGTTTTAATTTTTCTCATCAAAAGGACGATTTAAGAAATTTGCAATTTTATTTATGTCACACCAAATACTAAAAATAGCAGTACAAAGGGCAAAATTAAATATAAATCTGTTAAATCTCTTTCCTACGGTTACGAATTGAGCACTCTGCACTTTGATTCAGCTCAAATGCAAAATGCTTCAAGTACATTCACTTGAGCGCAAGAGTGCAAATTTTTATGGACTTTGGCACGACAAAATTGGTATGTTAATCAATTCAAAGTATGTGCAAAGAGAGCGTATTTTTGTTTGTAATTAATTGACATTGCAAATTTAAAAATTCACTTTTTACAATAAAATATTAATATGTACAATTTAAAACCAAAGGTTGATTCACTACAAATTGATATTATTGAAAAACAAGGGTTCGAGTGCGATAAATAAAAATAGGGATATTCTACATTAACTATAAACCACCACCAACGAAAAAGCAGTATTTTTATTCAAATTCATCACGAATTTCATTAATAAAAGAGGAAAAGACTCACCAGGGCTAGATACTTCAACAGAGTCATGTCCTCTTCCTCTGAGTTAGCAGACCTATAATGAATCATACATAAAATCCAGTTAGTTTGAGACTTTCCTTGTTGGCAGGGTATACTATGTACTTAAGTAAATTCTTAAAGCTTCTTTGTCTTTTTTTAGGATGTTTAAAAAAGAGAGGAAAAAAGCATCATAATTATCATAATGATAAGTTGCATGCAACTGCTTTAATACACTTTTTTAGGAAATCTCCAATAAAATGACTTTTTTTATTATTTTTTTTTTAAAAAGCTTCTGTCAATATTTTAAATTAAAGTGTCAACTGATTATGAACTTCTATTTGCCAATGAATGAAAGTAAACTTTGATAAGGCAATCTTTTTATATTGGCAAATCTCGCAATAAATATGCTTTACTGCTACCATTTGAAGATGTTCTTAAAATTTTGTTTTATAAAAAATAGATATTTTGGGATTTAGTTTAAAGTTTGCTTTCTCTGTGTTCATGCAATAAAAACGGATTTAATTAAGCTAGTAAGCTGTGAAGGGGTTAAATGATAAATATTTTACACAATTTCAACGGTATCCAGATAAAGTGAACTTATATTGATGCCATTAGGTTTAAAAATCATCTTGCCAGAGCTGCGAGAAAAACAGAGTGAACGGCGTTAAGCCCTGTGAAGAGAGGCCGCGTGCGTCACATTGAGCGAGAGATAAATACGGCATCTTTTATCATTATTTTATCAATTTCTGTTGCAAAATGCTCTGTTTGCGCGCAAGACGGCGGCGGCGGGCGACTCACCCTGGCTTGTTGTTGGCTTGATCGGCATGGCTACTGTTGTGGCTGGGGTTGTTCTTGGTGCTCTTGCGCCAGCCCTTGGGCGGTTTGCCGGCGGCGGCGGCCTCCTTCTGCGGGCAGAAAAGAGCGACCGAGTGAAACAACATCACCATCGTCGACGGAAAAGCATCACACACGGCATGCGGTGGAAAAGCAAAAAGTATGAGAGAGCGCACGCGAGGCGCGGACCTGCGTTCGCACGAAGTGACGCAAAAAGTGGCCGTGACGCAAATCGCTCGATCTCCACCAGTATATTCATGCATTTATTGAAATGAGAAAAATGCTGTTTGCATCAGCCCGTGGCATGCAAATCAACCTGCGTCGAACGGTCCGACTGCGCGTACGTCTCGCCGTCCACACTTAGCTCTTTATGAATAATTATAATTGTTTCTAATTTTGCCGCCTCTCTTAATTGTTTTCAAACAAACTCTTTCGTTTCGCCTCGTGCACGCTGCGCTGTTTTTGTATATAATTCTGAAGGAGATGTCGTGATACAAGATCGCTGAACCAAAGCCCAAAACGAGTGGGGCCTCGTCTTGGGTTGTCCAGCTCTTTCTCAAGTTCTCACATTCTTTGAATGAAACTCGTAATTCTGTTTCAACATTCTGGTTAAGCCATTGCATAAGTGAGATACCACGTACTGCGACACCACATTAAAAACAAATATAAAGCAATTAAGACAAACAGCATTTCCGCCTTTTCTCGTCCGTGCGTCACTGACCTCCCTGGGGGAAATTTTCGAAAATTTGAGCTAATGAGAAACTTTGACGCACCACTTTACACACGTGATAACGACATGTGTCGCGGTCGGAAAATTTTTGATGACGCAAAAGGATCCACCAATTGACGCGCGGACCCTTGATTAGAAAGGGAGATTGCATTTTGAAGACATGCAGGAAAACTAGAGCTCGATCCGTGTTTCCTTTTTTTTTGTCGGCTATAACAAAATGTGGTTCCTGGTGTTAATATTTATTTTTTTGCTTTGTTACTGCTCATAATCTTGTTTGCTGCGAATCGCACGCGCGCAGCACCAATAAAATCTATATGAATGATCAAAAACCCTGAAAGCAGAATATAAAGCCTTTCACTTTTCCCACCCTCAGGCTGAGGAAGTTCCATAAAATCTTGGAATGACGCACTTTGGTTCCTCCGGGCAATTAATATAATTGGTTCCAAAAACATTTCATTAGGTAGCAAAACATGTTTGAAAAAAGTTTATTAATATGGGAAAATAAAAGTGTGTTTCTTTCCTGATGTTTGAATAAAAAATTAATATGTATTTGCGGTTTAATTATTAAATTTTTAATATTGTCATAGGTAGGAATGCTATTTATAATAATTTATGCACTTTGATATTCAGCCCACAAAAGACGTAAATGTAAATTTAAGAGGAGTTCAAGAATATTTGAATAATTTTTAGCACTAAAAATATTCAGCTATGATGAATAAAACCCAATACATTTAAATAGAGTACACAAGATGTGGGAATCAAAAATAGTTATTGAGGGCAAAAAAAAAAATAAATAAATAAAATTTGCTCTGTTGTTAGAGTAAGAATATAAAAATTAGAGGCTACACCCTAAGTGATTCAAATGAAATTATGTTTGCTCTATATTTCCACCAAACTTAACTTTTACTTAGAAATCTTGGTAAATTTCCAGATAAATATGTTTATGATCAATTAAATCTGAATAGGTTCAATTGAGACTGTTTTATTACTTCATTTTAATTAAAACTAAAAAATAATTTTATTCAGGGCTGTATTAAATAGCACTGCTTATATAAAATATAAAGCAATAAAGATTTATAAATTCATATGGATCATGAAAAATTGTTTTGAAGATACACTTTCTCCTTTTCAATGTGATGTATTATTTTATTTGAAAACTCATTTGAGTGCTTTTTTCTGTGATAACTTTTGATTTATGTAATGTTCGGCATGAAAAATTTCAAAAGCAGCTTAAGCAGCCCAAATATGGAAAAGTATCAAAATTTCAATTTGCAGCCTATATCGTCTTTAAAAAAAAGTAATAAAAAAACTTATTGCACCAAGAAATTCATGTTTGAACTTTAGTATGATAAATCAAGCTTGACGGAACATTCAAGCTAATTTGAATTCATCAATTAAACTGCGCTGATAAAAGTCCAGCATGTGGGCGACACATGACGGAATTGTTCCAACGACGTTTCTTCTTTGCAATAAGCAAATATAATCGTTTCAACATGCCTATAAGTTGCCAAGCGTGTTAAACAAAAAGCACATCCTGTTGAGCATTATATATATCTTGAAATTAAAACTACCAGAAATAACCCACGCAATCAACCCCTAAAAGAGCATCAAAAAACTTCCGCTGATAAAATGATAAAAGAAAGGAAACGACTGAAAGGATAACATACAGCCCTGGCGACCAGTGTTGCGAGAATTGTTGTTCGAAGGGCGCCGGAAGGGTGGAGCAGGGCTGGGCCGGTCATAGAGCGCGCCGTTGACCCCTCTCGGCCATGCCCCGGGCGGAACCTGGCCAATTTTCTGCAAGGGCTCGACACGGAAGGCACTTGTACACACTTTTGGAACCACAACCTGATAATTGTGAGACCAAGAGTGGCTGCTGGCGCTTCGTGACGTCAATGTCGACCTCGGTTCCGCACTGCAAAGTAATGTGATACACACTCTCGATCCCGTGACGTCAACTCTCTGCCGCCGCCAGTTACCAAAATCCCTCCACTTTACCAAAAAAACACAATTACTATTATTTTCCACTCAGCATCAAGCATGCTCGAGTTTCCTTTGGAACAGGCCAACGAATTAAAGAGGCGCGAGTGAAATTGCGCCCGACCCTTTTGCGGCGCCGAGCGCCCTTAAAAAAATACCAGCACGCCAATTTTATTTGCGCGCCGTAACGCCAAAACGATTTCCATATCCGGAGAGTTAATTGGCTTAAGTATTTCTCTAATTGTTCAGCCAAGGCTGAGAGTGGCAGTGGAAATCGGCAATTAGAAAAACAAACGATTGGCTCGGCAAGACCGCGCGCACACCGTAAGGAAAGCGCTCTTTTGCATTTGCCGTGCAATCCGCTTTGGTCGACGCCCTACCTACGCTGACTTAGCACACAGTGGCGTACGCACTTGACGCGTGCTGCATAATTATTGGACATTATAATATCCTCCGTTTTTGAAAACACAATGGACTGCAACAACAAAAGAAGAGACAACGAGCTAAGAGCGAGTGTGATCGAAGGATTTCAGCATTATCTTCAATACCGCCAGCAAGGTTGATTAGACAGATGGCGATTAGGCGTTGATTGCTTAAATGTACAAGCTAAATGTTTAGTTTGTACACGTTTTACAGACAGAAATAACAAAGAGTTGGTGTTTTCAATTATGAGCAAGTGGGCGCAGATATTTGATTAAATTTGCAAGCGACACCATAATATATAACAAGCATGCGTCATTAATTAAGTCTAACCAAATTTGTTCCGTTTTCAATTAAAACTTCAATATAAATATAGAGCATATTTCTAAGATAAAGTGGACATTAATTTGAGCAATGCAAATTATTTAATATTTCACCTTTAAAAAAAATTAATAATAATTGTGCTCGTATAAGAAATAAATAAGAATAAAAATATAGAGCAGAGCAAATTTCTATATGTAGAGCGGCTTTTTTTTTTATTACGTAAAATTAACTATATAATATTTTGTGATAGCACAATTTATTTCAATTTTTATCCGTTTTAAAAATAAATTTTTAAATTGAATTTTGGATTAAAATCACTATTATAAATTGCAAACAAATTTCAGGTGTAAAAGAATGTAAGAGTTAACAAAAAATTAACAGAACTCACCGAAGAATCACTTTTGTTTTTCTTTTCTCGCTTGGAAATAATCTGCAAATAAAAAGTCTGTTAGTTTATGCCTACAACAAAATTTTAGAGACATAATGATTTCTATTTGATAAAAAATAAATTCCTTAATATTTTACCACAGCAGATTTATACACATTTTGAATTGAATAAAATTCTTCAAAGCCAAATTGATTTTTTTATGTCTAGCAATTGAGTAAAGAAAAATATAAATTGCGCCAGCATAAATGTAGGATTTTATAAGAATAATAATTGTGTGGCAAGTCTATCTATTAATTATGCGAGAAACCTACATCCTTCAAAACGTTGCGGCTGAAGAAGGTCGTCGAATAGGTGTGAGGTGGGAACTCAGTGGCAGTTGCAGCCATGTCTGCTTGGACACACTTGGACAGCAGGTTTGGAAGAACTGCAGGACATGTGGCCAGCCAATGACAAGCGGTTCCTGTGATTCTCTTTAAAGTTAGCCACCTCCCAAAAAGTGTCTGATGAGGAGACCTGAAAAGTTAAAATTCTTAATCAAGTTGTTACAGACAAAATCTGAAAAAAAAAATGTAAAAGTGACAAAAAACTGCAAAAATTAAAAAAAATTGCAGATCAGGTTTTGTTTGCAAAAATATTCAGCCTGAAAACCTGAAGGTGAGTGAGGATGTGAAGTGAAATGATACACATTCTGCAAGCTTCCTGCTCAGCAAACAAGGACATAATACACAGAGACTTGAGTGTATTCCGAGTTATTTACTTTTATGACATATTTATGATATTCGCGCCGCAATTAAAAGCAATACGCATAAACAAACAGCCGAGGCATTTTTTTTTTACCTTTAAAAAATGATGATTTCTTCGTCATGTGTGACACTTTCAGGGTTGAGGTCTCGCAGGTCTATCAAAAGGCTCCTAAATTGTTGAAGTTGCCTGAATGCGATCCTCTAACTCGTCTTTTGTGCACTGAATGAATGATGATAAAACGTGAATTTGGTGTTGCTGGTGCTCGCGGAGGTTCAAGTAGTTCGACGGGATTCTAGAAGTGCGCATGCGCTCTCTTCCAACATGTTCGCACACTGGTCTGTGCTCTTTGGTGGAGCTCGATGCTCAATCCGGTCTGTTTCTGGTACAGTCTTGTTCGGTGTAAATAGCAACTTTTGAAGCAGAAACACCCACATCAATTTATTGATAAAAATCAAAAGTCTTGAACACTTACATTACTTTTTTCAAAGATCTCGGCCCAAGGAACAAATTAAGAAGAATTTGTCAGCCAAATACATACACGTAAGCTCATTATTTTTCATTGTAAAATGTATAAAATTTAGTGAAATACTCCGAAGTAAATCATTATCAGAAATAAATTATACTTCCCTTTATTGTAAACATTGAGAACTCTGTTTAAAATTCATGCTTCTTATTCTTACAGATTAATGATGGGTCAAGGAAATAGTCAGTTTTCTGACGAGGAACTTCAAGATTACCAGGTAAACAAATAAAGTATTTTTACAGCAAATTAACTTTCGGAATTGCTACGAGACGTATTAATTAATCGGAATTTATTTTTCATGTCAGGATCTCACCTACTTCACTAAAAAGGAAGTTTTGAAGTAAATAACACTTTAAGTACTCAAACGTTATTGATCATTAATTACTTATTTCAGAGCTCACCAGAAATTCAAAGCGCTTGCACCGGAAAAAGTCGGTCACAATCGAAATGCAAAACTCCCGATGTCGAAAATAATGACTTGCACAGAGCTGCGAGTAAATCCATTTAACGACAGAATATGCAAAGTGTTTAGCTCCAGCAGAGATGGGGACTGCACCTTTGAAGATTTTCTGGACATGATGTCCGTCTTCAGTGAAGCAGCGCCTCTCACCGTCAAAGCAGAATATGCTTTTCGCATTTTTGGTAAACCAATAATTGATGTTATTATACTTTAATAATATAATTTCTGCAATCAGATTTTGATGGAGACGATATGTTGGGAGTGGATGATCTTCAGCGAGTAATCGAAAGGTTGACGGGGCCTCAGCATCTCTCGGACATTGACACAAAACAGTTGATTCAAAACCTTTTGGAGGAGGCTGATTTGGATGATGATGGCTCTCTTTCCTATGCAGAGTTTGAGCACATCATCTCTAAAAGTCCCGACTTCACCAGGTAAATCTTGAGAAATCGGAAATGATTTTTTTTTAATTAATTGGTATATATAAATTTCTTACTTGCAGCACTTTCAGGATTCGATTGTAGGAGGTAGCGAATCTCCTAATTAATTTGTGATTGATATTATTTACAAGACTTCGGACCATCATTTTTCATGCGCTCAACATTGTGCGTACAACGTCTAGTCTACAATTGATAAATTATGTTTCATAGTGGTTTTTTAATTTTTCCTGAGGTTAAATTAAAAATTAATATTTGATCAATAATTTGCTGGCAGGCCAAATCAGCCACGGGAATAAGATCAAATTATTTTCTCTAAAACTTGGAGTAAGATGAAGATTTTTATGTTCGACGGATTCTGATAAAATATTTTGGTATGTTTAAGTCATCACAAAAATTATTGTTATGTTATGCGCCATAAACATCTACTTTTTAATTGTGATGCATTTTTTTCTTTAGCTTAGAGGTATTAATGAAGTCAATGAAGAAGCAGATTAAGTTTAAAAAAATTTGTGTATTTTATCCCTGCCAAAAATACAAAGTAATACCTCATGCTAATTTTATTATAAATTGGTTCTCCCAAATGCCGAAAAGCATTCGTTTTAACACGCATCACTTTAATTTATACAACAAAGTCAAAAATTATTTTCTTTATAATATTATAATGAAGGTGACAATGCTAGAAACAACTGCAAAATTAGCATAATATATGTGAGAATTAGTTAAATTCACTTTTTAATTTTTTTTTTATAAATTATGATAAATCACTTCCTCATTTCTTCAATATTATTGATATTGTATTGTTAACTGATGTTATATGTATTACATATATTTAAGGCAAAAATAAAATTTAAAAAAAACTAATTTTCCCATTTTTTGGCATGAAAAAACAGGTTCACTTTTTGAAGATGCTGAATATCAAATAGTTTGTGTATTAAAAAAACATTTTTTTTATTTAACTTGAAACGAAAGCTTTCATACTTGTTATAGAGGATACAATAAAAAAATTAAGTGATAAAAATATTTTCATAATCTCTCATCTATCTATGTAGTTAGTTCTCTTAATAATTGACGATACGCTCATTCCTAGCAAAAGGGGGACACGCAACGGGGCACAGGGATAGTAGCAAATGAACGAGAGCAAGCAGCATTGCTGGAGCATGCGCAGACGCCCATTTCCCGAACTTGGTCTCTGAGCGAGTCGACGAAGCAAAATTGCTGTCTCGGCCTGCAACGGCTTGCTCGTGTTGGTTTGTCGTTTTCGCCCGCTCTATTTTCCATGGAAAACTCCGACTCCGGCCTCGACGGGGCTTCTTCACCACTTGTAAGTTGTTCTGCGCGGCTTCCGCGCGTTTCCGCAAATTTGTTTTACCCGGAAAGTGTCCGGGAAAGGCTGCGGTCTCTTGAAAACGGGACTTGTGATATTTCGCTCTGCTCGCTTGAAATTTTCAAAGTCCTAAAATGGCGTCAGAGACTAAGTCCCCGCATAGCGTTGCGCCAGAGAGGCTCCTTCGAGGCCACCGAACTCTGCTTAAAGTCCCTCTGAGCTTAAAAAAATCGCGGTGCGTCCTTGATCCCCTGTTGCTCTTTGGAATTGCAGCAACTTTTGAGAGATTCAAGTCGATTTTCCGGTCTCATTGCAGGTGAAAAAGGAGCATTTTTCGCCGTCTGGAGATGCGGCTTCCAATGGTAAGCATCCGAGGAAAGTGCATGCGACTTGAAAGTGTGCGATGTGGCTCGACCTCGTATTTCTCCTCTTGCCCATTAAATTATTCCGTTGTTATTTTCTTTGCTATATCCAATTGATTTTTCAATTTTTTGAAATTTATTTTAAAATGTTTTTTTTTTTAGATGTAGCAATATTAAGAAATAAATTATTAGCTTCAAATTTCCTTGTTAATTATGCTGCTAATTAGGGACCTGATTGCATAATAATATAATTTTTCTTTATCCTTATTTTTTTCAAATTTAAAAAAGTATCCATGATCAAAAAAAGTATGAAATAAAAAAATGAAAAAATTTATATAAATTAAATTCAGAAAATGATTTGATCTCAATTATAAAAGTTTTATTTAATAATATTATAGGAATAATTAAAAATGCGTATTTACGTTTTATTACATTTTCACCGTGTTTAATTTTTTTTTTTAATTTTTAACCCAGCAAGTGGTTTTGCACCTGCTCAACCTGTTGTTAAATACGCATTATTATATTATTTGAAATTACCTTTAAAATCTCATATAATTGCATATATGATTATACAACTAATTGAATCCTAATCCCGCCTAATCCTACATTAATAGTTGATGTCATGAACAAGTAAAATTACCTTAAAAGTGGCATTTTTTTTTTTTTTTTTTTTAATATTTTGCTAATATTTTTTGCGAATTTTTCATTTTATAAACCTACATTTTTAGGGGGAATGAATGGCTTGACTAATGGTCATAGCGAAAAAGAGCGCAGTCACAAGTCGGAGCATCGGGACAAAGATAAGCACCGCAGTGACAAGCACAAAGATAAGCACAGAGAGAAGGACAGGGATAAGGAGAAGAAGCACTCCAGCAGCAGTAGTAGCAAGGTTTGTTTTCTCTCCACAGCTAATTATCCCATTTTAAAATTTTACTCTTAAATCAGGACAAGCACCATAGCAGCAGCTCGAAGGATAAGCACAGGGATAAAGAACGCTCTGATAAGGAACGTTCCAAGGACAAGCACTCGCCCGACAAGGAAAAGGAGAGATCTCGTGATGCGGAAAAGCATAAAGACAAGGATCGCTCGGACAGGGACAAGAGCAAGCACGACGGAAAGGAGAAAAGCAAGCACGAGCACAAAAGCTCGTCTTCCAGCAAAGAGCACAAAAGCAGCAGGTTGGACAATCTAATCAGGTTGTGATAAATTGAAGTTATTTTGAATCTGCGTAACAATTTCAGCAAAGACAAGGAAAGAATCAGCAAGGATAAGGAAAGGGAGCACAAAGATAAGGATCGAAGCAAAGAAAAGCACAGCTCCTCCAGTGAAAAGAAGAGCAAAGACCACGGAAGCAGCAAGGTAAAGTGACGGTGTTGTTTAGACATTCCCTTGTCTAATTTTTTTTGTGCATTAGCACTCTGAAAAACCAAAGATCAAGGACGAACCCGAGGAATCTGCTGAGATCGAAATTGAGAAGCCTAGGATGGCAAGTCCTCCTAAGCAAATAAAGCCTGAGATTGAGAGCGAAGACGATGACAAGCCACTTGTGAGTAGCAAATGAAATATTATTTTTCTTTCTGACTTTGTTTATCACAATTAGAAAATATCATAAATCTTTTTGAATTGTTAAATTATCAAGGTATTTTTAAATCTCCTAATTGATTTATAATATTGCCAGAAAAAAATCAATCATTCATTTGTTATGTGTTCTTATATTGTAAGCTTCATAAACAGAAGAATTGGGAATCGGTAGGAATTCTTTGACCTATATGCTCATCATTTTAATTAATTTCTCGCGAATTGCAGATGGAACGTGCTAGCCTCAATAAGAGGAAGGCCGAGATAGCAGGCGACGATTCGGAGGAAGATGTTCCCCTAATGCAACGAAAAAAACCAAAGAAAGAAAAGGTGAACAAGAAACGTGTTAAGGAGGAAAGTGAGGAAGAGGATGATTTTAAGCCAGTAATTTTGCAAATTTAAGAGTATTTTCAAATCCTTTCCTAAATAATTCCACTCTTAGGCCAAAAAAGCAAAGAAGAAATCTAAGGTGGAGGAGAAAAAATCTGAGAGCCCCACTAAAAGAGGCAAGAAGAAGGAGGAAGAGGAAAAAACTGTCTGGAAATGGTATTTTCATTTAATTGATCATTTTTTTTTTAAATAAGTGTTTCCTGCAATAAGGCCATATATTTTGAGCTATGATGCTGAAACTTGGTCTAAGAATTCGAGTTCTGATTTTTAACCTGTGCTCACTAGATGGCACGCTAAAAGCACAGCTGTTTTATTTTCATTAACATAACATTTTAACGTTGATTTTAACTGGCCACAGACTTATTTTTAGGCTGTGGAGCAAGCATGGAGATGGGAAATGATATTTCCTATCTCCATGGGTGCGAATTGAAAAAGACTTGACAATGGTTGTGATCTTACTTGAAACTTTATTCAAACTAGTCCCTAAAGTGATAAATTTTACCTTTAATCCTATTCAAAAGAGACTGAACAATACTTGTTTTGCACTTACTCGAAGGTAAAATTTGGTACTTAATTTGAGTTAAAACTTCATATAAATTTTTTTTTTAATAAATTGCTGCTTAATTCTAGGTGGGAAGAAGAAAAGCCCAGTGATGGAACAAAGTGGTCGTACCTGGAGCACAAAGGCCCTGTTTTTGCCCCCGCTTATGAACCTCTACCAGATAGCGTAAAGTTCCACTACGGTGGCAAGCAAATAAAGCTTTCAGAGCCAGCAGAAGAGGTAGCTGGATTCTATGCCAAGATGCTGGAGCACGAATTCACCACCAAAAAAACATTCAACGAAAACTTCTTCAAGGACTGGCGCAAGACGATGACTTCTAAAGAGAAGGAGTTGATAACAGACTTGAAGCAATGCGACTTCAAGCAGATGCATGCTTACTTCCAGCAAAAATCTGAGGAACGGAAGGCTATGACAAAGGAAGAAAAGCAGGTATGTTTTCCACATTCTCCGTTTAAGATAAATATATTTGCACTTTTATAATGGAACTAAAATACATTTTTTCACAGAAAATAAAAGAAGAAAATGAGAAAATCCAGGAAGAATATGGATTCTGCGTGATTGACGGACACAAAGAAAAGATCGGCAATTACAAGATAGAACCTCCCGGGCTGTTCAGAGGGCGTGGTGAGCATCCAAAGATGGGAAAACTGAAAGCCAGGATCCTCCCCGAAGATGTTATCATCAACTGCTCAAAAGGTGCACCTATTCCAAAGGCTCCTGCTGGCCATCGCTGGAAAGAAGTAAGTCTCAAAGTTTGGCTTTTGATCATCCATTCTGAGCATCTCACTTTTAGGTTCGCCACGACAACTCGGTCACATGGCTCTGCTCATGGACTGAAAATGTTCAGGGTCAGGGCAAGTACGTCATGCTGAATCCTTCGTCCAAGCTCAAGGGTGAGAAGGATATGCAGAAATATGAAACGGCCAGGAAGTTGCACCGAAGAATTGATAAAATCCGTGAAGAGTACCGTCAGGATTGGAAGCACAAAGAAATGCGAATCCGCCAGCGCTCTGTTGCTTTGTATTTTATTGATCGATTGGCTCTGAGAGCTGGCAATGAAAAAGATGAAGATCAAGCTGATACAGTTGGTTGTTGCTCGCTCAGAGTTGAACACATTGAGCTGCACGAAGAGAAAGATGGTAAGTCTTTGAATGAGTAATTTCCTCAAAATTTCATGTGATGATCTTTAGGCAAGCCGTTTGTTGTTGTCTTTGACTTCTTGGGTAAGGACTCGATCCGCTATTACAACGAGGTGCCGGTGGAGAAAAGAGTCTTTAAAAACCTTCAGCTCTTTATGGAAAACAAAAACGAGGGCGACGATCTGTTCGATCGTCTGAACGTAATTTTTAATTTTTATTGAAACTTTTGTTTCATTTTTTTTTTTTTTTTTTTTTAATTAATATTTCAGACCTCTATACTCAACAAGCACTTGAACGATTTGATGGATGGTCTTACCGCAAAGGTTTTCCGTACATACAATGCCTCTATAACACTTCAGAGGCAGTTGGAAGAACTAACCGTTGATGGTGCAAATCTTCCAGAAATGGTACGTTTCAAGAACCGGATCCTTCGCCTATTGTTAACTTGAAAAATTTACAGATGCTTTCGTACAACCGAGCAAATCGGGCAGTAGCTATTCTGTGTAACCATCAACGTTCTGTCCCTAAAACTCATGCCAAGTCCATGGAAAATTTGAAAGCCAAAATAGATGCAAAAAAACAAGCTGTTGAAGATGCGGAGCAGGCCTTCAAGGATGCGAAGAAGGAGTTCAAACGCAGCAAATCGGAAAAAGACAAGATGTAAATTACACATTAGTCCAATGTTCTGCTGTTATAATTTTGATAATTTTTAGCAACGTGGACAAAAAGAAGAAAGCATTTGAACGACAGCAGCAGCAGCTTGGGAAGCTGGAGTTGCAGGCAACAGATCGCGAAGAGAACAAGGAAATAGCCCTCGGCACCTCCAAGCTGAACTACTTGGACCCTCGAATTTCCGTTGCATGGTAAGGAACCCATTATCCAAAAGAATATTATTTTAGTATCATAGTGAACTAATTCAATGTTAACTCAAATTCCAGGTGCAAGAAAAACGACGTGCCGATTGAAAAGGTATACAACAAAACTCAGCGAGAAAAGTTCCGTTGGGCTATTGACATGGCCGGACCTGAATTCATTTTCTAAATATTTTAGAACTATCCGAATCGCTTACGAAAACCTCTAATGAGGTTTTCGAAAATCCAGATAATTTAATTTTGTCTATGTTAAAACAGTTTGTTCGTAAGATATAAAAGTAGGATTATTATTTTATTACTATGCAAGATGCAAACATATTAGAAAGGGGCAGATGATTAAGCTTGGAAAAATTTCTCAAGAACAAGATATTGGTATTGCAAATGTATGAAATCGGAGGAGATTTTAGTAGACAATCGTACCAAAAAGCACCCCTAAATTCTTAAATTACCATCTGCACTGCACTAATAATATTAAAGCGCTCTTGCTACTCCTTGCGGATTTATTAGAGTCTCCTCATCCAATCAATGCACTTGAGATCTCCTCAGCAGTAGTGACTGTGACTTCTTCATTTGAAACTGAACGACCTAATATTTAATGCATGTATGTGTTTACCTTGCTTATTGGTGGTGTGCTATTTTTATCATTGATTGTTAACTGACCTGCCAAGCTATTAGCATCAAAGAAAGTTTGCTAAGATTATTAAAATCCCACTTGGTAGGTTCAAAACCTTTCTGTTGAGACATTTTTCTGAGCAGAGACTTTTATGAACTTATAGAGTAATATTTTATTTACACAAGCTTTTGATATATTTATTCCTAAAATCATCATAATTATGCGGTTGTTTGAATTTTACTTGCATTGCACAGTTGATGGTTTCTCTTGATGCTTATGTGATTTCGATTACGAACTTCTTTGTATCTTGCAAGGAATTTTAAGCCTCATTATAATTTTATTATTCTTGAATACCTACAAACTGTAGATTTAAAATAACGCAATAAAGTAATGTTGCTCGTAATAAATGCATTTCGGATTTATCAATCAGTCAGTTTCCAGCAAATCTTGCAAATAGGAGAAAACTATATTTAAATAATAAATTAATTTTTCTGTAAACTTTTTTATTTTCATCAGTGAATACAACAATCATTTCAATTTGCACAATTATAAACCCACTCTTTGGGTCTTAAGCAGAAAATTGTTTTTTTTTAATTGGCACTTAACCAGTTCCATATAATTTAATTCATTTAATTTTTACTGACCTAAGATAAATAATATTTGTTGTAACAATTTTCAAAACTTCTTTTTGCAAAATTTAACATTAAATAAAAGATTATCCCTCCGTCCCCTACTTAATTTGTACATATTTCTCTTTTAAGATTGCTTTACCATTGTCGGGCAGACTCGATAATAAGAACTAATAAAAATTAGTTTTGTCAGTGCAAATTATTGTGAAAGTATGCGAAGTGATACATTAATTACCTCTCAAAGGATAAGACATACGACTTACAAAATGACTCTTATTATGACATGACTAAAATTTGTTCCTCGTTTAAGATTTTAAACATTTGTGACTATAAAGTAACAGCACTATTTAATAATTTCTGTCAAATCAAAGCATCTCCGTAAAATAGTTATTCAGTGCCTAATGGAGCAAAATTAACAACAAAATTACATTTTGTGTCAGTAGATCCTTTTTTAACAATTAAGAAAAAAGTTAACAAAGGTTGTCAATGTCAACCCCAAATTAACTGAAAATTTATTGCTTTTTATCGTTATTTTAAGCAGTCACATGTCTTTCATGAGATCAATATTCAAATATTTGATTACACACTTGTGCAATTGAATGAGGAACCAGTCTGTTGATCATTTTGCATTATTTAATACACACTAATTTTCAGGCGTGACTTTCTTTTTGGCAAATATTTTACTATATTGTAATCCACCAAAACAATCAATAAGTACTCGGGCTTGTAATAAGATTGAGACTTGCTATTTTTAAATATTTTTTCTAAATTTGGCACTTGAATTTTTCATCTTTTTTAAAATAAATACCTGATAAACATTATTAATTTAAATTATTTCTTGAATGCACATATCAATACAAGACAAAATACTAAAATTTGTGCGGTCATCTACGTTTTTATCAAATCTTTAAGTGCAAATTCTTGGTCGCTACGGCCAGCCAAAGTTTGTTCCTGTGACCTGGTAGAGCCGTGCATTGAAAGGACGGTAAAATTCTCTTAAAAGTTGGATGACGCTCATCTTGATTAGAGGATGATTTCTTCCTTTTGTCTTACCCAAGCAATGGGGTCCAGGGCTTCCTGCTGCCTTCAGCAAGCATGGAAATCCCTTTGTGGTGTTCAAATAAAAATTCTTCTCCGTCACGTGGTGTCGCAGACCAAGAAAATTTTGCACCCTCGCCATTTCTGCAGCAGGGTTGGTGATTAGCTGCTCACCAGAGACGAAGAGAAACTGATTGAGTGGAAAGTGTCTCAGCCAACGCTCGAGATGCCGGATGTAGACCCCGATCCGAACTGGACCCCAAGATGTGTCCACAAGGCCGGAAGTTCCGTTAATGAAGGCAAGATTTTCAAAACTCCTCATGTCTAGCTTCTTGCTGCAATTAATTAAGTTTGAGCCAAAATCCTAAAGAAAAAATTACTAAATAATTTTCACCTCGAAGCCTGCGTATAGTCGGATATTGCTCGTTCGACAGGATCTCTTACTACAATTAATAATTTCATTGAAGGGTTCATCTGGAAAACCCTTTTAGGTACATCTTTGGTAACAAAATAGCTGGGAGTCTTTTCCATAGTAACCTGACCGTCGTAGGTTGGTGGCATTTGAAGTCTATAATTTATATTTAAATATAAATGTGAAAATTAAATTTTTTTCCAATTTACCTGTACCACTCAAATCCACGATTAAAAAACCTATCAAAGAAGTGAATTTCAGAGCCAGCAGCCCTTATGTCAGGATGAACCCTGATAAATTCAATAAGGGCTCTTGTACCACCTTTTTTGACACCGATTATTAGAGCCACGGGCAACCTCCTTCTTGCTTTAAGACCTTGCAGGTCCGAATATTGGTGCGCCCACGTGGCGTTGTCTAGGAAATTCTGTGAGGCAGTTTCAGGGTATGTAACCTTAACCCTGGCAGCATTCTCAGGGCCAAGGGAAAAGTACTCTTCAGTGCTTGTGGAAACATCCTGTATGAATTCTTGGCTTGCAGTAATGACGCATAAGTTAAAACTGAAAAAAGTAATAATTAAATTATAATTAAGTATATGTTCGAACGTAAATTTTAAATTGAAAAGATGAGGCTTCCGTAAATTTTTACAGATATGTGCACAAAGTGCGTAGTATTTTTATCGTTACCTGTAAAAACCGTAGCAAAGGAAGAACGTAGCCAAAATCAACACCAAGAACACGCGTTTATTTTGGAAGCATGTTCTGAAATTGTAAGCACTTGGATGCATGTCTTCGGAAAGCACAGGTCAAGTGAAGTTCCATTATTATTTGACTGACACTCAGGGATCCCCTAGAGAAAACGTGTGAAAAATCTGTGAACGCCTGTTTGTTTTAAATAATTCTACAGACTACTATATAAATGTAAAATACATATTCTGCATTTATAAATTCATTGTTATGTAGTTCTTTCGAAAATAACTTTTTACACAAAAAAATAAAATTACCGCAAAGCGAGGTGACGAATACCAAAATCTCAGTCAGCAAAATTAAGATTCTCCGTAGTTACATGTTTGCCAAGACCACCGCTTCCACACCTATTTGTGCACTGCTGTGGCCCTGCTTTAGCTGCGGTGCTATTAGGGGTGGAGCTTAAAAGGATTGCAGCGGCGCAAGGAATTATTGATTTTTTTGCAAGTGACTTCTATTCTTTTTTTACGCAGTACACCCGTTACAGGATAATTGTAATTTAATTTTCACTATAATTAAACGAAACAATTTATTATGTGATAATTATTTGTATAAAAAATAATAAAAATAGTAGCTTTAAATAATATATTTGCAACTAAAAATATATGAGCGTACAGCAGCTATTAGGTCCTCCTTGGCTGCGAGGGCTCATTCCGCGAAGAATTTAAATATTCAGCATATATACTAGGCAAAAAAGATATGATATACATGTTTAAAAATGTAATATTTTTATCTTGTTCAAATCCTTTTCGTTTTAATTGAGCTCAAAAATAAAACTGAGCATAAAAGAATGAAGTCACTTGGTGCACTTTTTGCAATTCACTGATTTAAAAAAGGTGCCTAAATACTCTATGAATCTAAAAAAAAACTCTTTATTCTTTTAATGCTCTTTGTATCTCCTTAATATATTATATTTTAATTTACCAGACAGCAAGTTCCCTGTGAATTTTGAAAGTCGCGCACGCAAGTTGCCTACCTCTGAAAGTCGCAGGGGCGCATATTGCAAATAATGCAAATTATGTTTTTGTCTTACAATAAATATCTAATTATCACTAAAATGACACATTTTTCTGGTATAGTTTTAAATAAAATTGCATATAGATATTTCCTTTCTGTTAAAAATATAAAATTTCCTTTTATAACCTTTTCAATGCATGGACAACACTTTTGCAGTAGAGCATGTGCTTTTCAACTTGCGCCCAACCTTTTTGCTGAATTTCCCTCAACAGTTCAATTTTTTCAGACAAAGTCTGATCTGCAATGCATTGATCACCGTGGTGCTTCAAGAAGAGAGCTAGATACATTTGCGCCAGCTCAAAATCTTTCTTTTGCTCCATCAGCGACCTAACAAAATCAACAAAATTTGCTAAAGATGTGATTGAGTCTCCCATGCCAGACAAATTCAGAATTTCAGCATCCAAAGCAGAGGGGCCAAGAGTCTTCAAAAATTCTGACAACTTTTCAGTGTCCCCAGCACTCTCGACGAGCATCTTTGCCAGACGGCTCAGGTCTGAAATACCTTGAGGAGTAGGTTCCTGCTGCTCTTCCAAGGTCGGCCGCAGATCGAATTTGTATTCCAGTGAGGGAATAGTAGGAAGGAAGAAAGGTGCTGCTGAGGGAGCCTTGGGCTTCTCTTTGGGCTTGTTGCGCCTTTTGATGATGTCCAGATCCAGAACGTTGACCCACCTCGAGGTTGAAAGCGTCGACAAGGTAATAAGGTCACCCTTCAGCTGTTCAGGTGACTTGTATTCCTCTTCTTCCAAAACTACATCCTGCAGGTCAGAGTCCAGAATTTCTAGCTCGTTATAGCCTTGGCTGGGCAGACCAGCAAGAATGGCTTCTGCGTCAAAAGGCAGGGGACGCAGGGAGACATACATGTGGATGACCTTGTTGAACCACAAGTAGACTCCAACTGAATCGACGTGAATCGTAGCCAAAAGCTCTCCCGTCAAATTTAGGGCCATCCGAGTCACAGGTAAAGGAACCCTGTTATGAAATTTAATAATTACAATATCCAAAGTGAAATAACACGAATTTCTTACTTGAAGACGTCAATCATATTTGCCGAAGGAACATCCCATGTTCGAATCTTGCAGTCTGTTGTTGACGTCAAAATCCAGCGCGCATCCTGACTGAACTCGGTGCTAGTCAACCTTGACTGGTGGTTCGGAAGCCTTCTTATGATGTTTCGAGAAAGAATGTCCACAACACAGAGAGAATTGTCATCTAGTGCTATTCCCAGCAATGAACTATTTCTGAAATTCAAATGAAATGGTAGGGTTTGAAATGTATTAGGACTTTTATTGTAATTTACCTGTTTTGGCAAAAGAATGCTACAGCTTGGGACATAGCCAGTCTTCCCAGGGTCTTTCCCTCTTGGAAGTTCCAGAAGCGGATAAAAGCGTCAGCCCCACCAGAAACAACCGACTGGTTGAGACCTTCGGTCGAGATGCCCCTGACAGCACCCTTATGGGCAGGTAGGTCCTTGGGCAGTTTGTACTCGCATCGATGCAATCCAGACTGCAAGTTGAACCGGTCCATGTGGCCAGTGCTATAGCCGACAAGGACAAAGTTTCCGCAGTGAGTGATGCAAATACTTGTGGCGACGGCTGCTCTTAGTTCTGGCTGTTCTTGGAATCTAGATTAATTATAAATTAGCAAATAAATGTTTTCTAAAACATTTTTATTTCACCTTTTGTGAGATAATCTGTGTTCACCCATGCAGCCTTTGTCACTTGACCATGTTGTTACTTCTGCTAGACCCCTGTGCAAAGCACAAACGCTGTCCCAATCTTTCTCTCTGGTTGCTTCGCTGGCCAACTCGATCATCGGTGGCATGACAAGAGGAGCGTCAGGACTTCTTTTGTTTTTGATCCTTTTAAAGGCTTTCTTGTTGTAGACGGCGCGACCGTAGCTGTGATTCTTTGTTTCAGTGACAGTGCTGTAAATCAAGGGGAATTTTTAGAGTATCCATAAAACAATTTTTTTTTTAATTACCTGAATACTTTCAAAGTTGAATCAGCGCCGGTGGTAAAAATTTGGTCTTGTCTGTGGAATTTAATAAATGTCGGAGGCAGGGAATGGCCTTCCCTTATTTTCAAAAGTCTGGCACCTCCGTCAGCCATGTCAAAAATCCACATCTAATTAAAAGGTGGAAATAAAACTTTTATTTTAGTTTATTTAAGCTCACTTTCAGTGAATTATCAGGGGAAGATGAAACCATCAAAGGTTCTGACGGAAGACATTTGAGGCCAGTTACAGGTCCATAGTGGGCATTCCAGATTTGATCGATGTGCTCCTTTTTCTCCAAGTCCCAAGTTATGATGTGTCCTGCGTTTGTTCCCGTGTACATCAATGGAGGTCCATCAGTCCTGAAGGTAATTGACGTCACCTGTCCCCAATCCTGACGCAGAAGAAAAATTAGAGATCCCAAGAAAATGTATGTTAAGAAAATATACTTGTGAAAAATCGATGATTGTTTCGTCGTATTTAAGGTTATGGACCAAAATTCTGCCATCGAACAGTCCAACTGCAACTACATCAAGTGCTGGTGCCTGCTCAATGACGGAAACGCCAGAGCCCCAACCAGAAAAAGTGTAGATCAACCTGGAGAAAACACTTTAGGATTGCTCAAATAAGTCTCGACAAATTTTACTTTCGAGTGTGCAAATTCCAAAGCTGCATTTGACCCTGTTGACTACCTAGGAGAATTTTATTAGTGTACGTTGCAGGGTGCATCAATGCTGTGACTTCAAATGACAATTCAAATTGGATTTCTGTGTAGATCTCGGCTGCATCAATGTGCCAGACTTTCAAACAGTTTCCTTCGTCCACCGACACTAGATGACTGCCGATGGGCAGCAAAAGATGGACAGGTAAGTCGTGTCCGACGTAATTGTGTTTGACATGCGTCCCGCCTCTCCAAGCCATGACCTACGATTAAAAATTTTTAATTGTTATTTGATACAAAAGAAAAATTACATACCTTGTTTCCTGCAGCGGTGTAGACGTAATATTTGTCTGCAGCCATCGCTGTTATTTCTTCAGGGTGTTCTCCACTTGTATTGATCAGGGTGAAGTGGAACGATCCATAAGTGTGAAAGTGGCGACCGACACAAGTTAAAACCAAATTTTCCTTTCGCCGTTCGATGTAGCGAATCTCGAGTGGAATATGATTGCTCACGAAGCCCAAGGCTCGGTTTTGAGCGAAAATTCGACTGCCGGTCGACATTTTGCAGGTTTCGATCGAGAGACGAGTTTAATATCAATCTGGATGCTAGTTGCTGAGATTTAAATCTACAACTAACAATATTTCAACAAAATTAAACATAAAAATGCGTCAAAAGCTTCACTGCAACAAACACGTGCAGACTTCCGAGCACAGTTGTTTTCTAATTTTTCTATAAACAAAAGGTGTAAAGACAAGGGAGTTGTACAGAATGGTTGAACTAAATCACTGGTAGAACCAATGAGAGCCAACCGCGGTTTTCCTTCCTCCTTCTCCTTAGTATACACCCCATTGAGCGGGGTTTCACCGACAGATTTGAGATGCGTTGATCCGCCATGAAAAATAAAATCTCTTTCGGAGGAATGCCGGCTTCTTAGTACCATCTCTTCATAAACTTTTAAGTTTCGCGCGGTTTTTAGGGTCGTTAATGGAGTCAACGTGCATTCCTCTTGCGCGTTTCAATAACCACAGACGGGTTTGTGACGTTTTTGTGTGTATGTATTTTTGTGTTGATGGATACGGGCGTGAACGGCTTCGCTTTACCGGACAAAATGCAGCGCAGCGGTAAGCCGGGGCTCATTTTTGCACAGATTAACACAAATTATTGAAATTCACCAAAACCGCGAATCGTTTGCAATGATTTTGGGCAGTGGGACGTGGGATTTGAGATCAAATTTGGCGTTTTCGGTGACATCCGTTGGCCGGGGTTTGTTTGACAGTTCCAGGCCGTCTGGCTTTTTCTTTTGCTAGCTGCTCCACTAACTTTCCTTTTCAGCGTTTCCTCAAAGTAATTTAAAAGAAATTAAAATTTTTTCTTAAAATTAATCAATGCCGTTCCAAAATTTTCTCAATAATTAATTAATCTCTCATAGCGGAAAAATTCGCTACCGCGAATAAATAATATGAATTTTCCTATCCATTAAGCAAAAATTTCGCAAATTGATTCAGTTCCGCACAATAACAAGGCATTTCCACGTATTTCTTCATCACTCATCCGCTAAAACTCAATCGTTTGGAATGGCCTGACGACAAAACATCAATCACAATGACCGTCGTCGATCATAAATTAATTCCCCCATGCGTTAACAATTAAGAAATGGGTGGAGCGATTAGCGCACGGCAGTTACTGCTTCGAGCAACTCCTACGCCAGTGCATACTTTATTCGCACTTCATGTGGACGTAAACAAGAGCAAGTTAGCCGTGTGGCGACTGCTCGCACGGAAATATTTGTATTTTAATTTCAAATCGGAGGAGTGTAAAAACGTCCTGGTAAGTGCATCAAATTATACGAAAATTTATTTCTAGAATTAAAAAAAAATCAAATTAATTTCCATTTTTGTTCAAGTTTATACAATAAATATTGTCATAATTATTTTCTTGTAATTTTAATTCATAAAAAAAATCGTTCTGCTTCAGAACAAATATTATTTTAAGCGTTCTCACGTTTTGCTTCTTGTTTTTGGTTGAAGTCACGATCAGCAAATTTTCCGCCGGCGAATTAAAAACAAGCGAAAACTGTGTCATTGTCACGCCAAACGTTTTCTAAATTTGGCATTCCTGAGAAGCCGATGGCGGAAATGTCAAAATAAACACCACTCGGAACAATCGGGGCTTGTGTCAGTCTGTATTTAAATAAGGCGGTGGTAAAAAAAGTCCCGGCCGCGTCAACGTTAGTTCCTCTTTTATCCCGGAGATAATATAAATGTTTAAAAACCGCCGTTCGTGTCAAGCACGGTGGCTCGAGGCGGAATGAGCAACAACCAATATTTATGAGAAGAAAGGAATTTAAATTGCTTCGACTCCAATTCTAAAATTACACCCAGAAGAATGCGTCACGAATTATCTCTGAAAATTTTGGTTTAAAAAAATTAATAAATTGTAAATTATTCTAATCAGTTTTCCTGTTGGTCTCTGTTTCCGGTGGTGCTGCTGCTGCTCGTGGTTTGGATCTCGCTGGCGTCGTTGAATGTCACCGCAGCTGTAAGTGTTTGATCTCGACCGGATATGAACCTTTCTTTCGCACCTTTCCGACTGTAGTGTAAACCCTAACCAACCGACTAACCAGCTTCTGCACGTGAACAAAAAAAAATCTGTACAAAAAAATCAATCAATCTTCCTCCGAGTGCCCTTTGTGACTTTGCTGCCGCTCTGACCTCACAACCATGTCGAGGGTAAGTAGGGTTGCCCCGTGACCTTTTCGAACGGACCCCATTGAAACCCCAAGTAATTATAAATCTTTCAATTATTCTGACTGCTAAATTTGTTGGTTACTTAGAAAGAAAATTTTAAAAGTTGCTGACGAGCATGTGTGTCGTAAAATATCGATTAAAGCGTGATTAATTAATATTCACTTGGTGTTTTCCCGCACTTTTAATCGCAGTCCACTCACGTTTGCAAGTTTGATATGTGTTTTGTTAAAAATAGCTGTTACTTTGACACATTTGGTTGCAAAATTGATGAATAATATCAGGTAATTAAATATAATGCAAGTTCCACAAACCTTGCTCATGCCAAAGTTATTTAATTGTTTGTAAATTAACAAGGATGAGTTCAGTTGAAAAATTTGACTCTTTGAAAATAATAGCAAGTGACAGTCTTTGAGGTTAGAAATCCCACATTTTTTCCTAATAAAAAAAACTTTTGTATTAGTTAAAAATTTGAAAATAGCTTTTCTATCGGAATTTTGAGACGCCTGCCAACTTTTCAATGGTGATCAAACGTTTAGAAACACTTTCAAGGTCACTTTAAGTAAAATTTTGATTTCAATTTTGAAAATGAACGCTATTTTTTATTTACTTATTTATTTTTGTGAGGTATAGGAAAAAGTCAGTAAAAATGCAGCCCGACTAATTTTGAATTGACATGATGAATTTCAAAATTTTATCAAAAACTGGCAAATAAACAACTCGACTTATGAGTTTAGTTTTTGAAAATATTTTGAAAAAATTATAGGAATCTTTTAGTCTCACATGCTTAATTATGTCATTAATTTGGGCTACAAGATAATTTAAATTGTAAATTTCACAAAGTCAAATTTTTCGCTGCGCCATTTTTCTGCTAGTTAAAATTTATGTTATTGAACCAACCACGTTCTGTCTCTTTTTTTATTTGATATAAATTTTAAATCTAAAGAAAAATAAGTTCTCGTATTTATTTTTTGTTATTCCACAAAGTAAATAACAGTTTCTTGTTTGCGCTGGTGTAATTTAATCAGCCGACAATTAAATTCTAAACGCATTCTTGCTACTGTACAGTGCGTGCACATTTATAACAGACTGATGCGCGCTTCTTATGCAAAACAGAGCGCGAGCTAGAGAGGGGCTCTGAAATCCTTTTGCCTTAATTTCGGTGCGATTTTTATGGAGCAGAACTGGATCTATTTTGTGAATGTCAGCGGAAATAAATCCTCCCTGTGTGGCATTTAAAGCCCCATCGATTTTGGTGCCGCTCCAAAGTTTTGCGTGTGACATTTTTGGAGACAAACTGGAGCTGCGGTCAGAGAGCAACTCGTGCTTTGTTCCGTGAATAGAATAAATATATGGAACAGTTCCTCCCTCCCTCCGAGCATCTCTGGGCAGGTAGGCTTGACGCCGCCAAACCTGACTTTCGAGCGGCAGTCTCGGCAGACCACTCGACGTGCCACAACGCCTCTTGCAAAATCACAAAGTTTAATTTGTCCAAATTTGAAAGTTGATAAACATCGCGCGACCAATTTGATAATAGAAGGCAGCGCGCGTACACCGCTGCCCTTTTAAGGGATCCGAACTTGCCTTTAGAGGCGTTGGTGGTTCTTTTTTAAGGCGTGCAAGGGTCGGTCTGCCGTGGCATTGCACCGAGACCGTGAGTTAGTCCCATGAGTGCGCTGTGCCCAACCTCCGCCTCAATCACCTCCTGTTTCGCGGTGAGATAGAAAGAAGCCCTTTCAGTTTGTGTGTGGTTTGTCTCCTGCTCCGTCTGCATCGCTTTTAGTGTTTTTCATACGTTTTTCAAAGGTATTTTGTGGTCTCTTCTCCAACCGACCTTTTCAAACCTTTGCTTATGTATATAATCATACATTCTGTTCAAAATGTGAAATTTTCTAAATATTTCCCTGTGATTTATATATTTATTTATTAGTGCAAGTTATCAAAATGTATTTTAGATGCAAATGAAAACTGCGATTAATAAAACCAGTAGAAATTAATATTTTCTTATAAGTGGGTTACTAATTGTGAGTTGAATTTACTATTTTTAATGAACCGTAGAAGCCTTGCTATTCACACATATATTTTTGAAACACAGCATAAGGATGTTTTTGCCTTTTACATTCAACATTGTTCATTTTTATTTTGCAGCTGCAAAGCAAACGCGAACTCTTCTTCAAGAGCGAGTTGCCAAACGCCAATTCAGGAGGAACTGTAACTGCTAACATGACTACCGTCGCCGCCCCTAGCGTTCTCGGGCAGCCGCCCCAGCCTCCGGACTCAAAACCGCCGCCGCCGTCCAACAAGGACGTCGTCACTGCCCTGTTGGCCAAGAGGGAGGCAGCTGCGGCCGCCGCAGCCGCAGCAGCTACCACCAACCACACTGAAAATAAGGAAAACAGGTTCGGCCTAATGATTTATTCATTATTCGCACTGCCTTTAGTATTTTCTTCAGAAAGCATTATCATTTTATCTAGAAAGTATGAGCAGAGATTTTAGTTATTGATAAATTGTTATTATTTGTCATTAACATCCGAGCCATTTTGCTTCTGTTGAATAGTAGGACTAGTAGGAGGAAAAATGCTAATGCAATTTTTCAGACTGCAGGCTGCTCTGTAGTCTGCACGTGTTCAAAGTCGCAAAACAAGAAAAGTCACTTTTCTCATATTAGCACGCAAGGCACACTTGGTATTGCCATCACAATACTCGCTCCAGTTCATCGAATCAGAAAACAAGAATTTTCTCCGGATCCAAACATCTCGGCACAAAAATGCTGTCAAGTTGCTTTTGAATTGAATGTGAAGATTTTCTTTTTTTTTATGTGGCATAAAATTTTTATTGATGTTTAATAATAACTTTTGAAACTATAAATAATTTACAAAATAATTTGGCAGGTTCCGCGAAAGAGACAAGGATGAGAAACAACAGGTGCGAAAACCTCAGCCAGCGACAAAGCAACTAGACGGCTATGTTGGTTTTGCAAGCTTACCTAACCAAGTTTACAGGAAGGCGGTCAAAAGGGGTTTCGACTTCACCCTTATGGTTGTTGGTATGTAGAGTGGCTTTATCTTTGTTTTTTTTTTTTTTTTTAATTTGAACTTTTTCTAGGTGAAAGTGGGCTGGGAAAATCAACCCTCGTCAACTCGATGTTCCTTTCCGACATTTACTCAAATCAGTATCCTGGGCCATCTGAGCGAGTGGCAAAAACTGTGCGCGTTGACACGACAAGGGTGTTGCTGAAGGAGAACGGCGTCAATCTCACTCTCACAGTGGTTGACACTCCAGGATTCGGGGATGCTGTCGACAATTCAAACTGGTACGCTTATTTTTATTGAACATTAAAATTATTTTGAGAACATCGAATATTTAAAAATCACCAGTCAAATGATTAAACAAATTTATTTTTATTTTTGATTCAGCTGGCAACCAGTGCTAGATTATGTGGAGGCGCGCTACGAAGAGTACCTGAACCACGAGTCACGGGTAACCAGACAGGCGCCTGCTGCCGTTGTGGCCACTGCCACTACGCAACCTCAGCCACCATTGGATGGCCGTGTACACTGCTGTCTCTACTTCATTGCTCCCTCTGGCCATGGTCTCAAGCCCCTCGACGTTGAATTTATGCAGCGTCTGCACGATCGGGTTAACATTGTGCCAGTGCTCGCCAAGGCCGACACCATGACCCCTGAAGAGTGCACTGCTTTCAAGAAGCAGATCTTGCAGGAAATCCATCAACACAAGATTAAAATCTATGAATTCCCCGATTCCCCGGAAGAAGACGAAGAGGCCAAGCAAAACGCCAAGCTGAAAGCCAGAGTCCCGTTTGCTGTGGTCGGATCAAACACGGTCTTGGAGATGGAGGGAGGAAAAAGAGTGCGTGGAAGGAGGTATCCTTGGGGAGTTGCTGAAGGTAGATGCAGTTGTTGAGTGTTCAATTTAAAAACTAAATCTTGTTGGTTTCAGTCGAAAATCTTGAGCATTGCGACTTTTTGGCTTTGCGCAACATGCTGCTGCGCACTCATCTTCAGGACTTAAAAGAAATCACTGGCAGCGTGCATTACGAAAACTTCAGGTGTCGCAAACTAGCCACCCTGGGAACAGCAGAGGGAAACAAGTCCACACTGTCCAACGTGTAAGTTTTTATAAAAAAAATTACAGCTGCATGGTTTCTAGTTAGGCTGGTTATTTGGGAACCTGACATTAACCTTCTCCTCTATTAGTCTAAGCTCACAAATGGATTCGTTTATGGCGGTGTGGTGAGTCTCTTCTAAAAACGTGGCTAGAAAGGTTCCTCTATAAGCAGCCTGCTAGGTTTTGACTAATATTGCCCTTGGTCGCGGAACCTTTCTGTCATTCGTCTGTCTTATTTTCTCTTAATTTTAATTTGTGTTTCAGGAATCCGCTTGCACAAATGGAGGATGAGAAGCGCGAGCACGAAGCCAAGATGAAGAAAATGGAAGCTGAAATGGAACAGGTTTTCAAGATGAAGGTGTCAGAAAAGAAGCAAAAGCTGAAAGATTCTGAAACAGATGTGAGTTTGGCAGTGAAATGTAATTTCAAATGACAAAATTTATTATTTTTCAGTTGCAACGAAGACACGAGCAGATGCGCAAGTCGCTGGAGCAACAGCAAAAAGAACTTGAAGAACGGCGTTCCCAGTTTGAGAAAGAGAGGCTTGCTTGGGAGCAGAGCACAGGTGTCACTATTGAAGAGCTCAGACGGCGTTCACTGGAAGCTAATTCAAAAGAGTGAGTCTTGTGTTGAAAGATTGTTTAAAAATAAAATTGATTAAACTGTCTCACTGATTGTTTGGATCGGATTAAAATCTTCAATTTATATAAATTCATAATAACATTTTGCGCTACCAAAATAGCAAAACCATGCACCACATTCCTTTTTTCTTCCAACTGTTAAACTTTATAAATTGCCGAAGGAATTCCCTGGGGACTCATTTTTGTTTGACCTTTCACTTGATAGGCCGTTTTTTCAAATGTCAGCTTGGTAACATTGTGTGGTTTTGTTTCAGGACCGTTGACGGCAAGGACAAGAAAAAGAAGAAAGGTCTTTTCTGAGTGTTGGACAGCTCGTAAGTTCGAGCCCCGTACCCTCTTAAGACAAGATGCAAGTATGTCTTCTGTCAAGCTAAACTTTCAGTGGTGAAAAAAATTGACTTCTATATCATCATGAGTAACTGCGACTTGGCATTACCAAGTGAACAATTTTAAAGTTATTAGTATAAACCCAGCTAAAATTTCAGTCATTTACCATCTCAAGTTTTTGTGCAATTCTTGAAGACGACATTCCGTGCCGTGGATCTTTTTAAATATTGCTCTCTAATGTTAGATTCCTCCACTTTTGCACTTTCTTTTTGAAAGCACAATAATTTCATGCGCTTGCTCAAATGTGTTTACTGATTCGGGTTGTTGCATTTAAATTGGTGTTCGTAAGAAAGAACTTAGCTGGCTGGAAAATATCAACAAAATTTAAAAAATCGTAATTTAACCTTGGTAGCTTTAAAGCCTGCGAAATGTGAGTCTAATTATTCTGCTTAAAATAGAATCCAATTAAAATTAAACCTTCATAAATTACAAGGTTTTCTATTCGAATCTCTTGTAAAGCTTTGATTTATATTTTATACGTTCCCGCCCTTCCTCTAAATTACATAAAAAAGAACGCCATAACTTGCATTTCTAGTTAGAAGTGTGTTTTAATTGAAATCTTTGTATGCTTATGATGATCAAAGGAAGCTCTTATCAGAGTGCTTTATAATATTTGAGGCAGGGTTTGCTTGTAACTGGAGGCGCGCAATATACACAGCTCGTTTAAATGTATTGCTGAAAAATCCTATATAACTATTGAACAGACCTTGCGCGTGTTTTGCGTGTTTAAAAAAACTCAAGTGATAAATCACTTGTATCTGGAGGAAAGAGTTAATTGTATAGTGTCCAAGAGGACTGGTCCTCAGATTCCTAGTCTTCAAAAAACAAAATGAGCAAGGATTTAGCCCACCTGCTTCGTGAAGTAATGTAATATTTACATATAGTATTTATTATAAATGTGCTCTTGTATGTTCAGGGTGGGTCGCGAATGATCTGTATAAAATGAGACAAGCGCAAAAGCAATTTTTTTTGGGCGCCTCACTTTTTGCCAAAGCAAACCCAACCTTTATCGCTATCCTTTGACTTTAATTAAAGCAAAATAAATATTCGTGCCAATATGACAGTTATTCATGAAACTATGTCGTGCAAATGATTGACTGAACTGGTTTTCTTGCAAGCTGGCCATGTAATAATGAACTGCAGATCACTTTGTCTATTTACTTAAATTGAACATGGACAAACGCAATGTAAAATGCAGATTGTATCCATTAAGAATAGTGCAAAGTGAGCAATATAAAAATTGGGTCAAAATATAATTATTTTGCATTGAGCAATATTGGAAACGCTTCTTAATTAAAATGGCCAGAAGTGACTGCCTTACATTTACCACGTCAGCTCAGCCAGCTCAGTTAATCATTGGCAAAAACTGTATTATGTATATTGAACGCATCCATTTTCTATCTATGTATGTGTATATAGCACCAGAAAGTTTTACCATTTGCATCCTCAACAGCGTATTGCAAACAAAATAATGATAATATTAATTAAAGTATAGTAGAATTAGCTCAAAATTTGTGTGCAAAAGCCAACTCGTATATATTTCCGGGCAATATATAAAAATTAAATTTATTGTTTCAAGCTCTTGAGTGCTCAGACTGAAACAGGAATTAATTGAAAGTATCTCTTTAAGAAAGACACCCACTATTATGACGATTAAGAAGTGTGTTGCCTTCGATTATTACATCACTTTTTTTGGCAAAGCCGTCATTTTCTAAAAATTCATTTACACACACTTAGAGGAAACTGGCAACATCTCCGCCGTTTCAGAAAACTGGAAATATCAATTGCAAGTGGGAATAAATACCCCAATTTAATCCATTTCGCTTTTAACTTTCAATCCTCTGTAAGCTTATTTATTTTGTAAACGTAAATCAATTTGACCCTTTACTTTTGTAGAGCATGCTCCCAATGAGGATAACAAAAAGCCATTTTAAATTTAGCAGTAAAATGTGTTTGTTAAGGTTAACTAAACTTTCCCATAAAAAAAAATAAAATACAAAACCTCAACATTTGTTCATGCTTTGTGCATAAGCTAGTTGTAATCCAAAGAAAAATATTTTTTACTTTCATGTGCATTGATGAAATTGCTATTTCTTCTACAATGAATTTGTTCTTCATCTTATGTCTGCTTCTGTTCATTATTCTGTTTTGATGTTCCTTTTCAATTGTCTTTTTAATTATTTTGTATAAGCTTGAGAACAATACAAATATTGATAACACAGAGGCGATTTTTTATTTTGAATGAAAAATTACAAATAATAAGTTCCTTTTGAATTATATTAATTCTTAATATTGGCAAACATGCTTCGACAATATTTCACTCAAGAACGAGCTTTGCAGGTTTTCCGTTCAGTTCTCTTTTGGTTCCATTGACTAGGGTGAACTCGCGTTTTATGTGCGCAAAGAGAATGTCTGTGATCAGGAAAATCTGGAGGAGAAGTCATGATCAATATTTTTTTTAAATTAAATAAAAATTTACATACTTGAGCTGTGGCAAAAGCAAGTGTTACGCCAAAGTAAAAGTTTGCATTGCCGGACCTCATGTAGATCCACAACTGCCACACAACAGGCCCTAGTCCACTGGAGAACAATATGAAGCAGCAAACGACAAAGCCTTGCTGCATGTCTGTGAGAAAAAATTAAATTTCATCAGTTTTTTTATATTGTAAAGGCACAAAATTACACGGCAAAAGGTGGAGCCAAATTGGAAGCATTCCAAAGTAAAATCCAAGGTCACTTATTGATGGGTAAGACCTGAACACGGTCGACAGGGCAGCCAAACTGAAAGCCAGCAACATGGGCTCCTTGCGCAGACGTAACGCAAGAGGAGCCAAGTACAAGAAGCAGTTGATTTGGAATGCGCAAACAAAGAGCGCCCTGAAGTGCTCAAACATTTCCGTGAAGAAATACCAGAAGAGTCCCACATTTGGTCGTAAATCTGGCACTAAAATTCTGCAAGAGACACAATTAAAATATGAAAAAAAAAAAAAACTCGAGAGAAAAATCTTACAAAAATTTGTAGGTAGACGTTAGGAATGCCCAGCTGTCTGTGTACAGCATTGACAGGTAAAACAAAGAGCCAAGGAACACCGCAAAGGATATGACCATTATTGACACAGTGGGCCACACCTTTTGCATCTTCTTCTGCTGAACAATGTACATGCACGCGGGTACAATAAAAACGACTGTGTAAAATGCTTGATAAGTAGCAACGGCCAGTGCAGCGCTGCACAAAAACAGCCAACCTAAAAATTTGAATATAAAAATAAGTTATTATATTAATAAATTGTTACCTTTGCACATAAACAATAATGTGAGAGCTACAAAAAAATTGTTGAATCCACTCGTCGTTCTCCCGACGCAGCTCAAGATTGTGTAAGGATTAAAGTTGTAGCAGAAAATTACATACAGTGGAATCCTTTTAACTTGATCTTCGGTCAATAGTATTCCGTGAGAGTCTTCTGCATACTTTTTCTTGTTTTCCTTCTCCTTTTCAAGCTGATAAAAATTATATATTGTTAAAAATAAGATTAAGGAGTAATTTTTAAAATTATTCTCACAGCTTGGCTAGAGTAGCTTTCGGCCACCATCTGCAGGCAGAAACAAGTAAGTGCGTCGACAAAGATGAAGAATAAATCAAGGAACGGTTGTTTGAGAGTCAATAGCCAGGAAAAGGCAAATAGGCCCAAGGGTGTTTCATGGAAAAGGTCTCCGTCGTAGGGTGAAATATCATTTTTCATCAAGTGAACTCCCTCAGTCACTGAAAATTCAATATTTAAATCAACCTGTTAATATTTTTCTTTCTAAAATGAATACATACCTCTTTTCCACGAATTTATAGGAGTTGAAATTTCCACTCTGTCTTCAATCATTTGCCGCAGACCCGAATAATTCATCAACCAGAAGCGGACGAATGCACCGCTCAGGTAAATAACGCCAATTTTGAGAGCACTCATTTTAGGTTAGTAAATTTCAGCCTCCCTTAAGAAAGAGCCATGAGCATGCACGGCCACATTAATCGGCAAATAATTCAATTGACTCCTGAAAAATTAACGACCGTGAAGTTGGCCACTTTTTTCAGCCACTCGCCAGAACTTGGCCACTTTTCCGAGCCACTCGTATTCCTTCGAAAGAACAATGTTGCCAACATAACACCGGCATAAGCATAGAGTCAAAACTAAAAACACGGGCTTAAGATTTGAAAACGATTTCATCCGTCAAAAAGGTAAACAAAGAATCAAATAATATACATTGAACGCATTGAAGTTTGGTTTTACTAATCTATAAAGTGAAACTCCTCAATGTTATATACATAAATTTATTATTTAATCCTTGCTGGTGCGACTACGAAGCTTTTAATTTTTTAAAAATTAATTTCTATGGTTGAATTTTGCTCACTTTTTGCAAAAAGGTGGCCCAAGTACTTTTCTACAAAGTGACAATAGCCTCATTGATGATCGCAGAACAGGAGCCGCCCCCGGGGGCAGCCACTTTTTTAAAACGACGATTTTCACTCAAAAAAATAGTTTTTTTTTAATTTAAATTATTTTCTATGGTTGAATTTTCCTGATTCTTTGCACAAAGGTGGCCCAAGTACTTTTCTACAAAGTGATAATAGCCTCATTGATGATCGCAGATCAGGAGCCGCCCCCGGGCGCAGCCACTTTTTTAAAACGACGATTTTCACTCAAAAAAATAGTTTTTTTTAAATTTAAATTATATTCTATGGTTGAATTTTTCTAAATTTTTGCACAAAGGTGGCCCAAGTACTTGTCTACAAAGTGGCTATAGCCTCATTGATGATCGCAGCTCAGGAGCCGCCCCCGAGGGCAGCCACTTTTTGAAAACGGCGACTTTCACTCAAAAAAATTGTTTTTTTTTTTAATTAAAATTAATTTCTATGGTTGAATTTTGCTGATTTTTTGCATAAAGGTGGCCCAAGTACTTGATTACAAAGGGACAATAGCCTCATTGATGATCGCAGATCAGGAGCCGCCCCCGGGGGCAGCCACTTTTTTAAAACGACGATTTTCAATAAAAAAAATAGTTTTTTTTAAAATTTAAATTATTATCTATGGTTGAATTTTTCTAAATTTTAGCACAAAGGTGGCCCAAGTACTTGTTTACAAAGTGGCAATAGCCTCATTGATGATCGCAGATCAGGAGCCGCCCCCGGGGGCAGCCACTTTTTTAAAACGACGATTTTCACTCAAAAAAATTGTTTTTTTTTTAATTAAAATTAATTTCTATGGTTGAATTTTGCTGATTTTTTGCACAAAGGTGGCCCAAGTACTTGATTACAAAGGGACAATAGCCTCATTGATGATCGCAGATCAGGAGCCGCCCCCGGGGGCAGCCACTTTTTTAAAACGACGATTTTCAATAAAAAAAATAGTTTTTTTTAAAATTTAAATTATTATCTATGGTTGAATTTTTCTAAATTTTAGCACAAAGGTGGCCCAAGTACTTGTTTACAAAGTGGCTATAGCCTCATTGATGATCGCAGCTCAGGAGCCGCCCCCGAGGGCAGCCACTTTTTGAAAACGGCGACTTTCACTTAAAAAATAGTTTTTTTAAATTTAAATTAATTTCTATGGTTGAATATTGCTGATTTTTTGCACAAAGGTGGCCCAAGAACTTGTTTACAAAGTGGCAATAGCCTCATTGATAATCGCAGTAAAATTTGAGATGATTTTTTACCAACTGGAAAAATAACAGAATTATTTGATTTAAAAATCATTAAAATTTTTTTGATACTCTCTATAAAAAATTTTTAAAATACAAAGTTAAATATCTTATTTTTTTTTAAATTTTTTTTTTCTATATGTAGCAGATTTTTAGATATAATTTTTGACAGATCTCTAACTTTAACAGTTTAAATAAAATTTTATAATTTTAAATCAATTTATTTATCAGGTTCATTCGACGTGATATTATCGTAAGTTTGCGCAAAAATTATAATTCAATCGTCGAAGCTTCAAGCGAACACAAAAATGTTTGCGCGACAGTTTCTTGTTCGCTCAGCGAATTTCGTTTGCCCGAATTTCAATCGTGTACTATATACCTATAAAGATTGCGCTAATTTTTTTTAGTTGTGGCGGCTTGCGGCTGGCTAATTAATCGGCTGGGCAATTTTTGCATGAATAAAAATTCAAAAAGGTGACGCAACAATTTTTATTAACAAAATTATAAATAAAAAAGGGTAAATATGGTAGCGAAATGATGCTATTATTTTTCGCTTGCATTAAAAAATATTAAGTAACTGAAGAAAAATTAAATATTTTAACAATATTTCATTTTTCTTCATTTGGTTTTCAGCTTCTCCTCATTGAGTTGGCTCGGCTCGACCGGTTCGAAAATTTGAAAACATGGGTGAAGGCCGCAAAATGCCGGCTTGCTCAGAACCTCTATATTGAAACTAAAATATTTCTTATATATAAGTTATAAAAGTTCGCAAGTATTGTCAAATTTTGACACACAAAATACATTCGGAATATAAAAAATTAAAAAAAAAACTTTCATGCTTCCATAATATACATACCCTGAAAAGGGAACATCGAGATGTGAAATTGAGATTGTTCTCTGTCATAGAGTCACGGAATGACAATAAATGCCGAATGACGAATGAGGAAGCCCGAACCAAAATTTTCGAGGAGGGCATCCAATGTTCAAGTGGAGTAGGAATGTGGTGAGGCTAAAATCTCCTCTTATAGGTATTGCGATATGCTGACAAGTACACGAAAATGGGAAGGGAAGGGGAGTCTAGAAGAGCGACAAGATTCACTTGCATTTCCTATCCTGCATAAAATTATGCAACATGATTCAACATGAAAACACAATTTGGCTCACGCTCATCGCTCATTTCAATTCTAACTAAAAAATTCATATTCGATGAAATAAGTAAAAAAAGAAAACCACGATATTAAAAAAAATATTCTGGTTACCATTCTCTATAACCCTTTGTTATGCCAAAAAAAAAATATTATACTTTTATCTCTTGAAATAAAAGTCAACCGACAGCAAACCTGAGACATAAATTGCGGAGTGGGGTTGATCAAAAGTAGCGCGTCGCGTCAGGCACGAGATGAAAATTTTGGTAGGGGCAATGAATGTTATATATAAATGCCCGCGCTCTTTAGTTATCTACCTAAGTTAACTAAATACTTAACTAATCATATCCATCCCCCCTATTTACTATAATTTACTTTAATAATACTTTATTACTTATAATACTTTAACAAATTAATTCAAAACGAATATTATAGACTGAGCGGGAGGTAATTAAATTTGAGTATCAGGGGCCAAATTAAATTTATATATTCGATTTGTAATCTCAAACAAAGGTTTTGGAATTTTTTTGCACTTGAAAAGTGCATTTCCAGCGCAAATTGTGTGACTTTATTGCTGGCACTCACTTATATATATTATATTTGTAAATAATAACAAAAAAAAAGTTTATCATTTTTATCTTTCATGCCATTTTATGAGGTAATTCAGTTTTTTTACTTTATCCTGTAAAACAATTGGGCAATTTTTTACATGACGAAAATGGAAACGGGAAAATTGCGCGCATGAGCAACGAAATGGTTTTTCTATAAAAAAAGATAATAATTATAATTCCAATGTCTTTGCTTCCTCTCCATCAACCATAACTTTTTATGCTCAACAACTGTTGCAAACTGAGTGGTAAATTTTGAAGAAAAGCGCACCTCTTTTTTTTCAAAGTACAGGCTTCCTCTGTGCAAACCATCAGGAATCTCTTTTGGAAAGCACATTGAAAAAAGAACAAGAGCTGCATTGCTGGCCACTTATAATATAAGAGAACTAAAACAATTATCCGTTGCAACAGCACACAAGCTATTTGATCTAAAAAAATTCCCAATTGCGTCCTACGGCATTGAAGAAATATGGCCTTTCCTAACAAAGACTGATTTTGAAAATCTTGAAAAAGTCAAAACAAGATATTTAAAAAGAGTTTTAGGACTGTCCAAGTTTATTAGATCTAGATTTGTGTATGAATTAGTTGACACTGATCTCTTTGTATCGGACATACAGGTAAAATAATTATCTAACTGAAACTGAAGCATTCCAGAAATTTTGTGTGTCTAAGTATTTAAACAAACTTGATATATATGATGAGTTCTACGAGACAGAAACTTTGAAGAATAAAAATTGACAATGTGCAATGTCAAGTGTTTACGAGATTTGCCTGTCACGGTACCACTATTTATTTTGTATTTTGTAAGGATAACAATTTCCATTCTCAAGCGACAATAGATTGTGAATGCAAGCACTGCGGTAATAAATGCTCACAATATCATATTCTTGAATGTTATGAACGAAAACTAAGCCTAAGAGAGGCTGCAAAAATCAGAATTAAATAACTTTGTACTTTGTTATAATTATCGAAACAAGCTTAATTGTAAAACTAACTTTAGGAAGACAAATTAGACAACCGTTGTACACCTAGTTGTGTTCAAAAAATACTCTATCTAAAAAATATTTTTTTGTAAGTGAAAATCATCATTTTCAAAAAGTGGCTGCCCCCAGGGGCGGCTCCTGAGCTGCGATCATCAATGAGGCTATTGTCACTTTGTAGAAAAGTACTTGGGCCACCTTTGTGCAAAAATTTAGAAAAATTCAACCATAGAATATAATTTAAATTTAAAAAAAAACTATTTTTTTGAGTGAAAATCGTCGTTTTAAAAAAGTGGCTGCCCCCGGGGGCGGCTCCTGTTCTGCGATCATCAATGAGGCTATTGTCACTTTGTAGACAAGTACTTGGGCCACCTTTGTGCAAAGAATCAGGAAAATTCAACCATAGAAAATAATTTAAATTAAAAAAAACTATTTTTTTGAGTGAAAATCGTCGTTTTAAAAAAGTGGCTGCCCCCGGGGGCGGCTCCTGATCTGCGATCATTAATGAGGCTATTGTCACTTTGTAGACAAGTACTTGGGCCACCTTTGTGCAAAAATTTAGAAAAATTCAACCATAGAATATAATTTAAATTTAAAAAAAAAACTATTTTTTTGAGTGAAAATCGTCGTTTTAAAAAAGTGGCTGCCCCCGGGGGCGGCTCCTGATCTGCGATCATTAATGAGGCTATTGTCACTTTGTAGACAAGTACTTGGGCCACCTTTGTGCAAAAATTTAGAAAACTTCAACCATAGAATATAATTTAAATTTAAAAAAAAACTATTTTTTTGAGTGAAAATCGTCGTTTTAAAAAAGTAGCTGCCCCCGGGGGCGGCTCCTGATCTGCGATCATCAATGAGGCTATTGTCACTTTGTAGAAAAGTACTTGGGCCACCTTTGTGCAAAAATTTAGAAAAATTCAACCATAGAATATAATTTAAATTTAAAAAAAAAACTATTTATTTGAGTGAAAATCGTCGTTTTAAAAAAGTGGCTGCGCCCGGGGGCGGCTCCTGATCTGCGATCATCAATGAGGCTATTATCACTTTGTAGAAAAGTACTTGGGCCACCTTTGTGCAAAGAATCAGGAAAATTCAACCATAGAAAATAATTTAAATTAAAAAAAACTATTTTTTTGAGTGAAAATCGTCGTTTTAAAAAAGTGGCTGCCCCCGGGGGCGGCTCCTGTTCTGCGATCATCAATGAGGCTATTGTCACTTTGTAGACAAGTACTTGGGCCACCTTTGTGCAAAGAATCAGGAAAATTCAACCATAGAAAATAATTTAAATTAAAAAAAACTATTTTTTTGAGTGAAAATCGTCGTTTTAAAAAAGTGGCTGCCCCCGGGGGCGGCTCCTGTTCTGCGATCATCAATGAGGCTATTGTCACTTTGTAGACAAGTACTTGGGCCACCTTTGTGCAAAAATTTAGAAAAATTCAACCATAGAATATAATTTAAATTTAAAAAAAACTATTTTTTTGAGTGAAAATCGTCGTTTTAAAAAAGTGGCTGCCCCCGGGGGCGGCTCCTGATCTGCGATCATCAATGAGGCTATTATCACTTTGTAGAAAAGTACTTGGGCCACCTTTGTGCAAAAATTTAGAAAAATTCAACTATGGAAAATAATTATTTAAATTAAAACAAACTATTTTTTTGAGTGGAAATCGTCGTTTTAAATCTTAAGCCCGTGTTTTTAGTTTTGACTCTATGCTTATGCCGGTGTTATGTTGGCAACATTGTTCTTTCGAAGGAATACGAGTGGCTCGGAAAAGTGGCCAAGTTCAGGCGAGTGGCTGAAAAAAGTGGCCAACTTCACGGTCGTAAAAATTAGAATGTAAACAAACAACAAACAGCCGGCTTGTCAAATCTGCGATTCTGCGATTCCCCTGCTCTTCTCTTCCGTACGCACTTCCCCCACTCCTGTAATTTCACTCTCCCCTGAATGGTTCCAGCAGGGCGTCTGAAAAATCGACATGGAGGAGAGAGGACACCCCTAATCAGTGACGTCACGAAAATGTTATTCAGCTGATGGTGTAAATAGAAACTTTCAACTCGGCACCAGGGAGAACAGAGAGCAACAGCCCAGTTTCGCAAACCCACGGTGATCATTCCCCTCGCAGAGGCAAATTCAGCCGTAAAGGTAAATTCAATTATTCAAGCAAGAAATTCCTGCAGTGAAATATTTTATTGCTGGCGAGTTCTGACCCTAAATTTGTGTTGCAGATTGACTCTGTTTGGGGGTGGGTGCTGCCCCCGTTGCGGCTGCAGGGGTCATTCGGCCAAGGGGCGCAAGCCATGGGCGACCTAATGTTGGGCGAGCGGCCGCCGTCGCCAGCCCGTCTCGCCCACACGTCGGACAAGCATCCTCGGGCGGTGCTGACGGAGCTGAACGTGTTGCGTCGCCACCGCGAGTTGTGCGACGTCGTCCTCAACGTGGGCAACCGCAAAATCTTTGCGCACAGGGTCATCCTGAGTGCGTGCAGCCCTTACTTCAGGGCCATGTTCACCAACGAGCTTGCCGAGTCGAGGCAGACCGAGATCGTCATTCGGGACATTGACGAGAACGCCATGGAGCTGCTGATCGACTTTTGCTACACGGCGCACATCCAAGTGGAGGAAAACAACGTGCAGACCCTGCTGCCGGCCGCCTGTCTGCTGCAGCTGGCCGAGATTCAGGACATCTGCTGCGAATTCCTCAAGAGGCAGCTCGACCCGTCAAACTGCCTCGGCATACGGGCCTTCGCCGACACCCATTCCTGCAGGGAACTGCTCCGAATTGCAGACAAATTCACTCAGCACAACTTCACTGAGGTCATGGAGAGTGAAGAGTTTTTGCTGCTGCCCGTTTCGCAGTTGGTCGACATAATTTCCAGTGACGAGCTCAATGTGCGCACAGAGGAGCAGGTCTTCAGCGCAGTGATGGCTTGGCTTAAATTCAACGTTGCTGAGAGAAGGCAGCACTTGCCTCAAGTACGAATAGTTTTTATTTTGGTTTTTCTAATAATTTTTAAGAACCTCTATTGCATAATTTGTGTGTTCCTCAAATTTTATTAGTAAATAACACACATGGTTAAAGCTTATGACTTTTTATGTATAACATTAGAAATTTGTTGACTGACGCTTTATTTTTAATTCTATTTCACTTTTTCAGGTACTTCAACATGTACGGCTCCCCCTTCTAAGTCCAAAATTCCTGGTTGGAACTGTTGGTTCTGATTTGCTTGTCCGCTCAGACGAAGCATGTCGTGATCTCGTAGATGAGGCAAAAAATTACCTCCTACTGCCCCAAGAGCGACCTTTAATGCAAGGTCCTCGAACTCGGCCTAGGAAGCCCACTCGCAGGGGAGAGGTTTTATTTGCTGGTAATTTTTTTATTCTAAAAAATTCCAAAGAAATTTAAACATGATTTTTTTTTAGTCGGTGGCTGGTGTAGTGGCGATGCAATTGCATCGGTAGAACGATTTGACCCCCAGAGTGGAGAGTGGAAAATGGTGGCACCAATGAGTAAGAGACGTTGCGGAGTTGGTGTCGCCGTCCTCAATGACCTTCTCTACTCGGTTGGAGGTCACGACGGGCAGTCATACTTAAATTCAATTGAACGGTAATTCATCTTCATTTGCTGTGTCCGTCGTTTCAATTAAAAGAGTTATAAATAATTTCAGATATGACCCCCAAACAAATCAATGGTCTTGCGACGTGGCTCCTACCACGTCATGCAGAACCAGCGTGGGAGTAGCTGTTCTTGAAGGCTTTTTGTATGCGGTGGGAGGGCAAGATGGAGTCCAGTGTCTGAATCACGTGGAACGATATGACCCTAAGGAAAACAAGTGGAGCAAAGTGGCGCCCATGACGACCAGGCGCCTGGGAGTTGCTGTGGCTGTGCTCGGAGGATACTTGTATGCTATTGGAGGGTCTGATGGACAGTGCCCTTTGAACACTGGTAAGTGTTAATCCAATCATATTTGAAATTTGTGTAAAACCAATCTTTTAGTTGAGAGGTATGACCCGAGACAAAACAAATGGACTGCCGTGTCTCCAATGTCGACCAGGAGGAAGCACCTTGGTTGCGCCGTTTTCAATAATTTAATCTACGCTGTTGGTGGAAGGGACGACTGCATGGAGTTGTCAAGTGCTGAGCGCTACAACCCACACACCAACACCTGGAGTCCTATCGTGGCCATGACCTCTCGGCGCTCTGGAGTTGGCCTAGCAGTTGTCAACGGCCAGCTGTACGCAGTTGGTGGCTTTGATGGTACGGCCTACCTGAAGACCATCGAAGTCTATGATCAGGAGCAAAACCAGTGGCGACTTTGCGGAGCCATGAATTACAGGAGACTGGGTGGTGGAGTCGGAGTCATGAGGGCGCCACAAACAACTGAACAGATCCCTTTTTTCTGGTGAGTGACTTGGATGAAATTTTTGATAAGCCCTTCAAAAATTTTGTTTTCAGTGAGGCCAGAAGAGGAGCCGGGAACAGTTGATCACAAGTGCCGAAAGTCGTCCCACCTCTAATAACAGCTTTGCCCGATGTTCAAAGGAGGAATCCTTTTCTGGCCTGGTGCTGTCTGGCGTAATCTCCGATTCCTAATGTAAATATTACATCATGTGTTTGGGCAAGACTCTCTATCATTTTAAAAGTGTTATTCACTAAAATCCGTTGATATTCTATCAATGTTTGACTGTTCGATAAGATAGGTCAGGAATACTATTGTAGGTGCTTTACTTTTTTCTATGGCATGTTTTACTCTAATCAACTGAAGCTTCTCCTTTGTCGATGCAAAAAAACCAAGTCTTCTGCGCATTTTAATTTTTATTTAGCTCAATAATAATCACTGCACTCAAACTTCGCACTGATAGTCCAGAATTTCATTCTTAATTATATATTATCCACTTATCCAGTCCATTGCTTTAAGGAAATTAATTTCATAAAAAGTTTGTAACTCAAATATGATTAAAAATTACCCCTGAGCGGGCAAGAGAATTATCAACTTAAAATGATATTATACGATTTATGATTGTATTGTTGTTTAATATAATCTTAAATAAATTAAATACTATTTAAATAATGACTTAAACATGAATAAATGGCAGCTTTGATCTGTTTCACAATTCATCAGGAAACGTGTGCACTTTATGCAGATGATCTCCATAGTCAGTTGCTTCGGATCCCACAAACACATCGTGGTGTTCAATTATTTCGTCAAAACTCAAGTAATCGTCGTGGTCATCGTCAGCTGAAGCAAACAAATGCACTACTTCCTCCTCAGCAATTTCACTATAAATATCAGGGTCGATTTGTTTGAAATGCAGAAGAAAGTAAAAATACTCACTCATCACTGGGAACAACCCAAGAAAGAAGTTCCGCCTTATCCAATCTTCCGTCTTTGTTTTTGTCAAACTCCGAGTCAAACTTTTCTTTCTCAGAAAGTAGCCATTCTTTGTCATGACTTCCTGCTACATTACATATTAAAATTACAAGAACTATAATAATCAATTCACATAGTTAATACCTTTCTCCCCCACAAATTCTTGAAAAGTAACAAAGCCGTCCTTATCAGTGTCCTTGTCCTCCAATGTGTGGTTCAGTATGATGTCATGCATTTCCGGGTGTTCTTCAGGACTGCTAAACAATGGAAATTCGTTTTTGTCCAGGTAGCCGTCTTTGTTCTTGTCAGCAGTATCAAACAACTCTTTGTCGTCTTTGAGCATCTAGACCAAATATGTAGATAATTGTTGTAACTTCTTGGTTTTATTTTTAGGAGATAACCTTGACATTTGGTTCATGCTGCTTCAGGTCATCTACAATAGTTCCGCCATAAGTATCTTCCAAATGCTCTTCCCAAGACACCTTTCCGTCTTTGTTTTCATCAATGTCTTCAAACCTTTCTTGTGCTTCTTCCTCTGAAAGCATTCTAGTTTTTACATAATATACGCGGCCAAAAATTTTGGATGAATCAATTCTTACCTGAATGATCTTAATATCCAAGAGTGCAGTTCTTTTCTTTCAATTTGCCCGTCTTTGTTCCTGTCCATTTTAACCAGGAGCATTTTGAGCCTCCGTTTAGCTTCTTCAGGAGGTAGACTGTCAAACTCCTCTGCTGTTTTGACGCTTCCTAAAAAAAGAGTTTTAACTCGTAACCATTTAATTACATATTTAGTATGATCATTACCCAAGATTGCCTCGTGATCGAATTCTCCGTGGTGACTTCCAGCATCGTCAAAGTGGCCAGTGTCTCTGGGACTGTATGCTCCATCCTCTTCTCTTTCGCCTCTTGAATGGTGTCCGTGGTGGTGCACAGAGTGGGCAACGCACAAATTAAAAATTATTGAAAAAATAAAAATTTGGCTGTTCATTTTCGAGGCCTTTGAAGGCGTGAGAAGACCTCTCGTCTACGTTGAATATAACACAAATGAAATATGAAATTCCTTAATCCTTTCTTGGATCCAACAATTCCAGCAAATCCAAAAGGTAAACAAACTAGAGGACAAATTTATTCCTCCCACCGAGTCCCACCTACCTATTACGCCCCCTTTTTAAGTCACGCCCCCCAACGTGGATGTCGTGTTTTGGAGAGACACGGAGCATAGAACGCCGGTCTAGAAATTTATCTACATAATTATTTATTTGCTGAAAACCATAGTTAACCAGGTAAATTAGAACAATCGTATTATTATCTCCTTGAGAAAATTTGTTATTGAGATAATAATGAAATGTAAAATGATCTGCAACTTCGTTGGTGTTGCTTCAAGAGCCATGCCATGATTGTGTAATTTCGTAATTTTTTGCTCCCAACCAGGTTTCTTTTGAGGTTTCTACACTAAATTTAAAATATTATTGAAGATGACTGAAGCAGATGTCGATAAAACTGAAGTCCTCTTCAGGACGTTAAATGCAGACGATCCTGAAGCAACCGAGATTGAAAGTCTGTGCATGGAGTGCGGCGAAAACGTATGATTTAATTTTTTTATCTGATATGCCTCATTTTTTCATTCGATTTTTATGTTTAGGGGATGACAAGACTCCTTTTGACAAAGATTCCATTTTACAAAGAGGTGGTTATCATGTCTTTTGCATGCGACTTCTGCGGCTTCAGAAACAATGAGCTCCAATCTGGGGGGAAAATTGAAGAACAGGGCGTAGAAATCACTTTGATTTGTGACAGTCCTAAAGACCTCAATCGTCAGGTGGTCAAGTCGGATTACACATCAATAAAAATAGCTGAGCTTGAATTTGAAATTCCGGCTCAAAGCCAAAAAGGAGGTGTGAATTTCTATAATTTTTTATTTACATTTTTGTCATTTTTAATAATGTAATTTTGACAGAGGTTACCACTGTCGAGGGTATTCTGGACAGGAGCGTCCAAGGTCTTGAACAAGACCAACCCCTGCGGCGTATACAAGATCCAGAGGGGGCAAAACAGATTGAGGAATTTGTTGAAAAATTCAAGTCATTGAGGGGCCAAAAGTTCACAATGGTAAATTATAAAATTAATATATTTAATGTAAAAATTTAAAAATAATTGTTTTTAAAGATTTTTGAGGACATCAGTGGAAACTGCTTCGTTGAAAATCCAAATGCGCCGGCAACAGATCCTGGTACTACCCACAAGTATTTTACTCGTACCACTGAGCAAGACGCAATTCTGGGCATTTACATGGAGGAAACCACTCCTGCAATGTCCGACAAAGATCCATCGGATGTGCTCTTAGAACTTCAGAGTGAGGTACTGCAATTTGGAACCAACTGTCCCGAGTGCAATGTTCCGTGCATTACCAATATGAAACTCACCAGTAAAACCTTTTTTAAAAAGTTTGATGGTAAGGAAAATGAATATTTTGAAATTTTCAGACATTCCGCATTTCAAGGAGGTGGTCATCATGGCCACAAACTGTGATGCATGTGGTCACAGAACTAATGAGGTCAAGTCGGGAGGTGGAATCGAACCAACTGGAATCAGGATTGAGATTTCTATCAAGGAACTAATGGATTTGAAAAGAGACGTACTCAAGGTTTGTGCTTCAATTTCCATTGCAATTATTTATTTAATTATATCATTATCAACAGAGTGACACTTGTGATATGCAAGTGCCTGAATTGGATTTGGAGGTGGGTCCACATGCACTCGGAGGTCGATTTTCTACCGTCGAGGGTCTCCTTGTAGCCATGAAAGAGCAACTATTGGCCCACTGGGGTGACAGTGCAACCGAGTCCACCTCCGTCAAGTATCAAGATTTTCTGGATAAAATGGATCAAGCCTTGGAGGCCAAGTTGCCAATTACTCTGATTCTTGACGACCCGGCTGGCAATTCTTACATTCAGGTAAATAGTTTGCGCTACATTTTTTAATTATCAAATTCATTTTAAAATCATATTTTTCTACAGAGTTTACAAGATTCGGTTGAGGAAAATGTGAAGGTTACACGTTATGAACGTTCTCACGAGCAAAACGAGGATTTAGGCTTAAATCATATCAAAACTGAAGATTACCATGAAGAGAATTAGTTTGCAGACATCTTTCATTTTGGGAAATTGCTTAATTAATTAATTGTCTGTTGTGGTGCTGGGGGCGCTGCTACTGCCTGTTCATCATTTCCTTCCTCTCGTATAACTGTTTCGCCATCCAACTTCTTCAGATTTGGCAACCTCCTGGCCGCCTCAGTGCGCCAAGTTCCCTCTTCACAACTTTCTTGCAAAGGGTTCCCTGATTGATTAAAAATTTAGACGAGAAAAATACTATTGAGAATTATGTTCTTACCAACAAATGAAAGCTCCTCCAGCGTGAGCAACTCGGATAGTTTTGCGTATTCGACCCACTCTCGAATTAGATTGTTCGACATGTACAAGACCCTCAGGTTTTTAAGCACATTTATCCCCTTGACCTTCTCAAGTAAATTGTAGGAAATCCACAATTCCTCCAATGAATCAGCAACACCCTCCTTTCATGTTCAAATTTATATTTTGTGAAAACTTTCCTGCAATAAAATTAAAGTAAAACTTGCCAATCCAGCTAATGATTTAATGTAATTTCGCCCGAGAGACAATATTTTCAGATTTCTCAGCGAGTTTAGCCCAGATATTTTTTCTATCATATTTGTTGACAGCGAAAGTTTCCTGCCAAATTTAATAAAATTATAATTTTTTCATAATATTATAAGAGTGTTTAAAATTTGATCCTTAATTGATTCACATACTTGCAGTGAACTAGAGTGGCAAGCGTGTTGTCCATCTTTTCGATGGGTGGCCATTGAAACGAGAGTGAAACTTCTTCCGCCTCTGAGGCCGTGGCATTGTTTTTGTCCTCCCATTTTTTTATAGCTTCTTTAATTGAGGTTGCTTTGGTCTGAAAATTAAATTAAAAATTTAAAAAGAGATCGGCAAAAAAAAATTAATTAAAATTCTTCTTCGGACAATTTACCATTTTTCCTTCGCGGGGTTTAATTTCAAGTTGCCATGCCAACGACTGAAACAAATGACACGCGGCTCATCACGTGACCTGCGTCGACCAATCCCGTCAGCGTCTCGACTACAATATACATGTTTATTCAAGTACACAACGTCGTATTTTCGTTTATCGTGTCTTGCGTCGGGCTATGCCGAATAAAATGAAGAAAGACAAAGTGAGTATTCGACATAAGCACGTCCGAGCATTCGGAAAGCGCGACGGAGAGCGCATTCGAGTCGATTTTCATGGCGATTCGAACCGAACGCCTGCCGTTTGCGCTTTATTTACATTCTTGGACACGGTGTTGGTGCTCTCGGTGCCAGAAAATCCATACGTCAATAATATGGATCAGTTGTTTTACTTGACTGATTTTCGTTTGCAGGACTCGAAGACCGCTGGCAACGAAGGATCTGGAGACAATGGTGGCAGTGGAGACGAGGTGAGCTTGGCATTTGACGAATTCGGCCGCAAATCGGGCTTGTCCAGACGTGTGCCCCGCGGCGACGACAAGTCTTGACGATCTGCATGTTGTTGACTATGGGCGCGTTTCAGATAACGCTGCGCCCTGCAAAAAGCAAAACACCTTTTTTCTTGTTAACTCTACGTATTATTTAATTTTAAGACCCACATTTGAATGGGGAGCGAAGCAAGACGATTTTTCATTTTTAGTTCGGAATTACGTAAATTGTCAGACAAAGCATTTGATTATCTAATACGATCATATTATAAAACGTTTTTCACAGCCTAGATTACGTTTCAATTTATATATCCCGATATTTCCGCGGAGTCAAGTGACACAGGCTGTGATGCTGGTGCTCTGTGATGTGCTGGGGTCTGGCGGCGCCGCTTTGATTTTTTAATGTGCTAACAAAAGAGTGACAGAGTCAATAAACACCATCTCGCTCTCTCGCAAACACCCAGCCAGAGAGCACTGTCATTTGAAAGAGAACTCAGCCTCCCGACTGAATCAGTGAAAACTATTTTATTGTTTTTTAAAAATTGGCTGGTTGCATAGGTGAAAGAAAGGAGGAGGCACATTTGTGACAAAACATTTCCTATTTAATCTAAAATTTGGAATTTCTTTGTTGAGATTTACAATTAATTTGTTATAAACAGTGGAATCCACAGTAATATTGCATTAGGAAACTTGTGCTAATGCTGAAAAAATGGCAATATAAATCATGAAATTTATCGGAGCAATTGAGAAAAGTTTCAAGCGTAATCCATTTAAATTTCGACTATTTGTTAATTTTATTTCTCTCAATCGTTAATCAGTCTGGAATATATTGGGAAAGTTTTGATCTCAATTTAGAAAATTTAGTTTTTTCTAATATCTTGGAAATCTAATAGATCTTTTATTTAATTTTGAACTATATTATTATGCCATTGGAAAATAATTTAAATTAAAAACTAAAAAGTCTTATACAATTTATACCAGCAGAAGTAACAAAGACTTTTAAACTAAATTAAACGAAATTTAATGATAAAAATAAAACTGAAGTAGCCAAAACTAGAATAATTTTTTTAAGTAACGACAAGTGTAGCCACCTGGTGAGGCGAGCCAATTAATTTACATTCACACCACTACCTGTCTAGTAAGAAACGTAAGAAAAACCACCAGGAAAAATGAAAAGTGGTCTTGACTGCTGCCACAGCTCGACGCAATTGCACAAAGTTTTCGCGCGTGTGACTCGCTCAGAAGAGCAGGTATTGCATGGTAATACGATCAAGAGCGAGAACATATCATTGCAAAATTGCGCCCGCCGATGGTCATACTCACCGCGCCGAGAGGGGATCATTACATAAAAACAACACGCATTCATTTTTTTCGCACGTAGAAAAAATCGGCGACCGATCGATGCATTGATTGGGCGCTCGCGTAATAGTGGTGGCTGCAACAAGCAAGGGCTTCTTTTCGCACCGCATTCTTGGAGGGTTTCCCTTTTGTTTGGCGATGCGCCGCCGCCGCCGCCTTTCGCGCGGGGCAAATGAAACGAAGCAGCGGCAGCAGCCACTTTCCGAGTCGCGCTGATTAATTAATTGGCCAATTAGTCAGTCGGCCGAGTCATGCCTAAGATCGCTGATGTCTTCAGGAGGCACAAGAATGTGTTGGTATGTAGCCACCGTCGTCACTCGGCGCCTTCTCCGCGAATCTAACGTTTGACGCGCGGACGTGCCAAACTCCGATTTAGATTTTCTTGCAATCCATTGTTTATTTGCGAACGGTTTCTTCCTATCTGCACTGATTTTAATTAATCAATTAATTATTATTTTTATAAATATCTTGTAAATTAAGTTTAATAAAAATTTTTTAGAATATTTTACAAATATTTTTGTTCGGTTTTCAGGAAAAAATTCTTTATTTATATTTAATTTACATTAATCAACATTTAATTTTTTGCTTTTATGTAAATATTATACAAAATTTATGTCTTTGTTAAAAATTCAGCTCTTTTTTGACACCAACAGTTTTTTCTTAGTTAAAATTTTCAACTGCTTTCTTTTTACATTTTTTAAGCTATTTTACTGACAAAACACAAGTGTATTTTAATCTTCCTGCAGCTCAAGACAGGAGTATAAAAGGTTGTGAGGGTGTCTTAAGTGGAAATCGATGACAGAATTGATAAGTGTCAAATCATCAAAAGTGGATTTCGGTGCATATCGAGCGCGCAATTATTTATTTATTGTTCATTATGACGGCGGCGTGTGAGTAAATTGAGTGCATTTGACCTCTTATACTTTATTGTGTGTTGGCCATTCTTGGAGGACAATGGAATTTATTATGCTCGATAGTAACGTTCGTTGTGCATGCCAATCAAGCAGGCAGAAGCGCCTTTTTATCACGCTGGCCAATCGAAAAAGGCGAACGCGACTTGCTTTTGATCGCTGGCCTAGACACCACAGTGTGCACCTCAAAGCAGTGAACCCACCAGCCCAGTTTTTTTACAGTCATGTCTGAAATTAGTGGAAATACTTGGCTACGAAACGAGAATTTGAAATTCAGCTGCAATTTAAAAAAAATATATCATTGGAGCAAGATCAAAAATTTTACTTTGAGAAATTCATTGGAAAAGAGCGTAATAATTAGGAAGAAACTGTTATATGCTCAGGTAAAGGTTTTTTATAACAACTCTAAGACTACAGATTAAATTATTGGAGAAAATTTCCCCCTTTCTAAATTTGTTTTTCTCATTTTAATTTTATTGGTTGTTTAAGTAAAAAGCGTAAAAAGCATATTTAGCAAAATTTTGTTTCTGAAAATTTGCATAAAAATAAATTAGTACGTTCCTGTAAATAATAAATGCATAATTTTACACAGTTGATGTAAATAAAAAAAGTTTACATTTGGCAAAAAAAAAGGTTTTTTTCCAAAATAAAAATTGAATTTTTCGCAAAATCTCCTCACGAAATCAACTCATCAATTCTCTTTTAAGTTAGGATCAAATAACTCCGCGAAATCAACCCTTAGTCGTTCTATTGAAGCAGTAAGTTGTGATTTGCCACGCCAAAGGGGCGCAAACCCTCGTCCGTATTTGGCGTGCCGTCGTTTTTCTTCCTGTCGATCGCGTCAATCCGGCAGAACTTTCCGTTCATTTAGTTCCGCGTTTGCATAATACGTAAGTAAAATTGGTTGGTGTTCAATAACAAGCGAATTGACCTTGGAGTCAATAAGGGTCAGGTCAAGCTTGCACGACCATGCAAAGTGGCCCTTGCGGCTCGGGAGCGACGCGAGTGGCGCCTCGGATGGTCTGCCAGCGCACTCCTTAGATGGGCGTGTCCTGTGTGGTGACCAGGCAAGGCCCTTTGGTGCTCATCATATCGATAATCGCGTATCGCACACCTAGAAGGCTAATTTTCCAACCGGAAGAGAAGTTTAAAAAATCATTTTCAATTATAATTTATTATAAAATTCCGACGCTGAAGATTATAAAGTCTACAAAAAAATTGCACAGAAATAATGTATAATCTTTTTTTAGAACAAAATTTGAAGCCTGAAAAAATTGTGGGAAAATAATATTAAGGTACTCTTTATTAAATTTATTGATATCATTAATATTCATATTAAATAAAATCGTGGCTATAATTTGAAGAAATTAAAGTTAATTTAATTTTAAATTCAATTGAAAGTTAATTAAAAGAAAATATTAAAAAATTTAACGAGTCATATTTTATTTTAAGAATAGGAAATTTTAAAAATTATTAGTCAGAAAGCTGATTTGTTTTTAAATATTAATTACAGATTTTTTTTATTTACATAAACTACTTTAACAATAAAAAGATGTACTTAGGAAATTTAAATAATTATTGAATAATTTGATATTTTTATTTTGGTTAAATATTGGAATTGGGGCGGCGCCTGTTCGATGGGCGCGCTCCAGCGGGTGTGCGAATCGATCGGTCCGATACGCGCGCGACGGCCTGTTTGGGCTCCAGTGGAGCGATGGCCCTTCTCGCAGCAGATCAATGGACGCGAATGTCAGTGCGAGCCGCGCTGCAAATGCCCGACCGCCTTTCTCACCGGCCTTTTTTGCGTGTCCACAGGTGACCAAGCCCTCGGGGCCGCCGAGCGTGCCGCCCCCGGCGCCGCCTGCGCCCGGCGCGGCGCCCAGCAACGCCCCACCGCCGCCCCCGGCCCAGATCAACAAACTCAAGCTGGCTGGACCACCGCACAACCTCAAGAACAAGGACAAGAGGCAGAGCTCGTCGCGCTTCAACATCAGCAAAAACCGTGAACTGCAAAAACTTCCCTCCCTGAAAGGTGAGAGAGTCGGATTGGGCAACAACACCCCCGTGATAACCAAGACTGCCCCCGGGGGCACTGATAAGGCCTTCATTTGTTTTGACTTTTATTTTTGAGCTTCTATTTTCTCCACTCTGATAACAATTCTGTTCAGCCAAGAAAGAATCGCTCTATGATATGGAAATCAGTATTATGGTTTTGCGTAAATTCTTAAATTTTAATGTTTTTTACCAGTAAAATATTAATTTTTAACAATTTTATTAAATTAATAATTTAAAGTTAAAAAAAATTAATTTTTTTCCACCATCTTTCAATAAGTTCTAGCACATATATATTTTTTTGTCATAATTTATAATTCAAACTTCAAACCATTTTTTATGTTAATTTTTTTTACTCTATGTATTTCTGTAAAAAAATTAATTTCAGTAAGGAACTATTGACTTCAACATTTTGCGCCTAGAAACATAAATTTTGCTAGAAGTTTACTTGTTAACAAAGGATTATCTGTGACTAGAAGTAGAGGCTTTCAACTCGCCTGATTATTGAATGTATGTGTGTGTAAAATCATGTCAGCCAGGCAGGGGCGAGCGACGTCAGCGTCGACTAGTGCTTTATCGGACTCGGCTCGCACATCATCGCACGCTCTATCCTGCGCGCCGAGCCGATTGTTTTTAAACAGCCATCCATTTCAATTAAAGCGCATTAGATATTTTGCCCGCGCACGCTTTGCGTCTTATTCATTAATTATTAGAAAGCGGCGGTGGCGATTTCATGTGCCTTGTCGGTCTCTGTATGCGCTGAGGACGCTTGCCCGATGCAGCTGCAAACTCTTGGTTGGTGCCACTTTTCTTGATTGCGACCCGTAATTTCATTAGTTGAGAGTTGCATTCTGATCATTTACCCCATTATCGTTGACCTTGCATTATCTCTACATGCCCGTTTTCTTAATTTACTTTTTCCCCTTAATTAATTGTCAACCCATGTTAATTAAAATCAGGCTATTTATAATTAATACTGATGAGCAAATGAATATCTAAATTAATTTTAAAACCTTTTCCGATTTAAATATAAGATTCTTTGTGAAACAAAACCAGTTTTTTACTTTACATTTATTTAACTGCACCGGCTCTGTGACCTTGAATGGCACGCGCGCTTATGGGTAGAAAGTTGGTTGTCAGTGCGAATTCACATACTGATCGAAAAATCAAATTCCGCAGAGGCCAGCACCGCTGACAAGGAGCAGTTGTTCATTGAGAAGCTGCGCCAGTGTTGCACTCTCTTTGACTTTGTCACCGACCCTCTGTCTGACCTAAAATGGAAGGAGGTGAAAAGGGCGGCCCTCCACGAGATGGTGGAGCACGTCACCTCTCAGAAGGGAGTCATCACCGAGTCAGTCTACCCAGAGGCTGTTGCCATGGTAATTTGTTCCTTGAAGATATTACTAGCAATTTTGGCTGACACTATTTTTTTTAGTTCGCAGTTAACTTGTTCAGGACTCTGCCCCCGTCAAGTAACCCTAATGGTGCCGAGTTTGACCCTGAGGAGGACGAACCCACCTTGGAGGCCGCTTGGCCCCATTTGCAGCTAGTCTATGAGTTCTTCCTCAGGTATCATTTTGTCCTAATTCAGGAAAAATGAAATTTACCCTTTTTGTCTTCAGATTTCTGGAATCTCCAGATTTTCAGCCATCCGTAGCTAAAAGACACATCGACCAGAAATTTGTCATGCAGGTCAGAAGGAATTTCAAGCAAATAAATAAAAGGAAACTAATCTCAATATAAAATTACAGCTGTTGGACCTTTTTGACTCTGAAGATCCTCGTGAGCGAGACTTCTTGAAAACAACCCTGCACAGGATTTACGGCAAATTCCTCGGTCTGCGCGCATACATCCGCAAGCAAATCAACAACATTTTCTACAAGTTTATTTACGAGACAGAACACCACAACGGAATCGCCGAGTTGCTAGAAATCTTGGGCAGTATCATCAACGGCTTTGCCCTGCCTCTGAAAGAGGAGCACAAAGTGTTTCTGCTCAAGGTGCTTTTGCCCCTGCATAAAGTCAAGTCCCTGTCCGTATACCACCCCCAACTGGCCTATTGTATAGTTCAGTTCCTTGAGAAGGACCCAAGTCTCACAGAGCCCGTCATCATGTCCCTTCTCAAGTTTTGGCCTAAGACGCACTCTCCTAAAGAGGTGAGTTGTCAAGTGACAAGGTGATATTCTGACCCTTGCATTAATCTCAATTTGCTCAGGTCATGTTCTTGAATGAGCTTGAGGAGATATTAGATGTCATTGAACCCGCTGAGTTCCAAAAAGTGATGGTCCATCTGTTCCGACAACTTGCTAAATGTGTTTCAAGCCCTCACTTCCAGGTATGAAAACTAAAACTTTCTCTATTGGATTAGTAAATGTTTTTATTGCATTTCAGGTGGCAGAGAGGGCACTGTATTATTGGAACAATGAGTACATAATGTCTTTAATAAGTGACAATGCACCAACGATTTTGCCAATCATGTTCCCGTCACTGTACAGAAATTCTAAATCTCATTGGAACAAGTAAGCTTCGAATATAAATTAATACAGTTTGCATTAATTTTTAAATCTCATTTCAGGACTATCCACGGTCTGATTTACAATGCGCTCAAGCTTTTCATGGAAATGAATCAGAAGCTGTTTGATGAATGCACACAAAACTATAAGCAGGAGAAAGCAAAGTAGGATTGTAATTTTATCCCTCGATTACTTTTCTCAATAAAAACTCGCAGGAGAGAAAAAGAAAGAGCAAAGGAAAGGGAGGAGGCATGGATTCGGGTGCATCAGTTGGCAAAACAGAATTTCCCTGAGTTGCCCATGGCTGAACTCGGCACCTTTGACTTTGAACCTGCCACGGGAGATATTCCAGACATGGACGATATCAACTATGACAAATTCGAAATGGAGTCCAGAGAGGTGAGTGTCGATGAAATAAAATATAAAAACTGTAATAAACACTGTTGATAATCAGGTTCGCCCTACTGTACGCAACAAAGAGAAGCCACTGCTCAGGAGGAAGTCTGAGTTGCCTCATGACACTTACACCATCAAAGCCTTGATCGACCACCAGCGCGCAGATGAATACCTGACTACACCACCGGACGTCAACAAGTGCTAGGCCAGCCAGCTTTGTATGTATTGTGATTACAAGACATTCCACCTCTCAGCAAAGTTAAGCGAAGATGTTAAAACAAGAGAAGAAAAAGAAGCGCATCAAGTCTTAGGAGCAAATGTGTGTGGTGCCTGATGCTGAGCTGTTTTTTTGGATCTGGGACGTTGATTGATTGATAATAGTCGACACTGCATTCTATTCTACATTTCTTTACTGCGGGTCACAGTGATTCCCTTTTATGAAAATGTTCGTTTATGGTGCTTTCGAAGTGATTATAGTATACATCAAATGAAAATAGTTACAAATTGGATGGATCTAAAGTATTAGGTACCTAAACGCACTTACTTGTTTGTTAGTCAATGGAAATTAATTGTTGTGAATCAAAACGTTATTAGCAGCTGGATGCCTTGAGAGAGAAAAAATTGCAAATTTGTCGTTTAGAATGATGGCCCGTCATCAAGAAGTTATTTTATCTTAATTTCAGCAGTAGGATATGTACCATAATAGTGTCAGTATTGTTTAAAGAACTATTTCATCTGCTGTTAAACATAATAGGAGTTATAAAGATGGAAAGTGACGAACATTAAAAGATATAAATATTGTACCAAGCACATTTTGCATCTTATTTTTCTACTAAAGCAAAAATTCAAGATGAAATAAGAGCCGGAAGGTATTTATCAAATGAGGGCAACTACACAAAAAGGCGTATACTTGTGTGACTTCATTAGGTGTTTAATCATTCACAGAGTATCACATTGACTTGTTGATTAACTAAGTTCAAAACCAGCTCCGGATTGAATTGCATACAACAGCTTAGTCTTCAGAGTATCTTCATCCTTAAATTGTGGCAGCTTCAAAAGATTCATGCATGTGCTGGCAGACGGAAGTCTTTCGTCTGTGCCGGCCATTTGAATGCAGAATGGCGGGTACAATTCCTAAGAGACTGGATTAGAAAGATACAGCGCCTATACAAAAATAAGTACCTTGAACCCTAACAGAGGCGGTCTTGAGCAGCTAGTGACAAACTTTAAGAGTTGTCTGCGTTGGATATCATTGAAAGTGTCAACTACCCGCCAAAACGAGCCAATGATTGGATGATCTGGTGAATATCCACCTGGATAAAATTGTGTTTAAAACGAAGTATGGTCATTCATAATTATTTACCAGTGTATTGAGTGTGGGATCTCAAGTCGTTGAGATTTACAGGGATTGGCGCTCCAGAAATCAGCACTTGAAATTCCTTGTAATCAAACATTTGCAACCATTCAAGGGGAATAACGTCAGCAAGACCCTGGGAAAATATTTTAAATAAGAGTTTTTAGGTTTAATTAAAAATTACCTGTTTGAATGCATTGCACTGGGCCCTAATTTGTCGGTTGAGCTTGTAATCAGCAATTAAATGAATATATTCAATCCTATTGGCCAAAGTGACAGAGGTCAAGGCCCCTCCTGGTTTCAGCTCCTCTACTTTGGATTCGCCCAATTCATTATTAACCACTGTGAAGTCGAGGTTCAAATCGGACACATCCTCCTCATTATCGTAGCCTTTGAGAGAAATCAAGTTCTTGTACATCACAGGATCAAGTGAGGCGAGTTGGTGGACACCAACATCAGATTTGGCACCTCCAACTAGTTTGGTCAGGAAGAATTCTGCTAGAGGCAGTTCGACGAGCAAGTTTTCAAACAGTGCCTAATAGATGAAAATTTATTCTCGGTTGCTACAAAAATGGGATTTTTGTTACCTTTCCAAGCATTCTTCCGATGAAAAAGTAATGTTGATGAAAGTTCTCAATAATCATATGAACACTGGGGTTTGGGTAGAGCTGGTTATCAGCCGTCAGTCGGAAAAATCCTCTATGGAATAATTCGCACATTTAATATTTTGCCTGCCAGTAATAATCTTAATTTCTCAAAAAAGGATTTTACCTGTTGGGATCGAATGCAGTCTTGAGAAGCTCGGAAAGAAATTCTCTGAAGACTCCACCACCGTCAACTCCCGCTTCGTCTAGCCCAGCTGTGTTGACCAACTGCACCCTCATTTTACTTCGAACCTCAGGTTCTGAATTTTTTTAATTAAAGACACACACTTGAATAATTAAATAATTATTTAAGGAATTTTCAAGTACCATTTTCGGGAGATAGTTTTTCGAATGCATCTTCATAGAGGTAATTTCGGCGCACTATAATTTGTATTTGGGGACCGGTGAGGAATGCAGCCGTTGCTTGGTACTCCTCTTTTTCTTGCAAGACCAGGGTTTGGAATAGAAGAACTCTCTGTTGGAAAGGTACCACAAATGGCATTTCTTGTAAAATGGCCATTTGTCTTATTTCACTGTTTGATAGCGGAGGTCCTTGTTCTGACAAAACTATAAGATTTTTACTCAAACCAAGAAAGTTTGCGCTTACCCAAGTTCATGGGGTCATGGTTGAGCAGTCGTTTGAAAGGCTTGTAGCTGTGCCTCATGTTATGTTTGCTGACACCCAGCCCTGGCACCATCACGCCCTGAGCAATCCAGTGGTCTTCAGAGCAGAAACTCCGTCTTGTGTCTCGAGCGTGCAAAGCTCTCAGCAAATCAACAGACACGTTGAAAAGGTGCCGCCAAACGGAGGTGTTTGTCCCCTTCTGCTGACCACTGGGTCGGACAACATTTAAGTACTCCGCTCTCATTTGAAGTCGAGACTCTGGGTACGCCAGTCGAATGAGGCCCAGGCATACACCTTTCAACTCTGTGCTGAGAGGAATGAGCTCGGACACAGTGAAGGGCATGGAATTTCCTCCTGAAAATTTTTAAGTTCAAAATCACATTTTATTTTTAAGGATAAAAAAAAATAGCTAACCTTGCGTCTCTCCCCAAAACTCGGAATCGTGAATAGTTAGGAGCAGAAGTGCAAAAAGGGAGCAGAACACTGCAAGAGAGGGAACAAGAGTGACGACTTCTTCAGAGGACAACTCGAGCCCCCTTGCCAGCACCCGCAGCAGCAGAGCTTGGCTTTGAAAGTCTGAAGCTCGATAAGTGTTGCTCAACGTTTGCCACAGGTTCCGTAAAAACGAGGGACGAAATGCCAGGGTGTACAGGACTCTGAAAACAATGGAATTTGTTAAAATGAACAAAAAACAATCACAACATTTCCAACCTAAAATTATTTGCTGCTTGTTTGTGAGCCAGCAAAAGGTGATGGCACAGTGTGCATATGGCTCTTTGCATTTCGGCACTAAGATTCTCAACGTCTATTGCTGCTAGCAGTCGATTCACTCTCCAGTCTTCATCTAACATTGCTAGGCATTGGCTTGCTAGCTGAAATTAAACAACAATTTAAAACACAAATAAAAAAACTGAAAATTGATATTACTGCTGAGGATTTTTTTGGCTCGTCGTCATCCTCTTCGGAAATAGGTTGTAGTTGTTCAGTCAGGTGGCTGAGTGCGGCAATATAGTAGAGAGTTTTCTCTTTGGAGGTTGGACTGGACTGGGAATCTTCCAGACTGAGAAGAGAGTACAAGAGGATGACAGATGAAGGCAGGCTTTGCAGCACTCGTGCCAGGGCGTAGATGGGATAGCCAGGGGCCAAGGATGGAAGAACAAAGAGGCGCAAGGAGTCAGACAAAGGTGAAACCAAGAATTCCTTGGCAAAATGGTACTGCACACAATCACTGAAAATTATTAGTATTAAATTTACATCAAAAATTTCAATTAAAAATTCTTACTTATATTTATCATCTGGCTCGTCTAAAAATATTGGCGCTTTGAGTAATTCCAGGAGACACAAGGAAATTGGGGAAACAGGACTTCCTTCCATCATGGGTGGTACTTTACTGTCAAACAGTTGCCGCATCTGCTTAAAATACCCTAAAGCAGAAGTATCAATTACATAATAAAATTAACACAAAAAATTAATATTCAATATTACCTTTTTTGGCTAGGTAAATGAAAGTCTGACGGCTTGACAGTTTGCTGAGGAATACTTCAAGCAGTCTCAAAGGCATAGCGATGTTGCCTTCCTCCTCCGTCATTTGCGTCAAAGCAACTCTGACGAGCCTTCGAAGTCTCCACATCCACTCAAGGGAAGACTCGCACCACGAGAGGACCATTCCTTGTTTCTTGAGCAGTTCTTTGCACAACCATGCCTGGAAGAAAATGCATATTCATCCTTAGAGAATTTTGTTCACATTGAGAGGAAATTGTACTCACAAATCTCTGGGAATCTGTTTTTGGTCTGTAGAAAAGAAGGAGTTGACTGACCAAGTGGTCCAAATCGTCCGGTTTCGATTTGACCATGGTGTCGAAGTGCAGCCGTTCTGCTATCCGAGTTCTTTCTCGACTCAGGCATCCTCTCACAAAGGCCTGCACTTGAACTGCAGCTGCCCACCTTCTTCGTTGCTCCTGGCAAATCAATACAATGATTAAAAAAATGATTCTTATTTTTTCGACGCATTCCGGCACTCACTTCTCTTTTGGCTCTTTCGGCTTGGGCACGTTCCAGAAGAGCATCGCGCTGTCTGTTGCGGCCAGCACCACCCAAATTTTGCTCAGGCCGTCGACGAAAGTCACCGTTGAACATGTTCTATTTCCTTATTTGATTTGTCACAAGTCTAGAAACTGCTTAACTTTGTTGAAGGCCTACTGAGGCCAGCAGGCCGAACTTAAATTCGCCAGAATGGTGAATGGGGTTGTGGAGCTCGAAGTGTGGTGCAACAATTTTCCAGGAAATTATATCTCAGTCCAAGACAAATTAACAAATCCGTGTAGAGCAAGAATTCTGTCGCCTCTTGCGTTACAAAACAATTTTGTGGCGAATGCAAAATAGGGCGTTTCAAAAGGAGTTCGTGGGTACGAGGACACCAATGCAATTGTATTGAAATGTTAAAATGCAATAAAGAGGTAAATAAACTATAAGGTTAACAATTGAAAAACATTCATAGAGTATATTAAAATTTAAAACTGATCCATTGTTAACAAAACGAACTTTTAAATATTAATGTTTTAGCTCCTTACTATACAATCCTTTTCTATCAGCTGGATTGGGTACGGCCAATGAGAGCGGAGACAAGAGAAGAGCCGCCGCAGAGCCAAGGCCAGAGCAGTGGGGAGAGCGATACGCAATTTAATAAAAATTTAATACAGCACAATATGCGTTTTTATTTGATTTTTTGTTGTCTAATTGTTTACATGCAATTTTTGGAAACTACATATTTGAAAAAAGGCATTGTTTTTTCAGCAACGTACCGACAAAATAAAAATTTTGTGTATGCGAGTAGCTTTTATAAATACACAGTACGTACACTTCTGGCTGCTCCTAAATATAAGTTATTATAGTTTTAATTAATTTAATATTATATAACAAAGCTATAAATTATTTTTCTTCAATAAATTTTAAATACTTCTTGGCAATAATTTTGAATTAAAATACATAATTAATGTCGATAATATGAATAATACATCTAAAAAATGTTAAAGGGCCTAATTAATAATAATTCAAAATTTTAAACATAAAAATTTGGCTTTGGATAAAAAATTTAAAAAAATTTCATTGATATTATACTTAACTTTTTAGAGTTTTTAGTAATTCTTATCTTTTTTATTTTAATTGCTCTAATTTATTTTTATTTTATTCTTCAAGGTCTATGCAATACTGTATTTATTTAAATTATTTTTCGAAGTAAATAAACTTTCATTAAACCATCCCCTCCCAATTTGTTCAAAAACAAAAAGAATTTATCATTGAAGTAAACAGTTCACTTCAACTAATTTATATTTCATAATTTTTTTTATAAGGCTATAATTTTATGAATTTAATAAAGTAAATTGTTACAAAATTGTCAATTATTTTTACATAATTACCTCTTTTCATTTAAATTTCCTTGAATTTTAAATGAGCTTTAAATAAAAAAATTTTGTGTGCAGTCTTTATGTGCACACAAATTATTTACATAATTTTATTTTGCCATTACAGGGTCCAAATGAGATGGAGATTATTTTTCTAAATATAGCCTAGTTATTTTCAACCCTTGAGCGCATCTCATGAGCCGTCCCCCTACGCTACTGCTCATCCCATTGAATGATTGAACGGCTATTGGATGTTGTGAAGAGCTGCTACGAGCTGCAGCCAGTTGAGCAGACGAGTCCTACAGGTTGCCTATCCTCCGCTCCGGCAGGCGTTCTTTACTCGGCGCACCGTCGCCGCCTTTTCCCTTTGATACTTTCGAGGCTAAAAGCCGCCAGGGTTTTTCACTTTCCGGTTGGAAAATAAGAGCTGAGCAGTGCAGTATTTTTCTAAAAAAAGAGTGAGTTGGAGAGCAGAGAAGGAAAGAAAATACGCGAGCGAGCGAACGGGGGTTGAGGTGGAGGGGTGGTTTTACTCCCTCTCGTAGGGCACACGCGCGCGCCCGCCCGCCCGCCCGCCAGATAAGCGAGCAGGCAAACGCACGGCAGGCAGGCAGCCGTCAGGACCTGCGCGGATAATTTATAAATAGAGTACAGGGAGATATCGACTGGCTGCCTCTCACCTGGCCGCCAGCACACGCTACCCGCAGTAGCTGACACGAGGGCGAGAATGGCTGCTGCTGCTACCGCCGCATGACCGCCATGCAGGACTGGATCACCAGCGTCGACAAGAGGTGGGTAAGCCGCAAACCTAATCCCGTGAATTATATGCCAGGTCTCGCTAGGCCTGCACACCCTCGGCCCGACGCCGCTGTCAGGGGATTGTTTGCACCGCGCTAGATTAGCCCCTGACCCCAGAGAGCGGTTTACATTCTCAGGGAAAGCTTCAAAATTTTGCATTTTCATCTGATGCTAATTTTCCTTAATTTAAATATACGTTTTTATAATTTTTTTAGCTCTAAAAATGTTGAAATATAAGCAAAAAATAAGTAAATTGTGTGATTTTTAAATGTTTTTGAAAAAATTAATTAATTAAGAGTGAATTTTTAGAAATTGTCAGGTTTTTATTTGATTCATATTTTATTGATAAGGGAGGATTTAATAATTTTTAATTATGTCACTTGAAGAAAGAAACAATGAAAATATCAATACAAAAAATAGCCGGAAATAACTGGTTTTATATTGCACACCGGAGTCAATGGAATTTTTTATTTCATCAAACGATCATTTTACAGTAGAAGGACGGAGAGGGATGAGTGTGAAAATCCATTAAACAAGGCACTGAGGCGTTGTCATTGAGATTTCCTTTCTTTTTATTAATTCTTTTTTAAATGGAAAAATCTCTCAACCATCAACTGCTCTCCTAATGCTATTCTATGCATTTCCATTACAAATTGAACCGCAATTCAATTTTGTGATGGTTCTTTTCACAGAGAGTCTAGTCCAACAAGAGTCTAGTCCAATTTATTACATTTCTCCATTACAAAAAAAAGAGCCCACTCATTCTTTGCATAGCTTCATCCCCTCTGCTCTACTTTCCTTGTTGAAAGTATGATATATATTATTTCCTTTGCCGAGGAATAATTCATTCCATGCTTGGCAGCTGTCCAAACTCGTCCACTCTTCAAAGTTCGTGGAATTACTTTCAAAGTTTGCTTCAAGAAGGAAATGTTATATGCATATAATTCAAGCGATAACCCAAATTACAGAGTTTCAAAAGGCCCTTTTTGTGATGGTCGAGTGGGTGGATTATTTGCAAACAATGGACGGTCCATTCGCCATTATAGTGAAAATCCTGAAAGACGATATCAATATTTCTCTTTGATGATTTCATTAATTATTAAACTGTGGAATTTGAAAGTAAATAAAATTTAAAATGTTTTAAGTTAAAAATCATGCTCGGTACATTTCTACAAGCAATATCAAAGGGGTCATGTTGCATGGGAATTTTTAATCACAAAACAAAAGCGTATTAGCTCGCGTGTTTTTGCTCTTCAAAGATGAAACAAAAAGGGCAGCAACGTTGATGTCGAAAGATAAACTACACCGCGCAGAGTGGAGCTACCGAATGCAAATTTTCAGCTTTGAGCGCTCACGCAGCTGTCAATCGTTCACTTTAACTCAATTTGTAAACATCAAAGGAAATTCCTGGCCCTTGCAACCTTCCCTGACATTGTACTATTATGTAACAGAGAGGTTTGTGTTTCAGTTAGTTGTAATAAAGGGCCCCAACTTCAATTTTTATTTTAGGGTTTGTAAATATTGACTTACAATTTAATTATTCCACTTATAGTTGTTGAATATCGTATTTCTGCCGACAGAGGGTAGAAATGTATTTCTTGGTTTCCAGCTCTTCAAATTTATTTAAAAACTAAAAGATTAAACGTAAAATAGCTTAAATTATATATAATATTTAGAAATTTCCCTCTTATCTTTTCCTGAGTAATTAGTGGCATTTAATTAAAACTCAATTAATTGTAAATTTTTTTAAATTAGAATTGTTTTTTGAAAATTTGTTATTTTATATTTATAAAAAGTCGATAGAAAAAACTTTGTCAAACAATAAATTGTATTTTTAGAAATTATCAAATGAATGTTAAAGTGAACGTTCTTTGGGCCAAGTCGTTTCAGGAGGTCAGTCGACACACCCAAATGCGTCTGTTTTTTTATACGCAAAGCAAACCGCACTCTTCTGATAAAGCCGCACTGGCTGAACGCAAGCCAGCGCGGTTTCCTCGTTTTTCGCATAAAAATTGCAAATTTCCGTCGCCCACGCGCCTTTGCTGCGGGCGAAAGTGAGACTGGTGTTCGACTTTGTAAATTACAGGGAGGAAACAAAAGCCGCCGCCGCCGTGTGCCGCAGTTGAATCCGTAATGAGCGCTTGAGCATATTGATTTTTCGCACACTCATCATTCAGTGTCGGCTTGTCAAAATATAATGAGCTTATTATTTAACGGTGTGTCCGTGTCAGACAGAAGCTGCATAATTCACTCAAAGTGAGAGACGACGGGGGCGGATGGAATTCTCTGTGAGCCTCTTTCAATAACAATCGCTCTTTGAGGGGCTTTAACTTTTTAGATGAGTCGGAACTCTCTGAAATGAGTTGTTGATTATCAAGTTTTTCGCAGTGGAATTAATGACGATATTACAAATTTAGCAAGAAACGTCAAATTAAAGCCAATTTCAGAATTTAATAAGCCGTCGTAAACTCAACTAATTAGCTAAATTCAAACATCAAAGATGGACTGTTTTCATCACACAGAAAACGGAGCAGTACTCAAGTTGGTGTTTTCTTGGAAAATATTTAATAAATAATATTTTTAAAGGTTCATTTTGTTTTGTAGAATTGACGAAAAAAGGAATTTTGAAACCGCAATTCAAGATAAAATAATGCCCCAAAAATGCGGTTGGGAAAAACGTCCTGTCTTCTGCGGCTGGTGACATTGTGAAGCCAAATTTTTTTGCAGCAAAAATGGGCTAAAATATTAGTCTGATCGAGCATTTCTGACAATTATAAATATTTTGAATTTCAGTAATATTTCCAAAACAGAAATTTTTATAAATTTATTTATTGTTAAGTAAAATTTGACCATTCTTTAATGGATCTTATGAGTGGTTTATTTGATTGCGAAGAGCAAGGAAATTAATTTTCTTCGTTTATGTTACAAAAATTATTTATAAAATATGGACTTGTTTTTATCAAAATTAAAACGAAATTGATGAGAACTTTGGTTTTATGGCCGTTTTTTATGACATTAAATTTCACTGCAAAATGGGAATAAAAATGGCTTAAAAAATCCCTGCTAATTCATGAATATGTGCGGCCCACTCAAATTCAACCCTGCTATTACTGACATCATTAAATTTGATCTGCGGTTATATATAGCTAGTTTTTCAGCAGATGCTAGCGCAAGATAAGCAAGATTTTATTACAGTGGATGAAATCATCTGAAAGACAAAATTTCATGTGCGCACTAAAAATGTTTTGCTAGAAAGATCATATTATGTAGTCTTAAATTCTACACAAAATGGAACGTGATATCTTATGTGCGTATTATAAAAAGCCAAGTTTATTGTGCACCACTTATTTCCAAACGACCAAAAAGTGAGGTTTCTTTATTCGCTGCCTTTTCTTGGAATGTAGTTCTAAAGTGTCTTGTTAACTTTTGCAGGCCGCAGGACAGGACGGCCAGAGACATCGAGGCGATCACCTCCAAAATGCGCGCTCTCGACGTTTTGGCCCGACTGCCCGTTAACGTTCTGCAGCAGCTCGCCTCCTGCGTCTACTACGAAGATCTCGAAAAAGGAGTCACTCGTGAGTATACATAAGAATTTCGTGCACACATACTCCGGTTTCTTGATTTCAATCTCCTTTATTTGCCGTTCGAGTCGAGTGTGGGTCCGATCGAGAGCCGAAAGTCAAAGTTTTATTTTAAGGAATCTCCTCAGGGGCAAGGCGGGCAGGAAACTTACTAAGAGGAATTTTATTACCTCTCTCCGAGTGCTACTTTAAAGTTGAAATGAAGAACAGAGAACGTGCAACGCCTGCCGAGGACTTTGTCAACTTTTGCAATTTGCATATTACAAAAGTTTTGCACGTATGTTAAAAAAATAATAGTGCCTTATTAATCGACAAGTAAAATTATTAAAGCAGTGACTTTTCTTATAATATTCTCAAATTGATCAGATCAAAAACTAATATGTTTGGAAATAAATTAGGATGGAAGGAAAAATAAAAGAATGTATTGACGCAGAGAAAATAAATGTTTGCCGATTTTAAATCACTGTGGTTATGCAATTATCTAATTTTGTGATAAACCGCAAAACTTTTTATCTTTTGAGAAAGGAAAGAGTTGAACCGCAATTAAAAGATATCTAAACTTTTATCAATCTGAAATGATTTCTTATATTAAATAATTCATTTCCCTTATAATTTTTATACAATTCATTTTTGAGGAAATGTTAGGCAGAAAACTTTAACTTTTCAGTTAGAAAACGTGTGTTGATCCCAAGCTTTGATTTAAGTTTTTTGTTTAAAAAATTACTTTGTGTTTTGTTCCTCTTCCTATTGTCAAAAGTTTTTAATTTTTAATTCGAATAGAAAATATTATAATTTTGGAGCTGGAAAAAATGACCTGGCAGCAGCACCTTCTGTACTGACAGAGAGATGAACTTGTTAACAGTTGTCCCTGAGGACCATAACATAGGACCGTCTGCGAAGTTAGGGTGGGCATTGTGCTGGCAGTTTCGCCTTTCGGCAAAGCTTGTTACCTAGGTACACAGGCGAGCCCCTTCGTAATCAAATTAGCGCCACACAATAAACGCGTGCGCTTGGCCTAATGGAGTTTAGCGCCGGGGTGCGCGAGCGTGTGTGTTTGAGCAGAGAGACGCGGCGGCAGCGAAATCGCATTTTCTTAATTGAATATCTCCGGCCATGCCACACTTAATTACTTTCGAATCCGAGCAAGAGATAATCTGAGCTTGGCTAGCGAACCCGCCTTCCATGCACGAGCAATGTGTCTGCGCCAGTTAATGATTTCCACCCTCTGGCCTTTCAGGCGGTTGCGATCGCGGTTAATAATAAGCTCATTTCAACAGAATAATCCTCAAGTCTAGTTTGACTTTGAGTTAATAAAGTGCAGCACAATGAAGAGAACAATTTTATCTTTTTAATTTAAGTGGAATTTCTTCCATTTTCATTTTATTTATGAAGATAGATTTTGGTAAAAAAGGAGTGGCAATGAGATGAAAATCAATTTGAATAATTTTACTATTTTTTGCCTCTTGGAAAGTAAATAAAATTTTGAACGAGCGCTTTGGCGAAGGCTGTATCAATAGTTTTAATTTTCATTTGCGTGAAGATACGAACGGTGAAGTTTTATGGTAAAAAAAAGTGAGAAGAATTTTCCTCTGCTACTGCCAGCCGTGTGTATATAGAATATTGATGGGAGCAAAAAAATAAAAATGAAAACTCAATCCCGCACACAGATCCGCAAAATGTGCTCTCATTTTTCCTCGGGCGTGTTTTTCCTTCTCCATTCGAAATTTTATATATACCAGAATGAAAAAATTCTGTTCTCAATTCGCTTCTATTCGCATCTCGCAAATTTATTTTTATCAAAAGGTGCGCGCGTGCTTCGCTATCCATCCTGCAGTTCTTTTACGCCGGCTCCGAGTGCTTGGCGCAGAGAGAGGATGATGAGAAATCCCTCCAGGGACCCTCTTTCCCTCCAGACACATCTCGTTCAAAGCAAACAACTCAAATTTCGCTCTTTGTTCTTGGCAGTTTTCCGACAAGGCGACAAGGGGTGCAATTGGTACGCAGTGTTATCCGGCTCACTGGACGTCAGAGTCAAGCAGGAAAACACCAGCAAGGTAAGGAGTTTAATAATGCCTGCTCTGCTCTTAAGTTTGCGCTGCCTGCCTCCTTCAAAAGCGTCAGATCGCTTTTTGAAAAGGCCCTGCTATATGAGAGTTGCTTTTATCAAACCAATACATATCATGACACAGTTGATTGGAAAAGGAAGAGATATTGGTTGCCATTTCTATATTATCAGAGACTTATACATTTGATGTTTGGCGCTTTTAGCTTAGAGAATAAATAAATAAAAAAATAAAAAAAATATTGCAAGTTCAACCTCAGCTATTAACGAAACATTTTTTTGAAAAATTATTCAATTTAATTATTATTTTTTTTTTGTGAAATTATTTTCATTAATATTTATTTATTTTGAAATATTCCTATACTTACTTCCGAAAAAATAAAAGCAGACCAATTCTGCCACAAATCCTTTAATGACTCTGTTATTGGATCTGTTAATATACATTATTATAGCTTTAGATTAATGTATTTCATTTGCTATTTATTTTATTTTACTATAATTATACTCGTTCCCTCAACAATGTGTTTTTTTTTTTTTTTAATTGTGAACTTCATTAAAGTAAAAGTTTTTTGTCGAGAATTTAAAATTACACGCTTAGAAAATCAAATTACTAAAGAACGTGTCACCGTGCATTAAAACATTTTAGGCTTATACGATAACTTTTTTTCATGAAAAGCTACTCTGGAGAGAATAATGAACAATTAAGCGTATTTAAAAGTGATTTTGATATTCATCTCAAAAAACGAGAGTAACAATTTTTATAAATGAATCAAAAAGTGAGAATGCGGAATTACACGTGAACCGTGTCGACGGAGATAATCTGACATTATAACAAGACAAATTAGCAGCATCAAACAATGTACGCGATTGTTAATAAGTAACATGCAGATGCTCTTCGTGCGCCTCGTCGTCTGCTGCGACGAGAGCCATAATGATGCCATTAATGCCTGGAGACGAGCAAATTAGCAGCGACAATGGGAAAATTGCTCGGAGCGCTGAATATTTGATGCATGTTTGCGAGTCGAAACACACAATGAATGTCTGTCACACAAATATATAGAGGTGCACGCACATGAGCGTAGTATTTGTTGTTGCACGGCACGCGTACGTCACACTCGAAAATCACCTGCAACGCTGGGAAGGGGGGACCTGCGGCGGGGGCGAGCGACCATATTTCGTTATCTAGCCAACACAGTTGGTGACAATCGTGGAAAAAGCGAGGTGATGAGCAGCGCAGTTGGTGCTGCCGACGAGGACGCGTCTCTTTGGAATTGCGTTTTGCACAGGACGATGTGGGTGCCCAAAATCCTTCTCGGCCGCAAGAAACGCGTTTACCAGGTCAATCCGGGACAGGGCTTCGTCAGGGTGAGTTCATTTCAAACCCTCGTATCAATCGGTGACTTAATTTATTTTTAGGTAAATTTTAAATGTAATTTAACTATGAAATTTTGGTGCTCAATGTTGCGTTAATTTTGTTAAAGTTGGTTCAAGAAAAAGATAGATTTCTGTTCCGTTTGAAACGAAATTGTTGCCTCTGAAAGAATGCTAAGAATTTATGGAGCCATATATTGCATTTTTTCTTCACCGGATGACATTCTTTACTGCATACAAGAATTAAATATGTATATAATTTTAAAAAATTACATAATAATTTTAATTCACTTTTAATAAGAAATTCATTGTTAATATTTGTTAAATTCTGCATCATCTTAATCAAACATCACATTTTCAGTTATTTACTTTCTTTTTCAACTTTCATTGAAAATGGCATAACTTTCTTGATTTTATACAATTTAAATTATATTTGAGTAACAAAAACATTTTTAAATTAATATTGTAAGATGAGATAATAAAAATGAGAAAATAAGAAACAAAAAATTTTCATTAGCCACCATGATTAAAGCCAAGTCTAAAATGGGCCGTCAACACACTGGAGCTGCTTCTGCTCACGCCTGGCTTGTTTTCCGGCCACTCGACAAATTTCCACCCGAGAGAGCACTTTTAGGCGCGCGCAAGTTTTATTTAGCCCATCTTTGCGTTAAATGAATGAGCCAAACGTGAGCACAGCTGCCCATTTTAAAAACAAAAACGCCCAAAAAAGTATGTTGAATTTCCTCTCCAATTAAACCGGTCTTCAAAATGCAATAATTTTGGACAAAACCAAAACAATTTTTTTTATTACCTTTTTGCTGAAAAAAAATCTAAAAATACTTCAAGTTTGTCTGTTTTCTTATGTTATAAGTTTCCGTATTTAGGCCGCCCACTGAGAGCTCCGAGCCGTAAAAAAAAGCGCGCGCTGTTTATCGACAAGAAAAACAAAACACAAGCCTGGTAGGGACAGCTTTTGAATTTTTTATAATGTTCAGGAACAAAGAGATACTTATTTATTTATTAACTTTTGGTCCAATGAACATTCGCTGCTTTCTTGAAATGTTACAAATTGCGTTGTTCCTATAATGTGCAAAAAATTCAAATAATTGGACTCTTTTTCTCCTCCAAGACCAATTCTATAAAACTGATTCACTCAATAATTACGATTTAAATTTGCAAACGATTCAATTTCCTCTTTTTCACTCTCGTTTTCATTGTCGACGTCGATTGCGCAATATCATTTTTTACATTTAATTAAAACAGACAATTTATTATCATTCAAGTATTTATTCTTAGGCATGGCGGTATAATTAAACGTATTCTGCACCTACTTTTAATGTCTTATGCTTCGCATAATTCCGTGCTGGGCCTCAAACCCAGCCAAATATCTTTCATATTTTATTCAAATTTTATTTTAGTTTTCTTTGTCAACATTCAATTTATTTTCGTTCATAGTTTTTAAAGTCGTTTTAGTTTAGAAGCTGGTAAAATTTAATTTAAAAAATAACCAGGTATTTTGTTCAAAAGCATTTAATGTTTATTTATCATAACTCTGAACATTTGCCATGTTTGCATAAATTAATTAATAATGGGAGGAAATCCTCCTACGCGAATCCACAGGATATTAGAACAGTTTCTTGATTTTCACATGAAAATATGAATTCAGTTAAAATTAAAACTGATGCGTATAACGCACAACTTTTGAAACGCCTATACTTGACATTTGTATCACAGTTTTAAGCCTTAGGAATGCAGTGAAGAAGTTTATGACAATAAATTAACCGACCAGTCATAAGGCGGCTGATTATGATATATAAAATGCTACATAACATGCAAGAATTATGCTTTTAAATGCTCAACTTGGAGCACATTAAATATTGGCTTCTAGTTTTTTACTTCGATTGTATTCCAATAACATTATTACTCACATCCACCACATTATGGGGTTTCTGATTGATAATGCACTGATCCTGCAAGCTAATCGCCAACTTTGTCTCCTTCTGGAAATGCTCAATGTCGATCTCCTCGATGGCTTGTTTCAGCACTGCAGCAATTTCCCTGCCATTGCCGCACATGTACGAAACGTAGTGTTTTTTGCTGGTTTCGTTGGCAAGCTGATGAAATTTGCAGCCCAAGAAGTAGGTTGTGGAACTCTTGGAGTCGCAAACAACCCACTTGAGGTATTCTTCAATGATGCTTCGCTGAACTTGGTCAAAGTAGTTCTCACAACGTTCTGTCTGAAGCCCATGGAGAAGACCAGCGGATGGTTCAAACTTCAAATTCACCACAGCTTCTTCCGAGAAGACTTCGCTTATGTATTTCGAACGACAAGAAACTCTGGTCGCTGAATCGCCGGGCGAAGCTATTGGATTAGCTTGAGCCAGCAGAGGTACCGTGGTGGCTAGACAAATGAACACCAGGGCAAAGGCCATTGCTTTCTTCAGTTTCCTGCTGCTGTCACCAGAAAAGTGTTGTGAATGAAGTTGTAAACTTCTGCCAGCCCTTTTTATTCCATCTCCCTTCCACCGACCGCCACTATTTTGATAAGGTTTTATGAATGAAAACGTAAGTAAAATCTGTAGCCGGATCCTGCTAACTTCAGACCTTTTATTTGATATTTAAAAAAAAGTACGATAAAAAAGGCTTGTGATAACTTTTGTGACGAAATACCTCACTTTTTAAAATTTTTAAGGAAAAACCTCCTCTGAATTAATTTCTTTTCCTGTTTGTTTTTTTGTGAAATGCGCCATCATCACTTCCTATTATGAACATGTTAGGCACCTATAATTTGCAGATTGAATAAAATTTTTAAAACATTAGTTTGACTTGTAGGTTTGAACCAAAGAGGAAAAAACGACCTGTTATTGTTTGTGAATGTTACTTTCTAGGAAAAAAAATATTTTTTCAAATGTTTCAAGTCTAAACGGAATAAGGGAAATCTGAAACCTAAAAATTACACAGTGAAAATTAATCTTAAACTATGAACACAATCTTTTTCCCATCAATTTGATTTTATCATAATTCTTTGGCATGTGCAATTTGACATTTGTTAGGGGATGAGTTACAAACTCAACTTTTTCCAGGAATAGCCGTTTTATAAAGCTTACTGAAAGAAATCTGTAAACCCCCAAGATTTAAAATTTCGCATAGAAAAATTAATCTCTTTTAAGCCTATCTTGAACTTGGAATTCCTGTTTTCATGCTTTTATAATATGTTCACGTCATTGAGGCTTTAGCGCCGCATAACATAATAAAGCATTGCTTGGAAATTTCCCCTAATTAGCTGTGGCTAGCAGAATTGAAGAGTGGTCACTTATGCTCTGTGCGTCACTTCTGCTGACCAGAGTCTACTTCCTGTTTAGGAACAACAAGAGTGTTGGTGTACAATTCGTGTATTGTTTAGGCCGACACGAGCTAAATGAATGAGCAACTTTTTTAAATAACTTTTATACGTGAGATTGCACTTCCTGACATCCTGACCGCACTATTTTACGCAAATGCAGGCTAAAGACGATTGTTGTTTTGCGTCCAATAGGAAAAAAAAACAATAATTAATGCCCTTAGATTTTAATTAAAAAAAATATATTATCAAGATAGAAGCATGTTTGATTTAATTATTAATCAATATAATCCAAAATTCATCTTTGTAAAAGCATTGAAATAAAATCTAAACATTTTTAAATGCTAAAAATCAGTATAAATATTTATACAATGTACACATTTGAAATTCCTATTCCTTAATTCATCTTTATGTATTACACACTTCAATTAATTCTGTTTGAAGAACTTTTTGAATTGTTAAAAGGTTTCAATGTTTAATTATGCAGCAAAATGTCAAAGGCAGATTTACGCTCCACTCATGCAATATGCATCACTTGGCCGATTCCCCGGCCCCAATCTGTGGCAACCGCGGATCGATAATTCAGTGACCCATCAGGCCGGGGATAGGTTTAACACTGCGCGTGAACTTTCATTACTATTATTGTTGGCGTGCGGTGAGCAGGGCAGGTAGTCTACATTTCAGGGGGTGCCGCAATATCAAGACACACGATCTGAACATTAATGGAGCGACAGGTCCCTCGGTTCGTTTGCCAATGTCAATCTTCTTGCCTGATTGTGTGTGACTTGGGCAAACTTTCAGCGCTAAAAGATCCGTTCTGTATTAAAAATAAATCACCTAATCGCAAAGTTATACATCACGGATTTCTCAGTTTAGTAATTTATCGTTTTACTTTATTCCTATGTAATAATTTTTATTCTTTTACCTAAAAATAGCTAAAAAAATCAATATCAGATTATATCATTTTCCTATCACATATTGATTTTTTTTTCATATTCAGAGTTCATAGGAAGTATAATATAGGTGACTTCCGAGGTATGAGATAAAAAAGAACTGAAAATCCTTCTTTTCCTCCCAAAACATCCTGCCGCGTTGGCATTGCGATTGCATACCTCTTTGCTTTTGATGTTTTGTTCAATGTGTATTTTTACTTTGTGACGTTAGTTCCTAAATAATATTAAGAAAAAAAGGGAAAAAATTTTTACCATATTTCGTAAATATGGTTAAAAAATTTTCCTTATTTTCTTGGATTCAAATCATGACGTGTTTGAAAAATTATGTATTATTACGTTGAAAAAGGCTATAATTTATGTACTGGGTGTAGATAAGAGATAAATTCGAGCCTTCCGAATTGCCAGAGTTTGACTTCTTTTGTGCAGTTTGAGATATTTATGTTGTTGATTGCATCCGGTCTTTCCTTTTCCGTATAATGACGTAGAAGCCTCATTGTAAAAAAGCGTGCAACTTTATGAAATCGGTGAGGCTATTCTTGCAAAGGAGCTATTTTTGGAGACAAAAAGTGATCAAAGCGTGTTGCGATTTTGGCCCTGCTTTGGAGCACCAAAAACAAAGCGCCACGTCCTTTAATTATCACATTGTGCTGAGCGCGATGGCATATCAAAGGGGTGATTACTTTGTGTTGCAGGGGATTCAACAGGTCTCTATCCGCCGCTTGTCGACGGGTTCTGTTTTTGGAGGAGATAGCATTGTGCTCGGTTTGGTCCGCGACTCGACTGTTGTGACGCAAGACGCGTGCGAATTGCTCCGAGTTGAGAGCCACGATTTCCATTCTGCGTGGCAGGTGAGTGATTTTTTTGCCCTTTTTACGCCCCAGAAATAGATCCCAAGCACCAGGATATTTAGTACAAAAATTGAAAACAATTTCAAACCCACATTTCAGGAAACAATTGATTCTTATTATAATATTTAAATTCTACTTTTTCTTCTTTGCGGCATGGCCTCTGTGCGTACAATTGTGATACTTTTAAGCCCGTTACTCACGATTGAGGTTGAATTTTATTAACTTGCCTGTTTTTTTTACCGCGGCTTCCGATTTTCAGTGGATATTTTTTTTAAAAAAGGCAGGCAAACCGGAACCGCGAGCGACGTGCTCTATTCCATTTCGTCATAATTGGAAATTTATTTCCCTTTAATAAACCATTCGTAATCATTGACAAGAGTAAAATTTTAGACTTTGTAGCTTCAATCAAAGCAAATTATTATTATTATTATTATTTATTCTTCTCGGTCTAAAAATAATGTAATTAAAAAAGATATATCCTTCTTTTCGAATTTCTGAATGTATGTCAATAACCGTTTTGAATCATACGGTCAATGATATTTTGCTTCATTTAAAATTTTTAAATTTAGGCAAAAAGCTTTATTAATAAAAGTTTTAAACGCCTTATTACCTTCAGATGAAGTTCTATTGTATTTGAAATTCAGGCAAATTTTGCCTCTATAAAATAACATTTTATCATTTACGAATAGGATTATTTTCTGCACTTCTCAATATAAAATATGAAAAAGCTTTTGCAGACATGCGAGTCTTCAAAATATGTCTATTCGAAGCGTACTTTCCTTGCTCTTATGCAGCAAATTCCCTCCAAGTTTTATCCCGAGAAGTTTCATCGCCCACAAACGAACGATCAATAAAATGGGTGTATTTTTTTTGCCGAGCCAAGAGTCACATACTACTGGCGATTCTGACAGACTCAATTACTCGTGGTTAGGCGGATATATTTTTAGCACGATTCGCTATTAAGCTAAAAAGAAGACACGAGGAAGGCAGGAAAACAAAATTCCGTTCACTAATTAAACCTTCTTGCAGCGCGGGGGTGCGCAACGGCAATCATTAAAACAGCTCGCTGTGTTCAGATGGGGGTTCTCCTCTGGGAAATAATGATGTCCGTTTCGATCTCATTTTTAGCCGGGCAGAGACGCGATCGCACTGATTGATACAAATTATTTGGAGAGACCGGCGAGATCCGTCACCACTCGTTACTTTTCCAAAGCTTTTGTTGCGTCCGCTTCCCTGGGAAATAAACTTGTAGCTTGTTACGTTATAAAAATAGTCTTCCTGTTGCACTCGCCGACAGCGGGAATTTTTTATTTTGCCGGTGGAAGGAACACTTAATTATACGTGCGCCGCGTACATCTTCATTACTTACACCTCCGCACTCGGGGTGCTGATTGCGAGAGGAATGAACTCGATTCCCTGCTGCGCCACGGGATATCTTCTTCAAAGCGTGATTGCTCTCTACTCCGCAGATATTTCATTTTATGGAACACAACTCTCTTGAGAAGATATTGATTTTTCTTTTTTTTCTTTTCAATCGCACCAAACTCGTCAAAAATCTGATAAAATTCTTTAATTTTGAAATAATTTTCATTTATTTTTCATTCCTCCTTGCAATAATACGTTTTATTTTTGAGTTTTCTCATGATTCAATGAATTATTATTGCAATTTCGCAGATGGAAGTTTTTAATCACAAATTACTATGCAAATAGAAAATATATTTACAAAACAACAATTAATACAATATTTTACTGTAAATTCCTATTCAATTTGATCAATTGTTGTTTTTGCTGCTAATTTTCGTCACAATAACTTCTTTGCAATAATTTACTGTTATTCACGTAGCAGATCCATTTTTCATCATAAACATCATGATCTTACGTAATTTGTATTCATTTTATTGAAACATGTTGATTTTCGGTTAATTTATAAAATATCTTAGGCATGAACAATAGCTTCATTCAATATTATTTACTGATTCGAACTAAAATATTTGAAATTAAATTGTTGTGGTTTAACTAGTTTGACGTTGATTTTTTTATTTAACATTTTACTTACGATATAAAACAATACATTGGAAAATTTTACCTGGGAATTTGTGATATTTTTAATATCTCAGCTTTTTTATCAGTGAAGCTGTTTGCACGAGGTTATTTATAGGGATAGGAATAGAAGTGCAATCACAGCCGTCCAAGTGCATGAGATGCATTGTTCATTAGCAGCAAGTTGGCTGTGAGCGATCAATATTATGTACTCGCAGCAAGCTTGTATTATATTTGCATGCAATCGGGCTAATCACTCACACGACTCGCGACCCAGTAACTAAGTTTTCTGTGTAATGAATATGCCGGCGCACAGCTATGCAACCCGATACACTTGGCCGTTTCCTCCCAGAGGGATTAGATTTCGTTTTCCTCTCTGCCAAGCTCGCTGACGAAATCGTGACAGGGCAAATTTAATGATTGTTTTCATTCCGTCCGAATTGATGCTAATTAATCTCTCTCGGCTGTGCTGCAGGCGGCAAATGTTAATTAATTATTCAATACGCTCGCCGGGGTGGATTATCTGCTAAACAGCGGATGCTGCCGCGCCCTCAGCAGAAGTGACATGCTACAAAAGGATGTTCTGCTCGTGGCAGGAAATTTGCTTTGCGCTCTTCATAATGACTTTCCTTATTGTTTGAGCCAATAGGATGCTATATAGGGTGCTAAAGTCGGATTATAAGGCTGTTTATTGCTAAAGTTAAAGCTGAGGACTTCATCTTGCATGCAAATTATTTACTCAAAATGGCACAGCTCCACGCTTTCCAACAAACTTTCTCGTAGAAGATGGAGTGATTATCTACAGCCTTAATAAACTTTTTTTTATTTAACAAAGAGTAATTAATTTTACTTGGTTTGCTAATTTTCTTCAAAATATCAAGAAAAGCTTGATAAAAAATATTCCCTCTACCACAGATCAATTCATAATTACAATCATATTTTTGATTCATGTCAAATTACGATAATCGAGTATTTTTTAAAAAAAAAAATCTGCATTTTGATTGACGACACCAAAATTGCAAAGAATTGGGGAAAAATTTATTTTCAACTTTATATAAGCAATAATCTATAATATTTTCTTATCGTGGCGCTCTATTGAGACCAATACGGCTTTGGTCTTCATTCGGCAGAGAGTCGAACTTTGCAAATAATAAAACATTAAAGGTTCCCTATCGACCTTTGTTGGCTGATAAGCAGCTAGAAAACTACCTGCTCACTGTACTAATGGTGCTATCAGCATTGATTGCACATTTACAACGCGAGCCGTATCATAAAATTGCTGTGTATGTTTGACAGTGTGACTCACACACTTCTCTCCGTAATCCTAGCCGCAAAAGTGAAAATTGTCACATGTTATTATTGTTTTGCAACTGCGTCACTGAACCTTCTAGTTATACTGGCAGCACAATATATGCATATTATAATTTTGTTACCTCGATGATTGATTTTTTTACTTCAAAATATTTATAAATAATCTAGAGAAAATAACTATTAATTTGTCATAAAGCTACAAGAATAACAAAATCGGTATGATTTGATTTACAACAATTTTTGCGGACGGTGAAATTTAAAAAAGACAGCGATAGTCCTTCTAGTTTTTTTTAGCAATTTTTATGTTGAATTTAAATGAAATGATATAGCATTGTAATTTTTCTTTAAAATCTGGAAATTATAAAAACTTTTGGTTGAAAATTTACTTTACATAGCCTACAATTAGAACAAGGTTTTCAAAATATAGCTGATTCTCTTTTTATAATTTTATGAAATCTTTAAATTGTGATGGATAAGAAATAAGGAAATTACTTTTGAGCTTTTGTATACTTGGAAGGAAACGTGGATCTTACGGAGAAGGGCATTATTTCTCATTTTGACTGATAACTGGAAACCTTGTCCGGCCGTTTTATCAGGAGCAAGGTCGGAATTTTGAAACGGCCAAATTTACAATAAGAGAGCGCGTAATTAGGAACGTGGACGGCCGCTTATTCACGTTCGCTATCAGCAGTGGGCAGGTATATAGGAAGGTGTTGTTAGTGTTGGAGTGAAATGAGCGAGGCTGTCAATGCAAAAGAGGGGGGCCGCGGCGCGCGGGGCACAGAGGCCAAACGAGAGTCAGTCGGCGTGAATGAAGCGGCGAGATAAGGCCCAGCACAAGTTCGAAATCTGCCTCGGCTACCCGTGCTTCAGTCTCGAGTTGACCCCGAATGATCGCACCCTCACCGTCTTCTCATTGCAGCGCAACAAGGAGGTGCTCGGGGACCTCGTGACCTCGGCCACCGCGGCCCGTCTCAAGAATGGTGAGTAAAAAGTTTGCACACCCCTTGCAGCGCGTGTTGCAATTAAAATTTCGCAACTCGCCCCTACACGGCCTACCCCCAACTCTTGTTCTCCCTCGAGCTGCTGGGGCGGAACACGACGCGTCCTCAGGGCTTTCTTTAATTTTCTTCTCTGTTGGTTCAAGCCTGAGACACGCTGCGAATCATTATTTTCTAGCTCGGCGCGGCCGCTGACGCCAGTTGCTTTTTTATCAACGCCGACACTAATTAGTTATCGCAGTTATCGCTTAATTTGGCTGCCAATGAATGAGCTCACTCTTGATGATTTTCGTCATAATTTTGTCTTCACAGTTCAAAGTCTATTTTAAACATTTTGTTCTTCTCATTTAAAAATATTTTATCTCGTCCGGTAAATTCAATCAAGTCAACACTGTCTGTCGGTTTTGGTGTTTCACTTTTTGTTTCCTTTTATAAGGTTTTTATTTTTATTTCTAAAGAGTAATTAACTTGCAACATTAATTTCATAAGTTTTTAATTTTCAAAATGCCACCAAAGAAATTTGAATTATTCAACTTTCATCAAAACTTACTTTTTAGAAAGATTTCTGTGAAATTTTCCTTCCACAAACTTCTTATTTTAGACACGCAATATGTTAGAGAGCAATGAAGCGCTTCAATTGTTCTCTGTTTTCTTCTCGTAATTGCCGTCCCGTTACGAAATCGCTTTATTTCGACGCAGTCCAGCGTGGCGATGTTTGCGTAGCGCTAGAGCGCTCTCTATTTCCACCAATCCCCTCAGCAGCGAGAGCGGCTCTGATTGAAGCCGCTCCTCTGTGTCGATCCTTTTATTTATCCGCCCTTTCTATCCTGTGATTAATTAAAAGTGTCTTGCTGCAGCTGAGGAACTTTGCCTTCCGACAAATTGCTATTAAATTGGTGTTGCTGATAAAATCCTCTTTTCGCATTCCACCGCCCTTTCTTTAGTTTAATCTTTACAGATAATTTCTGTTTTTACAAAATTTTCATCAACATCCATCCAACATTAAACTTAACAATAGGATGTTCTTTTCCCGTAAAAAGTTAATAATATTAATTTTTAAATCTGAAATTCAAATAAAATTATTATTATAATTTAATATAGAACATTTTTTATTTTTTGTATTATTTTGTTGCTGTTCAAGGAAAATCCTATTTCTATTTTTATTGCTAACCTGTTCTTAAAGTGAAGGGATCCACAGCTTAAACGTGTGCTCGTTTCTCAAGCAGAGGAATTCACGCATGGCGGCACCCGAAATTTAAATTTATCAACAAAACAAAAGAGACTCATCTTCAGCCAAATTAGACATAATGCGTCATTTTCCATTTTGCATAAATTTCCATAGCGTCCTTTTCCTGTTGGCTGCTCAGCCGACGGAACGTTATTTCTCATGCATAAAAGTTGAGTGGCGCACATCGATTACGCCACTCGACCTGTTCGCGAATGAGGAGCAAACTTTTCCGCGGCGCCAGCAGCGACACCGTTTTAATGTAACGCTTTTGCAGAAGAGAGCGACGCCAATTTTTATAAGCGTTCGCCTCAAAGTTTCTCGATGGAAAAGCTGGCGGTGACATTTTTTCCTGTTGAAATGCTTTTCCCAGTATTTATTTCCACTCGGCTAAACATTTAAAGCGACAGGACCCTCAAGCATTCATATATTTATTCTTGTTCCTGGATTGCTTCTCTTGACATTTAGCCCTGAAACAGATGGGGGTATCTGCATAATGATCGCACACACTCATTTGCATTTTCTAACTATTAAACCAAATGAAATGAAGGGACATCTCAAGATATATTTTCAATCAATAATATTTTTCAAATGGGATCAAGGGCAAGGAAATTTTAAATTTCACGTAATTTTTTATTTGTCTAAGAGCTTATTGAAGATAACTGCCATCAAAAATGGATTTATGAATTATTTATCAAAATTTTTTTTTTTTTTTAAATTTATAGGAATTTTTCAGAAGAGTGAAAGTTTTGTGATTGATGGTACTAGCGCGGTACTTATTTTTATAGTTTGGAGCGTTCACTTTAATGGTATAAAATGGGTTTACGCTCAACCAGGGAGAATAATAGCTTTTTGTAAAGACTATAAGGGTACTTGCAGCTCGAATAAATTACATAACCAGCATAAATTTAAATAAACTCTAAATCTAACAATAAATAATAACCGCGAAGTGTAGAATTAGGTCCCTGAGAAACGCCTAGTAAAAGTTTCTGTGTGCAGTAATAAATTTCAATAGCCCGTGTTGAAAGCAATTTTCCATTGCATGCTTTTGCAAACCACTCTATTAAGTGTGTCATCAGTCCGACTTACTACGCCTAGTGGAAATAATTCAATTTACACGCCCAATTTGCATGCAAATGATATTCTAATTTGTACGAGACTATGTGAAATGGTTCGTCCTAACCAGTGCTTTCATTCCAGGCTATGAGACGCCACCCCCTGGGGGAGGCACTCCGCAGCACAGGAAATCGTTCGCAGCTTCCAGCCCCGCGGAAAGTCCCAATCCAGCATCTAGCTCTCAGCAGCCTCTTTCCGAGGTGAGTCTTTATATTGCATTTTTTAACCTTAATTTGCATAAATTTTGCTCCATTAAAAAAAATATGAGCCCAGTTACGTCACAAAAATTTTTGCGATAAAAAATGGAGATGTCTTTTTAGTTGGTCATTAAACTGGGAATTCATCAAGATAAGGTGCTTTTCAGAATCCCTCGCATTGTGTTGATAAAAGCCGGCGCTACGTTCATCGTCTTTGTTAGTAAAGCTGAGGCTTTTTTTCATAAAGCGAAAATAAATGATGCTTCTTTTAATGGAAAGACGACACCGTTATTGTGCGCCCTGTCATTAGAGCTGTCTTGGAATGGAGAAAAATTACGCGAAGGGATGGAAAAGGGGATGAAAAGTGCGGCTCTTTTTTCGCCAGCTTTTCACAGAAATAAACGATCTTTTAAAGTCTGTCAAGAAGCTCTACCCACACACTGTGAAGCAGATTTTAGTAAATTTGTTAAAGTTTTCATGAGAAAAAAATTATATATATAAAAAAATAATACATTTAAAATACAAAAATTCAAGTCAAAATTTAGATGAATGTTTTAGGTTGGAATTTTAAATTTTTATATTTAGATGTGCGTAAATAGCATCAATAATTTAATTAGTGTACCACAAAAAATCGCTTCCTATATAACTAGATAAATCATCCAAATATTTAAAAATAATAAACGAACACTCGATAATTGAATAAGAGGGAAAAAAAGAATACACATAAAGATATCTCAACATTGGGCCGATGAAGAGAGAGATTTTTCTACTCTGGGCATGTAGAGAAATATCTCAACACATTGGATATGTAGAAATATTAAATGTACACATTTTTTAAATATATAAATTTTAAATCAAAATTTAAAGTTTTATTTGCATCAAATTTTTTTTCTTTGATAGAATGGCTCCCGAGCTGGTTGGGTGTTGCACACACTGTTGTTGGCGAGGGCACCAGGTCTGCTGAGGGAGAGGAAGTCGTCAACAGGACGTGTCCTTAGGAGATGTGCTGCCGGCACCGACCTCGTCGAATGGCTCATGACCATCGGCGTGCACAGTCGACAACAAGCTACCGCCATGTGGCAGGTGCTGTTGGAAGAGGGAATCATCACGCACGGTAGGCTTCAATTTCCCACGCATTCACGACACAAATAATAATAAAAGCCGGATTATACAATGCGCGTGTCAACCCCTGTTGAATGAGAGGACGCAACCCGCTCAACAGGTGCCTTTAGCGAGTTGCCTGCATCCGATAATTTTACACTCGCAGTGCACTTGTTGAATCATATTAAAATGAAATTTAAATTGGCACAAAAATAATAAATCAATTGATTAATAAATATGGAAAAATTTAATTTCTTTTTGAAAATAATAATTTTTTGAATTAAAATTGCAGTATCTCGGGAGCAACCTTTCAAAGACAAATTCTTGCTGTACCGATTTTGGCAAGACGATGAAAATGGGTTGAGCAGCACCCCTTCGGATGTCGAGGAGTCTCAAGCGCAGGCCGAGCTGAAGGACGCGCTCGCCTACTTAACGCAGAAGGCGCCAGACGCTATGATGCGCCTCATATTAAGGAAGCCGTGAGTTGCTTGCTTGTCTCTCTTGTATCAGTTTGTTTTTCAGATATAATGACTCATTGTTGATCTTGTGTCACGTCAACTTATTTTGTCACACGCAGGACTCACGAAAGGACCGTCGAAGACTTGGAAACCATTTACGAGGAGTTGCTGCACATCAAGGCACTTTCTCACCTGTCCAATTCGGTCAAAAGGGAGCTTGCATCCGTTATTATTTTCGAGTCGCACCAGAAATCGGGCACTGTTTGTAAGTACTTTTACTATCTTAAGCCCTTGCCAAACAACTCTCACAGAGGAGCCGCTGTGCAAAGAAAATAAAATTTAAATTTTGTTGAAAAATAATAAAAATAAATTTTATAATTTTATTTTTAGTGTTTCACCAAGGCGACGAAGGACACTCTTGGTACATCATATTGAAGGGTTCAGTTAACGTGGTCATCCACGGCAAAGGGGTGGTGACCACCCTGCAAGAAGGTGACGATTTCGGCAAACTGGCGCTCATCAACGATGCTCCCCGATCGGCCACAATTGTGCTGCGTGAAAACAACTGCCACTTTCTGCGCGTTGACAAGGACAATTTCAACCGTATCCTGCGCGACGTCGAGGCGAACACTGTCCGGCTTAAAGAGCACGGCAGGGATGTGCTTGTCCTCGAGAAGATCTCCCCGGCCACTAATGCATTTTCACACTTCAAGTAAGTATTCTTTTTTTTAATTCCGCGGATACATCTTTTTTGTTATTTATTAAGATCTGATATTTTAATTTCAATTTGTATTAATTTCCGCAAAAATTCCTAATTGACCGCAGAAATTGACGGTATTTTTATAACAAAAATAATAGAGTATAATTTAACCTCTAAATTTGCTCAGGCCTCAGGCCGCAGACCATTGTTTAATTGTTTTGTTCTTTGAATGGGAGAATTACTCACATCCGCAAAGTGGCTAAAATAACCACACATGAACTACATAAAGTGAATGGCCGGTTAAATAATACTCTTCATACTAGAAATTTAAATCAATTTTAGGAAATTTTAGTCTGTAATTTAATTTATTAATTAATTAAAAGAAGTTGTTCATTTCCTAATTTGATTTTTGGGTCTGAATAAATAAATAATATTCAAGAGCATTGTTGCCGTTTTTTATATGAAATAACTAATTTTTATTATTATTTTATTTTGTATATAATGAAGGCGTAATATTAGAATGGTGTGGGTTTTTTAGGTGCCAGAAACTGGATTGCATAGACATGCATAAAGCAATTAAGTCTTGGAAATTCTTTTAATTTAAAATTCTTTTAGTTTAAAAGTTTTAAAGTTAGTAAAAGTAGAAAGAAGTTCTTGTCTGCTAATGAGAAATTAATCCGATGACCGGGTTTTCATGAGAAATATATAATTTATTTCCTGCATATTATAGTATAAAGACGTATTTTTAAGTTGAAGAGCAGAGCGGCTTTTTTACAGAGCGCATTTTAAATTCAATTTCCAGGTACACTGTGATGGCTGGCACACCTCAAAAAATGCTAGAGCATTTGTTGGAAACAAGACTTGATGGTAGAATAGGACAAACAAGAGAAGAGGGACCAAGTGATCCGTTCTTGGATGACTTTTTACTCACGCATATTGTTTTTATGCCTACGCACCAACTGGTCACCGAACTGGCTAGACAATATCCTTTCCAAAAAAAATCCATTTTTTTTTTTTTTTTTTAAATAATTTATACTTTCCTATGAAATAAATTGTTATTCTTTTGGTTGCACCTTAACTGAGGCTCACTTATAGAATTGACTCTCCCAGCCAAGACCGAGAGTTTTTAGTTGCATGCAAGAGAAGAGTGGTCCACTATGTGCACCGATGGGTCACCACTATACGACACCCCGTTTTCGAAGAGCCGAGTGCGTTTGCATTCCTGGAGGTTTGTATAAGAGCCACTCGAATGCAAATTTCGGTGGTCGTGGCAGGAGAGCGTTTTCATTAAATAAATTACAACGCAGGAACTCTCTGGAGAGGTCAGCGACGATAACGCGAGGTGGGAAATGGAGGATGAGAATGCCAAAATGACTCAAGTGATGGACGAGTTGGCCCAGTGGAGCACGACCCAGAGCTCTCCCCAAAAGTGGAAACTTCCTCCAGGCGGTCAACCCATCAGCGCGTTCGGCTCGGACGCGTTGAAAGATCTCAGAATGAAACCCCACGATGACAGTAAATTGATATATGAAAATTTATGAGCCAAAAACATTAAATTTTTCCTTGACAGTAATTTTCCGAGTCTATTGTGCCGACCACACTTATTGCACTCTTCGATTTCCTCTGAGCACAACCGCTGATATCATCAAGGTCAGCGCTGCGGACAAATTAGGATTGAAACACGATGATCTCATTTTAGTTGAAGTTAAATCCTCAGGTTGAACGATCCATATTAATTCTCAAATTGAAATTTTAATTTTGTTTACAATTTGCAGGAGAGCGGGTGGTTTTCAAAGACACGGACGTAAGCATCCCAACGGGTCTAAGTCTGAATGGGAGAATTTTTGTGTCCCCAAAGGAGCACCTTGAAGCACTGGTTAGCATTTTTTTTTCTCGTTAAATTTTTCTTTGACGTCTTTGTTATTATGTAGACTTGCCTTCCCGATCAAGAGACTCCTACTGAGGGATCTGTCGCAGACCTTGAACTTTACAGCACCAAAGAACTAGCCTATCACATGACACTGTTTGACTGGTCTTTATTCTGCGCTGTGCACGAGGTGGATTTTAAAATCAAATTTAATTTTTTAAATTAAAAACTTATTTTTTTTCCAGTACGAATTGATTTATCACACTTTCGGTCGGCACCACTTCCACAAGATTACTTCCAATCTAGACGTCTTCCTTCGAAGGTTTAACGAAATACAATTTTGGGTGGTCACCGAAATCTGCTTGACCTCGAGTGTGAGTCGAAGGGTGCAGTTGGTGCGGAAATTCATCAAACTGGCAGCTTAGTAAGTTATTTATTTTTTCTTCGATCGAATGAAAACTTTTTTTCAAATCCATTTAGCTGCAAGGAATACCAGAATCTGAACGCCTTTTGTGCAATTGTGATGGGATTGTCAAATTTAGCCATCAGCAGACTGTCACAAACGTGGGACAAAGTGCCATCCAAGGCACGCAAGGCGTTCACAGAGTTTGAGGCGCTCATCGATCCGAGCAGAAACCACCGCTCCTATCGAATGGTCGTGGGCAAAATGAGGGCCCCCGTCGTGCCCTTTATGCCCCTGCTGTTAAAGGACATGACATTCACCCACGAGGGCAACAAAACCTGTCTAGACGGACTGGTCAACTTTGAGAAAATGCACATGCTTGCGCAAACTATGAGGACCATTCGGCACTGCAGAACATCTCAGTCAGGTATTTATTTTATTAATTTAATTCGTACTAAAAACAGTGAAATTAGCAAGATTTTGGCGTTTCGCTGTTGGAATGAGATTTATAAGCATGAGTAAGATTTATAATTTAATGAAATTTTATAAGAATATGATTAAAGATAAAACTGAATTATTAGCTGGAACTGGTCGCAGCTATAAATTTAATTTTTAGCGGGCGTATTTTTTTATGTTTAATTTGAATTTTATTTACTTTAATTTCAGCAACCTTTGAGCCACCGTCGCCAAAAAATGAAGCCGAAGTGAAGGCGTACATTCGCTGTTTGAGGGTCATCGATAACCAAAGGGTTTTAACAAGTTTGTCTCACAAGTTGGAGCCTCGACGGTCCTAAATCTGAGTTGTTGGCGTGAATTTAGAAAATGTGAAAAATATGCTTAAATTTCCAAGTCTTTTAAATCACATCTTGATGTGTTTTGAACACCAATTATTAAATCTGGATGTCTTAACGATCAAAAGAAGTTTGGCTCTTTTTGCTGTACGAGAGAATCATCAAAATATATACACACACAATATGAAGTGGATCAATATCAAAATAATTAAACTGCATCCCTCCTTCGGTGTTTAAAGAAAAAAAGTGTCATGATTGCAATAACCTTTGTCGCAATAGTTTTACTATGCTGTTGCAAAAATTCTTATACAAATTGTAAATACTGAATATTTTATATGGTGTGCCTTTTGTATTTATATCTATTGTAAATAAAATAGAATTCTCAATTTATGAACATTATAATAATATTCCGAGCAAAGAGAAAACCAAAGAACATTGTGTAAGCTGAAGTTATTTAAATTGTAACACATTGTGTACGTTCATAACTGTATATTGCATAATTATACACCTTAAAATCAAAATTGATATTTGCGCTGGGATTGAAGTTTTTTTTAACTTTAAAATGCCTGAGAATGTAATGCTTAAAAATTTTATTTGAAATCAACTACATACATACTTTTAGTCAGAAAGAGGGTGCACTGGTTTGTTACAGTACACAAGGCTGATTGAAAATCTAATGTAGAAGTGGAAAATTATTGGAAATATGGGAACTTGACTTTATTAATGCTTACTCAAATGTATCACCAGCCTTTTCTCTGAGTGTCATGAGCTTTCTTAACTTCTAAAACTATTATATTGTGCACTGTTTTGACAATCACTTCAATCAACACTCGCTCCCTTTCAAATGTGTGGCTAATGAATTGGTCAATTCTTACAAAGTCCTGCTCGTCTTAACTTTAAGCGTGTCCAATGTGATCTTTGATACAAATGTTATGCATCTATTTACACATGCTTCGTAATTAAAGACTTCGTCACTAAAAAATTGTCGTATGTACACTTTGTTCCTTGTTATAATCACGTATTTTGAGTGTGTGTGCCTGCTGCTATTTTATACATATTTGAATGTTCTTCACACTGCACACAATTTTCTAAACCATCAAAGAGCAAATAAATTTGTCATCCATATACACTTTACATCCGTCTTTTAAATTTTTACTGCACCGATATACTTTTGAACTGCACTTAGTTAAATTGAAGCTTCACTCAATAACTAAATTGCCTAAATTACTTATTTACGTATTCTTATATAGCAGCCAAGGGAGATGGAAACATACCCACCACGTCTTGATGTCCTAAAAGGTGAAATCATCGCATCAAAATTGAGTTTTGAAGTTTGAATATTTTTTTAATCAACTTACCTCTACCCCGAGCCAGCTTGAGGGCAGTTTCACCATTGGAAGTTTTCAATTTGGTGTCTGCGTCGTGATCCAGCAGCCACTTCACAATAGCACTGTTTCCAGCACTGGATGCCAGGTGCAGAGCAGTCATTCCGTTGTAATTAGCTTCATCTACATCACATCCTAAAACATTAATATTTTGGAAGCCAGGTTTTATTTAAATTTTTAAAATTGAAACCTGCAGCAAGCAGGATGCCGAGCAGGTTCAAATCACAACTCTGATCTCCGGCATCGAGCAGAGATCGGACAGCAAGGTAAAGTGGAGAATCTCCATTCTTGGTTTTGCGGTTGATATTGGCACCTGACACAATAAAGACCAAATTGGATTATATAAATTAAATTAAGAGTTTAATTTATTTACCGTTAGCCAACATGAACCGCACCAATGGTGTACAGCCGGACCAGCATGCATTCTAGAAATAACAGAAGGAAATTGAATTTTTATATCCTTCCTCTATATCTTTCTCTTTGTACCAAGAAGGGGGTGAAGCCATATGGCTCCCGAGGCACGTTGATGACATTGGGAGCTTCCATGATCAAACTGACGCAACGGTTCAAGTTTTGTCTCTCATGAGGGAGCTGGATTTAATTTTAGTGTTTCATGGAAACAAAATAATAATTATAGGTATTTTCTACTCACAGTGGAGCAAATGTGGACTTCGTTGAGCAATTGAGACTCGTTTTTCACTTTGTAGACAAATGATTCAGCATATTCTCGATTCAATAGGCCTGTGAACAGAAATTTTTAACACTTTTTTCTTCCATATTTACATAATTTATGGAATAAAAACTTAAATTATGACCAACTTACTTTCAAATTTCTTGAGCAAGTAGAAAAAGAATAACCCAATAGCTGTCAAAATGGCAATTTTTGTGACATCAGAAGCAGTGCCGAAGGAAAAAACTTCAGCATTGTTGATTCGAAGGTAAGCAATGATGTTCTCAAAAGTGTCCTTGGTAAAATATTCCTCCATATTTCTTTTAAATCTGAATACACCTTTAAACAAAATCAGTATCATAATGGTAAAAATTATTAAAACCAAAAACATGTGCATAATTATGCATAACGCACAACTAAAATTCACATAAAATTTATGTGCGTGAAACATGAATGGATTCAAAAATTAATTCCCACCTAAAATGGAATCCAATGAGAAAATTAAACTGTGGATGACGAGTCACACTCCAACTGGGCTTTTATGTTATCAGACAATAATATTATGATCTGCATGGAGCGACTATTGTAAATATTACGGTGTTTTTATCCGCCGCCAAAGGTCCACCGGGCACCGATCAACTTTTCTGGTTTATCCTCTTCCGGTCTGCCTTTTTTCCATTCCGTCCTTTGATTAATTGTCTTTGCCTTTCCGCTTTCTATGTACCTAGAACCGAGAAGTCCAAGTGAGCTGAATGAGTTTACGTGAGTTTATGAGTCGATCAGTTCATGATCAGTCGTTGCGCTGATGGTTCTCGTCTCCTCTGGTTATGGATGGAACAACGTGTTTGCTTTGCTGCAAATTTAATGAGAAGGAATTTGATGAAATGACTCATAAAGAAGAGTGGCGATTTGGTGGCGATGTTGACGAGACCAACAAGGACGAGACTTCTTCGCGGCGAGTGGAAAAATTCTAAAGAGTATTGGAAAGGAGCAAGATATTTTTTTTTGCGATTCCCGCGCACCAATTGACATCAGCGCCATACTACGGCATTATTAACAACTATGTTTAGAAATCAACAATCACGGCCATCGAAAAATTGCACTGCCTTTTGCCTTTTGCACTCACCAATTTTCGAGATAAAAGTTTGATGTTTAACACATCAATGAGTTGGTCACTAGTCAAACCATAAAACGGTGAGAACTTTGATTTATTTGAATTTATCTATGAAATGCTTTTGTCAAATGTCTCGCAGGGCCATTTCGAGGTTTGAGAAGGCGCGATTCTCTATATTAAATTTCAACCTCAAAACCAAAGATGTCCAATGCTGGTCTCCTGGTCGTCACTAATCCAGCAAAACTGGGCCACATGCTGCAAATCGTGCAGAGTAGAGTGCATAAAGCTCTGTACATTCAACTGGAGTCGATGGAATCGCGAGGAATCGCCTGCGTCAGCCGTCTAGTGTCTGGAGTTTATTCGCAGGCCTCGGCCTTGTGCCACAAATTAGACGTCCGACTTTTGATAAAACCTCTAAATCAAGACGTAGATATTGTTTTCTATGATGGACAAAATTCAAGCCTGTAAGTATTTTTGTTTTTTAAATTTTAAAAATAGCATGAAACTGAAATTTATGTATTTATTCCCCACAGAGAAAGTTTTCGTTGCTCTAAAGAAAAGCTGGAGTTGAGTTTGGACGATCACCCACTGAGTGCAAAATTTTTGAAACTAGCAAATGAGGCCACTTCGCTGGAAACGGACAAGCAGTTTGCCCACGTTGTCTTGGGTGGCACTTTTGACAGGCTGCACATTGGGCACAAAGAACTGCTTTCCCAAGCCATAATTCGATGCAAGAGAAAACTGACTGTTGGAGTCACAGATGCAAACATGCTCTCTTGTACGCTCTCAACTTGAATATAAAATTTATCTACTAAATTTTCTGTTTGCAGCCAAGATTTTGAATGAATTGATCGAACCCTGTGATGTCCGAATTGAAAAGGTGAAGGAATTCTTGATGGACGTTGACAACACACTCGAATATGCTGTCGTGCCAATTAGTGATCCATTCGGTCCAACCAAAGACGATCCGACCATGGATGTAATTGAAGCGATTGAAGCCAACATATAATTTTTATAATAATTAAAAAAAAATCCCTAGCTAATTGTTGTGAGTGACGAAACCTTGAAGGGTGGATTAAAAGTGAATGAAGTGAGGGCAGGAAAAGGACTTGCTCCTCTTCAACTCCATTGTGTTCAGCTGGTGGAGGACCTTGTTCCGTCGCACTTACGAGACTTGGACACCGAGGATTGGAAAATCAGTTCCAGTTCTGCAAGAATGCGCTTGCTAGGCACACTATTAAAAAAACCAGATGTAATTTTGTATGAGAAAAATTTTCATTTTGGGATAAATTTAATATTTTGTAGCCTCGTCCAAATATTCCATCGTCCCCCCATCTAATAGGCCTGACTGGTGGCATAGCAAGCGGCAAGTCAAAAATTGGAGAGAGGTTGGAGAAGAAAGGCTGTGGAGTGATCAACTGTGACTTGATCGGACACCAGGTTTATGAGCCTGGAACCAAAGGATTGCAAATCCTTGTTGACGAATTCGGAAAGGATATTTTGGATGACGAGGGTAAAGTCAACAGACGAGCATTAGGAAAAATTGTTTTTGGCAGCAAGGTATAGAAGATATTGAAATATTTCTTGAAAATATAAATATAATATTTTATTTTCAGGAACGGCTTGAAAAGCTGAACTCGATTGTTTGGCCTCTGATGCTGGAAATAGTTCAGCAGAAGATCAAGGAATTTAAACGTATGGGATGCCAAGTTGTTGTTCTGGAGGCAGCAGTTTTGGCCAGAGCTGGCTGGCATTTAAAATGCCACGAAGTTTGGTCTGTGATTGTCCCGCAGGCAGAGGTAAATTAAATACTCAATTTACTATTTAATGTTGAAACTAAAATTTTATTCTAATTTTAAGGCAATTAAGCGATTGCAAGAGAGAGACAATTTGAGTGAGGAAGATAGCAAAGCTAGGTGTGCGGCTCAGCCCCCCAACAGCGATCATGTGCGACTGGCCAACATTGTGTTCAGTCCGAGCTGGAGCCCGGAGCACACAGACAAGCAAGTCGAACGCGCCTGGGCACAACTGCAGAGCAGGTTGTCCTCGTCAAGTCGCTTGTAAAGTGTATTTGCTGCCAGTTGACGAAATTTTCAAGCATTGTGTGATATCACTTGAGAACGGCACGTTTAAAGTTTCTTTTTACAATTTGTGACGTCAATTTAGCATTAGATTTTAGAGCAAAGGTTAAACATTTTATATTTTTATGGGTGCGTTGAAAATTGAATAAAACATATTACTGTTAAAAAATTTCCCTTTTAGTCATCTGAAATGTAAATGTCGAAATTAGACGAAATCAGCTGCAAGTCCTCTTCGATTTGGGCTATTTCTTTTTCAAGTTTCTTCTTTTTGTTGATAAGATATGGAGTGTCTATTATCACTGGCATCAGCAGAAATTCAGAATTTTTATCATTGAGACTCTTCTCCAAATTCTGTTGATGATATCATCATGAAATTAAAGGTCAAAAATTGTAATTTTGTTATACCTTTATTAGTTTGCTGCGCTCTTCATGAGACATCATTTGCATAGTAGTGTCCTGACCTTTAGAGCTTGATTCTGCCGGTTTCTTTTTCAATCGCTTTGCAAATCCAGGAGATTTTCCATAATTCTATTAAATATTTTTTACGATTAATTTTAATAAGACTAATTTTGTTTTTCCTCTAAATCAAACCGTTTTAAAAATGTATTTTGGTTGGCGAAGAGTGGTCAAATTTCCATTGTACGAATCAACTACTTTCGGTTTTGTGTATTTTGGCTCCACACTTGGAATGCTCTGAATATTATCTGCTAGAAAATTCTTCTCGTCCCTCCGGTGAATGCACGCAGGACGAGGTAATGGAGGCTTCAATGAATTCAACAAACACCTAGGCTCGTCTTTTAAATTCAAATGAAAAGGATTGAACTCAGAATGTGAAATGCAAAACAAAAAAAATATATACCCGTTTCTTTCTTCAATTCTTTCCTCGAATATTTTTTCAAAAAGTTGCAAGGCTCCGGGAGCGGTTCCTCTGCGTTGCCCATTGTGGAGCGGGCCTTTTTCAGGTACTCGTTCTCCTTGACTACCCTGTCTCTGTGTGCCGATTTGTGTCTGCGGAGAAGATAGTGTAATTTTTAAATGAATGTTATTTTTTGAAAACACGGCAATATACCTTTTCATTTTGTAAGGTTTTGGCGGCGCTCTTTCTACAATATCTTGAATTTTCTCCTCTGGTGCGCTTGACATTTTAATATACTTAAATTCAGTTTAATTTAATGTAAACGAATCTAAATTTTATCGTGTGTTATATTTTCAAAACGGTCGGCTCATAAACATATTTTGCGTTGTCATAGAAACTAATACTATAATACTGAAAGCAGTGCGCGCTTTTCCTCTTCACTCAATCGTTTAATTCAGTAATATTTTTATTTTACCAAAAAACTTCTCAATTCTCAATTCCCTCCCACATCTGCATTAGTTTTTTTACAAAGTTTATATTTTTAATTTCAATTATTAAAGTGAAGTTATTAAAATATTTATAAATTTATTGTTTAATTATTAAAATAAATCATTTAAATTGTAATATTCACAAATAATATGCTATGGAAGCATTAATAATTTATTAAAGTGCAGACAGCGCAGTGATAAATTCATCATTATTATTTCACATTTGCTCATTGTATAATTCCGCTATTATCTCATTCTCATATAATGTACTGGCATACTTTATTAAATAATGAGGGAGTTTTGCTTCCTGCTCACCATAATTTATTAACTTTTAAAGTTTTTAGTGAGGATAATAATTTGCATAAGGACGACTTTATTTATATGTGACTCCTTGTACAGAGGCTATAGACATACGCAGCAATGTGAGGTGTCAATGAACTCTCATTGTGAAGGTCACTTTGATCAAGCGCCGCCGCTTGGCTCTCCAAAAAATAATATAATGCCAGTCGCGCCCCTCCGCTGTACCCACACTCCGCGGCGCTCCGCGGCTTCACTCTCACTCTTTTGGTGGTTAGCGTTCAGTTACTGCGGTCGCGTGATATTATTAAAGCGTTAAGTATTCGTACTTGAAAGGTATGTTATTATACTCATATTGTAAGTTAACTTTTCTGTACACCTCGGATTTTATAATGCATAATATAAATATATGTCTATCGGATAATATTTTTTTTATTCTATGAAGAGACTTTATATATTAATTATTAATATTCCCTTTCATTTCGTTTGGGGAGCCGCGGTGAACAACAACGTAATTAGAGATCATTGTGGATCCATACTCTTGAGCTTATTTTTTGTCTTTGTTAGATAAACAAAAGTGTATTATATTGTAAATTATTTTTCTTAAATGCCATCATAGGTTAGAGAATTTTGACTGTTTGCTGCAGAATAAATAGTTCTCAATATTTTTGCTAAGCACATATTTTTTTTTGTAAACTTCCAGTTTAGATCCAGTTAAGCCAGTATCGCACAGATAAGAAAAAATAATGCCTCTTGACTTGTATTGCATGGACCCGAGCCCCCCGAACCGGGCGGTCTATCTGTGCCTTGAAGCCCTCGGCATTGAGGTGAACAAAAAACCCGTCAACCTTTTCAAAAAAGAGCAACTCAGTCCAGAGTTTACAAAGGTGCGCCTAGAAATTTTTATTTTTCTCTCGAAAATATTTATTTTATTTCTATATATATCTAGATCAACCCTCAGCATACTGTGCCGACCTTGGTGGACGACGGATTTGTGATCTGGGATAGGTATAAATTTATATGAACCATGCAATCGATTTTAAAGGTTATTACGTAATACGTTTAAAATAATTTATTATTTACAAATAGCCACGCCATTTGTGCCTACTTAGTGAACAAGTACGGAAAGGACGATTCTTTGTATCCCAAGGACCCCCAGAAAAGGGCTATTGTTGACCAGCGCCTGCACTTTGACACTGGAATTTTGTTCACCCGTCTCCGCGATATTACGGTAATTGTGTTTTTTTTTTAATTACTGTTATTAAATTAATACAAAATTATCCTTTTTTAATTACAGTTTCCTCTGCTCTTCTTGAAATGCAAGGAAATTCCTGAGGACAAGAAACAGAGAGCTCGAGATGCCTATGCATTCCTGGAGACGTTTTTGGAGGGCAACGACTATCTTGCTGGAAATAATTACACCATTGCGGATATTTGCTGTATTTCTACTGTGACCAGTCTTGTGGTAAGAAATGCGAAATTTTATCTGAATTTAAGAAATTTATTTCACAAACCATTTTTTAACAGGAGGCGCTTCGTGTGAGTGCTGATGATTTTCCCAACGTCAAGGCTTGGATCCAGCGCTGCAAGGACAACCTGCCAGGCTATCAGGAGGCCAATCAACCTGGGTTGAACATCTTCAAGGGTGCCGTCGATGCTGAACTGGATTAATTTTCACATTAAGGAGAGAATATTATTATTTCACATAATTATATTAAGCCAAGAATTAAATTCAAGTCAAAAATAGACTCATGTCATTATATTTATATTTTAAAAATGCATTTAATAAAACATGAAGCATATACTGCGGAACTTCATTGTTAAAATCAAAATCCTCCTAATTTTATTTCTACTCGCATGTGCTAATATATAAAAACGGAATAATTGATATAATGTATCAGAAAAATAATCTTTTAGGTGTCGTATAGCAAGAATAGCTCAGCACAAATCAACAGCACACTTATTTGTAGAGCCAGAAAAATAAAACTAATGGAATTTCTATGATATTACCGATATTACATTAGAAATATGAGGCGGGAATATTTTGCAGCATTAATATAATTTTGTTTTTAATCACCAAGCAGATAAAAGCACATAAATAATCATAAATTAAATCATGACATTTTAAAAATACATTTCATAGTAATAACCGGTAATAACAACAAGTATGTGAGTATTGATTTTTAGTTGTTCTGATTTTTAAATTTGCTATAAAAGTTATTTTGGAAATTTCTGCAATAATTTGTGCTGCGTGTAAACACACACGTCTACCGCGTGTGTAGTAGAAAAATCTAGTGCATTTGTGCGGTACTTGGCCTCTGTGCTGCTCCTCATCTTATCGATTTTATTTTTTATTTTTTTAGAGAGAATTAAAGATATTGTTGATAAGGCTAAAAGCAGCACTTGGAAGGTATATGTGGGATGAAACGAAGCTCTTACTGTCAATTGCTGTTTTATTCTTAGTTTATTGAAATTGCGTATCCGGAAGGTTTCCACTTTTATTAATTACTATATTAATAATTAAAGTTAATAAATTTAAGGAATAGCTTCAATATATATGATATTATATTTTTGGCTGGCGGCGGGCGCCCACTTTTTCAATAGACCGCGCGCGCGTTGGTCCCATACCAGGTCCTCAATAAGGTTGTGCTCGGTTCTCGGTTGTAAGAAAAAAGGTTTAATCCCAATTACATTTGTATGTTAGCAAGAATTAATAGAAATTAATTAACTAATACAAACAATAATACTACGGTGTTGCAAAAAGTCATTTTTACTTGTTTTGAGTTACTTTGATAATAAAGTCTGTTGAACAGATAGAATGTCTCTCGTTTTGTACTGCGCGGTTTCTAATCTGCGGATGCTTAAATAAACTCTAAAATCTATAGTTTATCAAGGTTCATCAGAAAAACAAATTTTAAATTTTCTAGCAAGAAAAGCTCAGCACTGCTCAACAGCACACTTTGAGAACCAGACAAACTATATATAATTAGAATTTTAAGATTTCTGTTAAGGAAAGCTGCAAGAACTCAGCTTGTGTGGCGGAATGCCTGCGTTTCGTTCCAAGTCCTTCGTGGCAAGGCCGGGTCAAGGTCTCAAGGGGGGTGGGGGGGCCCATGCGAGCACCACCAAATCTGCTAGAAAGCCCCCGAACAAGGGTCAGGTTGGTTGGGAAGCACAATTGTGCCAAGGGTGCTCGACTACGGCAAGAGACCGACCCAATAGCCTGATAAGCTCACGGTTGCCATAAGCAAAAAAAAAAGATTTTTACTGAAAACTGTTTTGAAAATTTATGCCGTTTTTAAATCCTCGGGGCTGCCGTGAGTTTGTAGTAGAAAAAAACGTGTGCATACGTAAGCGTGGCCTGTGCTGCTCTCCTATCTCTTTTATCGAGTTTTTTCTTTTTGATCAAGTGAAGCTGTTTGATTAGTCAAAAAACAGCACTTGAAAGGTATGTTGGATGTAATGACAGTAGAGCTCTTACTGTCATTATCTGTTTATTAAAATTGTAGATTTCCGGAATTTTTCCCATTTTCATTTTTTTTAATAAGTTAGAAGTAGCTAAAAATCATATATTTCTCTGGCTTACTTTTATCTGGCGGCAGGCGCTTTATAATAGACCGCGCGTTGTCCCCATCACTTTCCAAAAGTATTTGCTTCGATCATTAAAAAAAGTTTAGTGCATGACTTTAATAATAATATGTATAAACAAAATGCAGAGTTGCAAAGTGCCATTTTTACTTGTTCCCCGTTGATGCTTAATTTTAATAATATTAATCTCTTGAACAGGTAAAATGCCTCTTGACTTGTATTGCGTGGATCCCAGCCCCCCGACCAGGGCAGTCTATCTATGCCTTAAAATCCTTGGACTTGAGGCAAACAAGAAACCTATCAGTCTTTTTAAAAGAGAGCACCTTACTCCCGAGTATTTGAAGGTGTGCGCCTAATTTATTTTCCTCAATTTTTTTTAGCAAAAATAATATATTCTCTGATTTTTAGATTAACCCACAGCACACCGTGCCCACTCTTGTGGATGACGGTTTTGTCATCTGGGATAGGTATTTAAAAAAATTTCAAAGCCTGCCTTACAACAAAAGTTCATAAATTTATCGACTTAAACTTAAATTTAGTCACGCCATTTGCACATACTTAATTGGCAAGTACGGAAAGGATGATTCGCTGTACCCGAAAGACCTCCAGAAAAGAGCAATTATTGACCAGCGCCTGCATTTTGATACAGGGATGTTGTTTACATCTCTCTTCCAAATTGCTGTAATACATAATATTATAAGTTTTTTGCGAGATTAAATAGAAAAAATGCTTAAATTTAGTACCCGTTGATTTTCCTAAAATGCAAGGAAATCCCCAAAGAAAAGCAGCAACGCGCTCGCGATGCATATGCGATGCTTGAGAAATTCCTCGATGGCAACGACTATCTTGCAGGGAATAATTACACCCTCGCAGATATTTGTTGCGTTTCAACAACGACAACTCTTGTGGTATGATTACTATTTCTTCAAAGTTAATAAAAAATATATTGAATTTTTTTTTTATTTTTTATTTAAAGGAAGCTTTTCGTGTACATGCTGATGATTTTCCCAATGTGAAGGCCTGGATTCAGCGCTGTAAGGACAACATTCCAGGCTATCAGGAGACTATTCAACCTGGGCTGAACATCTACAAAGGCTTGGTGGACGCTGAGCTGAATTAAAAAAAAATAATAATAATAAAAATAATTCAACGGGGCGTGGGGCTGATATTTGCGAATTAAATGTATAAATTTAATACATTTAATTTTTTATGCTTTCTGTCAATTGTTCAGGTTTTTTTATAGATCGAGCTCAATAAAAATTATTTCAATCAAATTTCAGTGTATATATAGAAATTGCTGCGCATAATTTTTTATATTTTTGCATCTTTTGCCTTTCTTTCACCTTCCATGATAATTTTTTTCTGAAAAAAGTTTTAAAAAAATACTTCAAGCCTTCATGTTTTCTTGGTTGCGCGTTTTTCTTATACCTTTTTGCCGCCTGTGCATTTTGTGCTTGTAAATTTTAATTGAAAGAGATGATTCTGGCCACCTATCGGCAGCAATCTAAGCTACAATTGGAGGGGCGGGGACGGTTGGCGCCAGTTGGGGAGTGGGAAGTACGGCAACAGTGTGCGTCGGCGGATCATCAACCCTCGTGACCTTGTGTGATTCAACTTGACGTCGAGACGAGATTGCAGACTTGGCCGTCGCGAATCGGTTGCGAATCCGATTTCACCTGTCGTCGTACCTACGTGCGGAGTGCGCGCTCCGGGTGAGTTTGCATTGCGGCGCTTCTGCGTCTCTCGTGTGTGACGCAATTTGTCAAATATTTTGCGGTCTGTCGACGCACGACCGAATGTAAACATTAACCAGGAAAATCCGCTCTCGTAATTCGTGTTGGCCCGACTAACTGTCGTTTTCCTTGTGCCCGCAGCTTTCCACCGCAGTTTATTATGTGAATTAAACAATGCCGGACGTGAATTCGCCTCTGTGGCTGAAGGACTTCGCTGGGAGTTCGGTCGAGTTGCACTGTCTCATGCCAAATGGCATGTACATCAGACTGCAAGCGAACAGATATTTGACGCTCCACGAAATCAAAGATGTGAGTAGTTTTCGTTTTGCGTCTGATCGAGGGCTTGGTCGTGACGTAGATTGTTTTTTACTCCAGGAACTCTTCGACGAAGCCAGCAAACAACCCTTCTATTGGGCTTTGCAGGACAAGTCCATGTACTACATCGAGATCATCAACGGCAATTCCCAGCGGGAGGTCAGCTTTGACGAATCCCGCACACTTCTAGATGCGAATCCGTTCTTTTGCATTCTCAATTTGCTCGAGAGGAAAAAGGAAAAGCCCGACGAGCAGATCCAGAGCAGCATTAAGAAGATTATTGGAAAATGTATACGTCTTTTTAAGTTTTTATTTTCAAAACATTATTATTAATTTCTTATATGTATCTCTGCAGCCAACTTGCACGATTTGAAGAGCTCTGAAGTAACTGATTTCCGGTGGAAGATGAAAAACTTTGTGGAAGACGTGATTCGTGAAAGGGAATCCAAATCGTGGCTAGAGAAAATGCTCTGCAAATTTCCACCGAGACTGTCTTTGGGGACAAAACTGCCCAACACAATCAAAGGAGACGCCTTTGATATTTCTGTAAAATTTAACGGATCGAATGAAGTGAGGACAAATTATGATTGTAATTTTATTAATTAAATAAATTTATTAATTTCAGTGGTCCTACAAATTCCGCATTGGATTCAACGTCAATGCTGCCGAGCTACTGAAACTGGCCTTGACGAAGAAAGCAACCAACACAAATACGAAAACAGAAGATCCCAATAATTATCTTCTTAAAGTTTGCGGACAGCAAGAGTTTTTCCTTGGCGATCATGCGCTGGTTTATTTCACACACATTCAGGAAGCCTTGGCCAGAGAAACATCTCCGATTGTCATTGTGGTACCATTGAGCTACTTGGATACATCAAATGGTCAGTTGAAATCTTGCGTAATAGTTATTTGGTTAAAATTAAAAATTAAAATATTTCTTGATTGCAGGAATGATTGACATGCTGCAGGACGATATGGCACGAATCGACCTAAAGCCACCAAGACCAGGTTCGGCATCTGCTTCGACTATGACTTTGCGCAAAAGAGGCAAATACATGTCTGCGTGGGACGTTAAAGGCAAATTCTCCATTTATATCAAGTCCATCAGCAAGTTGAACTGCGAGAGGGACTCCGTAGTGGGGGTGCGAGTTGGTATTTTTCACGGAGGGAAGCCAATGTGCGATCAGAAAAGTACACCTGAAAAAATGGTAATATATTTTAGAAATTGAAAGACGAAAAAGTAAATTTTTCTTATTTTTAGGTTAACGTCGAGGAGGATGTTTGCACTTGTCAGTGGGAAGAAGAACCTTTGGAGTTTGACATCACAGTGGCTGATATTCCACGGATGGCTCGGCTCTGCTTTGTTGTTTACGAAAGAAGTCGGAATGCAAAGCGGAAGAGCGCTCTCAACCCCTTGGCTTGGGTGAACACGACTGTCTACGACTTCAAGGGCCAGTTGCAGCAGGGCGCCAACACTTTGTACATGTGGCACGACGATGTCCAGGTCGACAGCAATGACTTTTTGAGGCCATTAGGCACAGTTGTGGGAAATCCCTTGACGTCGGAATGCACCTCTCTCTCAATTGCGTTCCCTCAGTAAGAGTTAAAATTAAACTTATGTAACATATTAATGACATTGCTTTTTAGAATCGAGATGGACAAAGTCATTCTTTATCCATCGATGGAAACAATCATGAAATATGCGGAGCCAGCGTTGAAGGACTCGCCTGAGCTGGCCGCCTTAAACCAAAGCCACAGGAACAGCCTTGAGACTTTACGAGCCAACTTTGAAAGAGATCCAAGGACAGAATTGCACGACCAAGACAAGAAGTCTCTTTGGAGGTTGCGGCACACGTGCATGCAAGAGTTTCCAGACATGCTCCCAAAACTGCTGGAGTGCCTCGAGTGGAATGACCGCCAGCAAGTTGCCGACGCCATTTCTCTGGTGAGGCAGTGGCCGATTCTCCCAGCAGACAAGGCACTGGAGCTCCTCGACTATGCCTACGCAGATCAGACGGTCAGAAGTTTTGCTGTCGAATGCATAGCAAAAGTCTCGTAAGTGAAATAAAATTGGGTAATTTTATTATTCACTATTAAATGATCGATTAGGGACGAAGAACTATCTCTGTATCAGCTGCAATTGGTTCAAGCACTCAAACACGAGTCGTACCTCTACTGTGATTTAGCAATGCTTCTTGTGAGGAAGGCAATCCTTAATAAAAGGATCGGTCATTTCTTCTTCTGGCATTTGAAGTGAGTCACTTTGTTTTTCAATGTGCGGTGCCAAAAATGATTCGAAATTACCAAAATTGCAGGTCGGAAATGGAAGTGCCAAACATCAGCGTTCGCTTTGGTTTAATCCTAGAATCTTATTGTCTTGGAAGCCTGAAGCTCGTTCCAGTTTTTCTAAAGCAACTTGACTGGCTAATGAAATTACAGTATTTGGAGGAAAATGTTAGGTTAAAGCCAAATAAAGAAAAACAAAGGGCTGCGCTGCATGAAATCTTACAAGAGAACCATGCGAAGGAGGCTTTCAACAACATTGTGTCTCCGCTTGACCCGACATTCCACTGCAAGAAAGTCATGTGAGCTTTTCAAAATTTTTTGTTGTTTCCGAACTTCATTTAAAATGAAATTTCCAGTGTTGATAAATGCAGAGTTATGGATAGCAAGATGAAGCCTCTCTGGATTGTATTTCAAAATGCTGACATTCACGGAAATGACATCTACATTATTTACAAAAATGGTGACGACTTACGCCAGGACATGCTCACTCTTCAGATGCTACGGATCATGGATCAGTTGTGGAAAAGAGAAGGACTAGACTTTCGGTAAATTTTTTAATTGAAGAAGATTAAATTGAACTAAAACCTGTTGTCCAGGATGATCCCTTACAACTGCATTTCCACTGAGAGTAGAGTTGGACTGATTGAGGTAGTTTTAAATGCAGAGACCATCGCAAACATACAGAAAGAGAAGGGAATGTTCAGTGCAACATCAGCGTTTAGAAAAGGCTCTTTACTAGGTTTGTAACAGAATCATTGGATTCAATTATTGAAATAAATTTATTTTTACATCAGCTTGGCTCAAAGACCACAACAACACCGAAGGCCAGCTAAATAAAGCAATAGAGGAATTCACTTGGTCATGTGCTGGTTATTGTGTGGCCACATTTGTGCTCGGAATTGCTGACAGACACTCGGACAACATCATGGTCAAGAAGACTGGACAAGTAATTTTTAATTTTGCAATTGATGTCCCTTTCTAAACTAATACAATTTACAGCTCTTTCACATTGACTTTGGTCACATTTTGGGCCACTTTAAGGAAAAGTTTGGCTTCCGAAGAGAACGGGTGCCCTTTGTATTAACCCATGACTTTGTTCACGTTATCAACAAAGGCCAGGCAAAGGACAAAGCCACAGAATTTCTGCACTTCCGAAGTCTCTGCGAGAAGGTGAGATTGAAACAACCTGTTTTTTTTTTTTTTTATAACTAAACACGTGCTGTTTTCAGGCCTTCATGATTTTAAGAAAACAAGGGTGCTTGATATTGTCCCTGTTTGCAATGATGATATCAACAGGGTTGCCAGAGCTCAGTTCTGAGAAGGACTTGATGTATCTTCAGGAAACTCTGGTGAGTACAATCTTTTGTAGCATGCCTTTAAAGTAGTTAGCTTCAATTTCAAAAACTTGTTTCGGCGTAAAAAAAAGCAAACGGGTTTTAAATAATGCGTTTATTATGAACGAAATTTGGTCTGGATTTTTTATTTATCTGATGAAAATGGAATTTTCATACAACTAAAATTGTATGTCGTATTCTGCTTAAGGCTCTGCAAAAGACTGAGGAAGAGGCGTTGGAGCATTTTCGTTCCAAGTTCGATGAAGCGCTTTCCAACTCGTGGAAAACATCTCTGAACTGGGCATCACATAATTTTGCGAAAAACAACAAACAATAACTACAATAAGCAAAAAGCGTAACAACACTGCTGGCAGTGTCATTAATGAAATGTTTAAACCAACAAGAGACTGCATTTTAAGTGCGATTAAATTGTAATTAGCAAAATTGTTCATATCACATTGTGCTCAAATTAGTTTTAAGAACTGCGTTTTACTTCTTCTACAATGAGTGTATCTGTTTTTCCTTTCAGTGGTATTTACTATTGCCAATCAAGTTGTTACATTTGATCTCAAAGTTTATTTAACTATTTATTTCAGACAATAGTGGTTTATTCACAATATCAATTATTTATTGAACATGGAGCGTTTGTTGAACAGCATAATACTTCAATAATTGAACAGCAAAACCAAGATCTCTGTTTGTCATCAGTTAGCAGGAGCGTTGTATGACCTGATAATCGGAATACTATATAAATGTCAACCTAACTCAATATTAAACTAATTCAAAATATAATAAATTAAAAGCTTTGTCGCATCATTCACAATAAGTGAAAATATAAATTACCTTTATTTTTAGAAAAAAAGTTATTAATTAGATTTAAAAAAATGTACAGTTATCTCTACCTACAGAATTCGATACTTTCTTTATTCTTTCATTAATTTCAAAAATTATCACACTCAAGTCCTCTTTACTCTTCTAATCAGGCAGAAATAGCCAAGCATGTGGAAACACAAATAAAGAACAATCAAGGCCAGGATGTCAAAGGGCAAGTTTTCCTCCGCAAAACTGTAGTTGCTCAGTACTTGGCTTCCTTCTCGCAGGCAAGGCGCGTCCGGAGCATTCGAGTTGCAGGCTGTTGGCGCACAATTAAATTATTAGAAAAACATTTAATGAGCTAATATGAACTTACTTATGTTGTGCACATCTTGCCATTGGACAATTGACAAGGCTTCGTTGGAATACATCATCCAAGATATGAATCGAGCCCATCCGATGTAAATGGGTATTGTACTAGAAATAAAATTATTTGAGTTATTAAAAGAAGAAAATTAATAATGAGGACTTGAATCAAACAAATTATCACAAGATAAATAAATAAATAAAAATATCAGGGACCACCCTAAACGATAATTTTGTTAGAAAATTAATACCTTAATTTAATGAACAGGCCTGACGTAGCCATTAGCAGGAAGTCGAATGGCACTAGATATGCCATTGCAAATGTGGGTGACTCGAAGGCGGTGGAGAAAAAGCATCCTGAAATCAATAAACAATGCACTCGTCAAGTTTTCAGTAATTTTTCTTTCAATTAAAAATATTCAATAACAACTCCGAATTGATCCGTACCGCATGAGGTGGAAACGTTCAAAGTTAATATGGTGACAAATGCAGTCATCAGAATTGCATACAGGGTGGTGCGGAGTCCTATCAACCAGTAACACGCCAGTAAGAAAACAACTGGCTCAAGCACCAACCCAGGAAGCTAGAAATTTAGATTTTTTATTACAAGTATATAAAAATTACTCTTTCCGTTCCTACCATTGCTATTAGTTTTGAAAAATAGTAGACGCCGACGCTGTACAACCCTGATTTGTATTCCCTCATGAACAGGGGAAACTCCTGCGGGAATAGCGCGAGTACTGAGTACATTGGCGAAAATGTGTTTTCGGTCACAAAAATGAAGAGGGCTCCTTGTATTGCTTGGATTCCTTTCTGGTCTAACTGCGTCCCGACGTAACAAAGTCCGACCATTATGGCAATTCCCTGAAATCATATAAAGCTTTCTTAGAATTTTATTAGCAGTAATTTGCGCTTAAAAACAAACTCATAGTCAAAGTATGCAACTTGCACGACACTTATGAAGAGCGCAATGCATATTACCTATTTTTTTTTTAATGTGTTTGTCATTGAAATTTTGACTTTTAAATTTTAATCCCTTGAAGTCTAGCTTAAGTTTTTATTTTCTCAACAGAATATTGATTTTTATTTAATACACTGCTATGCAATATTTTATTTTTCGGAGAAGAAAAATTGCAGCCTCAAGTACAAAACATGTTATGACTTTAATATAAACTAATGATTGAGTTTTGGTGATTTTTAAGTCCAAAGGCGGAACTCGCAGATTTAGAAATTCAGAATCAAATTAACCCTTTAATTTTATAAGTCAATATAATATACTTGTTTGTTATGTTATAATTTCAACTACTGTTAAGACAACTCTATTTATTCATGTCTTTGTTTTAAATAGAAAAAAAATGACTTAATTATACACTTAAAATTATGCACTATTTCCCTTAATCCCAATGCAATTGTGCTTTTAACTAGAGATTTAATTCTTTGCTCAATTCCTGAAATTTTTGCATAAAAGATGAATTTCCTTACCAGTTTTTGAACTATCCTAAGCTTTTGCACGGCAGGGTCCCTGAGAATGCAAAGGAAGGAGCGGTACGCAAGCCAAAAGAACTGCGTGCTCAGCAAAGGTCCCTTGCTGAAAAACAAGCAATAAATTACATGTGAATATATAAACTTATGATGAGCCATAGAAATTCAAACAGCGCGTGTCTTATAACAACATAATCCAACTCACAACTTGGCTCTGGTTGATTTGTGGTGTTGAGTTGGAACCTGCGAAACAAGCAATAGGCTCATTATGACAACGTTCATGAATAATCGGTAATTTGGCGCACATGCAAATCGCCAGGGAGGAATTTGATTGATATTCACCTCGCAAGACTCGGCCAGGTGGCGCTCGTAGTGCACGAGCAGGTCCACGGCACGCGCGTGTTCGCTCACCGTGTACTGGTCACAAATGGCCTTGACTGCTACTCTTGACCTTTCCTCGTCACCCGGCGTGACTGATAACGCATGAATAAAAAAGTCCGCGGGATTGTAATTTTCTGGGCAACGATAGTTGAGGCTGAAAATGGGATTTTTGCATTAAAGAATTATTGAAATTTTTTAAATATTACAAAAACCTTTTTTTACAACAAAGTTAACCTAAAAAAGTCTAAAATATTTTAAAATATAATTGCCTACCAAGGTCTTTTGAAAGCATGGCTAAAATATTATTAATACCAAGCAACGGCTTCGTTTGCTCTTTGCTAATATTTTAAGTCAACATATCAGAAGTGTTGAAATCACATTCAACCATTACTATTGCAATTAACCTAACCATTAAATGGGAATACGCGTGATATAAAATATCTAGATAAACATTGAACATTGATAAATTTTATGGTAATGGATTTATTTATATTGCCAACAGTTGATTTCAATACCATCACCTATCAAAGCCGCTATTATAGTCGTAATGAAGCAATAATTTATTATTCATGATTCAGTCTCGATTAAAGGAATTCACACGAGGCATGCAATATAAACACTAAGCTGATTGGAAATGCAATTATTTCTCAGAGTGAAATCTTTATTTTAAATTTTCATACGTAAAAGAGAGGAAAAAATAAAATATTTTTTACACTTTGGCGTTAAATTGTTTCAGTATGTTGTTGAAAACAGATTATAAATGCCCTTATTAAGACTTCCTGAGCAAGTTTTCTTAATCAATTCAATAATATTTCTTCTGTATTTCGCGCCGTGACAATTATTTGAATTTCGAATGTGATTGCGAAGGTGAAATGCCACGCGAGTATTCAAAAGGAATAACAGATTATCCGATTTGAATGATTTCAAGTGAAATATTCATTTTCAAGCTTCACATTTTTCAGATTGCGTATCTTGGTTAGTCCGACGTGAATTAAAAAATATGCCTTCGCTGGCATCGTTACTTTTAATTTATTCACTTCTTGTCCTCATTAAATGTAATAAAATTGTGTCTGAAATTACGCAATTATAAACATAAATATGTCAGTTATTTATAATTAAAATCTTTAATTATAGAAACTCAAAATTAAAAAAAAATATCATTGAATAAGGCAAAAATAATACTTATTTCAGGAGTACTATTTGCATCAAATGCTAAAAAGTCGCAATAGAGCAAAAAATCATCTTCCAGGAAGAGACAATTTTACCACATATTTTGAGCTAGCTTCTTGCGAAGTCACATCGTAATTGCAAGACGGTTTTTTTTCAACCAAACATTTTTTATCAAGATCTGTGAAGGCGTTCGCTTGAAAAAGCTGTCAGATCCCATACTAATATGGGTGATCACGGGACCAAGAAAAAATGTTGCAGTAGAAACTACACAGGTGTGCCAGTTAACTGCTTTGCCTACCGAAAGTACCAATCTCCCTACAATTTTATCTGCCGGTTTATTCATTACAGAAAATCAAAATTGAATTTCAATTTAAAGTTTTAAAAATACTTTCCATTTAAATTAAAAAATCCGCATTTTCAATCTAACCTGTGAAATAAGAAAATTCCGCGAAGAATATTCAGGCCAAATTACTTAAATAACCCCTAAATTACATATATATATATATATATATATATATATATATATATATATATTGCGTAGTTTTATCTAAAAATTTATTTGAATATTTAAATTTAGTCCCAATGGAAATATAGCGTTGAAGATATATGCATATATGTTTTTGATACGTGAGTGAAAAATATAAAATTACCTAGTGAAGAAAGTGACTGCATTATTCGGAGTGCCCATAAATGCAATCCGTCCATCGACGAGAAGAATCAGTTCATGGAACTGACTGAAAAGTTCCGAGCTGGGCTGGTGGATGGTGCAGACGATCGTCTTGCCATTCGCCGCCATCGAGCTCATCATGTGCACGATTTTCTGCGCCGAAAATGAGTCCAAGCCTGTCGTCGGCTCGTCGCAAAAAAGCAATGGGGGGTCGGTTAACAATTCCGAGGCGAAGGCGAGGCGCTTTTTTTCGCCCCCTGACAACACCTTCTCGTGACCCGTGGCGCCGATCCGCGTGTCCGCCCGGTCGGACAGTCCCAGTGTGCTGAGGAGATCCGCAACCTGGCGGCGCCGCTCGAGTCGACTGGTTCGGCGGTCTAACCGCATCCACGCCTGCGAATATCAAATACATTCAATTAGATTACGATCTCTATAAATTTCCTAATTAACAACCTTGATTTTATAAATATACTTTCAACAATTATTATTTTTTTTTTAAATAAAGGCACATGATTCAAAAATTCTTATTGGCGAAGCTGGTTCTCTTAATTATTTCAATCCGTTTAAATATAATTTTTTTTTTCATTTATATGCGCTGCTTTAATATAAAATACTGAACCAAGGTAGAAGCACGCCCCACCCTACCTTCTCCCGTAAAAGCGTCTTGTGCGAATATATCTGAAGCTAAAAATAGAGCCGAAAAGGCACGAAAGTTTTTCAACGCTCAGTTACCGCATTCTAAAAACGAAAGTATAAAACTTGACTGGCGCACGTGACTGGCCAACAAATAAGTGAAACCATCCACGCGGTGTTGGAGTGACGTGGACGATATGTTTTCGTTTAACTGAAATTGAATCGTCATGTTGCCAATGTGTTGGAAATGCCTCGCTTTTAGATCTCAAATTACACTGAAAATGACAGTTTATTTAAAAGGAAATAGCTAGTTGACCCAAACAGTCACGAGACTTTGCCTTTGGGCGTGTTGATTTTCACACTCGAGCAAACTTATCAAGTCATCAAGTGTTTATTTAGTGCGCAATGAAAAATTATTAATGCGCATTTACGATGGAAGTGCGCAATTTAAAATTCAAAAATATTATTCTCTTGGGAGGTTAAATTTTTTCTATCCTAAATTTAAAAATACTTACCATAAATGTTAGGTGTTCCTTAACTGTGAGGTCCCGAACAAAAAGGTCCTCCTGAGGTACATATCCACAAAGGTGGTTCATATATGGACCAATCGGCCGTCCATTCACTCTGATGTCTCCATCAACAACAACGCCGACTGTAAATCATATTATGCAAATTTGTTTGCTTTACAATGTATGAAAAATAGTTGTTTTTTTGATGGAGGTTAAACACTGAAGAGGAAAGAAACATTTTTCTGTAAAATGGTCCTTATTAAATGCAACTATGGCGCAAGGAGCATGTCAAAATCTTACATGGTGTCATGTGCAATGAAAGTTAAAACATATTATTATCCACTTCTTGTAAAAGCAGCGCAACAAGTTTAAAGAGCACGTGAAAATGAGGTGTTAAAAATAACATAAAATTTGTTCAGCTGGCACGATATTGCTGCGGTTTATAGAAAGTGGGGGAGCTTTTTTTTTATAACGCTGCAAATTTTTAGGAATTCAAAATTTAAGACAATATGTTCGAGAGTTAAAACCTATGACAAATGCATACTAATAAACCCGATTCTCTCTCTGTGAGATTTTCTGCTCAAACAAATAAATACACGTGTGACTCAATAATCGATCGAGCATATACGTAAATGACAAATTAATAAGCACAACAGGCACTGTCTGCGGCTGCGGTATGAAATCCTATACAAATGAGAGGTTGCTCTGCGATTAACTTACCTGGGTTTCTATATGCAAGAGCATTCATAAGCGTGCTCTTTCCCGCGCCACTGCAACCAAAGAAGAGGTCGTTCATTAAAATACCTTATTAACATAAATGAAAAGAAATTGCCACAGATTCGGAAAAATTTGTGGCGGCTTTATTTCAACAAATTTTGAAACCAGTCTGGTTTAACCAGAAAATTTACATCATTCAGTGATTTTCAAAATTCAGCTAAATATCTTAGACCAAGAGAAACTAGTTTCCTGCGTAATAATTGTGACTTTAGTCTTTGAATGACACAACCAAACTTCAAGTTTACCTTGAGCCCATGAGTGCAACCAATGTGCCTGGTTTGACAGCGCCCGAAACTGGAAACAACAAAGTGATAAATAAAGCAAACAAGATATTTTGCTGAGATGCCATACCTGAATTCAGAAGTCTCTTGTATGGCTTGGTCTGTTTTCGGAACCAGCCACCTTCCTTTTCCGCGGGCACGTACACGCTGAGGTCATGCCAGGTCAAAGTGACTCCCTCAGTTTCTGGAGCCCATTTGCCGTACCCTCGAAGTCCCGACATTTCATTACCTCTCTCCTGAAACACACATATTTATATTTTAATGAAAACAAATTAAGAGGAAATTACATATTTTTTTTTATTTAGGTGGCGAGAAAAAAAATTGAAAACTGAAATGATTCAATTAAATTTGCATTTCCTATTTGGAAGACTAGAAATGTTATCACACAGTTTTTAAAGCAGAAATCATAAATTTATCTCTAATGAAAAATTTGGTGACTATAATTTATTTATTTATTCCGTTGTAATTATAGTTTTTGAATGTTAACGATAAAGAAAACATAGAAAAAATGACTTCAAATTGACCAAATTGAGAAGATTGCTCAACTTAAATAAAAAGTATTATTGGAAGAAAATTTGTCCGAAAAATAAAAAATAACCCCATGCTGATAATTTTTGTCAAACTCGTTGCCAGACAAATTTGCAGAGCTATCACGATTTGTTCAAACGGTCAAGTGAAAATCTGATCAGTTAATGCCAAGCGGAGTGGGATTATTCAACTCTCGTTGGGCCATTTGCCGCGATTCTATTGTCTTTTAACTGAAAATTGTTCGCAGAAACGTTCTGGCAAAGAACAGGAATCCGCCGACGCGGTTATACAAATCTCATTTTAAAGGCAGGCGACATTGTTTAGTTATGGTCTCGGGGCCCCTTCTTGACAACATTATAGTCCGTGCCGTCCTGCGCTCGGACCCTCTGACTGAGGCATATTGGATTACACGTAGAATCAATAATCATGCTCATAAACAAAAAGCACGTGATTTGATTGCCTTTCCACTTCTTGCCTTTGTTGAAATATTTAAGAAAATGATTAATTCATTATCAATATGAAAAATGCCTCTTGCAAGTTTGGAAAAAATATTGTATAACGTATAAAATTATTTTGGAGGTGTTCTAGGTAGATGTGCTAATAATCGCACGGGTAATGCGAGCTGCGCCGTTGGAAAGGCTTCTGTTCGCGAGTGTGTCTGTCGGTAATTAACAGCGGTCCTGTGAAAACCCACAAGGGCCAATATTATTCGGAAATCCATCCCCAACTTTTCCTTTTTTGTTTCTTGTATAAGAAACAAATTGTCTTGATTTAACGCTAGGAGCGGAATATTGGTTAATCCTGAATGAGAATCGCTATCGGACGATCCCAAAACAAAAATATCTATTTTTTATAAAAAAAAATATATATACATTATACATAGATTTTTGATTGAGGTGATTACAGTAGCAGTTTAATCAGTCAAAATCGATCTCGGTCAAGCCAAAAATTGCAAAGATGCTTGTATTTCTATAGCCCAACAAACCAAGAATTATTTGCTAACTCGCACCTTCATATTAAAAAAGTGGTCACTCGATCGTTTCACAAGCCGGGCTAAATATAAAAAACGCATCACGTGTGTGCAAAACTAGTAATGACAAGATTTTGCAATTAATACCGTTCAGCTGAAAATGTCTGTACAAAATCATGTGATGAGACGATCTCTTTTGAGAAAAAAAACTTAACGTAACACTAAGAGGTAAAACGTCTTGCTTGTTAATCCCATCTTTTGAACAAATTTTAAACAAAGCTACCAAAATTGCCAGAGAAGATTTTTATCCCTGAGATTAAGATTTGACTCAATTTCACGTCTTAGCATGTTTTTGATTAAGATGGGTATAAATCCACATTAAAATATTTGGAATGCAAATGTGTATTATTTGCTTGAATTAAAGTCTGGTTTTTAAGAGGACCAGACAGGTAAGTTTGTCGCTGGGTACTTTAAGAACGCGGATAATTACCTCCATCTTTGGCATGGATGTATATTTAAAAAAAACCTTTAGCTGGAACTATCAGCAAATAATTTACTTTACTGTTTTAAACTAACGATTAAACTTCTAAAACGGATCAAAAAAATTGAAGAATTATTGTTATAGCGTTTCAGTTTAAATGCCTTATCTTGCCTGCATAAAATTTAATGTCATCATGTCTTCATGTCTTAAGATTTTAGTCTTGATTTGAAACTAGATTTATTAAATGGGGCTATTTCATGTCTGGCACAAGAAAATTTAGTTTGCAAGAGTGAAAATATTAGCAACTCACATATTTACCTAAAAGTCAGCAAAATGCGTCTAAATTAGCAGTGACAAACTTCTTATGTGCTAAACTATGGAAAATCCAACTAAAAAATAAATGTTTCCAATTATTTTCCTCAGCGTTACTTTGAATGGTTGTATAAAAGAAATGAATAGGAATTTTGCTACTTCCTCATAAGTAAAAACTTTTAATTTCAGTCAAATAGATAATAAGTAAAGGGGATTTGATCCAACTAATATAAAACTAAAAGAATCTAATTTTTTTGCTGAAAACCGACTAAAATTTTCAATTAAAAATGTATAATTTCATCATCTTTCTGTAATTAAATTGTGAAGTTAAGAGTTCTTTTGAATGTTTTTTTACCTTGGATGAAATATCTGCGAAACCTTTGTTAATATGTTGCATTTGCACGTAGCGAACTCCATCGTCCTCATCAAGGTGCAAAAGCTTCATGTTTGGTCGACGTTTCGTCCCTCGACTGTGCAAAAGTGGCATTTCACGTGATCTTGCGGTTTCAACTCCCTTCGCTCTCATGAAAGAGGGGCAAAAGAGGAACGTGCGAGCCAAACTTTGGCACTCGTAAATGATCGACCTATGACTGCCCCCACTCAAATTAACTTGTTTTACAATTGCGTAATCGCTATTTAATTTAGGGTGCATTTTAATTTTTAGCTAAACTGATTGTTTGAAACATTTCGTGTGACATATATCCAAAATCCTACGCACAGCAGATGTAATGTAAGACGCTTTCTCGCGCTTTCTCGATTATTTTTTTAGGATTTCTAAAGAATTATTTATTAAAATTATTAAAAACAGGCTAAAAATAAATTTAATTAACTGTGGTTCTTTACCGACAGCTCAAAATTTTATTGAAGCAATTAATAACTATAAAATTGGTTATTTGTATTTATTCCCTTTGATTACATGATTAAAAAACTGTTATGCAGCCCCTTCAATAATAGTATAATTTTTTTACTTGCAAGATATTTATTATTATTTCATTACGAGTCCAGCCAATTTCCGATGAAATTATCGGCTGGTGCTTATCAGACTAATTGCTTCAAATTATAATCTTTTAGGGCTTACTCAAACTTTTTAGTGCTTTTTTTATTTTACAATTGAATTGCATATTATCGCAATCCTCATTAAATGGCAGTAATTTAATTGTTAATGACAGTATAATGCGCACAGTTTACAATTCATGTTAAAATCTGTATTAATAATCATATTATTATATAAAATTTTGATAAGAATAAATAATCATACGAACAAAAATCTTGATTCCTGCAAACGATTTTTTTAAATTTATGGAAGATGGAATAAAACAATTGCACTTGATAAAATCGTTCGTTTTTAGAGCAAACTATAGTGCGTACTGTGTATTATTTAGTGCAAGTATATAACGCAGGTGTCTTTTTAACCATGAAATATATTCAAGTGGCTTGCAATTAATGAAAAGAGATTTTGAATCTGACGCTTGCTATATGCTGTGGCTATTCAAGGGAAGAGCGGAGAGGGAGCTTTGGAGTAGGGATATTGATATTAGTGCTCTCAAATGAAAATACTTTATGTCGCACATACAAAAATCAGCTGTCAGTCTGGGCTTTGAGATTAAGCTGATTAAGATTTATGGCTTTCAAAAGGTTTAGACAATGATAAGTTTTCGCAGAACTTGACATGAATAATTTATTAAACAAATTGAATTGAACTAACAATTAAAATAAATAAAATTAGTTCCAATTTCTTCTACTTATTTGGAATTTTTCATAATTATCAGTAAATTAAATATAAATATCTTCAACTTAAATGTATACATTAATAATTAAGATATTTTGATTCATTTTACAACATTTACATTATTTTAACAGCTGATCTTCAATTTAAAAATGTTAAGTGTAGTTTAAAAAAGAAATTTACTCTATATCGTCAAAAAATATATATTTTAAAATGTTGTCTTTTTATTATTATTTTTTTTAAACATGGAACTGCATTCTAGATCTTATTTGTTTTTATTTAAGTTACTGTACGATAAACAAAAGCTACCCCCTTTAAGTTCACGAGTGAACATTTGTTCTTATTTATCATCTCAATTGATGAGGAATAAACCAAAGTTGTGCGCAAATTAAATTAATTTTGACGTGATTTGTTGTTCTGACAAATAGATTGGAGAGATTTTTTTTGACTGCAGCAGTTTTTTCGCGTAATCTAATATTTTTGAAAAAATATTTCAAGGTTTTGAAACTTAAGAATTTGTCAGCAGGTAAATAAAATGTGTATGGATTAGCCTTCTTAATTAAATAAACGCGATTTTGAGGGCTCAAGAAACCGACTAAAAATTTCATAGGTATTTGTGTGTCTTTACGGTAAAGCACAATTTTTATTGTATGGAATCGACAAACGCACAATGCCAACGCGATTAATTCATCGCCGCACGTCACTTCGGCGTAAGTCGATTCCCGTGAGATTGACAATGCCACGCAGTGATACTCGATACTCTGCAGTTCTAATGTCCACTCGGATTGCCAACCTCGAGACAAAAAACGGGTGGATATGTTCGAACCAGCAGAAGACACAATAAAACCACCAATTTGTCAATTTGTCAGCGAGATAAAATAAGCGTTCATTTAAATATGACTTACCTCAATAAAATTGCTTGTGGCGAAATTTCGAACCCGTTGCAGCAAAGAGTGGAGTTAAAATGCGGTTTTAAGTGGGATGTTACCGTACTTATTCCGTTGTCACGCTGTTCAGTGGAAAATATCCCATTAGAGATGAAATCAAACACCGTGTGGTGTGATCATCAAAGAGACGACGTCGCGCTCACCCTTTCTATTGGATTAGTCTCGCAAGTGCAGCGAGCCAATCACATATTTTCTAATTTGTATCTTTGAATCTCACAAACGACGGCAGAACTAAATTAATGATGGGGAATTCAATTTTGTTTCTTTTCTTCCGATAAACGTTAGAAAAATAATCGACTAACTAAGACATATTTTAGGAGTTGAACATAACTTGTGCTCAGCAGGAACTGGTCCTATTTGGTTCAATTTGCATTGAAAGATCTGCTGTGTATACGTAAAGAGTGATTTATTTTTTATAAATCGGTCCCTATTTGATCAGGTTTGCTAAACTAAAACCTTGCCATGTCTTCTTGAAACCTACTCCTTATAAATTAAGAAAGACTGTCAACGGATACGAGATCCTATAAATACTGCCTAACTTGCGCGATTGGAGGAATAGTTGTGGCAAAAACCAGTCGGAACTGTGAAAATCTGCCTTTGTGCGATGGGAGAAATCGAGCTTGATTCTGATCTTTTTTCAATTTACTTATATCATTGAATATACAGTGCGGTGCGGGGGGCGAGTAGATAAGTATTTATCGCCTCTTTGTAAATGTAAATATACTCGCCTTGCCTATTATCTATCTCTCTATACCAATAATTGTGTTTTTATTGTTTAGGAGAACAATAAATTAATTGAATTTAATAATAAATTCAATCTTATTATAACAATTTTTGTGACGTTATAAAAACCAAGTAAATCTATTTATGTGAGTGTTGATTAAATTTAAATTCTGTCAGCAATTTTAGCAAACCTGCTCCTCAAAAACATTATTTACAAAAGTAAACCATTTAAAAAAATCAGCTTTTTTATCTTGAAAGGTAGTCTCTGCTACATTTGAATTATTCATTTTGTCTTTCACCTTGGTAAATTAAAAAAAAGCATCTTTTTTACTTTCTCCATATCATAGTATGTACATTATGCCTCTCAAACTTTTGATGGTTGCGCAGTTAAAATCTAATTTGGGAACTAAATCATGAAAATAAGACCCTACAAGTGTAGAGTATAGGATAATTTTTATTTCTGGCGGGGGAAGTGGAAAATAATACACAAATTATGCCGTCTTTCTTTTCTTTTAGGATCGCATTAAACATTAAACAAGCCACGTCAATTAGCTTTAGATTGGACTGCATCATTTAATTGAATTGAATGGAATAATATGCAATATTGTTGATTATACAAGGAGTTCTATAAAAAGAACGACGCATTTCAAATTCAAGGTTGGAAGCGCGCGTGAGTCTTTCGGTCTTAATTTTTTGCACGTCTCGGTCACGCCGATTTATAAATTTAGCTGCTTGATTTTTGCCAATAGAACGTGAATCACACTCAAATGAAAACAATAAATGCCAATTTCAAGAAGTATTCAATTTTCATAAGAAACTTAAATCAGGCACTAACTATCAAGTTGAATTCAAGGATCTTTTATATTAATGAAAGTTCCATGGTTAAATTGAACGATTACAATGAGCGTATCTGCAGTCCCTTTAAAATTTAAAATCTTTGAAAAACGACGAGATTTGTAAATCATTTTATGGAGAAAATAGGCTCCATAGTATGAAATTCTATAGTAATAAGAAAAAAAAATTTAAAATAGTTCTCTAAGCAAGCACACATACATTTTTAATAGAAGGTAAAAACATTAATTTATCTCAAAGTTTTCGTTTTTAACTCTATATTTTTCATACATGGGTGCGCTCAACAATTTTGCGCTCGCGCTCGCGCTCGCGATCACTGGCAACACTGCGCTCGCGCTCTGCGCTCGCGATCAAGATTTTGAAAATGTTGCGCTCGCGCTCTGCGCTCGCGCTCAAATTTTTAAAAAGTCTTGCGCTCACGCGTTGCGCTCAAAAATATTTTTATCCGAAGAAAAAGTGCGACTTTTTAGACAATTTTTTAATATATATATTGTTATAACAAAAAATACATCGGCAATTGGAAATGATAAAGTTGAAGTTAAATCACCAAAATTGGGATCAGTTTTGGTTTTTGGTATAAAAACACAGTTTTTCATTACAATTTTTGATCAAATTCGGGAATTTTTACTTTTGGTTTGAGCGCAAAATGAGCGCAATTGAGCGCTGCGCTCAGCGACCAATGCGCTCGCGCTCTGCGCTCGCGCTCACGATTTTGAAAATCGTGCGATCCCGCTCTGCGCTCGCGCTCATGAGCGCAGAGCGCGAGCGCAGATCGCAGAGCGCAAAGTGCGCTCTGCCCATGTATGATATTTTTTTATTATTCATTGATAAATTATAATGTATCATCATTAATTAGTATCAAATAAGTTATGGAATCTAAGGTGATAAGTTAACATGTGAATATCCCCCATTGTTGTGTTAATGTTTAAATTTTCCGCAAAGAAATTAGTTATGCAATGACAACTAATTTGCAAAGATTCGTACGAGTTAACGTTGGGTAATTTATTATTATAATAATTGTTATAATTACTGGGAATTTAAATGCCCATTTTATCCAATTTTATTCTTAATTTATCTTACTCTCAATATTAAAATTAATTGTGTTGGTTTTAAGTCGTATTTGACTTGTAATTAATAATAAAAGCTAAAACTAAAAATTAAAAAAAAATGTTCATTAGAATTCTTTTTTTCATTTCTATTCTCATTTCTCTCTCCTCACATCAATAGTTTTTCCCATAATAATATGTTTCACACGAGATATTTCACGAAAAAACAATGATTTAGACTAGCGTCAGCTTTAACAGCTGATCTGGAGGTAACAAAGGAGCAACAAGGCAAACAAGCGTGGCAATAAACCGTAGTGTTACGTAACACAATATTACAAATTAATACTTGCCAAGTTCACAGAAAAGGTAGTTTCATCACACAATTCTCCTATAAAAATCTAAAACTTAAAAATATACTCACTTTTCAAACAAGAGCAGCCAAAAACCTCACGGTTCCATGGCCCCGCCGACAACAACTAATCGCCACGAAGAGAGCGCGTTTCTCTAAAAGCCTCTGCTTTGGTGGCACCGCCGTCGTCGAGCGTGCTAAAGGAAAACATCGCTTTTTATAAATTCAACGCGAAACCAGTTTTGTGACCGTCGTGTCTTTGCCAAAAATAATTCCAGTATTATATAAATGGTCAAAACGCATCAAATGAAATGCTCTTCTCACAACAAATCGAGCACAGGACAAAATCCCCAGTAGCAGTTTAAGTCGTTTAATTGTCAGAGGCGATTCTTTTACAATTAAATGTTTACGCAGTCACTCGTACAACATATATAGCGCTGAAAAAATATTTTTTTAAAGTTTTACTGAATGCAATCTACCAAATAAGTAATAGTTTCTTAATACAGATGTACCAGAAGAATGTGATTTTAATTTTCACTTAATTAATTTATTTATTCTACGTTCAGATTCATTGAAAATACAATCTTACATCAAATTAAATATACTCAAATATTGAACTGAGAAATCTAGTTTCCTTATTAATTGCATCATCCTGGTTGCATTTTGAATATTTATTTACTTATTAATTTGCAGATAATTAATTGCAGTGTCAATCCAAGTTTGTTTGAATGATTTGATAGTGTTTTTGAAGAACGGGTTGCAGCATAAGCTTCTCAAAGTGCCAACGATGACAAAATTCACTCGACCGTGTGTGAAATAAAATTTATTAGCATTCGCAAAACTAAAACTTTATAACCCTGCGCCATTAAAATATTGCAAGAAATTTGATGGGCGAATATAATTTTGAAAGGCTTCTGATTAAAATCCGTATGAATTTCTTAAGCAATTTTGGTCACTCTGAAGTAGAGTCGGCGGTATTTATCAAAACTTTATTTGACATTTGACTCGTTAAAATGGGGGCCAGCCGGGCGCGGTGCAATGCGGACTATAAAATCTGCCCGATTGTTATAGTATGAGGCAGATTTTGGTCAGTCTTGCAGAATGTAATTGATTTTCCCCCTCTCCTCAAAGTTTGCTGCTCCGATAAGTTATTTCTGATGAATGATTTTTTGACAAATGGCGGAAAAAGGTTTTCTGAAAATACTTTTTTTCCTTGGTTCATTAAAGTTTCCCACGGTTTCCCATAGTGCCATTCGTTCAAAATACATCAGTTGTTGATTACGCTTGGATAATATGTCTGAATTTTTCTTACAGGAAAATTTTTGCTTATTATAATTCATGCACGCTTTTCATTTATTTTATTCAACTTAGAAAATGCAATTGATGCAATTGAGGAATTGAAAATTAAACCTCACAATTGTAGTGCTTCACCAAATAAAATTTATATTTGATTTTATTTTAACAACGACCTGCTGCAAACTTTATCGTATTCGGTGCCGCAACCCTGCTTTATAAATAACTTAAGGTGGCAGACGACAATTCCCAACTATAAAAATTCATTCAGCGTATAGTGTTTGTGCGGTGCGACAAACTTACTTCTTATTGGTGCTTCTTGCTTACCAGGGTAGGGATAAATGAATTTATTGCATACTCGGACAGGTAAAAGTAGGCAGCAGTTTTTTATTCGTCTTGCATAAATACGTTGGTTATTTTTAGACTTGTAGTGGTCGACTTCGCATTAATTGCAAAATTTAACCACCAAAGAGCTGGTCTGGACATAATTTAAGCAACTATTGACAAATAAAGACCACAAAAAACTTTCTTACGAATTTCCAACCAAAAGTCTTTTACATCAAGCTTACACGTGATTTTTTTTATTTTTGTAATCTACTAAAGAATTCTGCTCCGTTTTCAAGTTTGATTTAAAAATATATATTAAAAATATTTTTTGTAAAAGTTACACGTCAGTCGCGGTGACCACCTAGGGTGGCAATGACGGACAGAAACGCATATAAATGTCACAAAGCGTGCCAATTTTTCTTACTAGAAATTTATTGGTTAGCAAAGAGTACGTCCAGTGCAAATTAACTATGTAATATCATTCTTTGACTTCCAGCAGCGAGTTGCATATTATGTATTATTCAATTCCAGAGACTTAATATACAACACGCATGCAAGCGCGTTTAACTGATGAGCCAAATTTTACAGCTCGACTAATTTATTGCCAAATTGGTCAACGCTCTTTATCCATTATATGAAGTCTTTCATAGTTTTCCTGCTCTCTTTCCAGGCAAAATTGTCATAAATCTTTCAAAATTTCTTCTTATGTTTGAAGTGTGTGTAAAAAATACAACATTTTCAGTAAACCTTAATTTATTTAGCAACTTATACATACAAAATGAACATGGATATGAAAATAAAACTGACTATATGACAAGTTTATAATCATAAAAATTTGTTTGAAATAACGTATCAAACAACTTCAATCTCTCAAATTTAATCTTTTTTATTTTCGGCTGTAAATGATAATTTCCGTACAATCCAAAATGTGGCCAGCATTTCACGAATGAAGTTCACGGACAAAGTTTTAGGCACAGCAGGTGAGCCCTGTTTTACGTTCTTCTCAAAACGCGACACTGCAACGCTGCATACGCAAAAATCCTGAACGAGAAGATTAGTCCAAACAGCGCCAGGATGTCAAAGTAGAAATCCTCCTGTGAAGTGGAAAATAGCATTAAGAATTTATTTTGTTTGAAGGGAAAACTTTTGTTTTACAGAACAACCGATTTTTTTTTTTTATAGTTATTTTATACGTGTTGATTTTTACACATTTAATTTTACTCACCACATAGAAGTTGAGAGTTTGCAAGACGACTTGGCCGTTCCTGGGACAAGTTGTGTTTTGCTCACATTCAATGTAATCAACATCGCTCCATTGGTTTATCAAAAGCGCTTCGTTGCCGTATTTAAACCATGACAGATTGCTCAGCCACTTGAAGTATGGAGGCACCGACCTGCGCCACAGAATTGCATAAATTATAAAATGTAATGTTTAAGGGATTAAAAAGCGTAAGCCTGACGCTAAGTTGACTCATGTGCACGGCAAAGAAGGCAATTCATTAAAGTTGCATTTGCCCTCTGCTAATTAATGACATTTTTCATATTGTCTGAATGACCTCGTTGTACAAGGATGACGTGAGACTGCTTTCCAAGAAGCATTAATTTTGAAATCTGCAGAACTCGTCTTTTTATAAAAATTTGAGAAAATTCATCACAATTTCTGATTAATTGATTAATTAATTTGGCAAAAATATTTCAATGAACTCCCAGAATTGTTTAAAAATTAACCACACCCAAGTTGAGTTTTTAGAGCATAAATTATAGTCGAAACATTTTTTTGTTTAATCAAAGCATTTTTTAAAATTTATTATGCTTTCAAAGCTTTTTATGTTCTACAGCAAAATAAATTTAATTCAGAATCTGTCTATAATCTATAAGTGCTCTTATAGTTTTACAAAATAAAATTAGATCAAACTTAACTAACCCTGTGTTCAGGAAGAATCCACCAAAGAGAAGGAAGGGAATTACAACTGGTGGTCCAATAGAAAGTGCCATGCTGACGCTGCTGCTTATGGACGATATAAAGTAACCTGTGAACAATAATTTTAAAATAGTTCAGCTGCCAAGCAAAATCAGGGCAACAAGTTTAAAAATAAGTAGCTGACAACTTGATCGTTAACTGTACAATTTATTCACAACTCTTACTTAAAAAAAAATTGTGACGCAAAGACCGAAAATATTACAGACACAAGGTGCCACAATTGCAATTTTCCTCCTAATTTATTTAATTAAGTTCTGCCATTAATGTCACTATTAAAAACTCATCTTTTCGTCACATCATTTACTAAGAAGAAAAAAAACAAGTTTTTGCGTCAAGTATATACTACAACATTGAGTACTAAATTATCTTGATAATTTTAAGTGATTTTTTATCCCAAGATAATTTACATAACACGATAAACTCATAAGTGAGATTTTTAAAAGATTAAGATCTCTTGCTCTGTTAATATTTATGTTTCTTTTTCATCACACGCGGCCGGCCACTTTAAATTTCAGTCGTAGCGGCTTCGTCTGAGGGAATAAAGTGGCTGTTTTGCCAACAATTTTTACTTGGATAAAATTAGCTGAACACTCTGTGTGGCAAGGTAATGAATTCTCGAGGCATATCTACGGGAACTCAATTTGTCATAATTTATTAAGTCTTTCTCACGCGAGACTTGATTTAAGAACCGTGCATTATGCAAGACACTGCAAACTGGCGAGATTTATGCAGAGAATAAGAAATTAGTAATATGGCTTTTCATAATGTTTAATGGCGTTAATTTAAATAGAAAATATTATGCGTATGACCGACACTTGCATTGCAGTAAATTCTAAATAATTAAAGGATGACGGAGATTTATTATTTTGGTCTTGCCATCGTACAAAAAAAAAATTAACATCATTCTGAATTTCTCAAGATGGAAACGAAGAAATACCAGCTGTTCATAAGATTTTATTACAATCACAATGGGTTAATAAATTAAGTTTAAAATAAATTAATTCTCCTCAGTTGCTTTCAATTAAGAACTGCCGTCTGATTTGCGTACAAATAACTTTGAGAAGCGTAAGCACCAAATCATCGTTCCACAATTCGATTGTGTTGAAAATTTACATTTGCATTTGTTTGCCGAGAGAACAATGTTGCTTGGCCTCTTTTATTTAAAAACAATTAATTTATCTGTCTACTTTTATCTCTAGTTGGGATAATACGTACTACATAATTCTATTCTTAGGTTTTATACTTGAATTTAAGTTGCATAAAATTGTCGCCTCGCAACCATTACACCAATAAATAATTCAAATTGGCCCAGGTGAAAGTTTCGTGACATGGATATTTACTAGTGTTTGTTCCCACCAATGCAAGAAGGTTCTATTTATAAACAGCTTTATTCGCAACATGTTCGTTGCAGCTAAATTTAGACACACAGCACGAGGTATTTTTTATTGGCAGCCTAATTCAACTGCGGATTAACATCAGGAGTTTCGCAAAAATCAACCTCGTGACGGTGTATGTTTTAAATTCATATTGAGCAATTACGTTTTTTCCCATTGGCAGTTGTTTCTACTCAGAAATAACCTTTTCACATAAATTTTTAATTGTACACCTGACAATTTTGCAGTTTTGCCGTTTCTTCTATTATAAACAATCAGTTAGTCATAAGCTAATTTTTAGTCTTATTAATTTATGCAGGTGCAATTTGAAGCGTTTGAAAGCCATGATGAATTATTATGATTTTCTTAACCTATTCCTATTCTTAAGGACTCCTTATTGACATAGTCAAATCAAGTCTTGACAACAATTTCCAATAATTGTCCAAAATAGCTTCTATTGTTGTAAAGACTTGATTTGACTATGTCAATACGGAGTAATTAAATTTTGAATCAGCGATAATTCAAAACTGTTATTGCAAGAAGAGCAGTTGAAAAATGAATATTTAATCATGTAGATTTAATGCGACCGTGAAAAGATGAAAATAAACTTTCAATTGCCAGTTGCGTGTTACGTTTAAATTGAAAAATTTTGACCAGTTTTCAATGAAGATAACATATCAAATTAATGGAATAATATGTACGTTAACCCCTCGATTTGATGTATAAAAATGTATTTTTATTTTTCATTTGAAAATACTTTAAAATTCCGTGCAATAAATGCAGCTTCACCAAGAAATGCAAACAAACAACCATGCCGCAAAAGATTTCTCTTCTGATATTTCACTCCGTACTTTTGCAGTAAACAACAAAGTTGAGATCGCCAAGCGACTCAATAAATAAACAAGTGGTCTTGCTGATTGTAATAAAAGTCAACCGAGAAAGGCGTTGCAATAATTTTAAATTATGAAACTGCGCGCGTCTCATTGAAACGATCACGAGATATCCGCAAGGAGTTACTTTTTATAGCATTTATCGTTGATAAAATTACCCTCGCCTGGCGATCGGATGCAACACGAATGGAATAAATGCAACTGCATTTCATTGAAAACTGAGATGTGAGCTGCAACGTGAGCACAAATTGACGCTTGTAACACCTGCAACTTTATTTCACGGCTCATTAAATGTGCGGCTCTAATTTGACATTCATTTCAAGTCCGCACTGCAAGGTGCATCGAATACAAATGGAGCAAGAACGCATTTAGGCTTGTGCAAAATATAAGTTGGCTGAGTTCAGATGTCTGGTCATGTGTTTTTGCACGGGATGGGAATTGGGCAGACAATATTGCTGTTGTCACGACCAAGCATCGTACGTGCAAATTCCAAGGCGTGATTTAAGCGATTGATTTTATCGCCAATCTTCCAGGAGCATCGTCATTTTTTCATGGTCGGATTTTATAAATCGCATCGCTTATTGTACAACTGGCGCCTGTCGGCGATTTAGATTTCAAATTAAAGATATGATATTGGCAACGTTGACTACATATTAAATAAAAAGTAAAAAGTCGCCAAGAGATGCGTGTTTTAAAGAAGCAAAATATATTTTGCTTGGCAGCTCATTGTATTTATAAAAGGAATTCCATTGTCCTTTTACGACTTTTACTCAGATTTACTTAAAAATGCCAAGCCTTTTATGTAAAATTTTCGCAAGCATTGAAATTTTTGCTTATTTCAAGAGTTGAAATCCCCTAAAAGTTTCGTAATTCCTATTTTCCCGTGCATTGCAAATCACAAAATTTGCGATGACAGCAGTAATTTTGTTTACTTAAGCTTGTTACTCACCAAATGAGGTAGCGACGTTTGCAACGAGGGTTACAATCAGCGCCGTGTTGAAGAACTTGTAGGGCTCCGGTGTGAGACCGATCATGAAATAAGTAACCAGTGTGAACAAGACGGGTATGGCGATGAAAATCGGAATTTCCGCCAACGTTTTACATATAAAGTACACGTCGGCCCTGTACATTCCGTTCGCGTGTTCTCTCATGAAGATAGGCAGCTCGGAGCAAAACACCTGTAAATACAATTTTTTTTAAATTTTCTTCAAATTTTATTCAAAATTAAATTACATTGATCACGGCGAACACATTTTGGAATGTCATGTTTGTGAGGAATAAGAAAAGGGCGCCGTTGATGTTCATCACACCGTCCTCGGTCAACTCTTGCCCAAAGAACATAATGCCAATTAGCACAGCAACCATCTGAATGTTAAAAAATTAATTAATTTTAAAAATAAATTAATTCACACTTACAAATGTTTGCAACACTCGAACTTTGATGAGGATTGGCTCTTTTTTCACGCTGAGCCACGATCTCCACAAAACTGCTCGAAATTGTGCGGTCCATTTTGCTTTGTAAGGGTGGCGGGCAATTTCAATTTCCTCCTCGAAAGCTGTTTTGGTCGTGATTAAAGGCGGTTGGGCGTATTTTTGGCCCGCTTCTGAATTTTCAAAAGTGTCACATATCAACTCGACTGTTTGTCTACACCTGAATTTAAAAAAAAAAAATTTCATTTTCCTATAATTACGTTTCTATAAATTTACGTTTCTTCTCTACTGGGAACCACAGCCAAAAGTTGAATGAAGAAGTCTGCGGGGTTGTAATTGCTCGGACAGGGTGCACCAAGGCTAAAGATTTAGAAAATTTTCAAACAATTTTAAATAATAAATTTTATTTTTAAATTACTGAGAGAAGAATTCGCAAGCTTCATGTGTTGTGCCAAGATAGGCAACTCGCCCCTCAGCCATCAGCAGGACTTTGTCAAACATGGCAAAGACCTCTGAGCTGGGCTGGTGAATGGTGCAAATGACCGTTTTGCCTTTCAGGGCCATGTTCTTCAGCACCTGCACCACGTTCTGCGCCATGAAAGAGTCCAGTCCTGACGTGGGCTCGTCGCAGAGCAGCAATGGGGGGTCGGTTAACACCTCGGAGGCAAAAGACAATCGCTTCATTTCTCCTCCTGATATGCCTTTGATGCGGCCTGGGATTCCAATCAGAGTGTTTTCACATTTGGACAGAGCAAGCTGAGAGCAGAAATATTTTGATATTAAATTTTGATATTAATTTACAAATAAAAAAAATCACGCACATCTGATATGACTTCGTCGACTCTCTTCATCCTTTGCTCGTAAGGGATCCAACGATCCATCCGTACTAATGCCTAAATTAAAAAAAAAAATTATTTATATTATTACAATTTTATTAATTTTTATTCTTTTAAGTCAATAAAAAAATTCAAAAAATTTAAAAAGAGAAGATAGGAAAACTAATTTATTTCTAAATTTTCCGCACCTGGAAAATTAAGTGCTCCCTAACAGTGAGCGTCCCGATGAAAAGGTCGTCTTGCTGCACATACGCAGAAAGGGCTGTGATGGCCTCAGCGGTCGCCGGCTCGCCATTGATGGCTCTCATTCCGGTGACGTCAAGTGCCTTGCCTGACCTGAAGGTCAGTGTGTTGAGAAGAGTCGTTTTACCCGCGCCGCTCGAGCCCATTAGAGCAAGGAGCTCTCCAGGATAGGCCGCGCCGTTTACTGCAAAATAAAGAATTATCCTGATTTATACATTTTTACTTATTGCCTTTTTAAGGCAATAAAAGAAAAAAGGAGAGAAAAGAAAACTTGGGTGCGAGGCAAACTTGAAGAAGCAAGTTTTTCGTGTCGCGGAATGCTGCTTCGACGCTGATCAAAAAACGCGCCGCTTCATCTTTTTCATTTGGCTGGCTATTTTCTGATAGAAAACCGGTGTCATTTGTTGGCTAAGCAGAATTTTATTTGGTTGTTACTCGCAACACCGAAACATCAACAGCTTATAAATAATTTTTTTTATCCGAATAACCAATATGATTGATGATGTGTAATTGTGTGAGCTCCTGTTGAAATGAAACACGCACGCGAAACATATAATTTGCGTTTGTTTGAAGTTGTTGAAGTCAGCCGCTAATTTATGCTGATTGATACAGCAACGCCACTAACGCCTATAGATAATAGCTTCTTAAAATGAAAAATGAATTGAACTATCTTTAGCTATCTAACGAGAAGATAAATTAGATGCCGAAGATAAATTATTCTCCCTACTCCAGAATACCGAGGCCAAAAGTTTTGGGACAGAAGTTTATTTTTTCGCGTGTCCCACCAATGTGCCAAAAACACCAACCAAAGGCAACAGTTGGCCAGATGTACAATTGTCACGATTATTGTGCAGTGCCCAAAACAATTCGCACTTCCAACGAGGCGCAAGGCTGATAGCATTAAATTTCATGTCCATTACACGCTCTGCCTTTATTGAATTGCTGAAAATGTTAACAAGGCAGTTTGAATTTCATGAATATTTATTTGCATTATTCTCAACAAAAACAAAGACACCTGCTTGGGAAGAGCCAGATAAGCATATTCTTTTTCTGGCTAGATTTTTATTTATTTATTTTTTACGAGAAGCAGCTGATACATTCAGAATAATAAAATCGTGGACAGGCATACAACGTAGATGTCGTCCAACTTTCCAAACCTTTAAATCAATTCAACGTTCTAAGGATAATAATATACTTTTGTTAAGAAAGAAAGTAGTTATTTTGATTGATTAATTATTTAGGGATGCGTCAAAATTATTGTTACTTTAATTGTTTAAGCGTGGCAAAGAATGAATAATTATTAAAAATAATCCAACTTCTGTCTCTTTGTGAGAAAGTAAAAGAGCAGCGCAGTCAGTAAAAATAACTAGTTTGAGTAAAAAAGAAAATAGTCGAAGAGCTGAAATTTTCCTTTTTCGTCACATAAAAATTAACATATCAAGAAGATTAATTTTACGACGCCGCTCACCGTTTTTTAAAATATGTTTCCGCTCTCCGAAATATCGCTTGCGGTGCCAGCCGAAAAAGCCTTCTCGCTGCTCCTGTGGGGCGCAGTAGACGTTCATATTTGTCCACGTGTACATCACACGGTCCATGCTGCCGACAAGCGAAGATGGATACGACCCTGAGTAGGGGGTGGTCCCTCCTGAGGAAGGGTCGTCGCTGCCCTTGGAACTGCAAGGCAGCTCGCCGCAACTCGACCGCCGTCGATCATGCTGCAACAAAAGAGATAAATTTAATTTTGAGTCAATCTAAAGGCGCTAGAGCAGAGAATATCAGATTTCTTCCCACGTTGACACTCCAGTTTGGAGAGAAAATCGGCTAATCCCCTTCATTAGCTACCATGTGCTTCTGGATGAAACTGATCAAAGATGATCTGTGAGCTACCGTGCGGCGATGACCTTAATCAATGATGAGAACAATAATTTTATTATCATTCTAATTAGGCTCCATAAAGTTCACATCTTACAAGATTTTGCAATTTGACCCATGTCCAACGTGAGGCCACGGAGGTCGTGACTTTGTACAACTTTCATCAATTAAAAAAACATTTAAAACCATACCGCTAATTAAAAAATTGTAAGTCACACGTCGTTCTGTCAAGTCCATAAGGGAACATTATTTCACATTCTAAAAGCCTCTTGGAATTTATGTTTGCTCGCGACCACCGCAGAAATAATTAGTAAGGTTCCTTTTTCATGGAAATGCGCATTCCACAGCACAGGCGGTCTATGTTTGTGTCGCGTTTCTTTTTGCATTCAAATTTGCTCATTAAAAAAAGGGATCTCGAGTGTAAAAGCTATAAATGCGCGCTCATATTTCTGCAGTGAAATTTTAATCAAATTTATGTATAGCTTCCGTAATTTATGGAAAATCAACCAATTAACCGCAAATATTTGCTCAATTTAAATTTATGAATGCGAATTTATTATCGCTTGGCCTCACATGTATGAAACGGGTTTTTGCACTGCTACCGGCACAGGCAGGGAACGTTGGATTATCAACGAGACGATGACGAATGTAATTATTTTAAGCATGGTAAGAAATTGATTTTTTTCTATCGCATGACAATGTGTTTAAAACAGTTACTCAAATTTTGTAATCTTAATAATTATTTTATTGATGCACATTTTCCAATCAATAGTTAAAATATTGGAATAACATTTAGAAAAGTAATTTTTCATAAAACTTTAGGGTTTCAAACAAGTTTTTTTTTTTATGAAATACACATTATGTTACCAGATATAATTACTATTTGCAGCTAAATGTTGAGCTTCAAAGTTGTTGAAAATAATAAACCAAAATTATGCAAATTATAACCAATATTGACAAATTGATCGCATCCTTTGCCTTTATCCTTCGCTTTGACTACGGGCGTGTTTTGTGTCAGTGGAAAATTCATAGGGAGATTTTTAACAGACAACTTTCATTGGCACAAGGTCGCTCAAAACGTGCTTTGTGTCCCGACAAGTCAAAATTAACAAGATTAATGTAATCGCTTTATATAAATTGTTGCGCTCTGTATGGAATTGTTTATATTAAAAAATATTTCGATATAAATTGAAGGATTGGATTTGTATTTAATATAATTGAAATTAATTGTAAGCTCATGTGAAGACGGGATAATTAATGAAATATGGGAGGATTCAGCCTTGGCTTTAGACCTTTGGAGTCGTCACGCAAGAAGTGACGCGAGTGCATTTCTGCAAGCCAGTCTGGTGCATTTTCCATTTGAATGGGTCGATCAACTTAGAGGGGGATTAGCCGAGCGCAAAGTGCTATGGGACCACAATGGGTTATTCAATATCAATAAGACATCGAATAATATATATCAATTTCTTGTGCCCCTTTTGCTTTTTTGACATTTTTTTCAACTCCCTGCGGTTGTTTCGGAGAAATTGATATCATATGACTGTGTCTCGCATTCATTGACGTGAGCATTGAATTGTCCCTCTTATTCATATATAATATGCCTAACGAGGCTGTCAGCACGTTTGCCAGGAGCACGCAAGAGCCGGTCATTACATTATACAGTAAGTAAAATTGAATGGGCGGAGCACTGAGAGTGAAGCGAAGTTGGTGTGAGAATATCTTTCGCGCCTAATTGAAGGTCCAAGCTTGGCAGTGTGGATTTTCAATGGCGGTATAGGGCTGCTTTTACCTAATAAAAAGATACCAATATGCGGTGAACGGCTGAGGACCCAATTAAGCTCTTTTTAACACAACAATTTTATTTTATTTATTTCTTTAAAAGGTTTAAAAGTAAAAAAAAGAAACGCTTGTGGAATTGAAAATTTGCGCTATATATGCAAACTGATGCAAACTAAAAAGAAAAACAAACTTTTAGATTTGAGGCTCACTGCGGCGGATGGTGGGTCTTTTTTATCTCGGAAGTTATAAAATAGGAAAATCTTTGCTAGTGGTGTCTACCAATTCCTGTTTTTTCAAACAAATTGATGTTCAATAATTTAATATGAACAATGTATTTGTAACAATTTGAAAAAAAAAAACAACAATAATAATAATAATCATAGCATCAGATTTCAAGTTTCTTGTAGTTCCAGATGTGCTATCAACAATAAAAAAAATACACAGCATTTATATTTTTGTTTCTTTGAATCTGCTTTGTATTCTGAGTAATTTTACAGATTGCGTATTTGACTATTTGCTGTTGCGAAATAAGCAGTTATGTAATTTCAATTGGTTACATTAATGAGCAAAACTTTGCTTTAGATCCTTTAATTAGATCTTGAATTAATATTGTAACAAGTATTTAAATGCTTCTAAAAATTATTTATTAAATATTTATTATATTGTATCATTCTCAATTTAAATATTTATTGATATAAATTTGCTACAACAGAGGAACACATAAAAACGCCAGTGCCTAATTAAGACTGAAGGTATTTTGCTTTTAGTATGGGCATCGTGTAGTGACTAGTTACATAAGTAAAGGGCGAATCGATCAAGAATAAAACAGTTACGTAACTTGCAAATTTCGTCGATGTTCTGTAAATGCATTGACTAGTAGAGGACATTAAATTTTATTTCCTTTATCTTTTTATAGAATTTTAATTATTTTATTTAAGGACCAAAGTTACATAACAAATAAAGTTGGAGGCGCATAAAATTGACAGGATATTCAAGCGGGCGCGATTGCTTTCAAATACATATAAATATTCAGGCCAGTCGTCTCTACATTTTTATGAAGTCTGGGCAACATTGCAACGCTTAAAATATCCGCATTAAAGTTTTTCCTACTGGGCAAATATAAAATTACGTTGATAAATAAAAATTGTTTAAAATTTAAAAAATATTATGCTCTTACATAACAGCACATTTAAATGTTAAATGCATAATTATTTACGCTTCAATTTATTCCAAAGGTTCATACTGATTTTAGATACGAAAGTTTTTTGCGTTCGTAGTTTTGTAAATGATAATTTTTTTTTGAGTGCCGAAGTTTTGAAATTGGAGAGAAATCCTTGAGGGTCACATGAGCAGTTGAGAAATGTTTTTCCGCTCCACGTGAGCAAAAATCGAGGGCACCATTATTCGCTTCTGACGCACGTCTGCAGCGTTTTATCCCTTATGGTAGTTGAGATCATGTGGATGCGAAAAAAACGACCTGATGGATTTTTTCTGTGGCCCTGGCGTCGTCATGTGACTTTGGCACACACAAAAAAACCAGCAACCGTAAGTTACTTGGGCGCAAAAGATTTTTGTGGACGAGCAAGCGACTGTATCACACCGCATAGTATTATGTTTCTGATGTTAAAAAAAGCTGCTTATTGAACGCCAAAAATAAATTAAGCAATGCGCAAAATAAGCTTTCGACGGGGTGTCGGTTCTGAGCAAATGACTTTCTTAATGCAAAAGAGACATTAAATGCGCGCAATATTTTATTTACGCACGCGTTGAGTCCTTTCGAGAATAAAAATGTGAGCCGGTCTTATAGCTTGATTACTTGGTCGGAAAGAAATATTATCATTTCTACTGTAAGTGGGGAGCAAAATAAATTCTGTGCTCTTGATCGAGATAGGATAAAAATTCCACTCACAAACTGCTACTGGATGCGATCCTAAGCGGAGGGCTTTTCTATGGTTCACTGATTTTTTAGTAACTCGTGAGGGACTTTGACAGACGCGACGAGAAAGACCACCTTAATTGGCGTTATATAGAAATTAATAATTTTTATTTAGTAGAAAATGATGACAAATCAAACTGGCTGTCTGAAGTAATATGTTCTGCCGGTGTTGATATCAAAACTAATTTATTTATTTATTTTGCCATGTTTTTTTGCAATAAATCAGAAAGGTCATTTTAAAACTTTGCGCAGAACATGATAAATAGCAAATTGTTGTATTGCTTGAGGTAGCTATTTTTTAATTATCAAACCTATTGTACAGATTCTATGTGGCTCTGTTCTAAAGACTTATTATAAGCTAAATGAACAAAAAAATAAAATTCCAAAATATACAAAATTATCCGTGAGTATGGGTGGGAAGGGCGAGGTTCTTTTCCAACAATATTAATTATTTTTTTTGTTGTTTCAGATACAGCTATACTTGCTTTTTTTTTAATCATGGATTTTTTTAGAGGTTGCAGAAATCAAAGTATATATTAAAAGATCCAACAATGAGTAAAATAACTAATGTAATGTTCCTTAATCCCTCAATCAGGTCTAAAATATGACGCTTACATCATTCACATCACAATGAAAAAATAATTTTTGAGGAATAGGAAAAAAAACTTCAGTGTCATGTGCATAGTTCTGAAAATTTAAACAATTTATGACGTAATGTGTAATCAACACTGCTAGTGAAATAATAGCGTTGATCCCCTCTTCAAATTAAATGAGCCGCTGCATAATCTTATTTTTCTTGATTGACACTTTGTGTGGGCTTAATTAAAACCATGAGACGTGTCCAAGGCATTTTCGATCGGCGGGCCACCGGAAGGAGCGAAACTTGATCCGTAAGCCGCCGCTAAAAGGATTAGGGATTATTCGACTCGCTGAGGGGCTGCACGTTTTGATACTTGACAATGTGTATACTGCGCGTGATGCAAACACTTTTGTTTGACAACACGCGTCGTATCGAATTTTTATATGTTCGGAAAGTACAAGTGCAGAGCAAAAAAATAACCCAGGGGGACCTGACTAGGTGTGAGCTTTGTGTCATTTGAGAAGAGTGAGGTGCATCATGTACGTGCTCAAAATCGACCCACACATACTCATTAAACGCTTTCCTACTTACAGTGACAAATTTAATCACAGGTGTCCTGCAAAAAAAATCGGTGCAGTTTCATACACTTGTAAGCAGGTTCCCCGTTTTTGAGCGCTAAAATCTCATATAATTTCTCTTAAACCGACAAAAATTGAGAATTTCCATTTATATAAGCCGCCGCTTTTGATTGACGTCCTGAAGATTTTCTCGACGCGGGGCCAAACACGATTCAAAATTCAAGCCGCGCGTCTCTGCTTGGCTGCTTTTATAATATGACCGCTCCAAGTTTACATCACAGCAGTCCCAGAAAATATAATGCCAAACGCTACCTAGACAGTGGAAATAAATATGCGTGCCACAATTTCATTTTTATGCATTTTTTGTGTTTAGTCAAAAAACATTATTTAAAGTCCGCAGGCAAAATGAAAAATAAATTTCCATGCTTACAAAATTCAAAATATTTTTTTTTATGGTTTGACGCATTTTAATGGTTTCATAAGCGTGATTGTAAACACAAGCACGAATAATATTTGGCAAGTAAGTGCGTCTTTCTCTGTAAAGCGAAAATTTTCAAAATGGTGTGGCATACTTGTATAGAATTTAAAGCTCCAACAAGAGAGACTGAATTACCAAAAATCTAAAACTATGCTTAATTATCATTTATTCCTCTCGGTCAGTTCTTGGTCCAACACAAACTTAAAAAATTTTGAAAAAGAAATGGGTTTACAAGTTCAAATTATTAATCAATTTTTTTTACTATTATCAGCATTAAAAAAAGTATTGTTAATATCGGCAAAAATTCGCCAAGAAAATTTTAGTGCTTTTGTGTTCAATCTGCATGCCAAATTCAAAACTTGATAAATAAAATTCTTGAAAATATAAGTTTGGATTCACATTGTACAACCTTTTTAGAAAATCACTATTTAATTGTAAAGAGAAGAGGAGAGGATGTGATGAAATCAAATTAAAAATCTTTCCATTAAAAAAAAATCTGCATAATTATTAAGCTTTTCAATTTCAAAGAGTTAGATTCAGACAAGAAGATATTATTAAATTCTAATTTTAACGCCTTAAAAACTCTCTCAAGCTGACCCACAATTATGATCTTAGCTATCCTTGCATAAGTATTGATATGAATCTGCGTTGAGTAAAGTAGAACAGAAGGTCGATCGTATGGCTTTAGCTACGTTTACTCAATCATTTACATGACAAGTGACGTTTGTTATGTCTTTATTAAAAAACGCACTTTACACGTAATGATATACAGGCACTTCATTCTGTAGCGCTTTTGCGGGAATTTTACAAACACGTCCTATCAGAAAACTAAACGTCATCTCTCCAACCCAAGTAAAATGAAATCCTGCTCAACGAGTTTGTATGCGTCAGTAGTTCGAACAAACTTGGCCTCAGAATAACTTGATTTTGTTAAAAATAAAAGCATCGAATGCTTTTGAGTATCAACTAAAATATGAAAATAATATAACGCAATGTTTATTCTTCAAAAAAATTAACAACCGAAAATAATTCTTAATCAGTGAAGAATAACACGAAATTCGTGTTTATTTTTGCTTATCTGTTACGGCCGAAAGCAGGAGCAAACAAAAGTATGGAAAGTGACTCTCCCAGCCTCCGATAAGGGACTCGGCCCTGGTGGAGAACCACGTGATCAAAACTGGTGCCTGGTTGCACGTGACTCGCTCCGTTTGTATCTTTGGGAGACTCTCAGGTCGATCGTTTGCCAGCTCGGACCGATTTTTCTTCATCTGCGACACATTTGGTATTTTTCCAACTTACGTCTTTGAGGCCGTCGCTGACGAGCGCACTGTAGACTTTCTGGCCTGCACCCTCGAGCAGCAAGGGCTCCTTTTCGTCGCACACCACCATTGCTTGGAGAGATATTTATGCAGCTCTTCGAACTGCTGCCAGCCGCTAACTGGGAATGGGTCGAAGAAAAGATTCTCGTTCGTCCCCACCCCGACCGCGACCGGCCCTCGAGGTCTCCAGTCGAGCCGCGAGCCCGCACCGGAGAACGATATTATATACAAAATTAATCTACTCCCGATTTTTTCGATGCTGATTATATAATGAGGTGGCATTCCTCGCGCTGCGTAAATTTTAATTAAATAAGTAGCTTTTTCACACGGCTCACTCAATTCGGGATTTTCACTTGCAGGTGGCAAAACAAACCACTTTTTCTTCTTACATATTTATTTAAATATTTAAAAGCCGGATTTGCCATTCATATGAGTTTCAAAAACTTCACTTAATTGGCTCTATTTACTTTTTTAGTCATTCATTTTAAGCGAAAAATTTTAATGAGTTTAAATTGTGTTTACTGCAGCAGTGAGTTTTTTTTGTAAATATTTAAAACTTGGAAATTGGTCGAATGACAGTTATGTGGTTTGGATCAGGTTTCATTAATAAGTAGCAAAAAGTGTACTCAACGAATATTCTAGATATTCAAATTAATTCATTAACTTTTGTATAAATATTGTAAATCATAGGAAAATTTTAAAATAAAAATTTCAAGTAATCGTCAACTTCGAAATAGAACAGAGGAGAACTTTAGTACGGTGGGGCTTTCAATGTAAGAGTTTTCCCAAAACAAAATCAAAAAATTAGTTGCAATTTTTTTAAATCAATAAAGAAATGTTTCGAATTTAAAAAAAATAATAAACAGCTTCCAAAAAAGTCCACATACTAAAAAAAGAAACGAAAATATTAATGCAATTTTTTAATTATTTTTTATAAATCTATTATACAGTCTTGAATCAGTTGTTAAAAAATTTTTTTTTTTGCAATTTAATTATGTTAATTTTACTTCAAAGATTTAATAATTGTTACTTTGCTTTCAAATTCTGATTTGATGTCAAAATCAAGAGCAATAATTTTGTTTGAACACTTGAACAGTTAAAAAGTGGTCCATACTATACATTTTTTTTTGCAGTAAGTAACTCTAACTGCGATTTGAACATTTGAATTAAGGGCACAAAGTGTAAACGACACTATAAGTGTACAGCCAAAACAAGATTTCAGTCAGATTATACTAAATAAAAACGTATAAATCCAGTTTAAGATCAAAAGGTTTCTTTAATAGCAGCAAATTTCTATTTCGCACTCTCTCTCCGAGATGCTTATCATAGGACATTTATTTGGTACTAAGGCTTGTCGTGATTTTACAGCTCTCCGCTTGATAATGTGTCCAATGAATTTAATGGGACCACTTTGGGTCTGCTTGGGATGAAAAATGACCCCCGTCTCTGGCAGAACGTTTCAATTTAGAATGCGAGCCTCTGGCGGAATCTGCCATTTTAAGTAATTAAGGTACTCTAAAGTCTTATTTAAATTTCGAAAGTATTTGCCCTCGTAAAATACGTCTACAGCCGCGGTTTTTGCGTCTTTTTTGATAAAAATTAATATTACTTCGGTGTTTAGATTTTTCTGCGATTTTTAAACTAACTACAAATTCTACTTATGGCGAAAATTTAACGCCGCCGTGAACCATAAAATCTCAAACCTGTTTCATTTGCATAATAGAAATAAAGCACTTCGCTCGCAAAATCAACAGCTTGTTCGTGAAAAGTGCCTTCTGCTGTTTGTAAATAATTTGTGGCGATGGTTTTATTGAGAGCTATAAATACGAATTTCTTGGAAGGGACTCTGCCAGACTAAAATATATTAATTGAGGGGCGACTACACCAAATTGTAATTAAATGGTATATATAAATAAATAATTTTTTCCTCTCTAAAAGCTTCTGAAATTCACTGCAACCAAAAGAAAAAGGCTGTGGGATCATTTCAAGCCTAAAGTTGCAAAAGGTTGTCCGTCACCTGAGGAGAAATTCAGGGCTTGCGAGTTTATTTTTAGTTAAGGTTGTTCAAACAGAGTGGGGGCCATCAGATTGAATGGCTATTTTTAACCCGCGTTTTTCCTTGAAAGTCCCTTAACCACAATTTTTTAACGTGCCTTTTATGAAAAGTTTTCGGCTCGCAAATAAATTATCATCTGGCGACGAGTTTAGTGACTTTTTGCGACTCGGTTTTCTCCAAACATGCCAAAGGTAATTTATAGACCGGTCGTCAAATCACGCCACGTGCAGAGTGAATCAAGTTCTTATTATGATTATGAGCATTGATCGCCCATTAAAATCTCCAGAATAATTTAATACAAGCTTGTGTTACAAAAAATAAATAGTTCGAATAACTTTTTTTAAATTTTCTTTTAAAGAGACACTATCTTAAGCTGCATAAGTACAATATTTCTATTCTGGTTGATTATTCGGTTGTGTAGAAAAATATTTATCAATGAATGATGTAACAAGGCAAGTGAATGGGCGGCGTGCACTTTGTGTCATTCCATTGTAGTAATGCATATTTAACTGGTAACTCGTGAAAGAGAGACACAACAGTCAATGTCTGATGTACTCTTTTATTTCTACTTGTCATTGTTCGCCCACGAGGACTGGCTTATTTAACGACACATGTCTGGAAATGCAATGAGGGTTCAATGCCGTCGGCCTCTGCGGCGTTCACCTTCCTTCTTCTGTTTCATTTCTCGCGTCGGTCTAATTCCCACTTCTCATGCCATATTGGCAGACGTAGGATTTTCACGTTGAAATTTATTTCGTCTCGCTGCGTCTGAGCGTCTGTAGTAAATAATGAGTCTGTCGGTTGGTTTGTGAAACCTTTGCAAGTCCGTCGCGCGGATTGACTCACGGCTGCATGCAAAAAAAGCGTGTACTTTCATTTTCACTGATGATGAGTAAAGTGATACGGCTTCACTTATAGTTGAGTGCGAGTGAGTTTGCTATAGTATTAATTTCCTAAAATGCGTACATATGTCACAACACACACGCAGGCGCTAATCTCGTATCAAATCTCAATCAATAAGTTGGCACAACCAACTGAATTTATATAAATACATAATCCGTTTGAAAATTTGACTGTGAAATCTCAATTCAACAAAAAGGTTTATTTTTTCCCTATTTTAAATAAATCAATACTCATCTTTAAACATTAATCAAAACTGCATCTTTTATAACGTTCTATTAAAATTTTCAATCTAAAAAAATTTGATAATTATGGAATTTGAATTTATTTACTTATTTGTTGACTACTTCCAAGAAAAGAATATCATTGACCATGAATTTCAAAGTTCATAACAAAAAAGCTCGTCATACTTTAATATAAGAATTATTATAGATTTTATAAGTAATTTTTTATAGACTTATCTTAAAAGCTAGTCTGCGATCAAATTTTTGTTACAATAAATAGCCTTCAAAATAAAATTTTTGCTCCAGGGCATTATTTATTATCTAGAGCAATTTTGATCAAATGAGATCATAAATAAAATTTAAAAGCTTTCAGCTCTATGGGAGCACGCATTTAAACAGACAACTGGTTTTTGATACACCTCTAATTAATATTGCTGCATATTTTAAGATCTTTATCAATGTAATCAAACTTCAACAATTTACCTGTGAAAATTATTTATCATCCGCTTGTTTCATATAAATTCATATAAATATCATAATCGTGTCTGACTTATTAAAATTTTTATTCACACATTTTTCTTTTTATTATTAGCAATTGTGTCAAGACGCTGGAGAGATTAATTTTTTCTGCACCGATCTTAGTTCGTAAGCTTCTCCATCAAAATATTTTTGCCTTTGCTTGGCGTCGTACGTAATATACCGTCTGATGACAGGGCTGAGGAAGCGCGGATCCACATCTTGAGGTTTATTGGCACCCGTAGCAAAACTGACCAAGAGGCCAACGCCGATGGCGGTAAAAACTCCGATCATTGTATAATAAAGATATGAAAGACGGAAAATGTAAGAAACATCTTCAGCAGTGACACCGATCGATGCATCTCTAAAAAATAAATAAAATATTTATAAAGAATAAGAGGAAAATAATTTATTTCTCACTCAATAATTATTGGAATTGTTGAATTATTTAGGACTGAAAGTTGTTCCAAAGAGCATCCGGAAACCGAGAACGGTTTTTTTGGGTAGGAAATTTTCCCAGAGGCGATGTGGGCTTGCGTTCCCAAAGAAATGTATGCAACCAAAAGCATGCTGCTGATCCCACCAGCCATGGCGCCCTGGAAATTACAAATTTTAATAGTTTTTGTCAGCACAATTTGAATGCAAGGAGGTACCGCAGAATTGGCCCACGGAAAGAACATGCCAAGCGAAAAAGTTCCCAGAAGTGCTCCAGCAGTTATTCCAGACAAACTTTTTGCAACCTAGAGGGCGAGTGCACGGAATACAAATTACAAAAAAATCACTCACACATTTCTTATCGTGTTAACTTCAATTAATATTCAAAAGTGTGTGCCTTTATTTTGATGAATGGCACTGGCCAGTGCATGAGATTTATTACCGCGTGGAATTTGCCGCCGTGCATTTCTCGTCAAGGATATATGTCTCGCAGGTGGTTATATAACATTCAATATGTATCAGAAAGTAAGAGCCAGCAAATCGACGCCAAACTTTAGGCGGATCACGAGTTGTTGGACGAAAATGATAGGCGCGGCGCAACATGATTCGTATAAATATGACGACGCAAAAGACAATGGCCGGGAAGATGCAGAAGCATTTTTATTGAAAATTTTATTAACCAACAGTTGTCCTGAATTTGATTTTAGCTGTAGATGAGAACAAAATATTTATGTTGTTCTTTTACTTCAATATACATAATATTTGTAACAGAAAAAAGAATTTAGGCTCAAATGATGTGGATTAAATTTTTAGTCCACCAAAAAAGTATTTTGGTGAAACATAACTTTGAAAACTGTAATGAAAAAAAAGAGAAAGGAGAATGAATAATTCATCTGAAGATCCTTCAATTGATTTAATTTGTGTTTGCATCAGAAATAAAAATAGAAATCAGAGAGAAAGCAAAAATACCAAATCAAGCTAACTTATTTTGAATTTTCCATATGAAAAAATAGTTATGTTCAAAACAATTAATAACCTGCTAATAATGGAATTGAATTATTCGTAAAACGCTTTGTTTTAAAGATTATTTTTTTCACTTTTGCGTCATTTAAATCGATAATTTTTGTAATGTTTAGGCAGTAATTTCTTTCTGATACAATTGGTACTTAACAACTTAACATTAATTTATTTAAGAAATAATAATTATGAACTCATCAAGTGATTTTCGTTATATTCATAATTAAAATATGTTCCAAGTGCATTATCAATGAAAATTGCATTACCTGAATGATCGCTCCCATGCGTTCAACGAGAAAAACGAGTGCCACGCAAATCGAACCCACGACGGCGACGACCACTTTCATGAGGAAGCTCGCTTTGGCCTCCGACCAGGGCTTTTTCACGGACGGCTTAACGAAGTCTTCGTAGAGCACTCCTGTGATCGAGTTTAGTCCCGTCGACATTGAGCTACCCACGCATGAGTAAAAATTACATAATCTTGATTAAAAGGGTGTTTTATTTTTACCTGAGCGCCGCGCTGAAGACGCCAGACACGAAAAGCCCTGGAAGTCCAGGGACGTTGGACGCGATTTGTGTGACGAAATAGGGCAAGATCTGATCTGGTTTGCTCACCAACTGCAAAAGGAAATACATTTTACTCATTTGCGTGTTGACAGGCAACAAGCCAAACAATTTGGTCGATCAGTTGTTATTACCAATTCAAAAGATTTTATCTCCGCGGCATTTTTACAGCCATAAATAAAAATCACGAGTTTTTGCACCTCGTCCACGTGAGATTGTGTTTAAAAAATTCAAACAAGTACTATAAAAAAAAACCATTCTTACTTTTGTTGTCACGGGATCGCAATCGTGGAACGCTGCATAAATTATCAAACCTGTGTAGCATGACATGGAAACGATGCTCAGTATTCCAAGCGCTAGTATCAGAACAGTTCTGTTAAAGATGCATCATTTTGGCGATTAACATAAAATGAAAAGAAATTTATTTTACCTTTTAAGTTTTTAAGCAAAAATATTCATTAATTCAGTCTAAATAAAATAAACTGATTATTTTAAAGTGAAATATGGTGGATTATCTTGATATTTAAAAAAACTGTGTTCATTAAAAAAATAATGAACTTGCATTTTTGCCTTTCCAATGGTCGGCATTGCCAGACACCGCTGCACCATGGCCTGGTTAACTGAGCAAGATGCAAGCCAGTTAAAGTAGTTGCCCACGCACACAGACCATATTGTGTGTCGCACCGTCGGGTCAGGATCAAAGCTGAGATATCAAGTTTTACTTTCAATATAAAATTGGAGCCGCTTTCTCACTTGAAAAACTCCAGTCTGTCGCTCTGAGCATTTCTGTTAAAGACAACACCGAATCCGCCCACGTAAGCGGTTCCTAATATCATCACAATAATAATTCCGAAGAACATTATGATCGTCTGCAGCGTGTCGGTCCACACGACCGCTTTCAGACCGCCCTGAAAATTATTACTCTTGCTTGAAATCGGCTTGTACGAAAATTGCTGCTTCTAAACAACTAAAAAAAAACGATGGACTCACCAGAGTTGTGTAAAATATGCACACAATGCAAACCGCTGGGGTTACGTAATGCAAGTTGATTCCAGTAACTGAAATTTGGATTTAAAAAATTAAAAGCACGTCATTTAATTTTGTTAAATTTTTTACCTTGATTAAAAGCCAAAGCTGGCACATAAATTACCAGTGGTATGTAGAGCATCTGTTGCATAACAAATTATTATTATTATTGTTTTCAATAATTATATATAGAAATAAAATTTAATTTATGCTGGATATATTTGATATATTTTAATTTTTATAATTTTTTATTATTATCTTACCATTTTGATGATAAAAATAGCTGACCCTAAAATCCTGACGGGCTGATTGAAGCGCAAGCAAAGATACTGTGGAATACATTAGCATTAACGGGCTTATAATCCTTCTCTCGTTACAGGTGAGCGAACCTCGTACGATGATGTTATGTTAAGCTCATAAAATACAGGAATGTAGGCATTAGCCATTGTAAAGCTGACAGCGATCTCTGGCAAAACAATCATCCAGTACTGCGTTCCGAAAGTGTACATTTCTGCAGGCAAGCCGAGCAAGGCGATGCCAGATATATAACTGCAAAAAAAAAAATTAGCTATACTGACTGCAGGCTATTTTTTTCGTTCTTTACAAATTAAGTCAAAAATGGAAGAGAAAAAATTATAAAATGTGAAGAAACGCATCAAACGCAACAACACTCTGGCAAAAAAATTGCTAAAACGCGGCGCTGCCGCTCATAATAGGAAAAAATATAATTAATGCTAAAATTATCTAATAAAAATTTAATTCTGATCCTTATGATTAGGTCATTGTGGCTATGCAGTCCAATCAATATTTTGATCTTTCTTTGCGATTTTATTATTTTTATATTGCTTGTTTTAATCCATCAAAATGTCTTAAAAAATTCCAAATATGAATTTCTATAAAATCTTGAAAAATTTTCATAAATAAAATAACTGAATTAAATTATGAAGCAATAACATATATTTGCGTTATATATCAGATTAAAATATAAATTTCACCAACCTGGCAATTAATGACATTGAGATAGGAAAAATTCCCATGCTCTTTCCGCCCATCAGGTATTCATTTGTCGTATTCTGCTTTTGTTTGGCGAAAAACGCAAAGTAAATGCCGATGAGCGCCGAGAAAAGCAGCATTCCGCCGAAAACCGCATAGTCGACTGCCGAAAAGTACTTTGATGTCAAATGGGCCGCCGTTTCCGCTTCTCCTCGGACCATCATCTTATTTTACCAACTACACGCGGCTACTTCTGCTAGACACTACGACTGGTTGCAAGAAGTCGCAATCACTCCTTTGTTGCTGCAAGTGGCTTTAAATAATACATGTGCCACTGATAAGGGCAGCCTTAATTTATTGCCCGCAACTATACACGCGCCTTTGAACTAGAGAGTGAGAAAAGGTGGCCGCCAAAGATATATTGAAAGGACAAAATTTAGCAACTTTTCGCAACGCGGACGTTTTAATGGAAGTTTCCACTTGACAATCTGGCCCCCGATTATAATTCAAGTTGCTATCTGCACGCCAACATAAATTTGTTTCTCTTTTGTGTAATTTTCAGGCCAGTTGAGCATTAAAATACTAATTTTTACGTGGACGTGAGTAATTTTTCCTCAACTGGCTGGAGCATGTGAGATTCTTGTTTCTTGGGCGAGTCGATGAAGCGGTGAATGATGGGACTGAGCAGTTTTTGGTCCACGTCCTGGGGTTTATTGGCGCCGGTAGCAAAACTGACTAAAAGACCAACAGTGCAGCATGTCGTGACTCCTATCAGGGTGTACCACAAGTACGAGAGTCGATAAAAGTAGAAAACGTCGGGGCTCGTTATTTCACTATAAAATATTAAATTGGTATAAATTTTTTTTGTTTTTATGATAAAATGATAAAATACTTATTTATGTGTAGAATCGAAGCCGCTGTTGTATTTAAACCGGAGAGCTGTGCCAATGAACAGCCTTCCAAGGTAACTGGCTTTTTTGGAAACTTAATTTTTCCAGCTGCGATATTTGATTGCGATCCGAAAGAAATCCACGCTACCAATAAAATGCTGCTTATTCCACCAGCCAGCGTGCCCTTTTAATAATTTCAGTAATTTTTTTTCCATCTTCAACGCGCAGAAATAATTTACCTTTGAATTGGCCCAAGGAAAAAATAGTCCCAGGGAAAATGTGCCTAGTAAAGCTCCAGCAGTAATTCCAGACATACTTTTAACAACCTAGTCAAAATCAGCTATTTATTTGCGATCAGTATTGGTGTTGCCACCCACCTGAATTGCCGCCCCGAGACGTTCAACAAAGAAAACGTTTCCCACGCAAATCGTCCCGACAACAAAAACAACCACCTTCATTACAAAACTGGCTTTGGCTTCGGACCAAGGTTTTTTCACTGATGGTTTGACAAAGTCTTCGTAGAAAACGGCAGTTATTGAGTTAAGTCCCGTAGACATTGAACTGAAATTGATTTTACTAAGCAAGTCACTTATAAATTATTTAATTACCTCAAAGCAGCGCTGAAAACACCGGCCACAAACAGTCCAGGCAGTCCCGGAATTGATTTTCCCATTTGAGTGACAAAATACGGAAGGATTTGATCGGATTTTTTGACGAGCTAGAAATTCAACTGAAATTATTTGGATAGAATTTAAAAAAAAAAAATACCCCTCTTAACATCGGGTCGCAGTCATGGAAAGCAGCGTAAACCACAAGACCAGAGTAGCAACACATTGAAACAATGGTGAAAATTCCACAAGTCAAAATTAGAATTGCGCTGTAAAAATTTTAATTAAAAAGATTTCTGTATTTTTTAAAATAAAAATATACGTTTTTGCCTGTTTCATTGTTGGCATTGCAAGGCACCGTTGCACCATGGCCTGGTTTACAGAGCACGCGGCCAACCAATTGAAGTAGTTGCCGAATGATAGCGTCCAAAATGTGTGACGTGTAGTTGGGTCGATATCAAAACTATATTATTTTTTAATCGAATCTTTTAGAACCGTTTTTGAAATTATTGATTTTGCGTTTACTCAAACAACTCTAGTCTTCCGCTCTGAGCGTTGCGCTCAATCACAGTTGCTAATCCTCCAACTTGAGTCGTTCCGAAAACCATAACAACGATCAAACCCAAGAACATTATAATGGTTTGCAAAGTGTCAGTCCAAACGACAGCTTTAAGTCCACCCTATAAAAAATTCATAGTTTCTCTATAATATTTTATTAATTTATTATAAATCTAATCAAATCTTATATGTTTGTTCTTACCAGAGTGGTGTAAAAGATGCATACTATGCAAACAACTGGAGTGATGTAGTGCAAGTTGATGCCCGTGACTGTTGGCGTTAAAAATTGAAATTTTACAAGAAAGAAAAGTTTTTAATTTAAATAGCTGTTAGTGAGAAAATTAACATAATTCTGGTTCTTGGAACATCCATTGACTTTATCTCTTTTTTCAAAGCACCGTTTATAAAATTTAATTATGCAACCTGCTTTGCATATATGTTTTCGGGTTGCATAGGTAGATGTGAGCATTTTTTTTAAAGATATAATATTGAAAAAAAAATCAAATTTACAAAATATTATTACTCTCAAGTTGTCACCATTTAAAATTAATTTATTATATAAAAAAAAATAAGTTTTATTAATTTGACTCTAATTATTTAGCACGATGAAAATTAATAAATAAAATTATCTTCACCTTGATTAAAGGCTAGTGCAGGCATGTAGATTACGATTGGGATGTAAAGCATCTGAAATAATAATTAAAATTAATTTAAAATGATATTTTTGTTTGTCAGAGATGAAAAACGTTTTTACCATTTTGATCATAAATATAGCTGAACCCATCAAACGAACGGGCTTATTAAATCGCAGACGCAGATACTGCAAACATAATATTATTAGCAATCTATTTATATCTTTCATTGAAACTAGCCTATTCTATTAAAAGGCAACCTCGTATGATGATGTGATATTGAGGCCGTGGAAAACGGGTATAAAGGCAAAAGCCATTGTGACGCTGACCATGATCTCGGAAAAAACAACCACATAATATTGCGACCCAAAAGTATACATTTCCGCGGGTATGCCGAGCAAAGAGATTCCAGAAATATAACTAAAAGTTAATTGATTTTCAGTAGCATATTATTATTTAGAAATTATTTTTAAATACCTTGCAATAAGTGACATAGAAATAGGAAAAATTCCCATACTTTTTCCACCCATGAGGTACTCTTTGGTTGTGTTCTGCTTTTGCTTGGCGAAAAACGCAAAGTAAATGCCGATCAGTGCCGAAATTAGCAGCATTCCGCCAAACACAGAATAGTCGATCAAAGAAAAATATCCAGAAGGGCCATCACCATCTGTGTCTGCATCTTGGGCCATCTTTTCGGCAACTAAATTTTAGGTAGGGACCGCGCCTGTTACAGCGGACCGCAATCATTCATTTGTTGCAATAAGTGGGCTAAAATAGTGCGTCGCTGATAAAGCGTTGCCCTAAATTTATTGGCCTTGTTGCCTTGAGTGCTGCTGCAACCGTTTTTGCTTCATTTCCTAATATTTCTGAATCTTTACTCATTCTCATACATTTTGAACAAATGAATATTTGAAGCATCATATATTATGCTTTATTTTCAATAGGGTTTGATTAATAAATAGTTTTATGCTATTTAAAAAAATTTTAATTTTTAATTTTATTTTTAAATTATAATATGTACAATTTAATTTCCAGTCCTCTTGTCAGGTTCTCTCCTTCCCTCAAATTTTTACAGTTTTGACTGAAATTTTTAAAAATGATTAGACCATTTCTCCTACGTTCTTGATGAAATACTCACGTTAACGTGGATGGCAAGGACACCATCGTCTTCGTTACTGTTGATCACAATGTTGGCTACGCCGTCACCTCCAACAGTGACGGATTTTCCAGTGCAAGAACCACCTTCTTTCGATCCGGAGATCACATCACAGTATGTACCAGCGGGGAGGCAAGTCTGTATATAAATAATATCATACCCGTTCATGTTGAGCCACAAAACTAACAAAGGTTTCGAAAAAATGGCAAAATCTAATAAAAATTATCCTCACCTGAAGGTTGGTGTTGAGATTGGCTCCGAATTCATTGTTGAAGGCCACGAATCCCTTGCCACCTCTGCAGAAAGCGATCTGGTTGTTGCCGTTATCCCACCAGTCGTTGATGGCCGTGCCCTCGACGGCATTCTTGAAGCCAACCATGTTGTAGATCTGCCTCCAGCGGTGCTCACAGACCCATCCGTTGGTGCAGGTGCCGTCGGCGTTGAATCCTGGGCTAACGGTGTTTCCAGATCCGTCGGCGGGTGGGCCGGCATCGGTGTTGTCAAAGGCAAAGCTGGACATGATGCGGCTGGCACCGTAAGTGTGGGCAAGGTTGAAGGCGGTGGCCATCTTGTAGCCCTTGGAGTCCTTGTAGGTGAGGATGTCAGCACCACCAGCTCCGTGACCGCGCTGGTTGTCGTGGTTGTCAACGAAGCCCAGGGCGCTGCCAGAGGCCATGAAGCCCCAGCCCTCGCCCCAGTTCACCAGATACTTCAGCAGATTCTTTCCACGGAACATCTTGCCGATTTCGGCGCTGAACCTGAACTCGGTGATGCGACCGATGGACAAGTATTCAGAGTGGCTTACACCTTCTCCACCTTTAAAGAAAACTCGTTCAAAATTTGTGAACTCATCTTTTGGATACCATCATTACCAAGGTCAATAACCTCTTGAACAATGAAAGGACGGCTTCCAGCAGCAAAACCGTGATCGGTGTTCAGATTATTGAGGCGGTTCAAGATGTTCTGCATATCTCCAGGCCACATGTGCTTAGCGGCATCAACTCGGAATCCAGCGACACCCAAACCGATAAGCCTGTTCAACATATCAGCGATCTTTCCGCGGACATATTCAGAGCCTTGGGCCAAATCCTTAAGACCAACCAACTCGCAATTGCGAACCTGAAATTAATTTTTTTTCTATAGAATTTCTCACATAAGTATATTTTTTGCAAACTTACATTGTTAGGATCGTTGTAGTTGGTAATAGTGCAGGTGGGGTTGAAGTCGTTGGGTCCGTACGGGACAGCAGGGTACTGCTTGTTGTCAGGCTCAGCGGTGCTACCTCCGGTTCCAGTGAGGAAACTGCCACCGCCAGTCATGTGGTTGAAAACAATGTCAGCGTAAATGCGCACACCGGCAGCATTGCAACGACGGATCATGTCAGCAAGGGCACCTTCGTCTCCAGAGCGAGTGACGAAATTGTAAGAAATTGGCTGGTAACGTTCCCACCAGGGGCGATTGCTAACCACAGCGTTTTCAGTCGGGGGAGAAATCTATCAAATAATATTTTACTATAAGCAATCAAATTTTTCATTACCAATCTTGTATTTTGCATAGTACTTTAATAAATATTAAATTTCTTTAATATTTTGCGCATAATAAGCTTTTTTAAACATAAAATCAAAATTAAATTTCTGGAAAATACAAATTAATAAATATTAATTTACCTGGACACCTCCAAAGCCGTTAGGCCCCAAGAAGTTTTCGCACTCGGCAGCAATGTCACCCCATTTCCATTCAAAGAGATGGACAATTGTGGTGCGGCCTGGGACCATGTTGAGGTCCCATTGTGCGTTGACAGCAGCAATAGCTACAACCAGGACTGCGAGCACCCTCATTGTTGTTAGAGAATACTGTCCGTAGCTCGGTGGGCGACTTATATACGCACTGCAAAGCTCTTTAAGTGCTTGGGGTCGACCCTATCTTGATGTCCGCGCATGGAGATTAGGTCGCGGTATTTGGCTTGAGAATGAGTGCGTGTCAAAGAACAATTTCGCAGATTAATCTCTTGCTCAGTCACTCTTTTCAATAAAAAAATCAATCACCCAATATGATTCCTATTTTCACAATTTTCGAAAACAGAATTTGATAATCTACTTTTTATAAAATTTTAGATCTCACAAAATAATTCAAGAAACTATTTTTGAAAATAAGCTGGTCAAAGCAAGATTGATGCTCACTTTTTGCTTTTCGCGTTGTTGAAACTAGAAGAATCAGAAACTGCATGAAAATGTTTTAAATTAATTCTTGTTTATTTCACTATTTATATTTTATGATTTTAATCTTATTCCAAATGAATATTAATATTACCCATAATATAATAATATATTTATTGTTTTTTTTTATAAAGGTGTTTTCATAAATGGAATTTAAAAAAAAATAGATATAAATAAATAATTGAAATTAAATTTTATTAAAATGATTTTTTTTTAAATATTTTTTTGTTTTTTTGTGTGTCATTTTCAATTTTAGCCTTCCATTTAGAATATATTGCTAAAATGTAATGAAGAGATTCAAAAAAATAAGAAAATAATTGTTATTGCAATAAAATATTGAATGCTATATAATTAGTTATTATGCAGTGCTCTTTGCAACTTTATTCTTATTGGGGGAGGTGGATAAGTGTTAAATAGATTATGCGTTAAAGCGCACTTCGATAGGTTCTTAAAATCGACAAAGCATTGCTTGGCAACACGTGAGGCCCCGACACACGTCTGATATTATCGCATAAAGCACCAATTAAACCTTTTCTTTTCAACTCTGCGTATATTATCAAACCTTCTAAGCCGCAATTCGCTATTGGCCAAACGAAATCATTTGACAAATCAACAACCTCAAGTGGTTTTCACGTCAGCTTCGCTTGCATAAGAACTTTTAAACTTTGTTCTTTTTGATTGTGGTTTAGATTTTGTCATTTTTTTCTTTCAATGGAACTTGATTGTCATAAAAAAGGGGACACGGTGCATTGAAATTAATCTTGATCCAATTTGAAAACATTTTTAAGTGGAGTACAATTGCACTTAAAACATCTAGAACATTCTGTTATGTAACTGTGTGACATGAAAACTCTACTCTTTAAACTCTTGGATAAGGTCGTACCTTAGCCGTCTAGCCAGTTAATCGGTGAACCCAAAAACTTTTGATATTCATTACCTTTTTGGGTACATTATTACTTTGTGATAAAAAAAATTCTCGCATTTTAGAACCTGAGACGATTTTCTTATTAATCCGTATAAATCTTTTAAAACAAAATTTATTGAATTAAAAGGAGCGTCTACTGATACAAAATATAAAATAGCCCCATCAATTTTGGCCAGATGAGAAAAGAGGACAAGAGGAGCTTGCTTGACACTATTTTGACCCATTAATCCACATAAAGGAGCAGATTTGAATTCATCATAAAAATGTGGCAACAACCAAACACCACCCAGACGTGACTTATACAAACATCTCTCTCTAGGAGAAATAAAATATTTCGCACTCTCATCACAACTGCAAGAGACGTTGTTTTATTGGAACCAGTTCCGTGACCTTTGTTATTTATTATATTATTATCTTTTATTGCACTAACTACATTATTTTTATTTACTAATAATTATCTTATTAATAAAGTGAGCTCACTTGTGACTACTAATTTAAATTCATTAATTTTACTCCAAACAAGTCACAAAAATGTAAAATAGGTTGAGAGAAAAAAAAGGTAACATCTCACTGACAATGAATCTCATTACCAATCTGGACAGGTTTGCCTTATTAGGCTTGGGAATCATTCAAAAGTACTGTTGTTTATCAAATACGAGAGCCCTCTTTATATTAATTGTTGTTTATTTGATTTATTATTAAAATTACTTTCACCTGCTTGTTTGAGAGCGGTTACGAGCACAAGTTAGTCTTGCTTACGCATCCACCAAGGTAAGAGGTGTTGCTTTTTACTCAACAAAAGTATCCAAATGGAATCAGTGCCTTTTTGTGAGTTTTTTTCATAACAGCGTTCTTGAAAATTAATCTTAAATTTTGGACTGTGTACGCGTGCGACTAATTAATTTTTGTTTTAATTAATATTATCAGTAGATATATTGAGATTTTAATCGATTGTTTTTAATAAAAATTACTTACTTTACTATATTACTTACTCTACTTTATTATGTTATTTTAAATTAAATAATAAAATACAGTTCAACTTTTTTGCTAGAAAATATTTTGCGCATTGAATTGTGCATCCTATGACAAGATGAAATTTCCAAGATGGGCATTTTTAACTTTAATTTGGGTTTTTGACCAAAAAACATAAAAAAACGGAGCACAGGAAAAAATTTATTATTTAATTTGTGTTTCTCTCTCTATAATCTTTGAGGAAAAAACATGTTTTTTTTTTGTTTTTGCTATCTAATAATAACGTAAACATTCACTTTGTTATTTAAGTGGTGTGATGTTATCATAACAACACTTAATAGGGCTTCGTAATGCATTGCATTATAATTGATCAAAAGTCAGTTTTGAAGAGAGCCCTTGCATAAGATCATCAAAGAGATAAGAGGATTATCAAGATTTATGTAATTTAGAGGCATGTTGTGCTTTATTGTTGATACGAATTATACACTCTTATCGAACAGAACACAATGTCCCATTTGATGAAAAAGCCAGGGTACGTGAACTGATTGATAAACATTATTATACGTCGGCAAAGTTTCTTGCGGTCGTGATGATTTGCACGGAAACGTTAGCATCTAGCGAAAAGGTCGTTGAGCACTATCATATCGCTTTTTCAAAGCTGACTAGTATTATTTTTTACTCAACAATTAAAAATTTCATTGAAAGTGAAATCAAAAATATTTTATGTTATGGGCTGAAAATTTTTCGATTTTTTTATTGCAATTTAAATACCAGATGAACTATTTTTGTATGCAAGAAAAGTCTTTATTTTATAGAAAAAAAATACAAACTTTCATACTGATTATGAGCTACACAGTTTATTCAGATTTCAATATGTACAGATTTTTCACTCAAGGATGATGTTCTTTGCACTCTTACGCAATCTTAGCCTGCAAAATTGGAAATAAATAAATTTATTTTTTATTTATAATTAAAATTGAAAAGAATTACGTTAATATGGGTGGCCATAACGCCCTCCTGAGAAGCGCCAGGCAGAGAGATTGCCGCGGTACCGTCAGCGGCGACCACGATTGTCAGTCCAGTGCAGGCGCCATTCTCGAGCTTGCCCGAGATGACATCGCAGTAAGTGCCGGCAGGGAGGCCAGTCTAAAGTTGAAATGAGAAAAATTAGATCTTTTTAAGTAATATTGTAAAATAATAATAACCGAGAGAGTTTCATCCAGATCACCAGCTTCGCCGTTGATCACAATGAAGCCGAGGCCTTCCCGAGACCAGGAGACCATGTTGTTTCCATTGTCCCACCATAAAGTCACATTTGTGCCTGAAAAAAATTATAATTAGTAAGTAAATAAGTAATTAAATAAATAAATTGGAAAAAATTAATATAAACATGCATGAGGTAAACGCCTGCTAAATATTTGGGTAGGCAACCCGCTCGACTTTGGTCTATATTTAAAAAAAAATCGCTCCTCACCAACAACAGTGTTCCTGAAGGAGACCATCTGAGTGAGGGCGTTCCACCTGTGCTCACAGACCCAGCCATTTCCGCAGGAGCCGTCGGGGTTGGTAGTAACCGGGAGGATGTTCTCGTTGGCGTCCATCGGCGGTCCGATTTCGGTGTCGGTGAAGTCGAAGCTCGACATCAACCTCGGGTAGCCGTGGGGCCAGGCCAGCATGAAGGCCTGCGCCTGCTTGTACCACTTGGGGTCCTTGTAGGTGACCACGTTCTGGCCTCCGGCGCCGTGTCCGCGCTGGTTGTCGTGATTGTCATTGAAGACAAGGGCGTACTTATCGGGAGCGAATCCCCAGTTCTCGCCAAAGTCAAAGTACCACTTCAGAGGGTTGTTGCCTCGCATGGCGCGGCCCAGTTCGGAGCCGTAGCGGAACTCGGTGATGTAACCGATTCCGTAGTACTCGTCCTTGGTGACGGCCTCCCCTGTGCCGAAGTCGATCACCTCCTGAGCGACGAAGGGTCGAGCGCCTGGAGGGAAACCCTGAGCTTCGGGCAGGTCGTTCACGCGGTTCATGACGTCGGCCAAGTGCTCGGGCCAAATGTGTTTGGCGGCGTCGACTCTAAAATTATTATATAAAACAAATTATTAAAATAGTAAGTTCAAAAAGAAATATTAAAATTCCTTAAATAAAATAAGATTGGAGCTAAAAAAAGGGACACAGGCCTGACAAAAAAAATTTGAAATCAAGCTATTTTTTTTTAAACTAATTATTATTACATTGATTTTAAATTTTTTTCACCTAAATCCAGTGACTCCGTGTCCGACGAGCTTGTTCAGGTATTCAACCTGCTTGTCCCTGACGTAGGCGATTGACGTGTTCAGATCATGAAGTTGGGCGATTTCGCAATTACGGATCTGCACATCAATTATAATTGAGATTTTTTCAAATTATCACGTTTAAAAAAAAACCTACAATGTTGGCATCCTGATAGTTGTTGGCCTCACAGAAAGGGTTGAAGTGTTCGACTGTGTAGGGAACTCCAGGGTAGTCTCGAGCCACGGTGTCGGCAGTCGTTCCATCAATGCCGATGGCAGGATCCCAGTCACCGCTCATGTGGTTCAGCACAACGTCGACAATGATCCTGACGCCAACGGCGTTGCACCGACTCACCATATCGGCAAAGGCCAGTTCGTCGCCAGAACGGGTGATGATGTTGTAAGACAAAGGCTGGTAGACTTCCCACCAAGGACGGCCACGCTCGTCGCACTTCAGGTGCTCAGCCACGGGCGACAACTAAGAGTTAAAAAATTCATCAAAAATTGATCTAGACTATATATTACTGTTTTTTTTTTTAATTAAATTTTTTATACATTTTAATTTTTAAGCAATATTGTACCTGGACGCCAGCAAAGTGGTTGGGAGCAAGATATTCCTCGCATTCGCGCGCCACATCCTCCCACCTCCATTCGAAGAGGTGCACAATTGTGCTGCGGTTAGGCCAGGCGTACAGGTCGTACTGTCCATGGGCCACGGAGGCCACGGCCAACAGAGCGGCCACGACAGCTACGGAGCGCTGCATTTTGGTAGCGCGACATGAAAAGCAGCTTCTTTTTATACAACTGCCTTTGGCCTTATCAAACGCTGCACCTACTTGACCGTACCAAAATTAAAAAAATCTTGGAAGCTTATCAGGAATTTTTATTTGACCGCGGTTTAAAATTCGATCGACTTTTTAGATTTGCTAGATAATTTTGTGACCGCACGCGTGACGGCCGTTCACGTGTGCCCATTAATAGGTGACATAATGACGACCCTTCTTTTTGTGCCCCTTTTGCATAACTTTGAATTCCATATCAGTAAAGTGATCTGATTTTAACTGCATAACCCCTGGTATCAAAAAGCGCAAAGAAGTCAACAGTCAACTTGAATGGCAGAATATACATATAACTGTCAATCAAACACGCGAGATCAAATATTTATCTCTTTCTTTTGTTATTTGATAATTCAAGTGCTTAATTTCAAGTTTATTGATTCTGCGAGTTGTGAAATTAAACGGGGTTTATTTTATTTATTTTTTCCTTTATTTTTCATCTCTTTTCAACACACACTTTTATAGGTACCATTTCAATACTGTTGATTTTTATATTTCCTTTTGTTTTTGTACAATAAATAGTATTTTGAACATTTAACACTGACAGTAAATGCATTAGTTTGTGTATTTAATAACGGGGAAAAAATCAACAGAAAAAGTCTGGCAGAACAGTTTGAGAGCGAAAGACGTTGCGCAATAAAAAATAACAAAATATTATTGAGAAAGTTCAAAGTCTGCAGTCTACTGTTAAGTTCCATTCGCCGGTTAAATATCACACACATTAAGCCAATCTGATGGAGCCTATTAATTTGGATATCTTAAGTTTAAATAGAGCAGTCGTAATTTTTATTTTTACTTTGGATTTCTGGCAGACACGATTATATATCAGACGTTTGACAGTGATTTTGAAGTAGCAGGTCACTTGAAGTTGAGAGTTGGGAGAACCACTTGGGAGACGAGCAATTAATAGTTTCAATATCTCAAAATATAAAAAGTGAAACCATTAATATGAAGCAAAGGAGAAAAAAAATTAGAATATTGCAACAATACGGATTTTTGAAGTCACTTTTTCCAAATGCATGTGAATTATGACATCAGTTTTTACATCAATTTTATGCAGGAAGCGCATCAAAAGTGAGCCCCAAACGTTGACAAATCAACGTACATTTTATGCGCCAACAATGACATACTTTGTGCGCAACATCAAAATTAATCGTAACCTACAATTAAAAAAAAAACTACTTAAATTAAGGCATTTTTAGAAATTTTTCACAAGCAATTAATTTAGTGATTTAAATTAATCTTAATGATATGACTTTTATGCATCCTCGTAAACTTGCCGAACACATGAAATTTTCACAGCTGTTTAGGTTTTTATTCAAGCTGACACTCACTGATTTCTTAATGATTTACATGAGGAAATCGACAATGGAAAAGCAATTATTTCATAATGAATGATGTTTTTTCTGTGTGTTGGCATTTTACAAACGCCAGAACGATATCATTTAATTGTTGAACACACATTAGTGATCAATTCGATTTTCTCACGTTTTCACATTTTGAATTTTTGTACGTTAACCAGAGCACCTTTTGAAAATATAAATCGGATTTTTTTAAAAATCATAAAAAAAAACTGTGCTATTGGTAACGAATATTTCTAATAATCCATTTATATATTTTTTTAAAAAACCCTCCAAAACATCATTTTATCTGATTTTATATATCTTGGGTACACTTTCAGTAGAAAATTAATCGCGAGTGAGCTGCTTTTTTCTCGGCTCACCCACACTGGTCGTCGGCGCAGATTGTCAGCCTCTATCAAAATGTAATCAAACTGATATCTCATCTAGTAAAAAATTAATTGCTCGCTCCCGAGTGCTTGCCGCCCCCGCTGCTTCCGCCTCCGCCGCCTCCACTGCTTCCTCCGCCGGCGCCGCCACCCGCCCCCGCTCCCTCCGAGCTGATGCGGCCACTGTCAAGTTCACTCGAGCCGCTTGAACTTAGGGTTGTGTTGGAACCGTAGGGGTCCAGCGAACTCTGCACGGACATGGAGCGGCCCTGACTTGAGCGCCTTACTCGATTAGGGGAGAGCTTAGCGGGGTCGACACTTGTTGGGTCTGCCTGTACAAAAAGATCAGCGCTACAGTCCCATGTAATTATGTAAATGAAAAAAAAAAATATTGAAAATTTATTCAGTTAGAAGAAATTTGAATTAAGTTTTTAAAGTCTTTTTTTAGCAGCCTAAGTAATTTTATTTATTAAATTATTATTTATTATTTTTTTAATTAAAAATGAATTCTAAAGAACATTTCATATTTTAGTTTATGGTTAAGATTAATCATTATTTTGAAGGCAGTTGAAAAAGTAAGATAATGATAATTATATGTGCAGTGCAATTATTTTTTAGACTGACAGTTTAGAGCAGTAAAAAACCGTTTGAGAAAAAAAAATTGAAAATTATAAATAACGAAAAAGATGCAAACAATATTTGTGTGTCTATTGAATACTAAACTGTTGCAGTTTGGAGGCATATCTCATGCACTACACTGTCTAAACTCTTCGGTCACCTGGTATGCCAGCGCATTCATGATGATGGAATATGGCACCAGACCAAGAGGGTGCACCTCCCGCATCAAAACGTTGGCCGGAATTTTGTGGAACTGGATGTACTCCAGGAAGTTTCCAATTACTTCTTTGAGTTGAGTGTTGGGATTTGAGTCGCAGTACTTTTTGCCCCACATCAGGGCAGCCTTAAAAAAATAATAGTAAATTTAATTATATTCATATTATTGGTGAAAAAACTCACCTGGAATTTTGTAAATTCGTCCGCTCGCAGTTCTTCCCTCGCCAAAATTAGACGCACAACGTGTTGGGGAAGCAAAGTGAAGGATCCCAAATTCAAAACCTCATTTCCGTGTTCGTCAACAAACTCCAAAACCTAAGTCAACTCGGAATTAATAATTTAAAACATGTCAAGCGGCGTATTTCAGATCTGTTGACTTTTTAGTCTAGCGCAGGGTTTGCTATTTTGAGAGCGGCTGAGGAAAATCAATACTCGAGAGGGTTTTCAGAATCACCTTTTGGACCAACGACTTTGTACACTTGTACTGGATGTATCTCTCCGCCGAAGCCAATAAAGCACACACGGTGTCCACATTGATGCAGCACTGAACGAACCCAGCGCACGCACGACGAAGCTCATCCAGTCCGTAATAATCAGCGGCGTTCATAACTCCTGCAAATGTGTAAATATATCGGATTAAAATATAGACCGTTTGGAGCCAGAAATAAATAAAATGGCTTTAAAATATTTGAATTAACAAAACACATTAAAAAAATATATATGAAATCAAAGGAAAAAAAATGTTTTTTAAGTAAAAAAATTGACTCTGATATACCAGAAGCATTTAATCCCAAATTTTGTATAATTTTTTCCACGCCTTATTAAAGAAGGGGTAAACGTAACCTAATTATCACTGGAAAGTGTAAAAGTAAATCTCCACCGGCGCAGAGTTTGCTGATATAATTCAATTTTCGGTAACCCCCTTGCCGAGTAGGTTGGCGAAACCTAATTATTTCGGCGGCGGCGGGCGGACCAGAAGCTAGGGCGGCTGCTATTTTACGAAGGACAGACACGCGTGACGAAATTTCGGGCATCCAATCTAATTTCTTAATGAGTTCACTCACCGAGCAAGGTGCGCGGCTGCAGGGTGACGCACCCCGTGTGGATGTACTCGATCAGTTGGCGAAAAACGTCTGGCTCGAATTCCTCGATGATCAGCGTCTGATGTTGGTTGCTCTGCAATTCAAAAAGGACAAAACTTCATTTCACGCACGTGGGTGTTTTCCAAGCAACAAAGTTTACGCGTCGAGCAGTTTTTTTTTATACGAGACGCGGAAACTTGCTTGCAAACCTCCTGGGAGCGAAAACTAATTAAGGTGCTGCTAAAATTTTGTGCTGAAAAATGCGAGGGCTGCAAATTTACACTAAAAACTTGTGAAAAGAGAAAGTGCGCACTTTCTACTAAAATAATCCAACGAATTTTCCAAGAGTTATGCAAAATTCTCATCAAAAATGGAAATGATACCAAAAAAATTATAATTCACAATGCGCATAATATCAACTCCGCAAAAGAAAGTTTTTCCGAACTCATGCAAATCAGATAAGATTCATAAATATTAATCAAACGATCGCAGCAACGAAACTACCAACATTGAAAAAGTTTTTTATTCGACCTGAGGATAGAAGGAGAAGCTGAGAGAAGTTTGCAGATGGCGAGAATATTTCTCAGGATCTTAATTGAAGGCGATATAGTTAGAAATATTAAGCAGATATCATGAGAGCAAAGAGAGCGGGATGAAATCCATTAGTTGATTGAAATAAATACGTCATGTGGCGCAATCACTTAAATTGCAGGCCAAGGTCCCTGATTTACTAAATGCAGATTATAAGTGACACGGTACAGATGAAGCAATAATTTTCGAAAATGCAAATAAATAAAAAGTAATTATTCTCATGCAGTTTTTCATTAAAAGAAAACAATATTTATGAATTCATGATAAATTAAAAATTCGGTCAAGGTTCGCAACTTTATGTTCAATAAAAAATGCGCTGCTCCCCGACTGATTCAATCTTGCTCACGAAATAGGATTGCAGATCGTCGTGACCAAAACTGGTGAAGGCACTTTTTAATCAAAAATATTTCTTCCAAGCAGAAATGTTTTTTTTTTTACTATTTGTGAAAGTCTCTTAGAATGCTTACTCTTTTTTTATTTATTTATTTTAGATTAAATTGCTTTTTAAGAGTTAAAAATTTTAAAAACAATTTTTGGAAAACGCATTTGAAATGAAAAATTGAGGCAAAATAAAATCAACATTTTTATATTAAAAATTTTCAATCGAGTTCATTTTTCTAATTTATCAATCAATCTGAAGGAATTTTTCCAGGTATAGGTAGCGCAACTTGATGCAATATGCTCATGTCTTTATCTGATTGCTTCCGAGTTTAATCAGTAAACAGTGCTTAATTAGTTTGAAGTTGAAGCAAACAAACATCCTTTGACAGAACGGAATTGAAAGCTAATTAATGAGAGGAAAATATATCTCAGTCAGAGGAATGAAAACTCGTGGCACTAAAAACAAAGGAAAGTAAACAAGTCGGACCAATTCCTCGAACCATCAACGCTTGCCAATCTGAACGAGAGATTCCATTTGCAAAACACAGCATACAAAATATACACAAAGGTCGTGCAACATCATCAGTCAGAGGCCGCTTTTGTTTGAAGTGGATCAAGGACCAAAGGGGTGCGTGTGGAAAACAAAGTGAGTATTTAAGTAGAAAGTAGAATTAGAGTTTCATTCTCGACGGAGAGGGTTTTTTGGCCGAGATTCGTGGGAATTACCTCGTGAATGGGGGTGAGTTGCTGCGTGAATCCAGCTCGCTGCACATCAAAAGGGCACAAAAACACGGCCAAAATTAAAAAGTGTGGACAAATTTAAGCAGACAGCAGAGGACTTCAGATTAGAGGTTAAATCGACGAATCGTCAGCGACACATGAGTTAGATTTAAAAAAAGTTATTTATGCTATTGAAAAAAAAAGAAAATCAGAATACAATGACCTATGACATAAATATACACGTGATAGTGGCAAAATATTATAAATAGTTACAAAACCATATATTTAAAGGACATACCAAATTTAAATGAGCTCTCATGAATTTCCAATAAATTTTTACAGTTTTAGAAAACAAATAATCAACTTTTGAAAAATCCAGCAATGTTCAATCTGCCTTCATTTGCCAGCAGTTTAGCAGATCCAAATGTCAGGGAAAACGTGGGCCATCGTAAATTATTCATTGGGAAACAAGTCCTGGTATTCATGGAAAACAGTCAGCAGCACAGTAAATATCGAGTGGGAACTTCTCTCATTTGCATATTCATTATCGTTCTGAATAAATAACGAAAAAAAATATACTTTTTCCAATTTCTCTTTAATTTTGATTTTTCAAATAAAGGTAACTCTGTTATTTGAGGAGTAAAATTCAACGGCAATTTTTTTTTTCATTTGACAAAAAACGCAGGAACAATTTCTAACGGAAAGGGTATTTGAACTGTCCGCTTTGAAAGAGAGTTTTCGTATCGAGTTGCACAAATAACAAAGCAAGCGCGATCCCTATTTGCAGAGCACGCAACTCGTTACAAAATAATTTTTCCACGTTACATTTTCCTCTTTGAAATACAAGCCATTCTACAAATGAAAGGATTTCGACATAATTTTTTGCAACGAGAGAAATGCCCATTAAAATTATTTTCTGAAAAATACGGAGCGTCCAATTTTTATTTCAGAAATTCTGTTAAGCGTGCGGCGTAGATTTAATTTGCGAAATATGCAAATGACATTCAAAAAACGTTTTAACGCGTTCTTACGAAAGATAAAAATAGAAGCTCGAGCTGGCGAAACTTGTGCGCGCACTCAAAATTTAATTACTTTTTGCGCAGCAATAAAACATGAATTACCGCGGTGCCGCTTAAAAAGTTGAAACTGCTGCCCAGCGCCGCAAACCTTCCACGAGACAGAAAGCAGAGTATGAATTACTGGAGCGGATGTTCGCGCTCTGTGTCTCTGCTTCTGTTCAAGGCAACCTTTCCGAGAAGCGCTCTAATTAATCCAAGCCAGTCGTCACATCTTTCCTGCCGTCGAGCACTTATAATTAAATGAACTGAGGCGTTGAAAATGCGGCAAACAGAGTCGGCGAAACGTGTTTCTTGTCGCCGCCCGTTCGGTTCAAAAGTTTCAGGATTTTTGTTTCAAACGCTTATATCTGGGGTGATCAAATCACTTCTTATTTTATCACCATTAAATATGAATTGACACATTAAACGTTTAAAATCCAGCGCAGTTTTAAATTAGTACATTTTTAATCCTGAAGTTGCATACAATAAAAATTTTGTATTATAAAAATTGTCATCTCAATATTGGAAGTTTGATGTTCTATTGGATGGCAAAATGTTACCAGTAACAGTAAAATAATATGTTTTCAATTTTAAATTGTTTTCACAAATAAATTATTTTACTAATTTTAAAAGTATTTTATGAAATATATATTGTCATTAAAATGAGGTACTAATCTCTAATACTGTATCTGCTAAATTGACATACCTAAAGAATGATTTTTTCAATTTGATCTTTTTGTGTAATTTTCCAATTTAAATGATTTTTTTTTTCATTTTAATGTCAAAGTAAATTATTTCATCATAATTATAAACTTTTAATGATATTTGTGCTACTTTCCCATCTAGGCAAAAAGTGGAAGCTTATTTTGAATCATATTTTTGCAACAACGCAACCGACTCTCAGTGGATTCCCAGTGGGATCGATAAAACCGATTTCGCAAAACATTCTCCCCGAGCTGGGTATTCAAAAGTGGGTCGTCGTTCGGCACATTTTAGTACAAAGTGCTACTCTGCAACTCTTACTTAATGTGCGCATATATTTTTTTACGAGTTTTTTATTTTTTAATCTAGTGCGTAAGCTTGCTTAGTATTGATTTGTGCTTGTTTTTAGACAGCATTACGAAGGACCGCTAGCATAATTATTATAATCTGATCCCATTTTCCGCCCTCCGCAATGTTATATAGCTTGACCTCGTTCATTCATTACCTGCTGGGCGGCATTCTGCAAATTCAGCAGCGGCTCGCTGCTCCGCTTCAAAAACAAGCGCAGCTTGTTTTCCCTCGGTGGAGGCTCCTTTTTACGCTGAGGGCTCGGAGTTTGGTACAGCATTTTGTGAAATACCCTGTAGACAAAAATTTCAAATCTAATTTTATACGACAAGCTATGAGGAATTATATGCACATCATGGGTTAATAATTTTTAAGAAATTGAAGAAATCTTAATTTAAAATTATTATGTTGTTAAAATCTTAAAAAATTTAAAAGTGTTTATAATAATTTAAAAATTTCAATTCGTATTTTATTTTTAAAGGATATTACGCATCAAAATATTAAAAATTTAAATACTACATGGAAATTGTACAAATTATTAAACGTTTTGATAAAGGCACGAGATATTTTTTAAACAGAAATTCAAAAAGACAAGTGGATGAAAAAAGTTACCTGCTTCTGGCGGCGAGAACCGCTTTGACGGCGCACACTGGCTCTCGAGTGTCGCCCACAAGAAAAGTGACGTCGCAAAGTTCAGGCATCGAAGCTAGAAACTTCATGTCCTCAGCCAAGCCAGACTTGTTTTCAAAAGTGCTAAGGTCAGGCTCATCACTGAGCGCCTCCGCCATCGTCAAACTTTGATCGGGCATTGAGACGCTGCCTGGAATCACACAAAGAAAAAAAGGAAACGTTGAAACACAAACGTCAAAATTTTCTGCTCAGTGAATTTGGAAACTTCAGTGTTTGCTGAAGCAAATCACGCCATCGTCAATTCAATCGGTGTTGTTATGCAACCGGCAGTAATTATGTGTGGTGCGGGTTGCCGCTCTGTAATTTGTGCAGGCTTCAGCGTCCGTTTTGAAGAGCAACCGGCTGCGAAACTAAAACCTCCGCCGCAGCTTTTTTACACACCGCCGACCCTACTTTTTGCCTCGAAATAGCCTGGTGCGTTTATTTGATGGCATTTTTTGTGTGCTTTTTTGATACGCATCAGTGCGTCGGAGATGTTTCGACATTTATATATTTCTCGTACTGCTTCGACGCGTCAATTCTTGGCTCTTTGATCCGTCGTCGACAGGAAATTAACGCGAAATCGCTCTCGAATAGGCACCCAGCTGGAGCAATTTTGTTGAAGTAACACAATCAGGGCAAGCGTCGTCTCCCTCTCGAATTGAACCGTTTCAAAGCACACACGCCGCGTTCGCCCTCGATTACTTCCATTCAAAATTTGATTTGCGTCACAAGAGTGGATGGATGTAAGGCAAGAGTAAATCTATCAGATTTGATGCATTTTACATAACTTTCAAAATTGCGTGTGGATGAACCTCAAATCCTTCTTTATATGCATATTTCATATTCAAACCAGTTTAATATTCCTCAATAAGTCATCAGGTTACATTTTAATTTCCCAAAATTGATATTTTTGGTTGTTAATTCTTCAGTACCATATCATTTTCAGTTTAAAATATTTCCCGAAATGGTGTAAAAATTTAATAATAAATAAAACCACGTGGCCCTACAAAAATTTTGAAACAAAATTTTGTGGCCATGTTTGACAAGCGCTAATGGAGATAAAGTTCAGGTGTTTTTTTTTATTTATTATTATTATTTTTTTTTATTTTAAAGATTTAATTTAATTTAAATTTATTTGTGTGTGTGTTTTGCTCGTAGGCTTGGTCATGAAATAATAAAGCTTGCATTACATCCTGTGTGGAACTTTCAAGTTAAAAAATGCTTTTGAATTATTTATCTCTTACCCTCTAGCAAAGGGTATGAAACATTTTGATTGAAAATTTACTTTTCTAGCATCATAAAATTGCACTCTTGGCAAATTGATCTCCACGTCTCACATCACAAATTTCTCTATTTATTCAGTGTGGAGCTTTGCTCGTTAGAAAATCGCGGTCGCGTGTATTTATTGAAGTAAAGCGAAGAAGCCGAGTCGGTCTCTCGAGAATGGTATGTATAATTTGTGTCAACGTGCGGTGGCGTCTCTCTCTTGAGAGAGGGCTTCTTATTACACAGCCCGACGACTGCTTTTTGCGTACACATGCACTCATCGATTAAGTGTCACATTAGCCAGGGAGATTAGACTTGCAGAACATTATCCATCAGCCAAAGCACCAAAGTAATTACACACGCTAATAAAGGGAAAGCAACTTTGATGGCAAAAGTTAACCATAAACGCGAAAAGACTTTTCTCCTCATTATGATCCCCGGGAAACGACGAGCTTCATTTTTGCGAAGCCAAGATTTTTTCAATCAAAAGTTTGCATCTCCTTTTGCTGAGCAAAAGTAAAATTGTAAGAGAAAGAGAAAAAGAAGCGAGACGGACGGATGCCCATCTTTTTTTATAGCAATATAGCGGATTATTAAAAAGGAAGTGAGCCGTCTTCCATCTTTTACAGATACATAAATCCATGTAATTTCCTTTCTACGTCACTGGTCTGCCGTATTATATTTTGATTAAGCACCTGACAGTAACGTTTTACGAGTTATATGCCACAGAACGTTAAGTAAGGGATAAACCAATAAATGGAAGAGCAATATCGTTTTCTTGAGAATTGGAATGAAATGGAGCACGATGAAAATAATATTAAATTTCTGTGAACTAATGTGATGTGTAGTGTTTCAGCGGTAATTGTTTTTCCTATAATAGGTTGAGTGAAAAACACTTGGCAATTTATTATTATATTTAGTTTAATTATTTAATTTGGAAAATAAGCACTATTTTTTAAAGAGAGAAAAGTCCTTTCATAAATAAAATAATTTCAAATAAATTTTTAATACCTTAAAACGTGAGGAAAAACCTTTGTCAAAAATCCATGTTCGCGGAACTTGGAAATATAGCAAAACACCCTTTTGGAAAAATCACAGTCGTACAAAAATGATACTAATTTTAAGAACTCACTCCCTTTGCGACCCATGGGAATATCACCAGCTTCCATGGCGACATCCCACGGCTCAGGCAGTTTGAAGGCGTTTTCCATGTTGAAAGAAGCCGAACGGAGCCAACAGTGTCTGCACCTCAAAAAGGTCAGAAGCGAGCGTGGGCTGCCGAGAAAGCAGCAGCCCGAGACGTGCGTTTGCCACCCTCTCGGCACCACAACTGAGAGTGAGTGAACTCTGCGCCACTTCCGAGCCGCCTCCACCGCCCGACCCACTGGCAAGCGCCGAACCAACCCCAATCGGCCCTCAGCATGCTACATGGCGTGCGAACGGAACATGCGGCGAAACGGGAGCACACGAGAGAGATAGGCAACCGGCTCGACAGAAGATTTAAACCCGGCCCAGTTAGGAGGAGGATCAGGCAAATCTTATTGGCTTGGTCCGATTTCAAATTTGATTTGATTATTTTTTTCTTAATTAGCTATTTTTTATAAGCAAAATAATATCTAATATCAGGAAATGATGTGTTTATTAATTAATTAAGTAATTTCAGTTTGAATAGACCAAATACTGCGAGTCTCTTGATTTTCCATTTTGAAATCCCTTTCTCTTCATGCTGGTGGCAAAGACTGATTTGAACAGAGACGTTTCATCCGGGGCGGAAATTAGACGCGGGATTATTAAGTATTCTGATTGTTAAATTTGCGGGTTGATGCGTGGTGTAGATTTGTCATAAAGAGCTGATTTTTTTCGCAAAACATGCAATTTCTCATACAGAAATGAATATTATCAAATGTTTTCAGCTTTGTTTTTTATTTTGAATGCTAAAATTGTTTCACTATGAGTCATAACACTTTCTTTTATTTAATTATTGAATTGTAAAGACGGAACAAAATGATGTAGCATTTCTAGCATTCATGACCAATTCAGCACGTAGCACTAATTTATAACAATTTTCATCATCTTCCATGTAATTTTAAGTATTCAGACACGCATCACTTTGTGCCTGTATCTAGAATAATTTGGTATTTATTACAATAAGCATGGTTTCCACGCTTTGCATATTCTGCAAGCACAATTTCAAACACGCAATGAGAGCGCCTGCAGCTTTTTAATACAGGCAACCTGCTTGGCAAGGGTGTAATAATTTAAAGTTACATAAGCATTATTCTTTGCAGGGAATGATTATAAAGCAAAGATATTCCTCATGTTTTTACTACATTGGTTTTTAATTTTTTTTATACTTTTTTTACAAAAGCAACGATTATTTAAAGGACTATATTTATGTAGATGCAAAATGAAGTTATATTTTTTATATTCAGTTTATTAAAATTCATATTGCAGTACGCTGTTGATATTAAATCTATCTTTTAATAAAAATGATTACAATATTAAAATTGTTATGTGTATTATTTTAATTTTCCATTCAGCGGAAAGAAGAGATGTCAGATGGGACGGCGCATTTTTTTTTATCTCCTACGCGACAGATGCGTGCAGCTTCTGGCTACATTATTGATTTAATAGCTGCCGCGAAAGCCAATTTTTGTTTTTTCCATGCAGTTGAGCAAGACTTTGTTCTAAAAATATCTCTTTTTCAATTTTCAACAACCCCAGGCTAGCAAGTAAATCGCAAGCATGCAAGCAAAGAACAACCCCTTCATTGATTGACCAAGTTAACAGCAACAGGGGGAAGGAGAGGACACTTTGCATGCCCATTCAAGCAAGCAGCTCAAAGAGCAGCTTGGCGGGCGCGTATTTTATTCACGGAAACACGTCGGAAAGGGCGATTTTATTTTGAGCGTGTGTGCCGAGAAAAGGCGCTTTTAGGGCCACAAATTGTGTTAAATTACGGCGTGCGAATTGGTTCCGAGAAAAGAGCAGAGCGGCGCAAAAAGGAATCCTCTCGCTTATTGATCGACTACATCAGTGGCGCCTCTTCAACAGGTTATTATTGTTGTTCAGCTCACCCCTTCAATTGCTGCAAGTCTTCGTGTTCGGCCGCGTTTCGCCCTCCGAATCTCCCTCGACTCTTGCGTTTGCTGGCCGAAATTATCTGCACGCGGTGCAAAGCTGCAGTCGCATCGCTGCCATTCCAGGTCGCGGGATCCAATTTGCCAAGATATTTCCGGTGTGTATTGGTCGCTTAAACCCCTCAGCCCCAGGCAGGAATTACGCACTGCAACTGAGCAAGCGCGACCCACTCAGTTGTGGAGATATAGGCTTTTTGCCCAGCACCAGTGTCGTGCGGCCGGCATAGTTTACTCTCGGTTGCAGGGGTGCTGCATCCTCTGCAAAGGGATTTTTTTTTCATAAAAAGTAGCGTCGTCCACACGCCAACCAATTGTAAAACTTAAAATTTCTTTCAAGAACTCCAAACAATCATCTTTTGTTTTATTTAAAAATCTCAAACGGCTTCTTTATTGAAATATTCATGAAAGTGAAAATAGCACAACCAATAAATTGCACAGATTCTAAATTTAATCAGATTTATCTTATTGATCTTCTTCTCAGCTTATTTGGTATTTTTTGTGAAAATTGGTTATTTAGTGTTTTACAAAATAATAATATCCAATAATATCAAAATTTTAGGTCATCATAAAGAAGTATTCCAAAAAAATGAGATGTTTGAATTGCATTCTGCATCTCAAAGTACAGCACCATAATCATTATAATTGACTTCCATAAATGCTTACTTTAGAAACTAGTAAATATTTTGTGAAATTGAGTACGTTTGCATTATTGATCAAGATTTTTTTGCCATTTAAATGGAAGCCTTGGCAACAGCAGCAGCCGCGCTGTCTGATGAGCTTGTAATGTAGCTGAGCACATCAACTGGCGACACAATCGCAATGATGACATCCTTGTCATCAACCACCAAAGCAAACGGATCTTTTTCCAGAATGTGTGACACGCGGCCTAGAATCGTGTCGGCCTTGATTTTTCGGAACTGGCGATACAGAATGGAAGCGACCTTGTCTTCGGGCTTGATTTTGTGGTTGACCAGTCGGGTCATCATGTTTCCAGTGGACACAACACCAAGAATAGCACTAAAGAAAATTATTAAATAAAAATATAAAATAAACAAACAATCTTTACCCATTGTCATCGACGACAGGCAGCTGATCAAATCCTTCCTTCTTTAAAATGTCCATTGCCTCCTGCACAGACACATTTGGCAAGATAGTCAGAGGCGCTCCGAGCTTCAGGCTGGAAACTGGGTTGTTCCACCACCTAAGAAAATGTGATTAAAATATTTGTAAAAATTCAGGTTAATTTTTTTTTACCAAGGAGCTTTTTCAGGCGAGTCAGTGAAAAAGTCCCGAGCAATCATCCAAGAGTCGCTGACCATCTTGGTCATGTAATTGCGGATTCCGTCGGGCAGTAGCACCACACAGTGCTGTCCCTCCTTCAAATCCTTGGCGGCTTTCAGAGCAGCAGCCATCACTGCACCACTGCTTCCACCTTAAATAAAACAAATTAATGAAGGTGCAAGAAATTTAAAAAAAAAGCAAAACCCACCACTAAGAAGGCCCTCTTCGCGGATCAAACGGCGGGCCATGATCAAAGACTCCTTGTCAACAGTTTTCTCCCAAGTATCCACAACGGAGCGGTCTGAAAAATATAAATTTTTGCATATTTATTGAACTGTTTCATTTGAATAATTTAAATTTCTTACCCAGCACAGTAGGAATGAAATCATAGCCAATTCCCTCAACTTCGTAGAAAGTAACGTCAGACTTGTTCAGAGTCTCGGGCTCTGCGAGGATGGAGCCCATGGGGTCGACTCCCACCAGAACACATTTCGGGCAACTTTCCTTCAACTTGCGTCCAATTCCAGAAATGGTGCCACCAGTGCCAGCAGAGGCCACGATCATATCAACATTGTTCTTGGTTTGAGAGAGGATTTCTGCGATTGTGGTGTCGTAATGGGCAAGCGGGTTGCCAGAATTGCGGTACTAAAATTGCAAAGGTTACTTCATTCATTTTCAAAAATGAATTTATTAAACCGACCTGATCAAGGACAATCGAGTTTGGAATCGTCTTGCTCAATTTCTGAGCAACTGCAATAAGTCCTTCGGGTGAATCGAAAGCAGCAGCAGTCGGAGTGCGGATGATCTCGGCGCCCAGGCACCTCAGGGTGTCGACCTTTTCATTGCTCATCTTCTCAGGCATCACGATGATGCACCTGTAGCCCTTGACGGCGGCTGCCATAGCCAGGCCTATACCCGTGTTTCCAGAAGTGGGCTCGATCAGGGTTGAACCAGGTTTCAAAAGGCCCTTTTCTTCGGCGTCCTCCACCATGCGGAAACCGATACGGTCCTTGACGCTGCCTCCAGGATTCATGAACTCGCATTTTGCATCTAAACGGAGATTTTTTTCAATAATCCAGGACTTTCTATCTGCTTTCAGTTCAATTTAACTTACACATTTCACACTTGATGCCGAAAGACTTTGGGATGTGGTTGAGCTTAACGAGAGGAGTTTTTCCAATGGCATGTAAAATGTTAGGAAGAACTTGATCTCTGTCCAGGCTGCATAAAGAAAGAAGCAATTGAACCGCTGAATACTTAATTTATTAAAATATTTTTTATACATTAATAAATAGTCATCAAATGAATACAATAAAAATAAAATATCTTTACACTGTGCGCTTCGTGTGAGGAGAGGTAGATGGGTCAGCATCTCTGGTCCAGGTGCACCTGCTGGGCTGGTCAGGTCGAATGAAGTCAAAATCCATGCCTGGGCACTTTGCCATTTTGTAATCTCTGAGCTTCTGTGACCGAAAAGAAAGTGTAAAAATTTTAGCTCAGCTTTTTATTCTTTTTACTATCTTCCTATCTGCTAAGGGCATCATTTTGTAACAAAAGTTTCAAAATAAATATATGTTTGACCTTAGAGTGCAACAAGGTCATCTGTAGGTTATCTCTACCCTTCAATCTGTGAGTAGAGAGGCAGACGCCATAAATGAAATTCTTCAGGCGGTCAAAGGTTAAAAAGTATAAACTTGATAAATTCCTTTGGTATATTTTGTTTTATTCAAGTTATAATAATTATATAATTAAATTCAAATTTCTTCTCCTAATGAAACCTTATATCAAATAAATATAAAATAACGGAACAAAAATATTTGAAACATGAATTAATTGGTTTTATGACAATTAAATATGTATTATTTTGATAATAACTATTATATTATACAAAATAAAAAGACTTTGATAAATTTATCTTAGTTACGTTAAAAATTATATTGAAAAATAGAAATGATTACTGTACAAAAAAAATAATTGTATTATTTAATTTTAAGATACAAAATATATATTAATAAAATATACAAACAATTTCCTTGATTTGAATGATTTATTTTAATTAAAAAAATTATTGGCAGGATGCCGACTTGTGAATGTGAAATATTGAATAGCATTATTTGTGGAAGCATAAATGAATTAAATAAAATATTTATTACGTCTTGGTGAAATAACTTTTGATTTTTTTTTCAATATGTAAATAAAAAGTTGTTCTTGATCATTAATATAATAAAAAAATAATACAAAGTTAAATTGTGAAAGCAAGAATAAACGCGGCATATAATATGACACGTATGTATTGTAATCGTGTCAACCTAAAAATTTTGATAAGAACAATAAAATAACTAAAAAATAAAAATAAAAGGCTTTATTTTCTCTCAGGGAATTATTTTCCTAAAATTTTCATTATCAATGACTGTAATTTAATTTGATATGTATTACAATTACAAAATAGCAGTGTATTGTTAAGATGCTCACTCACCTCAAGCAAAATTTGGCAAAGTTTTTGACTTTTTGCAAATTTCAAAGCACCACGCCGGTCGGTGACTGTTTTCGAATGTGCAGAACCAGCAGAAAGCAAAATGATGTTGATGTGTGTTCGCTTTGGAGGTGGGTGGAGCAAGAGAGGGGGGCTGTCTAGACGAGCCCCCACTTCGTCCCCTCCCGTCCCCTCCAATCAAAAACTTAGCTCGCCAAGGAGGTTCATCACGATTTTTTCGAATCTTTCCCACCCGGAGTTTGTTTACAACTCTTTCGACAGCATTAGGCCAAAATTTGACCGATTCGGCAAGATTCGCAAACCAAATCGAGCATGGCTTTTTGGCCGACCACTCTGGACATCCCGAAGGATGACTGCAGCCGAATTCTTCGACGGATGGGTGCGTTTCCTGCTCAATAGCGCCGACCAAACTGACGCCGGCTTTGTTTTCTTTCAGAGCTGCAAACCTACGGATCGTGCATTTCTGTGCTCAGGGCGCAGGGCCCTCTGACCAAAGAGAAGCGTTTGGCCATCGAGACACTGCGGAAAATTTTCCATATTAAAACTGAGCGACATAAAGCAGAGGTTCGACGGGCGGTCAACGATGAACTGCTCAATACGATTGCGTTAAAGTACGTTCGCTGCCATTTGGCTTCTCTTCTTTAAAACGTTTGTCTGCAGGTTGTACGGGGCCAACACAGAGTTGGATTGGGCCGTGGAGGGACGCCGACTGGTTCCTCTGGTCAAGAGGCTCGACCCGATCACCGCCTACACCCCACTTGCCAACGAAGTGGCCGAAATGACCCACATCATCAATGCATCTTTGCCACCTCCCAGGGACCCGTCTCGATCTCCAAGTAATTACAAAAGCAAAAATGAATTGTTCATTACTTAATTGGTTATCAAATTTATTTCTTCAGCACCTGAAACGGACGATGCAGAAGAAACGATGGAAGAATTGGAAATGGCGCCCCCTCCGCCGCCGCTGCCTCCGCCTCCTCCTGTTGTTGCTCCTCCAGTTGTTGCGCCCGTCAAGGTTGTGCAGACTTTGCTTCCAACTCCAATTGCTGCAGTCACCCAGCCACCAATACAGCTTGCCGTTAATATTTAAATATATTTTGCTTGCCCTGTTGCTAATTAATTCACAATTTAGACCAAAACAGAAAAGGCTGCTGGCAGGAAAAGGAGAGTTTCATCTTTTGAGTCGACAACTCAAAATATTCCTCCTCCTTCAAAGGTGATTTTAAAAATTAATTCACTTACTTTTTTATAAGTGAGATTTATAATGTTATTCATTACAACAGATACCTTATATACCCCCTTCCTCTACGGCATCCCGTACTGTTTCAATCTCAGCGGGACTTTCTTCTTCAGCCACCAGAATGCCAAATATTCCCACAGCCATACGTCCCAACACGGCCATGTTATCTCCAGCCCCGAAGGTAAACATTTTTTAAGAAAATTATGGCCGAAGAATTAAAATGTAATTATTTTTTAAGGTACTTGTTGTTTCGAGCTCTGCAAGTTCAACAACGCCAAGTCTACTGCAAAGGTCTTTAAGCGTACCAATGGTGAAGACAGTGAAGTCTGTCGGTGCTGGTTTAATGAGCACAACTGTGTCCTCAGGTCCAAATGCCTATCAAGGTGAGAAATCCGATTGCTGCATCCGATTGAAATAATTTAACTTTGATCCTCAGGATCTTTGGGCACCCCCCTCCTCAGTGCGCCAAAAATCAGGCCGAAAACTTTGGCACCATCAACCATGCTGCCCAAAGGTCGTGGTGGCTCCATTGTAATCCCGTTAGCTCCTAATTTGCCTGGACCGTCGGGGGTGCAGCTGAGACCCCCCACTGTTGTTCAGACAAAGCCTACTCTTCAACCTGTACAGGTCAAGCAGGATGCTAGTAAGTGGAGTGGAATTGTTTTATCATTATTTCTGAGCGACTTCTTTTTTGCAGGCGGAGTTAAAGTAATTTCAGGAAGCCATAAAATTACTCCAAAACCTCCTACAGGTTTGCAATAAATATTAATCAATGAATTCAAATAACTTACCAAATGAAATTTTTTCAGTCACTGTCTCAAGTGGAAGCAGCAGAGTTGTGTCCATTGCCTCCGCACCAAGGATTAGTCCTGTTGTAACGTCTAACCCGCCAGTTATAGTGTCAGCCACCATGACCACCCACGCTGCTGTAAGTTGGGTATTTTGATGATTTTATTTAGTTTCTCTTATCACCATTTAAAAACAAATCATGCTTTAAATGTTTTCCAAACTTTTTTAATGCTATTTAACATTTTATCAGGTTCAATACATTCTAAGAGTAAGAAATTTTGCGTGTCCAAGTTTCCCATGGCTAATGAGTTTGAATTAATTGCAGACGCCGACATCTTCTGCGGGCAGCGCGCCAAAACCTTTGACTCTCAACTTCCCATCAACCCCGAATGTACAGCAGAAGCAAAATGTAATATTGGTGAAAAAGGGAGGTTCCAGTGGCTTTTCCTCAATGCCCAGCCAAGGAAATATTTCGCTAGGAGGTCCTGGAAGGGTAAATAATTTAACTGATTTAATATAACCTTTCTAACTTGGTTTGCATTTAGGTTCTCATTCAGGGCACTCCTAATCCTCCTGGTAATAAATTGACAGTAGCTGGAGACACGGCCTCTTCGTTGGCGCAGGCATTAAATCTTCCCCATGGCAGCAGACAGGTACTACCCTAAGAAGCATATTTTGAATTTATCTCTGATTATTTAATTTTTAGGGGAATGTTTTTGTGCTCGACTTGAGCCAAGAACAGATTAGCAAAAGCAGTACCTTATCTGATTTACTACACAAAAGTGGAATCCTAACAAAAGCGTCAACCTCCAAAGAAGCAGCAGAAGAGCCACTTTTGACGAGGGAGGTACCAAACACAAGTAAGGGAAAATGACTTAAAAATTATCCAAAATTGAATAAAAAATTTCCTTCCAGCAGCCTGTGAACCCAAGGCCCTTTTGAAAGAAGCAACTCCCAAGACAGTTCTCTCGCCCTCATCGAAGGTTTGTAAATAACGATTGGAAAGTTGCCTTTTGTAATATTTTAAAATTTCAGCTCAAAACTAAAATTCTTCGAGCAGTACCTACAAGAACAAAGTCTCAAGAACCTTCCGAGTATTCAATTAAACTTGTGTCTGGCCGAGCTTCCGTTGAAAGTTCAACTCCTCAAGTGGTGCAGGCAAAAGTTGTGAGAGAGATTGCCTCAAAAGCCACTGAGCCTCGAACCATCAAATTTGATGATGTTGCCAAGGAAGTGGCGCCAAAAAAACTGCTGCCGATGAAAGAGCTTCCTAAAATCGAAGTGAAGCTGCACCCAGCAACGAGGATGGTGCCTGATCTGAAGCAGCTTGGCATTTTGCCTGATTCTGAAAAAATCATGGTCAACTTGATAGACCAAGTAATCGAAAGCTCGATTTCTGTTGAAACCACTCCTTCGACAGCAGCAGGGAATGCTCTCCAAAAAGCTTCTCCTCATGAAGATGCACTAAATGGTTAGTCAATTGCCTGAAATATATATGAAATTATTGTATTTATTCAATCGTTTATTTATTTTTAGAATTCTTGACATTCAAGAAATCGGAATCTGAGGATGCAAGCAAAAAAGTACTTGCAATGTTGCAAGAGGATCCTGTAGCGATAGAAAATGCGGATCTTGTATCTGGATTACCTGAGCTGGACTCAACTGTGGAGGTGAGTGATTTTAACAATGTATTAGCACCCACTTAATAATCCTCGTTTAAGATTGAAGCAATTGTCCAAAGTGAACTAGAAGAGAAGATTTAACTAGCGGTGCCAAACGCTCAAATTTTATACTAATGCAAAATGTTAAGATTACTAAAAATAACTCTCTGTATTTTAATTAAAATGTTTTAATTTAAAGTAAAGTTCATCCTTGAAACGGAATGGTGGGTTTTAACAATAAAAAACATTTGCCTACAGAAGTGCTATATTTTATTATTTGTAACCTTGAAAGCCTCATTAACTGCATCTAAACATTTGACGGCTTCATTTTCTGTTTCGCTATCTTTATATTTACGGGATAAGTTGAAAGCTTCTTTGCAATTATTCCTAGCTTCGTTCAGAACACCGTTAAACATTTTTACTGTTCCAAGGTTTACTAGGATCGATGGCAGATTTTCAGTTTCATTCTTCCTTGCTAAATTTAGCGCTCTCTCTAAATAATGCTGAGCAATTGCGAGATCATTTTGCATTGCACTGATTGACCCTAAGTAGCTAAGCAGGGTAGATATCCGCTCTTCGCTGTCACTGCCCTTTTCACTCAGATCAAGCGCCTTCTCATAGCAGAGTTTAGCTTTAGAAAGCATGTCTTGACCAGCCAACAAACGCCCTTCACCTTCGTATGCTAAACTGAGGAGCAGCAGGGTGTCGTTTTCTTTATCGCCTCCCTCAATCTTTTTAGCAAGACGTTCTTTGCTAAAACTTTGCGAGGAAAATAATAATTTGTGTCAAAAAATGTGATTTAAAATTTAAAGCATACTCATATCCATTTTGCGCCTTCGAGAGAAATTCCTGGGCAGCTTTGGGATTTTTGCCGGCAAAACTTTGCTCCGCAAAAATATTTGCAAGTTTTATGCTCATGTGGATGATCTTGTTGTCATTCTCTGGAACACCCGACGACATCAGCCTCTGCATCACTGTCACAAACAGCTTCTCCGCTTTGGCAAATTCACCCCTCTCGACTGCTAGATTTGCCATCAGATCATACGTGTAAGTTATCCCGTCGACCGACATCCTTTCCTGAGCCAGACGAAGTGCCAAGTGCAGCATTTGTTCTGCCTTTTTCAGGTCACCTTGCTAAAATAAAAAAATAATAATTATTTAATTTTTAATTAAATATAAAAGGGGCAAATGTAAAAAATACCTGCATAAGAAGAACAGACCTTTTTAGAGTCATTACAAGCTCATCTTGCTTTTCTTCATTTTTTTCAAGTCCGAAGAATGACAAAACTCCAGAAAGGTATATTATTGCATTCCCTGAGTTGCTATTTCCTGCATTAATTCTGCTGACTCCAGCCACGAGAGAAAAGTATTTTGGTTGGTAAATTTTGCAGGCAAATGTTTTGCAACATTGTGCTCCTGTTGCTGGCAGTGCAAAATAGCGCAATATTTTGACCGTAGAAAAGATTCTAAATATGCCGCTCATTTTGCTATTATTTGCAAGGCAATCTGAAAATATTTATAATTACATCATGCCTAAAATATTTCTCATTCATTGCTTACCTTAATTTCTGTTTTGCTTTTCGTTGTTGACATTTCATTGACATTAGGGCAGGACAGGTACATATGCCACGCCCCCTAAATTGATTTTCCAAAACAGATGATAAGAATAACAAAAGCCTCTTTTCTGCGTCGAGTTGGAGTCTCGAAGTTTTCTGACATCAATTATACGCTCCGGGGGTTAAAATTAAGGAAGAGGATCATGGATGCTGCTGAAAAACCTAAGGAAGATAAGGAAGAACCAGGGACCCCTGCAGGTTTTTTCCTTTTTTACGATTTTGTACAATAACCCAAAATATTTTTTTTTGTAAATCTTCAAAAATGTTTGTTTGGAAATTAGAAATTTGTGCACATAAACATTAATTATTTGGCTATTAATTCTATTCAACTATATTATTTTCAATCTATATTAATGTACTTTTTTTAATTTGTGTATTTATGTATTTTTCATAAAAAATTTTAATTTCAGTTGCCAGTAAATTAGTTCCGGAAAATGCTGACGCCGCTAAGACTGCTTCAAAATCGGAGACCGCCTCGGAAGATGAAACACCCGAAGAGACAAAGGAGGAAGGAACCGAAGGAACTGAGGCTGCTGGCTCTTCAAAAAATTCTGATATTGTTGACTCAATCAGCCACTATTTGAAAGAAAAGCTGCACCTCTCTAGTGACAAACCAGATAAAAAAGTAAATTTTCTAAAGCCGATTTCGTTATTTATATTAATTGATTTTTCTCCAGAAAATTTTGCATGAGAAATCTATCGATGGAATTGTGAAATACATCGAAGAAAGGAAAGTGACAAAAATAGTGACAATGGCTGGTGCTGGAATTTCGACTTGTAAGATTTTTTGCGTTGTCCATGGATTTCCAATTATTTTAATATTTTTCTCTTTTAGCTGCTGGAATTCCTGATTTTCGAAGCCCGGTAACAGGCTTGTACAACAACCTAGCCAAGTACAATTTGCCTCATCCACATGCTATTTTCGAGCTGGACTTCTTTATCGAAAATCCTAAGCCGTTTTTTGTGCTGGCCAAAGAGCTGTACCCAGGATCATTCAAACCCACAATAAGCCACTACTTTGTGAAATTGCTCTGTGATAAAGGCTTGCTCCAGCGGCACTACACGCAAAACATTGATACCCTGGAGAGGGTCTCTGGACTCCCAGGAGAGAAAATCGTCGAGGCCCATGGAACTTTTTACATGTCTCATTGCCTGCAATGTGAGCTGGGGTACGAGCAGGACTGGATGAAAGGTATAAAATAATTTCTATTTATGTGGAAGTTATTTAATTATTCATTTCTAGAACAAATCTTTGCTGATGAGATTCCAAAATGCATCTCTTGTGGAGGGATTGTGAAGCCAGACATTGTATTCTTTGGAGAGAACTTGCCGACGAGATTTTTCCAGTGCTTGGAAAAGGATTTTGATGAGTGTGAGCTCCTAATTATTATGGGCTCCTCTCTAGAAGTTCAACCTTTTGCTTCTCTTATTGACAGGTTGAATAATTCATGTAAATTCAGCCATACAAATATTTAATTTAATTCTTAGAGTTGACAAAAAAGTTCCTCGGCTGCTGATTAACAGAGAAAAGGCTGGCGCGGCCAATCCTTTGATGAGAGCTCTTGGGTTAGGCAGTGCAGGGTTGGACTTTTCGTCTGACAACCATCGAGATGTGGCTTGGCTCGGTGATTGTGATGCCGGCTGTGAGGCTCTTGCTAAAGCTTTAGGATGGGATGTATGTTATTATTTTATACATAAGAAAATCTGTTTACTCTAAATTATTTTTAAAATACAGCACGAGTTGAGGGAATTGTTACAAAACGACCATGAGCGAATTGATAAGGAAGAGGCAGAGAGCAAGCAGAACGCATCCAAAAGAAAATGAAAGTGAATCAATTAAGAAGCAAAAGTCTTAATATACCGCAACATAAATGCAAAATTATTTAATTAACTTTTTCCATTTATTTATGCTCATTTAAATTCTTAATTTCCTATTAGTGCTACTTAAATAAATTGAAATAAATTCTAAAAATATAAAAGTTTTTGTTATAAAAATATTTTTAATGTTGAAATTTGAAATTTATGTATAGAGATCCAATAAAATAAACTTTTCATTATACAAATTGTTAAAATAATTTAGCATTCAATTTATAACTTTTGTTATTACCTTCCTTTGGTGTCAACTTTTATAATAAATAGCTCATAATTGCTCGATACATCTTGTTTTTGGCGCGCAATGATAAAATCTGAGGTTCAATTTTTAATTTTTACTCTGCAAATAAAATTTAAAAAAAAAAAAATTGATAATCACGTTTTACTTCAGGTTTAAGCCATGATTACAGCAAAATGTTATATTTTTTGAAAATTTCATTGTATTTAATGTTATGAAATTAATGTTTTTGCATTTTAGAAAAATATTATGCAAACTTCCTAAACCTGCTGTGCTCCCAATATGCAGTGGTTGAGTGGTCGCGTTAGCGGGTCAACTTATCAAAAGGCTGAGAGGTTTCTAGAACAGCCAATCAGCGAGCCAGAATGGGAGAAATCAATGACGTCACAAGTACGTTAGCTCGGTGTTTTTTTATGCGGACTCGGATTGTTTTCATGGAAGGTCAAGCAATTTTTATCACCATATTCTCTTAACGCAAGCTGCCAGGAGTCCGCGGCACTTCCTTTGACGTGAAGCAGACGCGTTCCTTCTAATTAACGACGCAAAATGAACTGAAATTTCCGGCCCGAGTCCGTGTAGTGGACGCAGAAGTTAGGATGAACTCGAGCAATGCAGACGACGACAGTGACAGCGATTTGGATCCCAGGATCCAGGTAAAAACACCCTTTGTTGAGCTCAATATTGTTCTCGAATTCTAATGATTTACCTTTTCAGACCGAACTTGAAAACCTCAACTCAAAAACGGATGAAATCAATAAATTGGAAATCGATTTGGAAGTGAGTACATAATGTATTAATTTGCATTGCAACGATTTCCTTTATGTATGTATGAGACTACAACTACTGCAAAATCTAATTTGCATAAAGTGATGCGTGTATATTCCACATATGTACATATAATAATAAATTATAATTAAATCATACTGCTAACTGCGTTGTAGCTGGTTGTTATTTATTTATGAATGTTTGGAAAAATTATTTTTTTTTATTTAAATATGTAATCAAAATGTTGATTTCAATTTTTTATTTTTTAGAATGCCAACACTTATTTTCGAAAGTTGCTGAACGAATCCACCGAACGACTGAAAGAACTGGCCAAAAGTAATGGATCGGCTGTCAACAAAGCAAGGCCGTACCATCAAGCTATGTCTGATGCTCAGAAGGCTCAGATTGAATGTCAAAAAGCAGCTATAAATTTTCAACGGGCGTCAGGTAATATTTTCTAGATTATTTTGCAATAATTAATAAAGTGCAGCCTATTTAGCGCTATTTTTCCTTTCCCTCACAGTTTTCTAATTTTCAACTTTCTGAAAGAGACACAATAATAAATGTTTTCTCTGCTGTTCAGAAATCCACCGAGCAGCCAAAGAAACTGTGACTCTAGCCGAGCAGCGATTTATTAGCAAACAAGCAGACTGGACTTTTGATAGTGCCTGGCAAGATATGCTCAACCATGCCACTATGAAGGTATTTTTTTTCAAAGCAAATGGCTAAAATAATTTATATTTTCAACATTTTAGGTTTCTGAAGCTGAAATTCAAAAGGCCTTAGCCGAGAAGGAACACCAAATGAGAGCTGTTGCATTTATTGAGGCTGAAACTAGGGTACTAGTTCAATATAACAATATCTCTAGAGTTAATTATTTTGTTCATACAATTATTAGGTAAAAAAACTGCATTCCGAGTCGCGTTTCTCGATTCTTCGATCTCAATCGTATTTTAATGAAAAAGAGGCCTTTGATAAGAAGCTAAGTGAACAGAAAGCCATGGTCGGGAGACTACAAATCGAAGTGGCCAAAGCCAAGCAAGATTACAAAGCAGCTCTTGGCAGACTTGAAGTCATATCAGATGAAATTCACTTTAGAAGAACCAAAGGTCCTCGTGAGCCTGGAGTTGGAGCAGAGCTTGTCAATGAAATCATTGAGGAAGTTGCTGCTGTAAATGTCAACAAAACTGCCGAGGTCAGTTAAAAATTTATTAAGGATGAATTTGTTTGAACTAATTAATTTTTTTTCCGGTTTTGCAGAATTGTGACAAGATTTTAAAAGCAGAAGCTGCGATGAAACCTCAAGAGTTGATAATGACTCCACAAAACTTACAAGAAAGTTGAAATCAGTAAGTTTATTAGAATTTAGATCAAAAGTGATTCATTGAAGTTTTATAATAATTATCTTAAAATCTTTTGAGAAGTATTTACATTTGTCAGTTTTAATCAAAAGAGATATTTGCTGTTTTACAAAATGAGGCATAGTGTTATTATAAGGAAGTAAATATCTCTAAAAGCTGTTACCGAAAAAGAAAAAGATATATTTAAGACCTTTTATCTTTTCAAGTACAGTAGTTTAATACTTGCATAAAAGTAAGGATTCTATCAAAACCTGTTATTATTGGTTACATTAACCTTTGATAATTAGCTTTCTCTCTGATATTATAGATTTCTGTGTATTGAATTTTTTCTTGCGATTGAAATTAATAATTTACTTACATTAGTTAGTGTGTTTTTCTCTGCTGATTATTTAAGAAGACAAAGATTTTGCTCATCATATGCATTGTGTGCTTTTATTAGAGGCAAACGATAGGCTTATATTATTATACAAAAATATCAGCTTATTTTACAAAGTAAATAATACAGCAGATGTAACAACTATGGAAATGTTGTAGTCGTGAATTAAAAGTAATTTATATTTATAATAATGATCTTATATTATGCTTGAAGTTCAATAAAACCATCTGATTTCTTTAAATTTAAAAAAGGCATTTTGCTATTTAAATCTAAGTCCGTTTTTTAAATTTTACAAACAATACCATTTTTTCTTCTCACACCAGATATTCTGCTAAGCAATTTTGTGTTATAGATATCAATATTATTATATTGGATTTTGAGATCCTAATAAATCCCAATCTTGTGCAATATCAAATTTAATGTCATTATTATTGGGCGGATGCTAATTTCCAATGCAAATATTATTAGAGAAGAGAAGGATTGCTTGTCAGTGCTTTGATTTTTACTTCATCGGGTGATACATCAGTTTCCCTGCATCTTATGACTCAAATGAAGTGTGTGCTTTGGTTACAAGGTCAGATCTTGCTAGGCACGAATAAAATAGTATAATGTCTCAGAATGAGATCATAAAATGGTCAATGCACAAGGAACTGGTGTGTAGGCGATACAATTACCCTATTTTCTTTCGAATAAAAAATATTGAAAAAAAAAACCAGCAAAGGAAAAAGGAAAAACGCCTCTAGATTCTGGCATCACCCGAAAAGGCGAGTTTTGTGGGAACGCTGTGAAAAAAAGTGGAGGCGCGCATTGGAAATCTCTCGCGCCTGACCTTCCCCAACCGATAGCAATTGGGCGCTAGATAAAAGGTGCCGAGCTTCCGTTTGTGTGGCACATGCTTTGTGAATCGGCTGGCGAGGCAACAAGCAGCGTTTTGACACCCGAGAAGAATTGGAAGAACCCTAACCGGGGGTGTAAAGTCAACATCTGCGTCCCAGAAGGCGGCGGCGGCAGCGTGGGCCGATATTAGTGGCTTGCGCACGCAGACCGCGCTGGCACCACCACGCCTCGCACGTTCGAGTTCTCCGCGGCGGCGGCAACTGCTGACGGCCTCGAGGAGATGTGGAAAGACACATCTAACCTCATTTGGACGCTCTCCGTCTCGCGCTGAACATCTCGAAGGCGACTTCGGTCTACACGACGAGTGCGTCGTCCTCACCATGAGTGCGCCGACGGCGTGAAAAATCCAAGTGTCTCGTTTTCGCTTTTCAATTTCATCAATATAAAAAACAGTGACGATGGCGCGGATCTGCAGAGGACAAGACGCCGCTCTTTCGGTGCTGTGCCTTTGTTTATTGCACTTGACGTGTGCCTTCAATGTGGACACGCAGAATTATGTGCTTCATAGAGGTGAAAGAGACTCGATGTTTGGATTTAGTGTGGCGCAGCATCTAGACAGGGGGAAGAGTTGGTAAGTTACATTGAAACCTGATAAATTTTTACAGGAAAATTATTTTTTTGATTTTTTTTTTATTAGTCGTACTAAATTTGATGATTTTAGAAAAAAATCTTAACATTCTTAACTTCCAAGATGTTTAAAATAATAATTTTTACTTTTTCTTGTAGAATACAATGTGTCATTAAATAATTGCACATTTTAATTTACGACATTTAAAATAATATGCAATCGACAGAGTAAAAAATGTACTTGGTACTAACTCATGAAACATTTATATGTGCTGCAAAAAATACATTTTGTCGCGACCATTCCTTTGGAGCAGAGACACGCCGATGACAATTCTGCTGACAAATTGCAGTAATTAAACAATTAAACTATCATGTCAGCAATAAATTCATTGCTCAGCGAATTAATTTCTTATTGTGCACAAGTTTGTTCCACACCAACTTCTGCGCTCGTCGGCGCCTTCTCCAATTATTCCTTATAAAATATTTTTATAAATTCATTGCCGGACGATGCACTTCTTTAAAAAAGAAAAATCGATAAAAGGTTAAATCTTCTGATGTATTAGTTAAATTTGAAAAGGCCAATGTAACGCATGACACCATAATAGGTGACAAAACTGGATCTGTTTTACGCGTCGCGCGCCTGCTCGCTCTCCAGCAAGCCGCTCCGACTCAAAATCCTACACGCCGACAGAGCCGCGCTATTGGATTTTTATGTAAAGCAGTGGCAGGTCGACTGACGCGCCTCTAATCCCCAAATGTCACACTCGATTAGGAGAAAATATCACCGAGACCGGGCTGGATTAATGTCGCGGGTTGAAAAATGGAGTTGAAATTACCCTGCGATGGAGTGATGATTGCTATACATGATGAGAAAAGAGCAACGGAGCTAAAAGGATGAGACGATGGATAAGCTCTCATTGCAAATCTTTCTGTTAAAAGGAAAAGTGTAGCACTTGAAGGCAACATGGGGAAAGAGAAGTAACAAAAACATTACAGATACAAAAACTTCAGTATTATAGCTGCTGAAGTTTATATAGAAATTGTAAATCGTTGTTATAAATGTAATAATAAAATAAATATTATTTTATTAAAATTAAACAATAAAATATCAAAAAATTTTAATTTTAATAATAAACATTCATGAAATATAAAAAACACTCAATAATTTTAATACATATTAGAACATATCGCTAAAAATATCAACATTTAAATATTTTTAGACTGATATATATATTTTTTTTTAATAATTTTGATCTGCTTTAAATTATTGAAAAATTACCAAAACAAATAAAGCAGGTGGTTCATAACGACGTGCATAAAAGGTCGCTCACGGCAAGATCATAAAACATGCGCGGCCCATTATTTTTCAAGCGAATGTCATGTTGCAATATGAACCGATAACAAATTGCAGCCTCTTCATCATCTCACTTGCGACTGTTCTGCGTCAGTCAACATCTCTCGTTGGTCCGACGGACGGTGGACGGGTTGGCGACTTTTCCAGAGCCGGCCAAGCCTGCTTTTGTTCAATTACACGGCGTGCAAAAAGGCATTTTATCAGGTACCAGTACGACTGCCTCGGACGCCGACAGCAATATTTACTAATTTTTTATGATCCACGTAATCTTTTGTTTCAAGAATACATACGCGCGCACACACACCGCTTGCTTATTTATTGCGTCGCTGAACGAGACTGTAGCTCAGGTACTCTTTCTCTCTCTGTGTTTCCTCTACACGATTATACAAAGTTTGAATAAACTGGCTTCAGGGAAATACTCTATACTTTCTGTTCCGGCGGCGCCACAACTCTTAATTATGTTGATTAATGCACGGTTTAAGACGGCGTATCAAATTACGCGCGCAGGTATCACTCAAAACATTAAAGCAGCCGCGAGTGTTTGTCATGAATTATGTAAAACACGCACCATACACTTGCAGTTACCCCGTGGTAATTAGCCAAGGATTGAAACCCAACACAGAATTAATATCTGTTTATATCAAGAATGACTAAATTGGACAAATGTTATTTTTTTTTTTAAGTTATTTTAATTAATAATTTGTATATCTCTATCCACATATGACTGACTTTCTTTATTCAACTTGAAAGTTTATAAATATTCATAAACTTTGGCTTACGGGTTATTCGGTTAAGAAAAATTTTCATTTTTTTATAATAATTTTTATTCAGATTTTGTGTTGACAACTGACAAAAATTGCTTTTTGTAAATAATTTACACATTTATTATTTATTAAGAACCCCTTCTGAAGTAAACATCTTTCATATAATTTTAATTTTTAGATTTAAAATCTGATTTCGAAATTCCAAGACCAATATCAATGAATCATTACTTCTTTTTCCCGGCTAATTTTTTGATAAACTTTGCGATTTCTGCTCCAAAATCTAAGAAAAATTCATCTTCACGTGCACTGTAATTTTTTAAACTCCCTCGCAGTTTTGTCGTCAAGAATAATGCATTTTAAAGTGGTGCATTATTGTGTAGAAGCGGTGAGATTCCACAGCTGAAACGCGCACACGTAACTTGATGAAAATAAAACACACACGTGAGAATTAAGGCAGCGCTCTGAAAATAAATACACATCACTCTCGAAGAAAACAAAAGGAGCTAGGCGCCGGTTGAACGGTTGGTAGGTCGGGTGGAAAGCGTGCACATGCATACATATACGGAGAGAATTAAATAATAGCGAGTGCTCATTTATCTTGCAGAAGGCCACGACACACGATGACTGAATCTTTTCAAGCTGAGACATTCGTACACACACGGGCGGCATCTCGGCCGAGAGTAAAATATATGCACGCCGCTTTTCCCTATAAACGAAAGTGAGTGCGACCGCGGAGCGTCCATATAAGGCACGATTGCCTTCTCAATATAATCGTGTGATTGTGACACGCCGCGTTTTGATACTTTATACGAGCTTCCAAAAACGAAAAATAATAACACTTTTGGGCTGAAAACGTTCCTCTGGTGAAAGACATGAGGCTCAACGTATAATCTCACAGGTAATTGCTTCAGGCCATGTGCAGCGCGAAATCTTTGATAATTAATTAAAAGGTTTTGTGAGAAGTGTAATTTGCAACGATTGCTCTCTGACCATCTGGACACATAGGGGTATATAATTAAAACGAGATTATATCAAAACATATTAATTTTGAAACGGATCGCGGTAGTAATAAATTTCGCATTTTAAAGAAACCAATCGGCAGCAAAGTAATTACCTGAAGGATGGTTATTTTTTACCGCGAACATTCACATTTGGCAAAAAAATCTTAATTAAAATGCCCATTTACAATCTTATGCCCAGCGTTTAAGACGGATTTCATCAAGTTACTGAATAATAAACCTCACCTCTCTCCACCTTAATTCATCTCTCTGACTGAATTTCAATCAGATCAATACGCCGTACATATAAGAGACGACTTTTTTTATAAAACGACCCCTTTTCGCTTTGCAAGCTTCTATAAAAGGAGATATTTATAAAAGGTGTTTTGTTATAAACTTGCGGTCATTAAAAGATAAAGTTAATAGGATTTCAATACAATTTTTATCGGTTTATTTTGTAACTAAGCCAATTTTGTTATTAAAATTGGATTTTTCAGTTTTATAATTCCCGCACGGAAAATTTATTTTTAGATTTCATTAATTCTTTTCCGTCGCGTGTAATCAGAATCATTTGACGGGTATATGTTTGATAAATTTAGTCAAAGGGTAAACACGGCGAACAACAAATTGTGTGTTGTACGTCCTTTATCAAATTAGTCATGCGCCAACGACGCCAGAGACGGCTTGAAAAATATAGGGACGAAAGTCTTATGAGAGTGTCTTCGCGACGAGAAAATAATAAGATAAAGAGCCGGGCTAATTTTAGATGCCACTCTTGACAGTTGCTGCATGAGCATGGGTCTAAAAGGCGCTACCCCTTTTCCTCCACTGCATCACATGCTTTTTAATTACATTGTTTATGCGCTGTCAAAAGTTCTGGAGATAATCTGCCGAGATGTTTCTCCTCCAAAGAGAGCCAGAGATCAGTCCGCCCGATATTAACAGTAGCTGTCGTGCTCACGGGAAGTGGAGCTCCCGCAATGACCTCAAGCATTTTTTTGTCTTTGAACTCTCGATCGGAAGCCTCCGAGATGATTTTTAAATTAATTAAGGCAATTTTCAGTTTTAAATAAAAATTTAAAATGCTAAAGAATTAAAATTATATCGTCTATTGGACCTGAAGAGAAAGAAAATTTATTTTAAGAATTATATTTTATCTCTACAGGAGTTTAAGAGAGAAAAATGATCTAATATCTTTCCTGAAGATTTATTTGGTTCATAAATTCTGGCAACATTAATGTGATGATTAAGTTAATTAGTTTCCCTTGTGTTGAGCAGCAACAAGATATTTGAGAGAGATGAGCTTTGTTGCTCCTCCACATCATCGGGTCGCGTTTTCAATTTATCAGCCAGCAGCTCACAACTGGACAAAAAAGTTGTCCAAACAACAAAAGCAGCGGGCAAAGAGATCTGCTTGTGGCTTTTCAAGAGAGAATAAAAACGGTACCACATAAGTCATTAAACCGTGTGTGCGTATTTTATTGAAAAGTTTACATTGGCCGGGATCATCTGTCCTGTGACAGATCGAGTGTCTCTTGTGCTGATCTCTCTCCACAAACGAGTGCCTGAATTAAAAGTTAGCCTGATTCGGTCATTGCACTGAAGGTACTAATTTGTGGAGAAAAGAGCTTTTAACACAAAAATTTCTCTCTTTATTCTGAAAAAAAAATCACTGGAGTCGCAGAGAAGAAGGACGAGTATTCTTTGCGAAATTCATTCACAAACTTAAATCAACCCGCCGGGACAGACGCATTTCTGCGAAAAAGATTTTTTTTCTTTCTCGTACATTCACTTGCAGTTTTTTCCGTCTCTCGAGAGTCCACTTCAAATAACAGCCGGATTATTTCGCGCGCCTTTGTTCTTTGTCTTTGGGCTGCTATTCAAATAT